AAAAACACGAAGAAGATGTAACGTACATGTACTAGCACTGGCAAGTGTAAGTAATATAGGGCAGATGGGGGGAGGGGGGGGGGTAGTGGGGATCGTCGATGCGAATTATACCGAACAAGGAAGGAGGATGGGATGTGGGTTTTGGGGTTGTTGTGTATATAAGTAAGGTGGGTTAGTCGTCGCTTTGGGATTTCCCTTCTTTTTGTTTTTTTCTTAACTTTTCTCATCTTTTTTTTTCTTCTTTGCTGTCATGGGAAGATGTTTATGCTAGACGCTCAATATTCTATCATGTTGACGTCGAGGCTAAGTAATGGTGACAGGTAAGTAGGTAAGTAGGTAGTCGTGTTGCTCCTTGGCTGCGGGGTATCTTTTTCCCTCAAGCTTTACTTACCTCTCTACCCACCTAGTCCTCTGCATTCCAATCTTCAACTTCTTTCCTTTCTCCCTACTTTCTTATTTCCCCCCCCAATTCCAATCAAATCCGTCACTTTTCAGTCACTTTTGCTTTCCATTGTTTCAACTTTTATCCAGTCATTTCCCAGTCACATATGATACGCCATGTCGAATACGCGTACGCAAGAGTTGGAAATCATATAACAGGCCTGGTTTAAACCTGTGAATACGAGGATACAAGGACAAAAAGCGAAGACCTTCGCATTCGTCATGGCTCATACCAACCTCCAAATCTCGGCGCATTTGGCACAAAGTGATCGGGCAATATAGGGATGCCTTGGAAAAAAGCACCGCATGTCTCACTCCTGCACCCACCCCCTGTCCCAGTCAACCCTATTTCTTATCTCAACGTCTTTCCAAACCTCACAAGTCAAACGTTTCTTCTTCTTTTCAGAAATCTGTCTCAAAGTAATGTTTTTTTTCTTCGTCTTTTCAATATTCTGCATTCAATCCTGGACTCCATCCTTCCAGTCTGCATGTACTTTATAGCCTCCACATGTTGCTTTCTCCATTCATACTATGCAAACTCTCCCCACAACCTCAACCCCCCACAGTCCAGCCAAATATTCAGATGTAAAAAAAAAAACGGGTCACGCTAGCCAGCGCGCCCTGGCAACCCCCCACTTTGCTTTCCCCGTTGCAAAGAACCATACAAAATTTTCTCAGTTTCTTGTAGTTGAAGATAGGTGTGAAGAAGATGACGGAAAGCAAGAGAAAAAGAATACGAGCCAAATCAGAGGTGGTCCCTCCCGCTGGTATGGGTAATAGATATGTTCAGATGTTGCTAGGCTCTCGACGCAGATGATAAAAAGACTCCAGTTGGGCATTATTCAAAAACCTGTACTTTAACCTCAAGGGCGTCGACAACCAGTTGCCAGATGGTGTTGGTGTTGACGGGGGGGTTTGGTGGAAACTGCTGAAGGCCCTCTCATCGGTGTGCAGGCTGGGTCCAGTTACTATGCGGAGATAGATCGCTAAATAACCAATGTTTCGTTTGTAGTACAGAAGAGGAAAATGGTGGTGGAACGCGCAGACGGAGAGAATCAAATGGGTAAACAAGGAGCCGGGACGTCGTCAAGGGGCGTGTCGAGTGTGTGCGGTGTGTGTGTGTGTGTGTGTGTGCAGGAGGCGGTGAGTGCTACTCCTCCATCCTGCCAAAGATTTCGTCGTCATCCTCGTCGATGCGGGCGCGACTGCGGGCGTGGGAATAGCGGTAGTCGTCCTCGTCGGCAAAGTGGTCGTCTTCCATGTCGACGTCTTTGGACTCGCTGGGGTGGCGGTAGCTGTTGCGTATACTCGACTGCTGGGCGGTGACGGTGGTGCTGGCTGACAGGGAGCGCGGGTTGAGGTCAAAGTACTTTGCGGGTAGCGGGGGCACGGGCGGCACGTCGGGCGGGAGAGCGACGGGCACGGTCTTGGGGGTACCGTACGAGCAGCTCAGCAGGCCGACGGCGGCAGCAAGGTCAGCATGGTCATTGGTGTCGTCGTGGTAGGAGCCGGCAACCGAGGTGCCAGAAGTGGTGGGGCGGTCCGAGACGTTGCTCCACTGGCGCAGATGGCCGTGCGCATTGCCGTTGTCGGAAAAGACGGTCGACTGGTAGGATTGGCTGTAGGCAGAGCTATTGGTCGAGTAGCGCTTGATGGAGCGGGTGCCAAAGTGGGAGTGAGGGTAAGAGCCTAGGGCATGGTCGTCGAGTTGCGGGGGCGGGGTAGTTTCAGTGGAGCTCAAGTCGTCGCGCAGGTCAGATGAGCCCGAAGCGGGAGGTGACGAGCGATCACTGTGCTCGCCATCGCTCTCCTTGTTCATGGCAACGAGGACCGAGGCGGCCTCGAGCAGCTGGACCTGCTGGTGCTTGGAGATGAGCAGCTTGGATGTATACTGCCACTCGGGCGTGTGCTCCCATCTAGAACAAAAAGTCAACTCAGAACGTGAACAGGTGCCGGGGCCGTGCGAGGGGGGGAAAGGGCATTCGACGTGAGGCATGAAAGTATGTGGGAGGGCCGCGGGAGGCTAAGGGTTACTAACAGGTGCTTGGTTAGACAGCTGCTGTGCTTGTAGCCTTTCCCACATTTTTCACATCTCAGATCGCTACCACTTCGCTTGCCGTCGCCCTTGGACAGGCGAGAGCCCTCGCTCGCGCGGCGGTTGCGCGACTTTGCATTTGCCTTGTCCTGCTCCAGCATTGTCGCCAGCGTAGGCCCGTCCGTCAGCGCCTCGCTCTTGGCAGCACCCCCGTAACTGCTTGAGGCGAACTGCGCGCCATTGCCGGGCATGCTCGACGCCATGTTGGCCGCGCCCAATGCGGCGCTGGGCCCCCTGAACTGCGAGGCTGGCTTCGACGAGCGGCGCGGACCGCTGCTGCTGTTGCTGCCGCTTGCACTCTCGAGCGGCGCCCCGGACATGCCCTTGGCGGCGGCAGCAATGGCAGCAATGTTGGTGACGGGCGTCTGGCTCATGCTCTTCCGGCGTGTGACGCGGTGGGCCGGGTTGAGGTTGGCGGCGGATATCGAGTGCGAGTGCGGACGGTTCTTGGGGAGCGAGCCGGCCATGGTACTGGACGAGTGCCGTTGCTGGCTGGCGGGTCGGACGCTGATGGGTTCCTGGATAAGGGGGGGAGGGCCAGCGGTCAGTGCAACTCTAAGGGGGGGGAGGGGGGAGGGAGGGAGGATCAATGGCAGCAGGCAGTGGACAGCAGGCAGGAGGTACCTTGTGGACAGTCATGGTTGGGCTTGGGCCCAAAAACAGTTGCCAGCAAAAGTGTGTTTGCTTTGTTCGACGGGGCTGCGTCAGCAAAGGCCGAGGAATTGTCGCACCGTGTCCGAGGCGTCGGGGCTACAAAGGGAGATGCGGCTGAAACAGAGGTGCAAAGCGTAAATGCAGGGCCGGGCAGGGCACGACGGGGCCGGGCAGGAGAGGAGGGCGGCGAGAGCAAATATGCGGAGGGCCAGTGTGTGCGGGAGGCGAGAGGCAGGCGTGGTGCGAGGCCTGAGTCCCCAAAATACGGCGTGTGGACAGGTTCCGGAGTGGTATTCGACAAGTGGGGTGATGCCCGAGCGTCTGGTATGGAGTTACTGTGTCCGATGGGAGTCTCGATTGCACAGCCTGGCAAGCGCGTCGGGAATGCGCAATACTAGCAGCAGGGCAGGGCGGGCGAGCAAAGGGGAACAGCCTGTGGCAGCCGTGACCGACGTCGCAACTTTTTTATTCCATGGTCGCAAACATGGCACGCGGCATCTGGGGTCAGCCGGACGCTGCCCTGCCACAGCCCGCCCGGCGTGACTGCGATAAGTCGACCCCGGCGCAGTTGTGCCTCTTGCAGACGGCCTTGGACCGCTTTGCACTCGCCTAGAGGCTGGCATGCGGCATTTCCCCGCGCTGGCGAGCTGGCTGATTGCGTGTTTCAGCGCCCTCTTACGCTCACTCGCGCTCGCACTCTCACGCCCACGCCCACACGGACCGACGCAGGCGGCGCTGGCTGCTCTGTCGCCCTTGCCGGGGCTGCCTGCCGCCCTGTCTCTGGCGCTGCTGGGGCGCTCTCTCTCTCTCTGTGTGTGTGTGTGTGTGTGTGTATCTGTGTCTGCGCGCGCCGTGTTGCAGCGAAATGCACCCAAGTTTTGTGCGTGTTCCTGGCGCAAGGCGGCTGCTCGAGGGGCCCACGGCTTAGTGCGCCTTCTAGAGTGCACCCCCGCTTCTGTGATTCGAGCATGGGGGCGCGGCTAGGCCCAGACCGGCAAGGCCGATCGCCAGCTGCTTTGCCATAGCCGCTTGGGCCAGTCCGGTTCGGGCGGATCAAGGACACGGGGAACCGAGCGCTTGTCTGGAGAGCGCGGCGAGGCCAAGGGCGAGGCGATCGCTGCCACATGCACCGTAGCCGCAGTTACACAATTCCATCTCCTCGCCTGCCAACACGTGTTTGCGCCAGCCCAGAAATATCTCTCCTCCTCCGCTGCGAGAAAAAAAATGCCACTGCTGCGGCACACGACGCCCCCCTTTCCCCCCCCTCCCCCCTCCGAGCGCGAGACTGGTGCTTGGCGTCATCGCGATCCGTTGTACGTCCGGCGTCTGTGCTGCGTATTATCGCGCAAGCCACGGCCCCGTCCACACACATGCACATGCACACACACACACACCACAACACACTGGACGGCCTGACACCCTGACCCAACTGCAACTGCAACCGCAACTGCAACTGCCACCTGTTTGCCGCCGTCTGGCCCAACGCTCAACATGCCCACGGCCCTGCGCTGGCCTCCGGTCACGGCAATGCTGTCGACGCCTGCTGCTCCACCCAATGGCCGCCCCTGGCCCCCCAACCGCGAGCCATTGTGGCCGCCGCCTGGGAATCGACATGCCCGCCTCGTCTGGAGCCGTCCGGTGCCCTCTGGATGCCATGCAGGTGCACAATGCCATCCAGTCGCGCCTGCCCGTTCGGGACTGCCGTGGCAGCAATGCCCGTTTAGCTGAGGGGTCGCCACCACTGCTACTACGCCCACTGTATTTTGCATGGGCACAATCGCATGCCTCTGCTGCCCTCGCCGCTCAGCTGCAACAATGCCATGTCTTGGTCTCCCCCCCGCCAGCCACGGCCGTTGAGCAAACAAAAAACAAAAAGGCGCCCCACCCCGGCCACGCCTTCCGCCGCAATCACAGCCAGACCGCTGCCTCGCCCCAACCCACTTTGCCCATACGTGTAAGCAATTGCCATGTATCTAGGTGTACATGTATGTGCATGTGCTAGGTATACCCCCAAACCGCCCAAGTCTCATGCCATGGCCGTGACGTCACCCGTCGTCGCTGCACAAAAATAATTTCTTGTTGCAGCTCCGGCCCATGCCGGACTCGCATTGCTGCATTTGCATTGCCATGACGTGCGCCCCATCGGCCCGGCCTCGAGCCCCATCGTGCTCTCTTCACAGCAATCGACTCTCGCTAGTGCTAGTGCTAGGCCCGCGGAGAATAAGCCATCTTGCGCTTTGCAGTGCCATCGCCCATCACCATGTCTCCCACAGTCGGCCCTTCAAAATTCCCATCGACTCACACGTGCCTCGCCCGACAAGGAACACACTCTGTACACCTAGTTCCGGCTGCGACTTCCTCACCCATCGGTATGCGTTGGCCAACCATGACGTCTTGATATTGCCCTGCGCAGAGTTGCGGTCTGTCCCAAATGCACCAATCCATACATGTGGCCACCGGCACGGGTCACGACGGCCCAAGGCCATCACCTAGCCTATCCATGCTAACCTAGCGCCTCGCCTTGCGAAATCATCTGTATAGATTGGCTCCCTCTAGCCTCGACCCTGCTGCATAGCGCTAACCTAGATCAAACAACTGGTTTCAATCTTGCCTGTCCCGAAACATGACTGTGGGTGTCTTCATCTGTGTTTCCGACCTAATTTGGTACCAGAATAGATTCCGCTGGGCCAAGCAGACACTGGCACAACCACGCTGCCTGTGCTCAAATATCTAGCCACCAACGTCTTAACCTGGCGTCCTACAGACCAAACTTCAGTTTCCAATGGTGCGGCATATATGTATCCATCAGAGTATATGGTTCAAGCAACTCTGGCATGGCCTCCAAGTGCAGAACCCAACCAGAGCTCCCTGCTTTGTTGCTCTCAACTGCTGAAACCTAGCACTGAGTAGAACCGCCCATGAAGAATTCTGCCACAAGACCGAATTGAATACCAACTTGCATCAATAATCGGCGTGTGACGACCAAGGCGTGCAAGTGTGTGCAGCCTACCATCATCCTTAGTCAGCAAATCACGTGCTTGGCCTCCGTCATTGCCCTCGGCGACGTTCAAGCCATCTGCCTGCACCACCGCCTTAGCCCCAACTGCACTCCCACATCGCGCACAGGCTTGGACCTATCCGCTACATCTCTAGAGCACCCAGCGCAGGTCGACCCATTCCGCAAATCCCAAATCGCAACATCCTCGCGCATTGACAATGGCGGACGCTTCCGCGCAACCCAAGCCAAGCAGCAGCGTCAAGCTTGTGCTGCTAGGTGAGGCAGCTGTTGGAAAGGTGCGCCACAGAGAAGTGCAGTGCGAGCCACGAGCTGACTCCGAGTCCAGTCTTCTCTCGTTATGCGCTTTGTCAACAACGACTTTCAAGAAAACAAAGAGCCAACCATTGGAGGTATGCCTACCACTACCAATCGCCGGCCACGCCTTTGGAATGCAACCAGCAACTAACCCAACCGCCAACAGCTGCCTTCCTCACCCAGAAGTGTAACCTGCCAAACCGCACCATCAAGTTTGAGATCTGGGATACCGCCGGCCAAGAACGCTTCGCTTCGCTCGCGCCCATGTACTACCGCAATGCGCAAGCCGCCCTTGTTGTATACGATATCACAAAGCCCTCTTCCCTCACAAAAGCCCAACACTGGGTCGCCGAACTGCACCGCCAAGCCTCGCCTGGCATCGTCATTGCGCTCGTAGGGAACAAGTTCGATCTCGCCACCGCGAGCGACGAGGGTACCCCAGAAGATGCAGATGCTACGCCTGCAGCCGAGGGAGAGGAGGAGCAGGCAGAAGAGAGCCAGGACTCTAGACGAGTACCCAGCAAGACAGCCAAGGCATATGCAGATGAAGAGAGTTTACTGTTCTTCGAAACGAGTGCAAAGACTGGCCATAACGTTGCCGAGGTATTCACGGCTATTGCAAACGCCATCCCAGAGGCAAGCCTCAAGGGCCCGCGTGGTGTCGGCGGCCAGACAAACCTGGCCAGGCAAGATGCCGACCGTGTGAACCTAGGCAGTGCGCAGCCAGAGGGTGCCAAAGAGGGCTGCGCATGCTAGTATGGCATTGAGCCTTGGTACCTTGATTGCATAGTAATGGGCGGAACCACTGAAGACCTAAATTGCTTCAAGTGTATCTCGCAGATTTATGATGACTGGTTTTCTTTACTCCCAGCAGGCGTTGGATGGATAGCATGATACTACTTTGCTAATCAATACCACTATTTAACGACGCATTCATCAAGCAGAAATCTGCTGTTCTATCGACTAGCCAGTGTACAACCCAGACCAAAAAGGGTATACTTATGTGAGGACGATTGAACTCAACAATCTTTTCAGAAAACAAACAACTAATTGCCGAAAATGTATCCGAAAATGCCATGACTTGAGCGGAAGCAAGGATTGGGTTAGACGTACCACTGAGACTCGATACTTTGGATACAGTTGTCCCCCAATACATATATATAGGATTAGCCCGGCTTTTGATGGATACGGGCTGCTCCAAAAGGACCCGATGCGCCCTGGCACTTTATAGACAGTCCTGGGGAAAAGATTCAAGACACTGTGCTCTGCTATCTCCATGGATACGCATTTGAAGATTGATACTACAAAGTCGAGCACCCTGCCTGGCGCCGCATAATCACTTTAACAACCCAGAGACTAGCAAGTTAGCGATGGTAATGCACAGGGTGACTTCTAGGATGATTTGATAGTACAGGTTCTGTTCAAAACGGACTCTTCATCAAATCTCGACAGCCCAGCCTTTCCACTCTCGCTGGCATAGAAGCCGGCCTCATGCTGCAAAGTATACATATGCAAGCTCTTATGACAAAGCCATCACCATTGTATTAATAGAAGCTAGTTAGGCATAACTAGGTACCAACATGCGTGCGTCCAAATGACGACCTCCCAAAAAAAAACAGTTTCCGGCAATGCGCAAGCCAGAACTGCGGGGTCGCTCGCATAGCTCAAGTAGCGCTAACCTTTTCCCTCTAGCATCATCCAGCTCCTACCTACTACTTTTACTTACAGTACGCCTTTTGCCCTTGGAAAAGGGCGTTTGCTGGTTTCTTTTTTCTGACTCTTCTGACTCTTTGGAATTCACACTTACGACTCACATTGATTCATATACTAAACTGCTACACACACACACACACACACACACACACACACAAGTCTCCAATTTTTCACTCTTGTTTCTCGCCACTATTCCACGGTTTTTCACGCGCACGTTTCTCACCAAGATGGCGAGAGGTGGTCGTGGCGGCGGCGGTCGCAATCCAGCGAATCAGCCCAGAGAAGTCCAGGTCTCCAAGAAGATTAGCTGGTTACTGCGGCATGGGGCTGAGCAGGAAGGACTCAAGCTGGGCAAGGGTGGATATGTGAATTTGCAAGATGCGGTGAGTTTTGGACGTGCCAGTAGTCTTATCGTTTGAATGCATGTCCAAAGTGTGGAAAGAGCGAGGTGTTGAATCGATGAAGCAAAGACGCATACTGGAATATATATATTTCCGGGAGAAAACAAGACTAACAACCCCCCCCCCCCAGCTCAACACCAAGGCCCTCCAAAGCCTCAACATCACTTTATCGGAAATCCGCGACATGGTCGCAAACAACGACAAACAGCGGTACTCGCTGATTCCAGCATCCGCACTGGACAAAGAAGCCTCGTCGGAATCACCACTGCTGCAAGACATGGCGGAATCCGACAATCCAGCAGACTACCTGATCCGCGCCAACCAAGGCCACTCAATCAAAGTCGACAACGAAGGCCTGCTCGTGCCCATCACCGCCGAAGCAGCAAACGTCCCTGACACGGTTGTTCACGGCACTGACGAACGCGCGTGGAACCTGATTCTCAAAGGCGGCGGCCTGCGCCGCATGGGACGCAACCATATCCATTTTGCAGCTGGACTACCCGCTGGATTCAAGGCGCTCGACGCCAGCTCCGCTGCCGAGACAGAAGCCGCTGCTCCCGTTATTTCGGGCATGCGAAAGTCGTCGTCGATTCTGATCTATGTTGATATCCATGCTGCGCTTGCTGCGGGAATCAAGTTTTTCCTCTCGGAGAACGGTGTTATTCTGACAGAGGGTGATGACAAGGGGTGTCTGTCGTATGAGTTCTTCAAGCGGGTCGAGAGCAGGAAGAAGGATGGTGGCGTCTTGATGAGCGATGGCAAGTTGCCTGAAGGCGTGGCTGTTGATGTTGAGGGGTGGGAGAGGGAAATCGGGGATTCGCAAAAAGGCAGAAGGGGCGGACGGGGCGGTGGAAGAGGAGGTCGTGGTGGTCGTGGTCGTGGTGGTGGCAGGGGAAGAGGCGGGAAGCCAGAAGCAGTGGATAACTCCAAGGACGTCGCGGCTGAAGCATGAGTTACACTCCCACAACACCATCAGCATCACCAGCATCATCATCACAAAGATCCAAAAAAGACACACAAAGTTCATGAAACTGTCTCGTATTTGATTCATGATGATGTCCCTCCTGATAGCGAGATTAGACAATAGGAAATAGGTATCTAGCAGTTTTGTTCGGCTCTCCATCTAACATGAACATAGGAAAAAAAGATCAATTTGCACATGATGCAAAGGAAGGAAGGAAGGTGTTTGGTCTAAGATTGACACAAGAAGAAGATGTGAGAAAGTGAGAAAGTGAGAAAGTGAGAAAGAAAAAAAGAAAAGGAGAAAAAGAAAAGTACATTGTTGTACAACTTGATGTATAAGAAGTAAAGTGTGTGTGGGGAAAAAAAGGGGGGAGGGTGGTTTGGAAGAAGTGAAAAAAAGAGAGAAAAGGGAAAAGGAAAATCAGACGTCCAAGGTTCGCTGCGAGGACCCCATGTTGTGGCCTTGCACACCGGGACTCAGTCTGTTGGTATCCACATGTGTCGTCGTCGTGGCACCACCGCCATGCGCCGCCGTATCAAAGTAATCTCTGGCGACGACGCCCTCCTGCCTGAGCAACTGGGTGGTGGGACTAGACTGGTTGATGGCTCCAAACGTCATTTGCTGCGGGCCAGGCGTATGCAGGCCTTCGCCGTGCTCGGTAACCACATGGTACGAGTTGCGGCGCTCATCGACGATATCAACGCCATCTGTTTCGACTTCCTCGATGCTGGGGCGGCCGCCGACAGTGCGCACGGTAACGCGGCGGCCGAGGCCACAGCCAGGCGACTGCTGTTCCTCCTCGAGACGGATGACGACCTCGACGGCCTTTTCGTCCTCAATGACCTTGGGGTGACGCTTGGCAAAGTAGCGGGCGTATTTGTACAGCGACCAGTAGCAGCTGGCGACGTTGACAAAGGTCAGGACAATCTTGTAGGGAAGGTAGTAGACGTAGAGAAGAACCCAGCCAACACGCTCGTTCTTGCGGCGCAGATGCACTTCGTTAAAGATGATGACGTTGATCGCGTACATGACAATGGTGGCGGCGAGCAGGTAGCCGCAGAACGAGGGGCGGACGTAGAAGGAGATGGGCAGGATAAAGGGCGTGAGGAGGTAGAGGAGCGTTTCGTAGACCTATTTTCAATATTTGTTAGCACATTGCGATCATGGGGACAGAGACAGAAAAGGCGTACCTCTTGGAAGACGAAAATCTTTGCTCCAATCTCCCACCAGCCCAGCTTCCAGCTACCGAGGATGTAGGCCATGTTGTAGTACATGCCGTTTACGAAGAAGAAGTTCCAGCGCTTGAAGCGTTGGGAGAAGATGGTCATTTCGCCGAAGCCGCCGCGCGAGCCGCCGCTGGAGAAGAAGACGGCAGTGGGAGTTTCCGTCTCGACAAAGACCTGCGAGCACATTTTGATGCGCGACCCAAGCTTGCGGGCGACGTGGCCAAAGAACCAGTCCTCGGAGACACTGAAGCCGGGGTGTTCGTGGAATGTCTTGATGAGGAGTTCGCGGTCCCACAGGGAGATGGCGCCGTGGGGGAACGTCGCAGAGCCAACCTTGCCGGCGAATTCACGCTGGATACCGCTGAGCTTGTACTCGAGATCCTGGGCCTGTTGGCAGAGGTTTCCCTTTGATGAGTTGGGTCCGACGGACTTGATCGTGTATCCAATGCACTTGGTCATGCCTGTCATGCGTTCAGTAACCACGGGAAAGTTGTCGGGAAGAGCGCAGTCATCGTCGATGAGAAGGACGTTCTTGAAGCCCTTGGCAGCGTAGCAACCGACGAACTGGGCGACAATCTTGGATCCGATAGGCGACCAGATGTGGTGCACCCCGTATGGCCGGCAGACTTCCTCCGTGTTGTCCAGTGGCGTCTCACTGTTGCCGTTGGCAATGACAAAGATGTGAGATGGTGGGAAGATCTTCAGAGCGGCTTCGAGCGTGTTGGCGATGAGGCCAGCTGACTTGTAGCAAGGGATCATGAGGCAAGTGTCCGAGACATTGGACTGGATCTTGGTCTCGGTGGTGAAATCGGCGGGAGGAGGATCCTTTTCGAAGAGGATCAATAGAGGCGCAAAAGCGTAGCTGTGACCGGGTCAGTACAAGTACAGACACTACTCGAGTGTTCAACTTACAATAGCGCAATGCCCAGCGTAATACCAAACCCACCAGGAAGGACAAACTTGGTTTGTACCACCCAGTACATCCACCATACGGCACCTTTCCACAGCGGAACACCGATGAGCACAAAGTAGATGAAGAGAACCATGATGAGATAGAGCGTGTACTCGAAAGCGATCTGCACCCACTTCTTGCGCTGGATCTCAATACCCTTCTGCTTGGCCTTTTCGTAGGTTCCAAACAGCTCGCTTCGTTGGAAGTAGGACGCGTTAGTCTTCCGTCGTTGCAGAGAGTCTGGGATGATGCCATCAACCACCGACTGCAAGGTGCCCTTTCGTGGCCGTTGACGCGCAGGTTCAGGCTCTCGGGGTGGCAGCTCGGCTGATGTTCGAGGCGAGTTGTTTTCTGTTGCAAACGGGTTGCTCTTGACTGAGTTGGGTCTGGATGCAAATGGGTTTTCGTTGGAGTATTTGGTTGAACAGCTGGGGCTACGTCCAAGAAAGTTGGGTGACGGGGCCCGGCTCTGTCTGGGGGTATCGATGACATCGGGGGTGCCTGGTGTGAATGAGAGTCTTCGGTTGAGTGCTGGGTCCTCTTCAGCAGGTGAGGGTAGTGCTGCACTGAATTGTGAGTTTCTGTTGCCAGCGTTGCTGAACCAGGATATCCGGTAGCTTCTCCTTCGCTCGCCAGTGGTGTTTGATCTCTCAATATTGACAGAGCGTTGGGTGTCGTATCGTCGAACGCCCGAGTTTTGAGTGCCGTTGCGTCGTATGCTTCCTATCCGCTCCGAGTCGAGGAAGGGATTTTCTGACTGAGGGGCCCATGCCCCGTTGTGAGATCGATCTCGCCTTGATCCAAGAGCGCCAGTGGAACGAAGGAGATGAGCAGGAACTGCAACATCTTGTCCTTGGCCAGGGATGATTTCACTGGATCGACGACCCGGCCCAGTAGGGTCGGACGGATAGCCAGACGGAGAGGCCATGGCAATAGGGTGGTATTGAATGGACTGAACAATTTCAAACTCTGAGAGTACTTCTCTACTGGAGGAGGTGTTCAAGGTTGTATAGCCCGTTGGTACCGGGGGAGAGGGCTATGCCCCAGGTCTTGTACTCTTCTATTTCTGGTCGGGTAGCCGGACACTCTCATGGCGCGACTAGGGCCCAAAATCTGAAATGCTTGCAAAAGACCCACATGTGGTGAAGTAGGCAGACCCCCGCGTCGATCGATACGGAGAAACTCGTGCATCTTTGGAATTTGTTGACTTGTGCGCCACTGATCAAGCCTGCTCTGACGTTCATGGCCAAGCCTGGACCAACCGAGAACCCACGTCGGTCGGTCGTGACCATGTCGAGTTAGTTCCCGCTCCATCCCAGCTAGAGGTGAGGTTTGTGTGCAATGACCTGGGCCCGTTTGGGCGACGGCGGCGAAGCTATTGGAATCGCTGGCTGGCGCTGACGGCGCGTCATGACTGCGAATGCAGATGCAGAGGCAGGAGCAGTTCAAAGTCTACTTGTCCCGCAACGTATATTATGCAACCGATATGATTACTCCAGTACCACGCACGAATTGCACAGGGTGCCGCCTGCAATTCCGCTAGGCATTCCAATATAATCGTGCATGCTTACGGTACCCAAACAGATGAAACATGGGCAATGAATCTGGTAGATCGACAGGAGACCATGTCCCAGTCTAAGCCAGGTCCATGGAGACAGTGACCAGGGGGTGGCTAACGGGAAAAGTCATGGTCGGTCTCTTAGTGTTTGCAAGAGCCGTCGACCACATAGCCGCACCTCGCGCCTGGAACACGGCCACATGGCCCTGAGGTCGCCCGCGAACTACAGGTAAACTACTATAGTCAGAACCGCACAAAGAGAAGTCGCGGACGCTGAGTCAGGGCGGGCTTGGCAGTGTTCCAGCGATGATGGTGGCGCGGAACGGCGCAGTATTGCAGTGCGTTCAGGGTGAATCGCGATGGCAAGTGAAGCCGTGATGCGTAGGCCGACGAGCCCGTGCAAGAGGCTGATTGAGCATAGCGTCTGAAAATATTTTCCTGCATGTCCTTGGACTACACTCGGGATATGAGGGCACGGTAGGCTCCGGCAGCGACACGTGGGTCCTTTTGTTCCGATGCAGGTGGTGGCACTGGTGCCGGTGTCGGTGCAGGTGTCGGTGCAGGCTCTGACCGGGCTGTGGTAGGCGGTACGCTGGGGATATATCGTGGCGTCGCATGGCCAAGGGCGCCGCCCCGTGGATGGTGTGGCAGGACACGAGAGAGCGGGCGGGCGAGGGCGGTGGAAGCTGGAAGGGCGAGGGCGAGGGCGAGGCAGAGCTGAGGTCGAAATTACGCAATGTCCAGCCGACTTGTGCGCCTGCGGTGCCACGCTCACTTGGCCTTGTCCCCTTTCTTTTTTTGGTGGGCGCTACCGGTGTAGCGCCCTGCGCCGGCGACGTGCCGTACCATGGAATGCCCTCGCGCCTAAGCCCGGTTACAGGTTGACACTGGACAGCCGCCAAAACAAAGTTGCTCCTGCATACCTGCTGTCTGCTATATCTGCTGCTTACACGGCCCGCGCGGGCAGTGCTGGCTGCGAGCAGGCGACACGGCGTGCTCACGAGAGGAACAGCGAAGCGTCGCCAGAACGCCGTTCCCGCCCGGCCCGCGCGTGGCGGCCGCAACAAGGCGCTTCCCCTTCTGCTTCAAGGCTGCTTACGTCAGACCCGCTGTAACGTGGGTGCTTGCTTGGGCTGGGCGTTTGAGAAGCCATCGCAACTATAGCCGTCGTTCCCCCCTTCATCATCCTGCCCAGTAATTAGCCCTCGAGATGAGCGCCGCCGCCGCCTCCGCCTACGCCTCACAGTACCCGCCCTCGGTAGCCTTCGATGCCGCCTACAGCAACTTTTTCGAGCGTTTCTACGCCACGTCGGACACGCCTGACGCCCACGAAACCTACGTCAACTTCTTCACCGAGGATGCCACGCTAATCATGGCCTCCAGCAAGGCTGTGGGCCGACAAGGTTCGTCGTCGTACGGATTGCTTTTCCCCTCCCGTCCCAGGAGCCTATTTGCCCTCGCCCCTTCGAGCCCCCCGAAACTCTAATGCTTAGGTGCGCATCGGGCTAATACTGCGACGCAGCAATCCTAGCCCTGCGGACGGCCATGTGGGAAAAGGTCGAGAGCAGAGCGCACGCTCCACTCAAGATATTTCCCTTCGGCCCAGACGCAAGCGAGGTCATGTTGTATGGTTCGGTCAGGTATGGGCTGAAGGCCGGGGGGGAGTCATGCAAGGACTGGGCCGCCAGGGCTCACCTTGTCAAAGATGGCCATGGAAAAGTCATGATGGACTTTTACCAAGTTTATCTGGTGCGACGCTCTGTCAGCCCGGATTCGCATAGCTGGTTTGAGGCTAACGAGTGGATTAGGACACTGCCACTGCAGCATAGGAGTGCGAGTGCGAGTAGGCCGGCCTGACTGTTGATCTCATGTAAATCTTTAGGCCGATTCGGATGCCGTCGACGTAGAGAGTAACATCCGATGTACCACTATGTCGTGTCCATATGCTACTGTACATGCTAGCTACCATGAGATTCCCGAATGAAGCGGGTACAGGGCATACTCCGGCTCCAGACATGAGGCTGCAGAGAAGACCATGCTCCATGTGCTCAACCTGACTGGCTGATGCTCTGCAGTACGCCAGCGACAGGTACATTGACGTGCTTGGTTGTTGCTGTTCGGTCTTCGGCTAGCTCGGCTCGTTTTGGCATCATTTAGCCTGCTGATATTGGAGCAAATAAAGGCTGACCCCGCCGGCCGGAATCCGGATGCATATGCATCAGCACCTCCCCACAGGTAATCCCCCAAAAAATCCTTCGGTCGGTAAATATGGAGCTTTCTGATGCGGCCTCGCTTGTGCTGCAACGACTACAACTGGAGTCATTTGAGTTTGTGCCGAGTCATCTCCGCTAACAACAACGTCGGCCATCGGTGACTCCAGCTTCGCCAGATGCTAGGTGTACTGATTCCTTTTTCAGCCCGAAAATTCCAGAACGCTGGGCATTGTTTCGTTTGGCTTCAACCCCGAGCGTGAGCATCACGCTGCTCAGCCGCTCAACGCTAAGCCATGGCCCGCGGAGAATTGCCAGCGGGGGACGGAGCTGACCAAGCGGCACTACCACGCTCTCCCCGACTCAAGCTCGTATTGGCCGCATGCATGCATCCTGCCGTGTCCTACTAGGTGTACACTGGTCCCCGTTCTCGCATTGGAAGTTGTTAGTCTGCCGTGGAGACATAGTGACGTTGTGCATTGCATCACAGCCCACACATGCTATGTTTGGAGGCAGAGGTACTAAGTTTGGCACTCTTGTTTTGCCACGACATGTTCTGCTCTGCAACCAACGACCGAGGTGCTGGAAACGCAAACCAACCCCAAGGATGCTATGATCGACGGGATTCCTGCCATCCGGGGCCCGGATCTTCCTGTGATTCGACGTGGATCCAATCCGCAGCCGCCATCGAGGCATGCACTGCGCCGCCTCGCGACTCACCACCAAATTATTGCCCTCAGTACACGTTGCGTGATCCCTTAATTCATCTAGACCCTGGAGCCAAAAGCCATCTAGGCCCCAGGGTGAAAAGCAATATATTTTGAATGAATGAAATACCTTTAGGCTGCCCTGCGACAGCGTTTCAGAATCTGTCAGCATATGGTAACTTGGGTCGCTAAATCCACGTGGCGGCTTGGCGCCTTGGCAGGGCGGTTCCTGGCGGAAGCCCGCACTCAAAAGTCCCGCGTTGAGCCCTGGGTGTCTTAGGCTTGTTGAGTCTTGTTCACGTTTAATTACCCTCATTTAACAACCACTCTAAAGTCCAAGCCAAGACCTACGCGCTATATAACACATTTTAACCCCAATAGCTGCTGGGAAGCTGAACGTTCCGCGCAACCAGCACGTGAAGTAGTCGTCGCGCTAGCTGATTCAAGAAACAATCTATTCCACTTCTGCTTTAGCAAATCACGTGAGGCGCCATGCGTCTACCACTTCTGCAAGGGCTGTCCACAATGACAGGAAAAAACGCCCTGGGCGATACAGCCACGCTGACGGCTACAACAGCTGAGAAAATAGCTCCCGCAACTTTCAAACTTTCCATCAGCAGGCATTGATTGCCCGGCTAGCTCAATCGGTAGAGCGTGAGACTCTTAGCTTTCACGTCCTAAACAGACTCGATTGGTTATCTCAAGGTTGTGGGTTCGACCCCCACGTCGGGCTTTGAGGAGTTCTGCTTTTTTGCTTCTGAGGTGCTGTTGATCATGAAATGGCATTGGAGGCGTGTATTTTTTGGTCTGCTGCGGTAACTTCTCTTATTTCGCCCTCTAATCGAGCTTTTTAGCTATTGGAAGTACCTTGACAGTCGATAAAGTCAATTATATTAACGGCTGATTTTAGTTGCCGGTCTGGAACCGTTTCACCGTCACGTGATCTTTCCCCGACCCCCACTAAAAATACCCGACCATTAGTACATGAAAAAGGCTTGCGTTGGTGCAGTAAATATCATGTAATATTCTATGTACTATGTTATGAAAGCTAGTGGCAGTAGGTCAACATCACTTATAAACAAATCAACGTCTTATTTAGGATGCCAGGGGTGTAGGCCATAGTCAGGGCAAAGGTAGTATAATAGCTATTATAGTATAGATAAGTATTAGCCTAATTTAGAAAGTTTATATATAGCGTTATCCTTTAGAGTATGCATAGAGCATAATAGCTCTACTTTTTTTATAGCTATGATGATATTTATATAGTAATTTCAAGTCAAAATTGAGTTTTAAAGAATATAAAGTTTCTTTTTATCCAAGTTTTAGGCTATATAGGCTAGTAAGTAAGTAATAAGATTATTTGATTGTTTTATTAATCTAGATAAGGAAGTATCAAATGGCCAGAGACACCATAACAAAAGACTCTGTGATTTTACTCCAGCCCACGATGTGCGGGTACGTTCAAGGAGTGGAGAGCAGACTGCCAGAACGAAAGCAGCAGAGTACACGGTGAGGAGATCCAGTCGAAGCACTCATTCTTTCAGTCCGTCGTATTTCAAACTCGACTGCTCTTGACCAGCGAGGATACTATGTACATCGTCCAAGTGGGAGAACAGGAGATACCATGTATACTGAAAAGCTAGTTGAACACACCATCAATCTATCTCTTCCGAATCAATAACATCGCCATAACCACCACAGCCATCGTCGTAGTCTTCCTTCTCGTCTTCATAATCCTTCCCCTTATCACGCCATTCACACTCCCCCGGCCTCCAAACAAGTCGAGTTATCCTTGTCGCCGGCCAACCCCAGAACCACCAGCGTACTCCCCGCGAGAATCTTATTCGGATCCGCAATCTCATTCGCCCGAGCTAAATCGCAGACGCCGACGCCATTCGCCGCTGCAATCTTCTCGAGCGTGTCGCCTGGGGCGATGGTGACGGTTTTTTGGGGTGAGGTACTACTACTGCTGTCGTCGGATGGTGCTGCAGGTGCTGGTGGCGGAGAGGCTGTAGGACTGGCAACAGGTGATGGTGCCAGGGTTGTTGTTGTTGCTGGTGGTAGTGAAGAGGGAGCTGGAGATACAGATTCGATTGATGTGGGCATGGCATCAGGTGCGGTGGTGTCTGCTGGACAGCGACGATAAATGGAATGTGGATTTGCGGCAATGGCGGCAGCTGCGGCTGTGGTCGCCAGCAGCATCGAAGTGCAAAGTGACAAAAGCTTCATGGTGAGGTTATACTCGGTGCTGGTAAGCTTGTTTTGGTGGTACTTGTTGCGCTTTGTGGTATTAGAGATACTGGAGAAAGCTAGAGGCATTTGTAGCATCTTATAGTGAGTATGCTTGTGAATAACCGCAGTGCACTGGTTGCATTTCTAGGTCTTGTTTCCTTGAACGGTAGGATCGTGAAGAGTTCAAGGGAGTGATGTTGAAACTTGTTGATCGGACAAAGCAAAATGGCTTTGAGGCCTACCTTCAAGGACAATGTCACATATGACGCATTCATTGTCGATGTCTTTTTTTTCTCTTTTTGTATTACTGTTCAGTTTGGATTGATGGCCGAAGCATCGGATTTTACAATGAGGGAATATTAGTCGCCTTGCACAGAATAAGTGGGTATTCGTTGACACAGTGAATGCTTGGAAAGAGCAAGAGTCCCAGCAGACACAATAACTGTCGGGATATATATACTCTACCTTCTGCATGGTGCAGAAGGTTGACCTTTTTGCACCACAATAACTAATTCAAAGAGTGGAGTATATTGGTGACTGCTGCAGGAGGTGGCGCACAATTACACACCTTGTCATCACAGCTCAGTGTTTATAATGATATGGTTCCAGTGAAGTCGAACATTTGTAGAAGCTGCCAAACTTGAAGATTACTCAACTATTCGGGGCTCTGATCTATCATGCAATTGGTTTCAGTTCGTACAGCGGTATTAGACTTTGACCTAGTAACATACCTTCTTATTGAAGGTAGTCTTATATCCTCATCAGGGACTCATGACGTATTTCTGACAAGAAAGCATATATATATATGCGTAGGTACTGGAAAGAACTGGCATGAGCTCAACGCCAAACCAGTCCTTTAAGAAAATATCAGTGTACGAGATGCATAGTTGGGCGCCCTCACTACCTTAAACCGACGTTTTCTCTCTCTCTCTCTCTCAAGTTCGCCTCTTCCTCCTTGATTTCTACAAAGTGAGATACCGTGAGCTATGGGTCCTGATGGGGTCCAAAACAACATCCAACGTACTCTAGCCGAACTATCGAAACGAAAGCGCAGCTGCACAAAAAAAAAGGGCACCAAAAAAAATGCGTATGTACATACACTTGGTCATGAAAGCTACAGTGAAAACAGCGCCAGCATCAGCATCAGCACTAGAGTCAGCTAGTCGGTGAACCTAAACCTAAATCTAAAACGCAAGCCTGGACCTGAATCTGAGCCTGAATCTGAGCCTGAATCTGAGGCACCGAGTCAGAACCACCCACCACTAACCACCACCACCACCACAAGACTAGGAACAGGAAGAGGCCCTAAAAAAAGCCATCTATTCGCCTACTTCTCCGCCCCCAACGTATCACAGGAAGCCATTTATTCCTCTTTAGCACCTCGTTCTGTCTTTTTCACAGACATATATCTATCAACCATGTACTATTTAGTCAAACAGATTCTCTCTTTCCGGTTCCATTGATTAGCAAAAACCTGGATTATGATATCTAGCCCTTTTATTTGTGAGTCTGGCGGGTGATAGGAGCCTGTTTAGCATTGTGAATGTATTGTTAAGAAGTGATGCTCAAGTTCGATTCAGGTAAAAAAAAAGATAAAATTATACGCTTCTAGTCGCTCTCGAGGTTGTTAGGGTTTTTGGTGGGATACTAGGTTTTAATGCCAACTACTTCCTCACTCATCTAGGAGAAAGGGAAAAGATGGGGGAAATTGAACCAGTCCTGGAATTATAAGATGGTAGCTGGAATGGGAAGAGTCAAAAGGAACTGGATCCAAGACTTCAATTCCCTTCTCCCGCCATGGCGTGTGGACTAGATGTCAAACCACAGTAAGAAAAAAACACCACAATGCACACAAATGAGTGATTCACAAGTCGGCCAGTTCATTCAACGACTCAATCTACTGTATCAGCTTCACATACACCTCACCTCTCACATACCCTCAACTCCTCGCTAAACTCACACCTCCATATGTCACAAGTCTAATATACACAGCCTCTCTACTTAAATCTCCTTTGTCAAGTCGTAAATCTTCTGGATCTCCTTGAGCTGATTTTCGTGGTCAAACTTGAGGTCCTTGAGTAGGCCGTCTTGGAAGCCAAAGACCCAGCCATGGACAACAGGGAACTCATTCTCTGCCCAGCACTGCTGTACAGCCGCCGTCTTGATGACGTTCCTGCACTGCTCGTACACATTCAGCTCGACGAGCTTGTTGTACTTGTCATCCTCGGTACCACCATTGGCAATGACATCATCAAGCTCCTTTTGGTGCAGCCTGTAGACATCGCGGATGTTTCGTAGCCACGGGTTCAAGAGGCCCATGTCCTTGGGGGTCATGGCAGCCTTGACACCGCCGCAGCCGTAGTGTCCGCAGACGACAATGTGCTTGACCTTGAGGTGGCGGACGGCGTAGTTGACGACCGACATGACGTTGAGGTCAATGTTGCAGACAAGGTTGGCAATGTTGCGGTGGATGAACATCTCGCCGGGCTCGAGACCGGTAATGGCTTCGGCCGGGATGCGCGAGTCGGAGCAGCCTGTAGAGTGACTGGTCAGTGACTGTTTGTTCCATGGTTGCAATCGCAAGTTCTAAAGGCTGAGGCTGATGACTGTAATCATTGGAACAGCGAGTGATGACCCCGCCAGCTGGGAGCAGGAAGTTGACTCACCAATCCAGAGATATTCAGGTGCCTGGCCGGCACTCAAGTGGTCGAAGAAAGCTGGGTTCTTCTTCTTCATCTCGTCGGCCCACTTCTTGTTGTTCTCAAAGATGCGGTCATGGCTCTGCTGGAGGTACTTGCGAACCTCGTGGGTTCCCTCTGTTCCAGTCATGGTTGGCCAGGAATACTGTCGTTTGGTCTGGAGCGGCTGCGCGGTAGATGGATGGAGGTTAGGAATGGAGTGGCCAGTATGGCAGGATCGCGCAGAAGCCCGGGTGAGCAGTGAGGAAAAGGGCTGGGAGGGCGAGGCAAAGGTCGAGCTTGATAAGGGTCGCGCTGAGGAGAAAAGCTGCCCCGCTGCAACTAGCTCTCGGAGGGCGTGGGGTAACCGGTGCGGCATGGCAGGAACCCAAGACGGACAGCAAAGCAAAATCGCCAACCCTTGTACGACTTATGCCGGCAGACTCGGTGCATAGAGAGGGGAGACGCGCAAAACAAAGAAGGCTGTCGATTTATTTTTCCAATTGATGCGCGCCGATTGGGCGCTCTGACGCGGGCGGATTGGTGCAGCGGTCCAAGGCGTTCTCGGTAGTACCTGGTTGTAGATCGGTGGAGGCATCTAGCGTCGCGATCGTATCCCAAACACCAGGACCAGAAGAACAAGGCCGAGTCATTCGCACCCGTGCAACGCGTCCGGATTCTGCATCCAACACATCCAACCTCGGCATATGCAGCGAAAAATGCCTCTGAATGACTCCCAGCGCCGCGTTATACTGGAACATGCCGATCGTCTACTAAGCACGAGAGCTTGGCCCAAGACGATCTGTCCCTCGGAGATCGCGCGCGCCTTTTCCACCGCCGAGTTGGAAGTATTGGATGCATCGTCGTGGAGGGAAACCATGGACAGCATCCGGCAGCTTCTGTGGGACAAAAGAGCATCCGGCGAGGTTGAAGTCATGCAAAAGGGCCAAGTCGTGGTCGCAGAGAGCTTGGAAGACATCAGAGGGCCGATCCGAGTGAGGATGGTGAAGGCAGAAGGCGCGTGAGTCAGACGGTAGTGATATTCAAGCTTGACAGAAAATTTACGCCGAATCTGCTGCCCCAGGGCAACAGCTAACGCCAAATGCCGACTCCCTGTGCATTGCCAACCCACCGACTCCGCTAAAGTCGAATAACTCCGGTAAAGTCCAATCCATGCCCATGCTTCTCATTTCGCAGGATGGCTCGCCCCACTAACATCCAGTCCCTGCCATTTCTCATCCCAACCCGTCTTTGGGTCGGTTGCGTTGCCCGCTTTGCCCTCCTCGGCCAGATTCTTGATGTCGCTCCAATACTCCAGCTTCTTGCACTCGTTGTCGGCTGCCTCGACGGCTTTGAGCAGGTTGTTGATTCGCCGTTCCTCAGCTTCACCCTCGGGCTGGCCGTTCTTCTCATGTTCTTCGCGGTGCTCTTTTGCCGTGTCGAAACGGTCCATTAGCGTCGAGAGGAGTTGACGGCGTGAGTTTTGGAAAATGAGCATAGACATGATTGCGGGTATCTGCGTACGTTAGCTGATGTTGGAAGCTTGCATACGCGGTGAATGCATACCTGCTCTGCGAGATAGTACAGCTCCTCACCCCCATCATTGATAAAGCTGTGTATGTAAACAATCTTCTCGCGGTCGATTGCCGCCGCCTTGAGCTTCTTCATCAATGTCGGAATGTCCCGAATCTCCTCGTCCAAGCTTGGCTGAGAGCTGTCCAGCAGGCCGCTGCCGGTGCCAAACGTAGATCTAGCCAGGGTCGTGCCGATGCTGAATGTGTCGCCAAACATTCGCTCCTTTGCGTTGGCCTTTGTTTTGGGTGGCAGTCTCTGCTTGACTCGTCTACGCAGCCAGCGCCGTCGGCGGACAAAGCTGTGAAACCACGGATGGTTGCCATGCCAGGCCGAGCGCTTGAACAGGATGTTGTATTGCCACCCCTCCTCGTCGACATCCAAGCTCATGTCGACGTACCAAGTTTTCCAGTCCCACACCCAGCTCGGGTCTGGCACCTGGGCGTTTGTGATGTTGACAGCCGATGGCCTGAACTTGGCATCCTGCCAGGGCGCCGGGTCAAGCCTCAGGTTCCATAGCGCTTTGGACGAGAAGAGGGGTATGCCGAAAACGAACCATCCGCGCTGGTTCTCGTAGAGGATGTCGATGTGCGAGTTTGCGTCGGCAGGCTGCTGCTCGGGTTGGGTTGCGGTGGTCGAGGGCGTGTCTGCGCCATTCGTGTGGTCGACGAGGCTTATTGGCTGCTCAGCCATAGTGTGCAGCGTAGCGTGTGCGGAGAGGAAGCAGGAGGCAAACGCCGTTGCTATCGTCGAGACATGAGGCCGACGGGGTCAGGCAGGCGCGGTATGCTGCGTCTGGGGTGCTGCGATGGGCGTATCAGGGGGAGTCGCCAGCGGGACGGTGCACGTCAAAATGATACTAGGCACAGCACGACCAAAATGCAAGCCACGCTAGAGCCAACGCGAGGCTACATGCAAGCTCTAGTAGGTTTAGCAAAAGCAACAAGGCAGAGCGAGCGAGTGTGAGGGGCGTGGGTGCGTCTCGGCTATCATGGCCATGATGCCAATGCTGTCGTCGAGGCAGCCGGCTAGCTAGGCGTCGTTTGGCGATCCAGTTCGCACGCGTAGTTGGATCGTGCAGCTGCGCAGGAATTACGTCACACCAGGCTGCCTTGAATGTCTTCCCCTCTCTCACACCACCTCGATTTCTCGTCATTTTCAAAATCAAAGTCGTTCAGCTTCCTCTTTTTTGAGCCAGATCCAACAAATTACCCAAGAGTAACGCCTGCAACCATGTCTCGCCGATTCATGACCTACGGTGGTATTGCTGCTGTTGGTGGAGCCACCTACTATCTCTACAGCGCCGGAGGTGACCCCAAGCTCGCGGAGAAGAAGATTGAGCGTACGTAGCCATGATTCGCTTTGGAGAGGATAGGCTGACAGACGTACAGACGATGCTGCCACTGCTGCGCGAAGGCTAAGAGGCGACTACCCTGGCCAGGACAAAGAAGCCAAGAAGGCCGCTGAAGAGAGCTACGAGGCAGTACGCGCCAGCGCACAGCGATATGTATGTTCGAAATAAGCTCGACGTAGTCGCGACACGATGCTGACTGTCAGCAGGCCGAGCAAGCCAAGGCCGAAGCAGGCAAACTTGAAGAGAAGCTTGATGCCTACGGCGCCGATGCAAAGAAACAGTATGAGCAGGCCAAGGCACGGGCTGAACAAGAGCTGCACCAAGCCGGCAAGCAGGTCAATGCTGCAGCGAACAAGTTTGATGCTGCCGTCGAGGACAAGGCTGCAAAGGCATCGGGCTGGTTTGGCGGATGGTTTGGCGGAAGCAAGTAAGGCAAGTAAGCAAGGATACATATGGGCTGTTAATGTATAGATATTATGACAGGACTGAGCGGAAGCGTTCTCCTGAGAGTATGCATGCGCATTGGAGTACCTGGGTGTCAGTCTTTTCGTCGTAATGTAATACCATAGCATAGCATGATAGTCAGAGACTGTTGCCTGCTCTCCAATTGGTCTAGACACGTCGTGGAGTACCAGGCTCGCGTATCCCTGACAGCCGTTCCCGCGGGAGAAGAACCCATGTTGCATTCTGCATCAATTTCATCATCCCGCTGATGTTGAAAACTGAATGGTCAAGGCATGGCGATGGCGTGGGGCAACGGCTCGTTCGGGTTTCAAATGAGTGGGGCGGCACGCGACGCGAACGCGTAGGCGCAAGCCCAAGGCGCGTCGAGCGTGTCACTCATTACCTTCCCTCTTTTGCACCGCCCCCCTCGTCTCATAAACCACACTCCACGCTCCTTTGCCCCCCCAACCCGACATCTGCACAGCATATTCCTTATCCACATTCCATTGCTGTATCCTTTTCCACGCCCATCGCCAAACATGTCGCCCATTGCTCCCGGCCAGCTCCCGGCCGAGCTTGTCAACCTGCTCGCGCTCCACTCGTCCTTCCTGACTGCTCTCTCGCTACATTACGCACACAACGGCACTTCTACACCAGCAGACCTCCAAGACTTGACAAAATCCACTACTCTGGTTTGGCGCCAACGCAAGGTCACATACGATGACATCCGGCTGCTCATTGGCATCCTCGACCAGGGCCCTTCCGGCTCCAGCAATCCTTACTACCTCTCCGACTATGGCCGCGGCAAGATCTGCATCGAGATCAAAGACAACAGCCCCATGATGAACGGAATGACACACATGAACGAGCAAGGACTACAGGATTTGTTCAAGGAGGGCCTCGATACGTTGTGGTCGCAATGGTGTGCGTCCCAGAAGATGTCGACTCGACCTATTGCGGTACCCAAACGCGGACGGGGACGCCCAAAGAAGACCGATGTCAAGCAAGTCGCCATGGAGACTTTTCTCGATGACGCCTCCATCTCAAAATTCCTCAGCCAGCTTCCTCTGGCCGAGATCACCACATGTGAATCCCTTACCGCACTCGCACCCTCACAAGAAAAGGGACGCAAGAGGTTGAGGGAATTCAAGGAGAGCGTGCAGCAGGGACGTGCGCAAAAGAAGACAAGACCAGCAACAGGAAAAGAAAATGAGCCGGCCATGGGCCAGGGCCAACAGACTCAACCCGCACAAGCCAAGATCACCGAATTCGCTGCCGTTCGCAAAACCAATCTTCTCGATCGCATCCTCGCCAAGCAAGAGGCTGCAAAAGCTGGACCTGCTGCCCCAACGCCTGCTGAACTTCAACGGAGAGCAGCACTGCAACGTACCCCGGAAGTTCTTGGTGTTCTTTCCCTTCTCTGTGCGAGCAAGCCGGGATCCCGCGTTTCTTTCTCCACCACAGCTCTTCTACAGGCCCTGCAAGGCTCCATCCGAACTCCCATCTCAAAAGACGAGGCAATGAAGTGTGTCGAAGTGCTGGCACATGAGGTTGCACCGGGATATGTTTCCCTGGTCAATATGGGTGCCATGTCTAGCGTAGTCATCAATCAGATGATGCGGCCGACAGACATCAAGAGCAGGCTTACGGCGCTGGGCGCATAATTTCTATCTGTTTTTTCTATCCACTTATTTTTGTATAATAGCTGACTCACATCGCTGGCGAGCGGGGCTTTGAGCGTTTCTCAGTATTACCCTTTTTATTAGCAGTTGTTTTTGAGCGAAACTGCCACATAGCATTACGTAGCATCAGAACGGGCGTTCGCCTGTAATTCATGTATCGAATATGATTAATACCCAATCGCATTTAAATATTGCTACTGTGAGGCTGATGAAGATGCCGCTTGATCCTCGACCAGACGAAATCACTGAAATCCCCGATCGCAGCGAGCCAGCACAAGTCACCCTCGCCGCGTTCGATTCAAACGACACCGTAGCTACTACTAGAACCTTTTTTGGGGCCCGTACCATCTCTGCCGCCACTATGCTATCTCAAATTCGGTTGCGGCGACCGAGAGCTGCGGCTGCGAACCATGGTGGCAGGAGAACCGAAGTTGTCAGTGTCAGTGTCAGGAGACGTTTACGTACTACGCTTCCTTGTACACATGACGCAACTTTGCTCAAGTACGAATGACAGATAGACGCCAAGTCAGACCACAACACATGTACATGGCTCACTTAGTACAGTTTCCAATAACATCTCCCCCACAGATTTGAGCATGGCCAGACATCATTCGACAATGCACATAGGGCTAATTAGCCATGGGCTGTGTGATATTACTTGCTCCGGGTCTTTCCATCATTTGTCGATGCGGGCGAAGTCTGACGGTTTCAGTTATTCCCATTTTCCTGTGATGCACATGAAAGGCCTAAGTGTGGACGTGTTGATGGCCGTTTCCAAACATCGAATGATTGGCTTCTCGGCGCCGGCCGTTCACAAATGCAGCTTTCGGCATCTCGAGGGGAAAAAGAGAAGGATAGATGCTCAGTGAGGTCCCATGGCTAGAAGGGCATTGATACCAGCACGCCGCATATATGGACCCAAGACAGTTCTATGCAACATCAGAGTGATATTTCAATACGAGACATTATCATAACCCAATGAATTTATTGCTAGAAATATCGAGTATACACATAGTAAAAAGAATTCCGAACCCAAAAAAGCCAACTGTGTTACAATCTGACACCCACCTACCCATTCAAACGATCTGCTGATCCGCAATCACCGACACCAGCACATTCTCACCACCTTCTTTCACCGCGTGCACAATAACATCCGGGCCAAACGGCCCCTCCGTACCATCCGTATACTCGTCATACTCGACAAAGTCCTCTCTCTTCAAGTTGGCATCCAGCAGGACGCGCAACGCGTGGTCGCGCGCACGCTCACGATCCGCAAACGTGCCTTCGACCACAGTGCGGCGCTCCGACCCCGATCTATCATCGTCATATTCGATCAGAGTCTGAACAACGTGATACAGCGGCTGCTGGATCCTGCCCGAGGCATCTGCCTGTAATCCCGCGGCGTTGGCGACCGTGTCGATTTCGACTTTGAATTCCTGGCCTGACGGCGCTTGCGCAAATACAATGACGCCGTCGCCGTGCTTCCAGGCTGAGGGATCGCTCTTTGTTTCGTAGGGTGTGAGGAATTCCGTGTCGTAGCCTTCTTTGGACAGCAGCGCCTTGGCTTCTTCCTTTGCGGCGCGGAGATCGGTGAATGTTGCCGGGAGTGCTATCTGGAAGCTCAGTCCGGTGGGAGCCTTGGGATCGAGGATGGTGCGTTTGACGACGAAAAGGCTGTCTTGTTCTGCCATGGTTGCTTGGTTGATTGCTCTTGAACTTGGTGACTTGTACCTCGTGTAGATAGGAAAAGGTTGGTCAGATTTATCGGGTTGCGTTGTTGGATTAGTTCACCTTATATCAGGGTCAACATGTCGATTTGATTTGTTCTTTTAGATTGACATCATGTTACTGAGAGAGCTCACGCGATTTCTTTGTCATTTTATTACGGCAAGGAAATAGACCGTTCAGGTGCCAGTTGGGACATCACGCCATCAGGCTTTACAGCAAAGATTTTGGTGGTGTGCTTCTGTGTCTCTTTAGCCACTGGATTGCCTGAGCAAACCAGCTCTAATTTGATGCATGGATTATCTAGTCGGGCTAGCACTGCTGATTCAACTGGCTCCCGGTTGCTTGCGGGCACCCCGACAATGGCATGACGGCCTACCGGAGCACTCTATGCCATTTGAATGTAAGTAGCTGAGTTTTCTCTTTTCATTGGATCATGTTGATGACGCTTCCTGGTTCATATGACACACCAGTAGCCAACCGTACCAGTCTTGGCTCTGAACACTCCTCACTTACTTCCTTAATCCAGATATATTGATTCCGGTGGTGTCTCTAGGGACATGTGCTGCAAGAACTGTAAGATCGGTTAGCTGAATTCATTATGAAGAAAGTGCGCGATCGATATGTTCACATACAATCCGCCTAATGAATCCATTCATTGTGTCAGTGACACGGAAGTTCTTTAGGGCAGCAAATCACCATGGCACCACCTCATCAACGAAATCAAACAGGAACACTAGGAACATGCTGAGGCTCTGATATATTTGGGTTTAGCGCCTAAGTATTCCATTTTCTCGTGGCTGCTCCAGTTGTTCGATTTGGTAACGCCACCCCCGCCCCGCTTTCCACTGTGCGGGGATGGGCACAACGCACTCTTGGTTGCAAAAGTAAAGCATTGCTAGTCAGCGTAGAATACATTGATGATTCTGTCCTAGACTAACTGTGACACTTTTACTGTCTAGTTTAACACATGAATCCAGCCTACATCAAGTCCACCTAATTGCGCGCTAGTTCCATGCCAGTAATGGCACGATCACAATGCCCTTCAATCAAACAGTAACATTCAAGGCGCATCTAGAACCAGTACATCTCCAAGCTCGTTATATAGTCACAATTAGCAAGTGAATTTAGAGAATGACCATCATGCAGTGGTCTCATAATCCTAGTGCTCCAATTTCATCTATGGCTACTACATCCAACCCGCTCATCTTGGACCCAAGAAAGATGACTCCTAAGTTAATAACCCTGGTAATGCCATTATTGTTACAGGTCAGTATGTATGTAAACTGCAACGATGCAAAGAAAACAAAACGTCCCCAGCCGAGACTTTACTCATCGTCTAAGGAAGGAAAAAAAGTCTTGGTGTTTCCGCTTATCTAACCACTTTCTCGTTGCAAGTACCCACTCTACTTACTCAAGCTGCAAGCGCCTCTTCCTCTTTCCCAATCACCATCACCACCCCAACATCACCGCCGAATTCTCCTTCACTCTTGATACCGACATCACGTCACCATATCCCCGCATCAAGCACTAAACCAAACCCACACCCCCCCAAAAAATCCTACATCAGCTTGTTTGAAAACTGAACAAAGAAGAAAAAGAAGGGAAAAAGAAAAAAATGTCGCCGCTCTCCCGCATCGCCCGCCTCCTCCTTCTCCTCCATTCCCTCGTCAACATGGCGCTCGGCGCATACAGTTTTATTAATACCGAGGAATATGCAGCTATGACGGGGATGCAGGGTTCGGAGCAGACTTTGCAGTCAATTGGTAAGTTAAGTTCTCTTTTACATGCTCCCCTCTATTCCCAGCACACCCTCTCTCTACACACACACACACACACATCTACATATACATCCCGCACATCAAGCGCGCCGATTCCAAACAGCCCAATAAACTAACAACGCGATTCTGCAAGGCCTGGGCGGTATAGCAGTGGGGTGGTACCAGCTGATTTTCACGCTGCTGGGCAGCGGGCGGATGATTGCGTCGACGATTCCGCTGCGGTGCGGGTTTGCGGCTGTCATGTGTATATGGGAGCGCATGCCGCTGGTTGTGTATGAGCTTGTTGTTGTGTGGTTTTGTTTGATTGCTGTGTTTGCGTGATACTGTATATAGTGGACTCGGGGGGGGGGGTTTATATATTTTACACGTTTGAGGGGGGGAAGACGATTATTTGAATGTGATGCATTGATATCATAAAGTATTTCCAAGACATGAACTTGGGGGGTGTGGTACATGGAAGAAAAACGCCCTCTTTTTCAGCTCCACTTGATATTTCCGCCTGCCTTGCCCTCGAGACCCCATCCGCCGTACGTATCTACAAAGCCTTCTCTCGCCAAATACTCCTGGTGCTGTTCGCCGCGCCACGCCAGCGTCGTCGCCAGCTTCCAGCTCGTATCGAGCTTGTGCAGCACGAGCTCCACGAGCTGCAGGTGCTCTGGGTGCTGGACCTGCGGTTTCGTCAGGATGGCGGCGAGCTCTTCCTTTGTCGTTGCGCGGTGGAACGACGAGCTGGGGTCGGGATGGTGGTATAGCGAAAGAAGATGGGCATAGTTGTGCGGCACAATGTCGTTGTATGCTGTACAATTACCCCGTGTTAGTAAATCTTCTTGGAAAGGTGGAGAGAAATCAAAGGAGAACCAAGAACATACGTTGGCGTGCACCCCAAATCAACCGCTCAATCGTGTATCCCTCGTTGTTAATGACAAACAACACAGCTTTGCACTTTGCCTTGATCATCGTGCCGACCTCCTGTATCGTAAGAGCCATGGACCCGTCGCCCGTGAATAATACCGTTCTACCATTGTTGCGCCGCGCCTGTGCAGCCTCGAGCTCTCTGCGCGCCACATCGGCGCCGAGCGTCGCGGCCGTAGCAAAGCCAATGCTGCCGTAGTAAATCTGTGTTATGACGGTGATGTCGGTGGGCAAGGGGATGTCGCAGATGCCAAAGTTGGAGGTGCCGGTTTCGCTGACGACAACATCGCCGGGCTTGAGGAAGGTCTGTATCATGGGCCAGAGCTGGGATTGCGTTAGTTCCTTAGATGCTGCGTCGAGCGGCGTGCGTGGAGGTGGTAGCGTCGGTTTTGCAATCGAGTGCTGTGCTGGAGAGGGGAGGGATTCAATGAGAGCGACAAGGAGCGGCTGCATGAAAATGGAAGGGTATGATGTGCCTTTCACCTTCATTCATAGTTAGTATCACATGTCGATAGTTGTAGAGATGCGTAAAGACTTACCACAACATCGAATTGGTTGATTTGGATGACTTTGCCTTCTTCCAGTTGCCTTGAGAAACCAGCCGTGTTGGTGTCACAGGGGATGTATCCCAGTGTTATCACCAGATCCGCTGCTTTTGCAGCTTCCATGACGCCCGGAGTGCTTGCTTCGCCGTTCCACACACCGACGAATCTCTCGTCTGTCTCATCGACAATGCCTTTACCCATGACTGATGAAAAGAATGGGACGTTGAGCTTCTCGACTACCTGCTGGGCTTCCTTTACCGCGCCAAACCGTTGCACAAGCGCATCAACTAGGATAGTGGGTTGCTTAGCCTCTGCTATTGCTGTGGTAATGGCCTTGATTGCCTTTTCCTGCGCATTTTCGTCAATCTGTGGCGTCAAGTCGATTTTCTTGTCGAGCAAGCTCTTGTCTACCAGTTCGGCGCTCAAATCCAAGGGCAAGAAGATGTACACTGGTCCGCTCTTGAGCACACACTCTCGGATCACACGATCAATCTCCTGAGGTGCGGTTTCAATGTCCCAAAGCTCCGCGGCTGCATATCTCAGCCCCTCACTGGCCTTGTTGTACACCTGGTGATTCGGCTTCATGCCAATGCTGTGGTGGATCATCATTTGGCCCTTTTGCATGGCGCGTGTAGTCTGCCCAACAACATGTATAACCTTGACGTGCTCCGACATGCTGCCTGCAATGCCGTTCAGCGCGCTTAGCTCACCCACACCGTGAGTAGTAACGAGGCATCCGGGTATGTTCTTGATGCGGGCATAGCCGTCAGCGGCGTAGGCTGCATTTAGCTCGTTTTGGTTACCGGTCCATTTCAGGCCATCGACGTGGAAGATGTAGTCAAGAAATTGAAGGTTGAAGTCGCCCGGCACCCCAAAGATTGTGTCGACACCGATTTGGTGAATGCGTTCCCACATATAACGCCCAAGGGTTATCTTGCTTTCGTCCATGACGGATGCGCCTGAATCTTTCCGTGCTGACAACGTTCAAGGCAGCGAGATAGCTGAGTCTTTGCAAATGTATCCTGGAGGTGGTTAGCGGATTACGCCAAGTACGGGGTACATGGTAATAGCGCTTAGCTCTAACAAACATACGTACTGTAACTTAAGCGCAAATCCCTCGAGACTGGGTACGTTCCTGTATATGAGGTAAGCAATTTCTTGGAAGATGACCAGGATAATGTGGAATCAGGAATGTAATCACAGGAACAGCAGAGATGATGTAGCTGCGAGATAGGGCGTCGGAGTTGTGTAGTAGGGCGTTGATTGACAGCCGCGGTTCGGTTGGAGGCGATTAGTGGAGTAGTGCATGCGGGGACCGGCCTAAGATCGGAGTGCATCGATTGGTATCGGAACACGTGAAATCGGAGAACGGAGAACATGGAGTACTTGGACGGTCACATTGGAAGAAGTCATCAAAATACGCTGGAACGACACGACAAGAGTTGATTCCGTCTACTGCACATGTGCACTTTCTTCTGTCGTCCCCGCAACCGAGTGCGTCTACGCATCCTCAAAGCTCGCCATCTTGAAGTCATATGGTAGCTCAAAGTCTGCTTTGGGGTCTTTGTCAAAGGGCTTGAAATCTACAATGAGCGAATCCTTGACTGCAAAGACTGCGTCATCTTCAATGTACTTGCTCGTTCGGTCGAAGATTTGCGTAACAATCGGCTTGTAGCCAGGCGCCGTGAGCTTTTGATTGGTTAGTTTGCCGCGTCTAATGATCCTCTCGGCATGCTAAGTTTGACTTACCAAGAAATGGATATGTGCCGGACGCATCGGATGTCTATCCAGTGCTTGCAGCACCTTTCCTGCCGGGCCGTCGAAAGGAATAGGATAAGGCACCGGCCTCAAACAGTAAAAGTTGTACGCTCCATCCTTTCCAGTTGTGAACCTGCCCCTGAGGTTCATATCTGGCTGATTGGGGTCCTGCTGTTCATACAGGCCATTCGGCGCCGTGTGCCAAACATCGATTACGGCGCCTTCAATCGGCGCTCCGGTTCTGAAATCGGTGACTGTTCCGTGCATCCATGTCCGATCACCTTGCTCGTTTGTTCCTTTGTCCACAATACAGGATCCCATAGGCATTTCCGGCGCATGTGCTCGATAAAAAGGGCCTAAGATGGCGGTCGCAGTGGGCTCATCAGCAGCGGCCGAAGCGAGCTTGTACGTTATCTCATCAACGAGCGATTCAAGTCCAAGTACATCGCAGAGAAGTTGGCCTTCATTGCGTTTGGAGTCAGACATGCGTCCTGCTTCATTCATCTGGCCACCGTTGGTACATGTTACATGCATGCCTGGTAAATGCATAGCATAGGAAGACAATGGCACATACCAACTCCACGCCCACCATCCACTCATCCACTGTGAGTTCATTTTCTCTCGCAAAATCATGTAGATGGCGGATCAACCCCGCAGTGAGCTGTCTGACCCTCGGCGAGGCTTTGGGTCCCGTTGCATTGATGACCGCATCTGTAAAATTCGGATTGAACTTGTGCTCCTTGTTACCGGATACTGCTGAAGGATGCTGAGACTGTCCGTTCATTTTGTCTTTTCAAGTCGAATAAGAATGCTAAAGTACGTAGACTGGTATGCGTGGTGGCGTCAACTAAGTGCTGTGGTTATCTTGAATAGCAAAAGCAACTCAAAAGTTAGTCGATGACGAACCAAGATTAGCAGGTGTGATTAAGACCCGCCAACCGGCAACTTGTCGGCGACTTTGATCCCACCAGCGCAAACCAGCAGCCGCACCTGGCTGCCAAAGTTTGCACGCGCAATGGAGCGGCGCGGGGGCGATGACGGCGGGGCTGTGGACTCATGGTATGCTAAGCATGAAGGCAAGTTGCCAGCAGCCGTCTGTGGTGCACTATCCGAAACTGGGGTACCCGACGAAGCCGACGAATGGCGAATGGCGAATGGCGTTATACGGTACAGTCAGCATGCAGTATGGGGCTGTTTGGTCGACCGATGGCTGTTTGACACGGTATATGGCTATGCAAAAGACTTGGACATTATTCGCTACACCACGTTTTCCGGGGGTTGGTGCATATTCAGATATTGAAGAATTTCAAGGCCGGGACGGGGTGGCCGCTGTGATTCGCTTCCAATGCTCATGTAAGACTGCAATAGCAGTCCGTTTTATACCAAAAAAAATTTGCCAAACGCCAAGGGTAATACGCTATGCCGTTCAATCGCTGTCATCATCCACCCTTGCCCGCTTTGCTGTCCTGCCCTCGGGCTCTTGGATGCCGTAACGCTTTTCGCCCTTCTTCTCGCCCCGGACTTCGTCAATCATCTGGTTGATGTTGAAGGGGTCGTCGGTGTCCTTCTCGAACTGAACTGGCCCGTCGCGGGCTTCTTGTAGGTCGGCGCCCTTGAAGCCCTCCTTGGCTTTGCCCAAAACTTCAAACTTGCTCGTTTTGGTCAGTCTGTCGTACGTCTGCCCATCGTCCTCTCCATCGTCTTGCTGCACGCTCGGGCGGTAGATGCTGCTTATTGCGTCTTGGGCCGCGAACAGAGGCTTATCATAGTGGTTATCCTCATTGAACCCCGCATTGAACCCACTAGACTGGTTGAATAAGCGGGCGTCATACATGGACTCCCCGCTCTGTGTGGGTTTGGCCAGACCAAGAGCCACCTTCTCTGAGATGTCGCGGTTCTGCTCGCGAGCCAGCATCTGAATCTTACGCTCGGTGCCCATTCGCGACTGGCGAAGTTCACGCTGGAAATCCTCACGACGCTCTTTGCGCGCGTCCATTCTCTTCCGCACTTCCTCCTCCTCTGAGTCTGTCTCGGAATCGCTACGAGCTCGCCTTTGCGAGGCATTGGCGCGCTCTTCTCGCGCCTGCTTGGCCAGGTTGCGCAGGTGCTCTTCCTTTTGTAGCTTCTCTTTCTCAGCCAGGCGCTGTTGCATAATGGCACGCTGCTTGACTTCCTCACGTGCGTGCCTGTCTGCAGCCTGCAGCGCCTCGCCAAATTGCGCAAACTTGTCGTTGATTGTAATGTCCTGCAGGCCCCGACCATCGGCTGCCAGACGCTTGTCCAGAGGCACTGTGTAACCCTTGGGGTTCTTCCAGTTACTGATGGGAGGCGGAATCTTCCACATCTCCTGATCCTCGGCGGTCAGTTTTCGCGGGGGGGAGTGGAGGACGGGCGGCGGCGGCGATGGCGGGCCACGAGGAATGCGCTTGTGCTTGAATTTGGGTGGCTCCATGGGGTCAATCTGTCGCTGCTGGATCTTGAAGATGCGCGTCTTGCCCTGGGCCTCGCCCATCTGCGCGGTCGGCGTGTATCGCACAAACGTCGGCTCATCGTCTTTTCGGCCTTGTACGTTCTTCGGTCGCTGCGCAGCAGTCTGCCCCGCCACCAGCGCCATGAGCGCCTGTTCGGTCTTCTCTTTTGTCGCCTGTACCACTTCCTGGCTCGGACGCGACAGGTCCAGCTGGCCGGCATCTGCCTGCTGGCGCAGCGGGATGAGATCCTTGAAGCTCGCCTGCACAATCCTCGAGTCGCTGTGGCCGCGCCTTGCAATCTCGTCGTATTTGGTTTTGCCCTCGCCATCGACTCGTCTCACGAGAGCGTTTGATGTTGACGGTGTGCCCTTCTTGCCCATGTCCAGCGGGTACTGGGCGACGTGGACCTCGGGAAACGCGCCTCCATCGCCAAAGTCGTCGGGCGCGCGGGGCCGCCAGCTTTGCCTGCTGCCGTACGGGGGAGGGCCATTCTGCTTCCGTGCGACCTGCGCTTCGTACTGGTCGGAGCTCAGCACACGCGTGCTGTTGGTGAGCTCCTCGTCTTGGCCCGAGTATTTCGGCTTGGGCAGCGACTTGGATAGTGCTGCGACGGACATGGTGTGGTCAAAGGGGACGCGGTCGTGGTGATGGCCGGGGTGGAGGCGATGTCGATGGCAAGACCAGTTTATTTCGTCGGGCTCGTCGGCGACGTGGTTCTGCCGGAGCCGGGTCACGTGACACGCGACGACGACATGTGCTGCCCTGGACTGGCGATTTCATTGCGCCCCACTCCCAATATAGGACCACGGGTCGCGCCGACGAGGCCACGCAGTAAGGCCCGAGAGGCACGAATTGACGAGATGCTTACGCAGCTACAGCCTGACTCTACCATACATAGGGCCGTTTGATTGCCGTATTGTGTATTACGACAGGCCAGACGTGCTGCCAGCCGACGTCGCACTCTTGGACTGCATGGACACATGGATCTCAACACACACACTTAGAATACATGTACATTACTATACATGGCGCTGCCCCAGGGATCTCCCAGGCTTGCACAAGTCAATGCCCGTGTCGTCAGCCATGGCAGCTCGCTTATGCGCTCTGGGAACAGCCTCATGTGCCGGGGGGCGACGAATGCAGGAACAGGCACAGGCACAGGCACAGGCACAGGCTCGCCGATTGCGGGCGGTCGCTCTGGCGTGGGTGCCGGATGCGGGCGTGGTGGCAGGCGTAGGGAGACGGACGAGGGCACACAGGCGCAAGCAAGATGGACGATGGCTTGCAAGCAGCGGTGTGGGTTCGCGCAGGGAGACGAGGCGTTTAACCGCATGCAGGCGCTCATTTAAACCGGTGGAGGCGCGAGTCAGCATGGCCAGCGCGCGCCGCAGGAGACGAGGAGGCAGCACGAGTAACGAGGAGGCGTGTTAGGCAGTGCTAGCAGGTAAGCCAGCCAGTCAGTCGCCAGGCCAGGCCAGGGCCGGATGGGCGCCCGTTGGCGACGTTGGACACACGGCGGCGGGGCGCGGCGGCGAGGGCGAGTGAACGCGCAGTGCTGGCGGCGATAGCGCGCGTGGGTATAGGTGCTAGGATGGCGGGCTGTAGGGCTAGCTGCACATCATCGTGGGCGTGGGCGTGGGCGTGGGCGTGGGTGGTGTGCCCTTTGTTTGCATGCAATCATTGCCCGCCGCCCTAGCGACCCAGGGGCCAAGGCCTCGCGGGCGGCCATGTCGCAGCATCTTCCTTTTGAACAGCAAAAGGAGCATGCACATGCGCAATCTTCGCCGCCGGCTCGCACGCACTCGGTGGGCCCCCGTAGCAGGCCTTGCCGGGCTGAGTGTGCTCTGAAACGTTGCCCGTCATCCCTGTCCGCTGCGTGCCAGCGCACCTGGATTGCCTGCAGCTATGCCGGCGCATTCTGGCCCTCTGGCTGGACGAGCCCTGCAACCGTCGCTGCTGCCGCTGCCGCTGCCACTGCCACCACCACCGCATCCACATGCACCACTACCACCACCACCACCACCACCACCGCCATCACTGCCACCCCAACCGCACGACCACACGCGGCGAAACACGCTATCCTCGCACACCGCGCTACCCCGGCCCGGCCGCCAGCGCAACAACACCAACCCCGAGCCGCCCTCGCTCTTGCGCCTGCCCTCGGCGCTGGCATTGTCCTTGTCGTCGTCGCCCGCTGCCGCCAGACGGCCCCCGGCCTCCCACAGTGCACATGGCATAGACAATTCGCGCGGCCCCCCCGTCACCCTAGTTACGCGCAGTCGAGCCTCGCAAACCCCCGCCGATCTCTCCTATGCGCCCCAGCAATTGTCGCCATCCGCACTGGTAGCACCAAGTGGCTCGCTCCCATCGACCAAGCGACGGCGTGGGGACGACGAAACGGGCTCCTCGACCAACGCCCCGCAAAAACAACAACACCACCACCACCACCACTACCACCACCTCCTCCACCCTCACCACCACCACCAGCAAGCACCGCCCGCCGAGAGCGTGCCGACTCTCAGACTGCCCGTCCCCCGTCGCAATTCCGCCGCCAGCTCGTCACGGCCGCCGCCGCCGCACCGCATGGCCAGCTCGACCGACGAGTCGTCAGAGTTCGGTTCTGGCCCCCGCAGCCGTATGGAGGACTACCACGCGGCGCACAGCGGACGCGGACCGTCTGCCTCGGCGCCTGTGACTCCAGGCACAGATGGGGAGAAGGAGGACCTGTTCCTGAACATCGCCGCCGACAGTGCGCCCAAGCAGCAACAGTCGCAGCAACAGCAGCAGCAGCAGCAGCATCAGCAGCCGCCGCGCCCAGCAGAACCCACGCCCCGGATTGACCGGTTAAAGGTGAGACATCCCAGTGCAATCGTTTGCTTGTAACGAGCCATGTACCGTACAGGAGGCTGACACCAACCCAGTCTCGAGTTGCCCGCATCAATGAACGACAGTCATATCCATCCGCCCTGCAGACGCCCGTGCAACCAAGCTCCACCACGCCAACATCAACCCGCATTCCCTCCGCCGTAGATTCCAGGTCCAGCGCCCTCCGCCGCGGCTCGCTCTTGCCCACGCCATCGCGCTTTGATCGGTCCTCCAACTCGCCAGCCCCCGAGGCGGTCTACCGAACGCCCCAGCTCTCGCACAAGATATCCCTGAGTTCGGTACGAAGAGACTCGGACCTCTCCCCGCGCGATTTCCTCGCCCAGTTCGCCTCACCAAGGCGCTCATCCCAGCCAGAAGTCAACCACGCATCGTCCACTCGCACGCCAATCCAGCCGTACAGGCCCTCGAATCTGTCGTATGAGCCACGAACGCCCCAGGTAGAGACGTCGTTTGAATCGGCCTCACGCGCCGACGGCACTGAATCGCACGGGTCCACAGGGCCTGCGGCGTCTGTATGGGACGAATTGGACGAGCTCAAGTCCCGGATACGCAAGATTGAAATGGGAGGCAAGATTCCTTCGACGTCCGGTGCCATTGTGTCCCAAGCGTCAGCCGACCGCCCACGCACCGCCAACACGTCGGCTACGACTGTCTCTTCGTCGCCAAACCAACAGCGAAAGTCAAACCCTTCTCCGTCCGAGTCTACCGTTGCCTCGCATACCACGACCAACAGCCCCAAAACCCACCCACTGCTAAGAGACGCTCTTGCCAAGGCGCGGCAACACATCTCGCCCGCAGTGTACCGCACGTTGGAGGCGGCGGCATTAGAGGCGCTGGCGCTGGCTGAAATGAGCGGCAGTGCTGGGCCCCAGGGCACGCTTCATTCAGTCAGCTCCATTACCAACGGTGCGGTCGTGTCTGACCGCCAAGTTCGGCGCAAAGCTGATAACCTCTGCCGCAGTTTGACTGAGCTATGTATAGCCATGTGCGACACAAAGACGGGCTTGGCCAGTCCCGCCTTCCGGAACGCCACGGCTGCAATATCGCGTCGCCCAAGCGTCCAGCTCAACGGCGAGTCACCAAGCATACGAGAGAGTATCGAGTCCGAGAGCAACACGTTGCCTGGTGTTAGTCCCAGCAGAGCAATGTCGCGCATTGAGGCTCGAAGGAGCAGTATGCTTGCTGTTAACACGAACAGTCCGCGAGACACCAGTCAAGAGCCCTACGACGACAGGCAGGCTCCTTCGCGACTGCAGCGAGCAGGCACCAGTCTTCACCGGGCACGACAGAGCGTGGAAGAGGATGAGGACGAGACGATATTATTTCGCGCACCATCCCGTGCAATGACCTCGATTGATTTCCGATCACGACAACAACAAAACGAGAAGAACCGGTTCAGCACCGGTAGGCAGTACACTTCTCGTGAACCCATGCCCGACCTGCAGCCATCACCCGCGATCCAGACCCCCTCGAGTCTTCGTAGGCCCAGCATCTCCAGCAGTACACCGTCAACAAACGAGCACAGCCTCCTCTTTCGGGATAATCAAAGTCGTTACGGCCACAATCTAGGTCGCGAGGGTTCCCCGGCCAATTACGAGAAGCCCTTGTCTGGAGGCCTTCGAGCTCGGGCACAATTGAGCGTCGCCCGAAACCCCAGCAACAGACATTCAGTCGGCGGCATTTCGGATCTTGGCCGCAGCGTAAGCCTGGGTAGAAGATTGAGGGGATCAAGCACCGGAGAGTGAGCAAGCAAAAACTCTAGGAAAAGCTGCAACCCACGCAAATGGTTCTAACGCTGGCTTCCTAGTGTCATCGGTCAACTCTCCAGTCGACGTACCATTACGCCCCGACCGGTATATTTGACTTACGAGTCGACATAGACACGCAGGCAATGTTGAGTTGCATACCATGATGTAGAAACAGGGGAAACCAAAAGCTTGAAATTTTCACATGCGACAAACACCTGAGGACAATTTTCGGGTAAGCATATGCAGCAGTTTTGCAACACGTTCCTCAAAATAAGGAGCGTTTCTCATTCGCCTTTTTTTTTCTCTTTCAATTTTCTTTGTCTAGCATCTCCAAGGAGCATATGGGCGCCCAAGTCGTTCTGCATCTGCATCATCGACAGTAGAGGGGCGAGCGCTATTATCATGGGTCCAGGGTATGCGCGGTAGGCGCAGCTGGTCCTCCGTCGCCGGCACACCTCACACTCACGGCCGTTCTTTGCGCTGTTTTTTTCTTTATAGTTGATATACCACCGCTTATTTTCTTCTTTGTCTTCCAACTGTACATAACACCTTCATCTCAAGATTTTTTTTCCTCTGCCAAATCCTGTTTACAGTGACTTGTATCCTATTACCCCCCCCCCCCCACCAGTGTAAGCAAGTATGCCACCATTGTCATCATATCATGCCCCACATGTGTTGTTTCTCTTATTAATAATGCAGCTAGAAGGCGAGTGCCTACGTGGCTGCGATAGCCATCTCACTAGGAGGCAGCAGACTTGACGTGTCTTGATTGTGGGCTGCTGATCATCGTGTTAAAACAGATGCCAGCTAAGCGGACAGCAATATGAAAGGAGACTAAGCAAGCGGGCAGGTTCCGCAAATCCAGCCAATACCCAGTCTGTTAGAATTCTGCAACTGCAATTCCTACAAGAGTAACGACCCCAGCAACCCTTTGGGAATGTGTAGTCTGGAGTGTGCTTTTGAAATTAGGATTTACACTGCTGGGCACGCTTCCCGTATTTTCCATAGTTGCGACTGGATTTACTGATAGTATTACTCGTGTGTGTCGCACTGTGAATATTTCCTAAAAGGGGGTTCAGAACCTTGGTTCTCACAGTCAGACCCACACCTGCGTGCACAATCACAGCAATTGAATTGAATACAACATCCACATGGTTCAAGTTAGGGCCTAGGTTTTGCAAATTATCAACCAAGGTTGGTAGGCTCGACAGACGTAGAATAACTTGGGGGGGGGGGGGGGGGCTCTCGCGAGCGGCTTGATTGACAATGCTTTGGATCTCGTGGCTTTCTTACTGGCGAGTGATGTGATGGGATTAATGGACCTCAAGCCTCGTTAACAGCACACTGAGCCGACTGTCTTTCACAGTGCCATTATAAGGAGATACCTGACTGTTTCCTGTACTACATACTCTTGAATAAAGACAACGCATCAACAAGCGTGCTTTCACCACCCTCAGCTCTATACTGACACTACACCGAAGCTTTGGCGCTGTCTCGAAGTGAAGGGAACAATCGTGCTATTGTAGGTGAAGCAAGCTACATTCAAACACGGAACAGGTAGCTGCATTCACATTCAGTGCCCTCTTTTTCTAACGCAAACCTAGACGCATACAACTTGCAGTCACACACTACCAGCGCAAATCCACGCTCCACTTTCAAGTTTACGGTAGCAAAGTCGCAACGAGCAGGCAGTGCTTGTCGGCTCACGGTCCTGACCATCACCTGTTTCGCGCAAACCGACACTCACGTTGTCACCAACCTCTTCCAGCAATACTACGCCCGAGAGCAAATACCGAGACGTCCAAGTGATACCAGAGGAGCGGAGCACAGCCCAAATTAGGTGACTGCGTAGATCGCAACTGCTTCACAAGCACCTTCCTCCCACGGTTGCACTCACATACCCGACCGCAGTCAGAATCCCTCGTCGCACTACAACCCATGGATTCGACACTCAGCACACCTCCAAACATGTCCAATGTTACCGATGAGCACGTCGCGTCACCAAAGGATAGTCAGGCACACGAGAAGGTCGAGATGCAGCAACCATCACTACCGGACACGGACAATTGTGTGTCTTCGCAGCCTCAAGAAGATGTACCAGCCCATCACACAACTCCTATCTCTCAGGATCACGATTCCAACACGCCTACGACCCCACTGGCTACTTCCCTTGAAGCTGAGCCCTCGGCAGCTGCGCCTTCACTCGAAAGCTCTGCACCGCCTACGCCAGCTACGAGAGCTGCATCATCTGACAAAACGAATTCGCTCTCACAAAAGTTTGACAACCAGTCCAAGATCACAAAGAATGCTTACCTCAAACCCCAGCAAATATACGAGAAGACACGTTCTATCATGAGAATGAACACTTATAGAACGCTGCTTGTTGCTTCACGGGGATTTGCTCGTGGCGGGTTACCCACAAGGCGGACTAAGCCTCCGCTACTCACACGACGATACAGCATCGATGTCAACACGGTTAACAACTGGGGTACATCCAGCGCAGTCGACTGGGGAGTAGATCAACCCGAGGTCTGTACAAGTTATCCACTTGAACTAACAGCTGAACAACACGCTGACAAAATCCAGTACGAGTCTCAGGATCCTGTCCTTTCCACGCATATTCCTGTTCCCCATCCAGGTCGATATGCCGGGTTGGGTAAAATGTTTCAACTGTATCCCCCGTTTGATGAAAAGATGTATCTGGAGCTGGGAGATGCAACAATTTGCAACTACACTTTCCGCAACATCATCTGTACCGACTTCAAGAATGGGGATCCATGGATGCGCGATGAAAGTCTCGACATGGCTCTGGAGATCTTGCGCCGAGACACTGACTGCGACAACTATGATATCGAAATTGCCAACTCCATGATGTCACAGATCTGCTATTGCGCTAGGAAAGACGAAGACTACAAGCCCCAAGAGTTTTCCGAGTACAGAGCACGCTTCGAGGACAAGAGATGGATCTTTCTCCCTGTAAACGACGCCATCGGTACTAATGTGGACGGGGGCATCCACTGGTCCCTGATTATACTGGACAGGAATCACAAGAAAATCTATTACGTGGATTCTCTATTTGTCGATGACGCTGTCTATCAAAACCTGGGTTACGAAATCAGTGCTGGCATGCTGAGAATACTTGGAGAAGATCTCGACTCGTGGACTTTTGAACCTCAAAAGTACACTCCCAATCAGATTCTTGACAACTTGGCCTTTTCCGATGCTGGGCCATGCGGGCCTTTTGTGTTCAAGATGACGGAGTACTTGGTTACGTATATCAAGTTCTATCAGTTACGTGGCATTGAAGATCAGTGTTCCCTGACGCTATCTCAAGGCTTCCCATCATTTTTCAGGAACTATTTCCATTCGGCACACATTCGCACAGACATACAGAAGAGGATTGCTCACTGGAAAGCCATTGATGTTGCTTCGAGAATCGCAACCGCGCATGACCAGGAAGTTTTGGCCGACACGTCTGTGGAGCTAGGCAATAGCCCGGTCATTGACTTGGAGATACCGCGACGAACAGAAGCACTGGCGGAATGCAGAGCTCACCAGAGTAGTGTGAGCGAACATATAGAGCACGACCATCTGCATCGTCGCCACTGGGACAACCTGGGCGAATACTATCTCCTTGCCCAACGCGGTGATGACGTCATCCCGGGGGACTGTAGCGACAGCGGTGACAGCACCGAGACCTTTTCAAGCGCCAACTCTAGAGTCTCGGCTTGGCAGTCTGATCCACGGGAATATGGTGATATTGTGGAAGATTATGGCCAGGATGAAGACGGCGGTATCTACATTTACGGTGCTGAAAGCCGCGGCGAAGAGTCCTTGTCTGGTGGTCAGCCGACGACCACAGACTCACCCGCGCAGTCTACCAATGAGGATGGCCTACCCGGCGTTACTAGGCCAGCCTAAAACTCGACGTTGTTGTGGCAGGGATAGGGGGTTTCTGGACGGAGCAAATGTGATGAAAAGAGCCATCTTGGAGCGAAACTATGTGTTTATGCAGCAAAATAGCGGGTTTCTTGCGAGCAGTGATTTTCGCTGTGCAGGCGTTTGGGAGGGTCCAAAAAAAGGGTCATGATATCAGTGGGTTTCATCGTTGCTTTGCTCTCTTGTAACCTCACATGACACTATCGGATCTGTCATTTGCTGCGCCTCGCAGCGCCAGAGTATGGTTGGCGTCCTGGACGGTTGCCTTTTGACGTTTCAGCCATGGGCTGCCCCGAATCACCTGGCGTTCAAAGGGGGCAGGAGGAGAAGAAGAAGAGGAAGAAGAATGAGACTTGGCTTGGATCATGAATGACCCACTCTCACAAAGGAAAAAAAAACTGTCTGAAGGAGCACGGCGTTATCTTTAGGTGTATAATATAATTCCCAGTAATGAATCTAGGGAGTCGGTGGCGCGCAGTCAGGCCGCCCCCTCGTCGTCGTTCCCGCGTCCACCTTCCATCTCTTCTAGCTGTGCATGTACATGTGCCTTTATGCTCTTTCTCCCTCAACACATGTAACATCGGTGTCATGGGCGGGCGCCCAATCCATGCAACACGCCCAGCCCGTCCCCTCCTCCCCCCCCCCCCCCCAAAAACCTAGCCAATCCCCGTATGCGGCCGCAGCAGACAAGTGATGATTTGCAATCTGGCATTGCATGGGGGGCATGGTGATGGCGCCAGTGCCAGTGCCAGCGCCAGCGCCGCGGCGGCGGGACGATCAAGTCCAAGTCTCGATCGTGCGGTTCCAATGACGTAGGGCGCCCCCCCCTAACACCTAACCTACCAGCCTACCAGCACCAGCACCACACAAGCAGCGTCTCTCAAGCGAGCGGCGTATCAAGGCCGTTTTGAAGGCAAACCCCTGTCGAATATGCGCTGCGCTGCGCTGCCCGGTTTTTTGGCACGAGAAGAAAAAAACTAGATTGTAAAACCACACGTGATCCCAACCCGGCCAAAAAAGCAGAAGAAGAAGAAGAAGAAGAAGAAGAAGAAGAAGAAGAAGAAGAAGAAGAAGAAGAAGAAGACAAAAACAATGGTATCAATATCCCCCACGCATACACACATACTCTTCCTCACCTCACCTCACCTCCTCTACTTCTTCTGACCCCCCATCATACCGCCCATCCAACCCCCCGCACTCTTCGCCCCATCAGCCAGACCCCCCGCGCCGCCCTTGACGCCCTCGACGGCACTCTGCCCATATCCACCTAGCGGGCCCTGACCCTCAAGCGGTCTGCCGTGCTCATCTTTCCCGCCGCGCTCCGCGCGATTAACGCCTTCTTTGGAGATTGCGTCGCCGAGGGGTTGCGCGAGCCCGCCTTGGCCCACTTGCCCTGTTACAAGGCCGTGTACCCCGTCTTGCAGCGTGTCGACTTGGTCTATACCGGTGACTTTTGTTTTGTCGAGGTTCTCTGGGGAGTGGCGTTAGTTATGTATGTATGTATGTATGTATACATGTATGGAGTGGGTTGATGACGTCGGAGGAAGAAGACGGATCACAACAACGATGATGTGAGGACATGTATGTATGTAAGTAGATAGAAATAAGGCAAAACGTACGTTTAGTAGCATAGCTAACTTTATTATCCTTGGTGAACCACTTGAGATACTGGTCCTCGATCCACGGCATCCACGTCTCGTACTTTTGGTTGTAGTAGTCCGACGCCGCCTGCTTGTACGTCTTCTGTTGCTGCTGGAGCGTGGTAGCGCTGCTATCGGCCATGTTGTGTGTAGTTTGCTTGTCCAAGAAAGAAAAAGGGAATAGGTGTAGTGGTATAATGTATATTCTTCGTATCGTACTTATATATACCCAAGAAAAGCAGGTCGAGTCAAGGCAGCAACATCCCGCCACCCTCATATATACATCTCTATTCCCCCTCCTTCCAGGGCCCTGCAAACCATCCAACCATACCACAGCACACACGTAAACCTCTCTCCCGTGTGCATATGTCGTCTGTACACTAACGCACTTAGCACAACGCCATGCACACCAACAGTGATCTCATCCGCCAAGCGCTTCCTACCCAACCATCCAGGGTCGCAGTCGCAGTCGCAGTCGCAGTCGCAGTCGCAGTCGCAGTCGAACCCTGACTATTCCAACTTCTTGTCGTGTAAATCCAACGGTCTGAGTGTCGGTATGTTCGTGTCTAGCAGTGTATGCATGCCAACTGTTTTCCGAGAATTGCAAGTTGAGATGGGATATCTTACGCGCTCATACATCTGGAATTGAGGTACCGTGTGCTTCTTTTCGATATAGTAGGATGCAATCAAGGCCCCTTACTCTCATCCATTTTAATTACTTCTACCTCTTGAAAGTTCTCCCGCAGATAATCCCAAGAGTACTATTGGTCGTGCGAAGAGACTGTCCTCTCCCACCCAGTACACTGGATCAGTGTTGCTAGAGTAAGGTTAGTCGACGCAGTATTTGCAAGCCGTGCGTGAACCTAATGCGATAAATCAAGCTGGCTTTGTATCGTGCTTGGTGAGTTTAGATAGCAGAGTGCAATGAACAGTGCAACTCAGTAAAGACATGCTGCACATGAGTTGAAATCCACAATGTGAATCCGATCATCGAGTAAGCAGCTCAATGACGGAATCGCGTTCCGAGCGGAACGGGAAGCAAACGCGCTAAAAACACATTTGCTTGGCGGCGGTCGCGACGGGGTCAATTGCACTAGGTATGCGCAACTCGCGCGACAAAGCCGGCCGCCGACCATCATCACCACCACCGCCTTCTCTCAGCCCCGCTCACGCTGTCTCCTCGTAAAGCCGGCGCACATGTGCTAGAAGGAGAGAGACGATTCCACCACCACCGCCGTAATCGACTCCCTCCCAGGAACCATGGCCTCACCACCGCACATCCCCCAACTCAACATGTCGAGCAACCGCAAGCGCGGCAGCATATCCTCGCACTCTGGCGCGCCGCCGAAAAAGCGCAAGCCGTCGAACCTGCGCAACGCCTTCTCTCCCGACGCAGAGTCCATCGGCGGCAACTCCCCCCGCCAATACTCGCGCTCGCCGTCGGTGGAAAGCAACATCACGACATCTGTCGTCAATGGCATAGGCGGAGGCAAGAAGCGCCGCAAGAAAGGCGGCGATGGCGCCAGCATCGCGGGATCCAGCGTCAGAGGCGGTAAAGGCGGCGACGGGCGAAGCGCCATGGGCGGCGAAGACGAAGAGGGCGACGAGGCCGAGTACGACGACGAAGACGAAATGGGCGACGAAATGAACATGGAGATTGAAGGCGGCATGAGCGTGGAAGCGCGGCGAAAGCAAGAAAAAGAGTATGAGCGGTACGTATCTTTGTTCCTCCCTCCCCTTCATCCTACTAGACGTGGAATTCTAACACAACAGACAGAATGCTCGAAGACTTCATGACACCCGCGCAAATGGACCGCTACGCAACCTACCGCCGCATCCGCCTGAAGCGCGAAACGGTGCGCAAACTGGTCAACCAAACCCTCTCGCAATCCGTCCCGCAACCCATCATCATCGCCGTGACGTCGTACTCGAAGACGTTTATCGGCGAGCTAATCGACCGCGCCCTCACGGTCCGCGACGAGTGGTCCGCCGTCCGCACACACCTGCCGAATCCCGATTTGCCGCCCCCGATCCTCAGCCAGAGCCTCGGGCGGCCCAGCGCGCACATCAAGGACCCGCGCAATAAGCCGACGAATACGGATATCCAGAGCGCGGGCTGGTACTTGAATCAGGTGGATCGCTCGCAGAGTCTGTGGAACGAGGTCGAGGCCAATGCCAGTCTGCAGGAGAGACTGAGGGCCTGCGATAAAGGCCCGTTGACGCCCGCGCATTTGAGAGAGGCGCTGAGGCGCTACAAGCGCGATCGAGATGGTGGTGGGGCTGGCTTTGCGGGTATGAGTCTTGAGGGCGTTGAGAGGACCATGGGTAGGACGGGTGGGAAGAGACTTTTCAAGTGAGATGGACATGGACATGGGATACAGATTCTCCCTTTTTTTTCAAACATGCATAGCGATGGCGTTTGGGCATCTCAACATACAGACAGACACACTCATGGCGTTGGTATTACAGTGAATATTCAACGCGGCAAGCAGGCTACATTTCACCAACTACCCCCCCAGCACGTGCATGTCATGATGCTCAAGTGGGGCATTCACAGCAAAGAAGACCAGCGTCACATGAACAGTCACATAGAGGCCATCAAGTCAAACATGGAAGTAACCTTGTCGTGAGGCATTTTATGAAGAGCTACATTTGTCATAGCCATTCATCATTCCAGTCCATCCCGGCCGAAGAGAGAGAGAGAGAACACCTAGAAAATCATAACGCTAACCAACTGCCATCTAGTTCTCGTGGAGGAGCTCGTAGAAAGTATCGGCGGCAGGCGCAGGCTTGCCAGCATCGAGCTTCTTCTGACCCAGCTTCTCCTTGGCAAAGGTAGCCGCGTATGGGTTGAGGCGGAGCTGCACCTGGAAGTTCTTGAGAGGGTTCTTCTTCTGGGTGTGGCTGCGCTTGGAGACGGCTCCACCACGCACGGGACGGAGGACCTTCTGGACGTCGCTCGAGTTAATGATCTTGCTGAGGTCGGGCTGGACCATCATGGGCGAGGGGAGGAGGAAGTCCTTCTTGAGCGCAGAGGGCTCGGTGGTGGATCCGTAGACCTTGTCGAGGGCGCTGAAGGCGGATGAGGTCCAGACGATGAAGCGGCCAAGGTGACCACCAGGGGCGAGCTGGAGAAGGTTCAGGGAGTAGACGGATGAAGTCTCAACACCGGGAATGTTGCGGAAAGCAAGGACAAGCTCCTTGCCATCCTCGTCGGGGTTGTAGATGACAAGAGGACCGCGGCGCTGCTTGTGGCGGCGGCCACGGAGCTTACCCTTACCAGCGCGGAGCTTGCGCGAGTTGCGGGCCTTCTCGACGTCGGCACCAGCACCGACAGCCTTGAGCAGAGCAACGGCAGCGGATGTCTTCTTGATAGCAGCATCGGCAAAGGCAGTCGATGAGACGACGAGGGGAACCTCAGGGACGGTGCTGATGGCGTGGCCGCGGGCGAGGAGAAGAGCAGGGCTTCCTGAAGCAGCGAGCGCAGAGGCAGTGGCGAAGCGCTTCTGGTTCAGGTTGATCTTCTGGTGCCACTTGCGCCAGACCTTGGTGGGAGCGAACATGCGACCGGAGCGGCACATGTTACCAAAGGCAGCCTGACCAGCACGGTGAGTACCACCACCAGAAACACGGGGAATACGGGCGACGGCACGACCAGTACCCCAGGACTCGGCAGAAGTCTGGTGACCAGCCTTCTCGGAGCTGCATCTTGTTAGATTGATGCACTGTGCCGCGCTCGCAACAAAGGCTTACACAGCGTAGGGCTGGCGGCGGTTCTTGTTCATGCCAGTGTGCACCGCGTGGACGACATCAGGGCGGATGGGGGCCTGTTGATTGTTAGCACAAGATATCGAGCTTGATCGTATCATGGCAGCGGGATGTAGATTAACAAGCTGACGGAGAGAGGGCCGAAATGACTGCGGAATCTGAGACTTTGCGTAATCGTCGAGAGACGGCATATGGCACCCGCCAGAATCCCTCGCAAGGTGCAGCTCAGTGCAAGCCGATATTGCCCAGTCATTATGCCCTCCTCTTGTAAATTTCTTGGTACATGCTTCCAATATAGCCTCCCGCTCTCTCTCTCTCTCTCTCTCTCTCTCCGTCTGTCCGTGGTGCTGCGGGCTGCATGGTATCGCGGGTTTCGAGGTGCGGCGGTGGAACTGACCTTGAAGACATTGGGGACGGGGATGGTGTCCTGGGTGACCTCGCCCTTGGCAGAGACGACGGTGACGGTTGGCCTCGACATGGTGGCTGTTGTGAATTGACCTGGTGGTTAGTTGTCGCGAAAAAGAGAAGTCGTCGGATTTTTGCGATGTTCTCAAGCGAGAGCGAATTTCGCGTGGGCACGCTATACCGCTTTGGGGCATAGCGCTTTGGGGTTAGCGCGGAACTGATGGCCGCCGGCCCAAGGAGTGCAGAGTGACGAGGTTGGGGATGCGGTGGCCGTCATGAGGTTTGACGTTGGTTTTCAGAGGGCTAGATTCGGCATGGACCTTGCTGGGAGGATCTTTTCAGGCGTATGCATGGAGTCTGGAGGTCGTTTGTTGCAGCAGAGCAACTGGAACGAGCAACCGGACTCGTTCATGCGTGAGACACGGTCTAACGGTGCATGGTGGCAGCCAGAGCGAGCCGGTTGATTGTTTTCTCAGCAGATTGATTGGGCTCATTTACATCGATCGTGGGCCGCTCGGGTTGCTCAGTGCCATGTAGGGGTACCCAGCACTGCCTTGACAGAGCTCATTGCCAGGGCGACACTCGTCACAACATTTGCAATATCCTTGCACATAACATGCAATACCAGGCGCGTGTGCCAGTGCTTTGCCGGGGTCGGTGATGATTCAATAGTGTCTTGAATAGTCGCTGCTCTCCGCTCGGGCTGCGGCCATGGCACGAAAAAAGGACATTATATGTGTGTGTATATATATGTGTGTGTATATATATGTGTGTGTATATATATGTGTGTGTATATATATACATATGTATATATATACATATGTATATATATACATAGTAGCAATGCGGTGGGAGGGAGCCATGCCAAACGCAGGCTAATAATAGCGTGTCTATGGTCTCAAGGCACGTGGGGAGGCAGGCAGGCAGGCTGGACGAGGAAATGAGGATGAATGGCATGTTGGGTTGGCATCCAACAGGTTGAGTGACAGATACAGGCGATCATCATTTATATGACACCAGTGTCACTGCAGTGCATCTCTGCGCTCGACCGGGGCATGGCTCGAGGAGCAGGCTCGCATCAGTGCATTTGATCCGTGTATAGGATGCTCCGGGGGCGTCGCCAGGGCGCAGTGCGACAGGGCATGTGAGCGTGGATGGTTTGCACGAGTCGGGCGGGCGGTGGTATAGTATATGTAGCCATGTAGCCATGTACCCAAGGCGAGGCAGCACGTGCCGGTGTAGGGTGAGGCGGACCAAGGTCGATGGATCTTCACAGGGGTGCACGAATCGCAGTGGCCTTGGTTCTGGCAGCAGGCTTTGCGGCTCTCGAGCTACTGAAACACACGTGGTGCAGGTGGGCGGGATCAGGGAACATGGGCGGAGGGGACAAGCGACGATGCGTGTGCGGTGGAGGCGCAGGGGAGAACAAAAGCAAGCAAAGCTGGTGGAGTGCACGGGCAGGGCGTGTGTAGTGGGCGTGTAGGCGTAGGCGTAGGCGTAGGCGTGGGTGGGCGTACTCAGCAGGGCGTGTTGGCGCAGGAGAAGAAGAAAAGGGTGGAGTGGGGAGAGGACGTGATTTCGAAACCGAGGGCACGCAGGTGAAACGTGCAAGCGGGCTCACATGACCTGGGAGCAGATGACGCGGTGCGTTGGCGCGCTCACCCCGCCAACAGGTGGGTCGACGCCTTTCCCATGGTGCGTTTCACGTCAGAGATGTCTGCTCCGACTGTTTTGCGTGCCTCGGGTGAAGTCAGTCGAGCAGGGCGCAGGTGTCGAAACGGCTGCTGTTGCGCGGGCAGGGCAGACAGGGGCGTCCCGGTGCGCGGCGGGTTTTGACAAGCCGCATGGCAATGAGAGGGGGCGGCGGCGATGCGCTGTGGTGGTGCTGAGGGCGAGGGCGAGGGTGGGGAGGGAGCGACTGATTCATCGCCAGGCGAACTGGCGGACTGGCGGGCTGGCGGGCTGAATCATCGCAGGGCGCGCGCGCGTTCTCTCCCTCTGCCTCTGCCTCTCGTTCTCTCTCTCTCGCGCGCGCGCGCTCTGGTGGGCGCTCGCTGGCGCCTTCTCCTGAGGCCCGGGGCGGGTCAGACTGGATATTGGTTGTCGCGCGTGGCTGCCCCCCAGCCTTGTCCAAGGTTTGCCGTCTAGGGCTTCCCGCCGTTGGCCACGGGCGAGGCGAGGCAGGCAGGCGAGTGGCAGTGGCTGGTGGCAACATGGCATGGGTGGCAGCTGGCTGGCAGGCGACAGGCTGGCTCGCACCGGCACTGGCACTGGCACTGGTGAAGTTGGCCGCTCGCACCCAGGCACGCGCACATGGACAGGCACACACACACACATATACAGGCGCGCAGCTGCACGGCCTCGGGCTGGGTGCGAGTGAGTATGTGCGTGTGTGTGTGCGTGTGTGCGTGTGTGTAGGGACGGGGTGGGTGCTGGCGTGCTAGTGGTCGCAGCAGGCTCGTAGCGCACGGCTGGCGGTTGCTATTCCTGGACGCCGGCGCTTGCACTGCGCTGCTGCACCTGCACCGAGCCCACGACTAGCGCTGTCCTGCTTCCTCTCCCCCATCGACAAGAGACAGACGCATTCACGCCGCCGCCGCCGCCGCCTCAATCCCTCGCCCACCCACGAGTGCTCGCCTCCCCACCACCACCCGCCTCCCCTCCCTCCCCTCCCAAACTCCAGGCGGCAGCGGCTCTGCGATCGACCGGCTTCCTCGTCCGCTCCCCCAAGCTGGTCCCCCCCCCCGAGCGCCCCATCCAACTTCGCACCGCCCGTCCTCGTCGCTGTGTCGTCGCTCCGCTCCATCGAGGCCCTCGCCCGCGCTCCCCCCCCCCCCCAAGCGTGACCGCGACCACCACCGGCCCTCTCGCACACCACGCTCCTGCCCGCCCCGACAGACACTACCCATTCGCCTTCTTCTGCCTCTCCGCGCCGCCTTCTCCCCAGCCGTAGGCGCATCGCCGCCCCAGTCGCTCCTTCCCTCAGGCGCTTAGTCGAGGATCTGGTATTCTCGCTCCCATTCTCCCATTCTCCCTCCCACCCCCCGCCAGCGCCGCCTGCGACAACTGCCTGGCTCACAGGTAAGCCTCCCCCATACTCTCCTTCTCTCTCCCTCTCGCTCTCGCCCCCAACTCGCCTTGTTGTTTGCCGTGCACCACCCGCTCCCCGCCCCTGCCTCGCCCGCCCTCTGTTTGTCTATGCCACCATGTCCGTCTGAGCACGGCAGCATACAACCAGCCCGCTCCACCACGGCCGGCTCGCCCATGCGCGCGCCCTTCCCTCTGTCTTCGAGTCTGCCCGCGGCCTCGACCGACGCTGTCCGACGCCTCCTCCAACCCCCCCACTGCCCCGTCGCACAAGGCCCGTTTCGAAACACTTGCGCCTGCCATGTCTGCCTCGCCCACAATACCCCATGACGCTAACAGTGCGACGCTGAAAAGGGCTTTCTCTACACCCAATTCTTCCTTTCCTTGCAAAAAACTCGAGCAGTCCCTTGCCCACTGCTCCCCATCGCCTTCTACCGCTCTGCGAAGTCGCCGCTGGCCTACACACTCCTCCTGCCTGCCGTCGGCGCTACAGACAACACGCCCACCCGCCAGCATGGTGCAAACAAGCGCGCGAACATTTATGCCCATGCCCTCGTTTGGCGCCGTGTTTGGAGGCGAACACCACAAGGGCCATGCAGACGGTAATGGCTCGCATCTAGTGCGGCCAGCAACAAGCCCAAACACAAACTCGGGCGCGCCCTTCTCCTCCTTTCACCTGCACAGCGAAAGCCGCGACAGCCACTCGACGGCCTCTTCCGACAACTCGCCCACGACGACAATCTCGACCATGGACTCGTCGTCGGTAACGGACCCGTCTCCAGGCGTGTCGCCCGAGTCGCCTCACGCAAGAACAGTCGCCCCTTTGTCGTTTGTGGCCGACTTTCGCTCGCGCAGGACAGAACAGTCGTCTGGAGATGCTGCCTCAAATACCTTTTTCGAGCTACAGCGGCCAACAACACCGGCGAAGAAGCCTCGGAATCTCAAAAACCTCGGCATCAACACAGCCTCGTCTCTTGGTAACCTGCGCGCCCACACGCCAGCGCCCATTGCAGTCGCTCCAAAGGAGAAGAACAGTTCGGCGCCCCCGTCACCATTGTTCATCAAGCCGCCGACACCGCCCAAGCGAAGACCATCGAATCTCAGCTTGACAATATCCACACCCGGTGCCCCGGACAACAAGCCAGTACGACTCCTCATACCCTCAACGCCTTCCTTCAATCGCCCGCCCCTTCGCCACTTCCAGTCGTCTCCTTCATTACCGTTATGTTCAACAGCAAACCCGTTGAGTGGTCCGCAGCTGCCTCCACTGCGTCCCGTGGTGAGCAAGCCAAGTGGACTCGCCGAAGTGCCTTTTGAGATGGAAGAGGAGGAGGACCAAGAGCCCAATTTCGACGTGCCTCAATCGCGCGAGGAAAAGCCTGCTGCATATCCTAATGGCCCCATTTGTATATACGAGGCTGGCGTATACCTCTACTTTGAACCGACCGCTGTACAGGCCACGACTTTTGATGTGATTATCAATGTTGCGAGCGAGGTCAAAAATCCCTTTACCGCGTCTACGTCGCAATCACAAAAAGACATTGATGCCAGGCGCGTAGATGGTCCACCAGCGGAGAATATTGACTTTGCTACCCTTTCGCAGAGACCAAAACAATCGTTTGGCATGGACGACAACTCTCCCACAACACCAAAAGCCATGCCCCCAGTCATGCAGACTATACAGCCACGCGAAGTCGTCATCGAGGGCAAGACGTACAAGACACCCGAATACATTCACATGCCCTGGGAGCACAACACGGACATTGTGCCCGATCTCCACAAGCTTGTGAGGATGATTGACGAAAGGGTGCAGCAAGGGAAGCGCGTCCTCATCCATTGCCAGTGCGGTGTCAGCCGTTCAGCCAGTCTCATTGTTGCGTATGGCCTGTACAAGGACCCTCAGATGAGCGTGCAAGAGGCGTACGACAGGGCGAAAAAGCGAAGCAAGTGGATTGGACCCAACATGAATCTCATCATGCAGCTTCAAGAATTCCGCAACAGCTTGTTGAGGCAGAACGAGAGCCGCTCGTACCACAACCAAGGGTACAATCGACGATCCGCCGGTCTTCCTACAGGAACGAACAAATTCTCGTCATATGACAGAGACAGCCCTTCAGGATCACGCACTCCACGCACGGCACCGCTTCCTCCTGAATGCAGCGACATGAGCATGCAGCGTGCAAGCACAGGAAACATGATGGCCATTTCTCCAGGACCACTGTCAGCACCCACTGGCGCTTTCTCGCCTGGTTTCCGCCGGTCATGGGATTCCAGTCCATCGCATTTTGACCTCGCATCACAGCCAGACCCGTCGCCAACTTCACATGTCGATCCCCAAGGCCCAGTCGTTCCAATGGTCTCTGTGACTAGCAATGATCTACCAACGATTCACGCTGAAGACGCTTCTGACAGCGATGTGGCACCAGACCATCTGGATGATTTCAAACAGCCCGCGTTCCCCAACTTCTCGCGTCAACTTCGACTACGGCCCATGGATGATGAAGACGAAGGTGCTTCTGGAACCGAACAAAGGCTTCTGGCACCTCTAAAGCCATTCGGAATGGAGCCATTAAAGTCACCTGCCGTGGCAAGCTTCAATATTCCCGACTTTCCTTCTTATCAGTCATCTGACAATGACATCATGTCACCGATCAAAACATCTTTTGACAATCCATGGCCACCAGGCTACGATTCTGATTCTGATGAGCCCGAGCCTGCTCTACTAGCAAACGACTCAGTTCCAACGATTTCAACACACAGCCCCGATTCACACATGCCCGGATTTACCCAAGACGACACTCACGAGTCCTACGGTCCCTTGTCACCAAATGCTACTTCATTCCACCTCGGCCAACCGACATTATCCAAGCACTTTGGTGGTAGCAATCACCCTATAGCCTCCGACATTGCTTCGCCCGTAAAGACGCATTTCCCTCAGGATGTCTTTGGCGACGACGACAAAGATCAGCCAAAGGACGATTTGACGTCACCACGTGCCACCGAATTCCACATGACTCCACTGAAGCCCAGGGTAGCAGACGAGGATCCTTTTGGACTGACTTCACCGACAAGAGGGGAATTCAACCCCTTTGACCGGCCCAGGAGTATATTGACGCTCAAAGGCTCGGAACAGGAAGATCGGCGGCCCTCATTTCAAGCCATTCTGCCACCTGCGCACCAGACATTCAATGGCTTTGCATCCCTGGATGGCACAGCGCAGACGCATACCATCTTCGAGTCTCCTGTCCCACTGGCCATGTTTGCACCGAAACAATTTCCTCTGGTCGGGCCTCGGGTCGACAGCCTGAGCAATTCGCCTGCCAGGCAAGCATTGAACCACAGCGACCCCCATACGCCAACGCCAGCAGCACTCCCTCAAGTACCTCCTTCCCCTCGCTCGCCCACCGAAACCTTTCTCGCCACCCCTGGCAAGGCCATCAAAACACGGTTTTCATCTCCCAACATACGCGAGAAGCGACACCTTCAGAGGCTGCAGACGGAGATTCAGTCCAAACTGCCAAGGGCCTCTGTTCCCCAGCACGCTGCAGATGACCTTGATGCGCTCATGTCACCACGAGCAGAAGAGTTTACGAGAAATCCCTTCCGCATTGAGCTCCAGAGTCCTGGCGAAGATGCAAGCCCAGTCTCTTCTGATGAGACAATCAGGGACGGCCGAAACGGTCATTTCACATGGGAGGAGCCAATCCCAACGCGGCAGTGGACGCCCGAGAAGGCTACTGCTGATCCTCGAAGCCCTGTCCAGACCGGGGGAAGCCCGATTGTTCGTAACATCTGGGACGTGCTTTGAGCAAAAGCGGAACTTCATCCAAAAACCAAATCCTGCATCCACTCGACAGACATTAATCTGTTTGCGGGCTCGACATTTCGGAAGGTCACCCGAATAGCCAAGGGCCGGCCGCCGGGTCGGAAATTACCCAACTTCTCTCCCGAAGGTTTGTCCTCTGGCTCCAGGAACCGCGACGCCACCAACACCGGGCGTTTGACCTCCTGAGGGGCGCACCTCGCATTGACCCGCTCTACATTTGACCCTGATTGCGAGACACTATGTCGCACTCTCGGCCCCACCAACGCCCCCCAGACAGCGCCAACTTGATTTGTTTTTTGTTGGTCAGCCTTTTCATTGAGTCAACAGTTCGTTTCCTACGAGGCCGTACATCCTGACGGCTTCAACATTTGCATTGTGGAGGCCAAATGCGCGTTGAGTTACGCTTAGAGTAATGTCCTAGTTTCTAGTACCCTAGTTCCGCCAACCCTCCACAACACCACACTCCTTTGGTAAGAACCTCTTTTTTTTTCTTCGCCGGGCAAAAAAACATCACTACACTCGCTGCTTTGTATATCTATGGCATACACCCTTTTTTTCCTTTTACTTTTCTTTTTTTTTCTTTTATCATCCCTCTGAGTATCGATGTTACGAGCCATGCAAGCGCTGTCATTCAGCCGAAAGCACACCCAAATGGCTTGGGTTTGTGCCCTTTGTCTTTCTCTTTGTTTTGATCATCATCATTGTTCATTTGTTCTGCGTGGCAATCCCAGCCACCAGTGGCGTTTTATCTAGGAGTTGTTTCTTTTCGTCGAAATGGGAGAAGGAAGGGGGGAAAGCAAGACAGATATGGAATGGAAAAAGATTCAATTTCAGGGTCCTGTCGGGTTGTCCAAGGGTTGGGATTTTCTTCTTCGATGGACATGGATGTTTTGTTTTTGGATTACTAGGAATTTTTGCACCTCCTTGCACACACCCGTTTTCTCCCTTTCTTTCTTTCTTTCTTTCTTTCTTTCTTTCTTTCTCTATTTATTTCTTTCTTTCTCCTCCTCTTCTTTTCCTCTCTCTGTAACCTACTATACCAAACAGAGAGAGAGAAGAGAAGAGAGAGAAGTGTTTCTTACTACCACTACTGCTACTACCTATGCATCTCATTCTCATCTTCATCTTCCTGCTTGTGAAAAAAAAAAGGGTCGGGAAGGGGGAGGAACACACCTAGATAAAGATATACAAAAGGGAAGTTCTGAAAAGAAAGAGTTAGCAACTACTACCTGCTATGTACATGAAATAGGTCAAATCAATCAATCAATCAATTACTATTTTCAAAAATCCATCCATGCATCCATACATGGACGTTTTTTATGCGCGCGCTTAGCCCTTTAATATAGAAGGCCAATATGTATATATGCATGCATGCATGGACATGCATGGTGTGCAGCTGACATAGATAGATATAGCTCCCTACCCCCCGCATCACGCATTACACATCACACAACATACATGGGGTTACATAGATAGATATGCTTTGTCTTGACTCGCTGCACGAACTCCTCCCCCCCCCCTCTCCCCTTCCCGTACCTTTTTCGTCTTCCCTTGTTACATGGTCGACTTAGTCATGAGTATGCGCTGTTATGCAGGCGTGGGGGTCGCTGGGACGGATGGGGTGTGATGGGAGGAACGGTGATGGAATGGGGGTAAGGGAGGGGAGGGTGTGCAAAAATAGGTAGGGACAGGTAATAGGGGTTTATCTACATGTAATTGGTGCAACCAAAGAAGAAGAAAAAAAAATACTCACGGCTTACTGTATTGCTCGGACTGGACGGATCATTGGCTCATTTTGACTTGATGCCGGGCGCGTGCATGGGGTGGGCTTGGCATAGTATTCTACCACCACTACCATCACCACCAGAGGTGAGACTCCAATGAGATGGGATGCTATCAACGCATGGCTTAGGCAAGCCCGTCTTTGTACATGCTGATACTAATTTTTCGGATTCAGCAAAAGAGAAGAGGGACTATGCTTGGCGTCTTCTCAAGCTGCGCGCGACACCAAATGCGGTGTCGAGATGTTTTGCGTCGGCAGGATACTCTATCTTCAACGCTTTTCTCAATCTCAAATGGGTCTCTTTGGAGGCATGCGGCGTTCTCGCCGACCAGGTGTGCGATACATTCGAATAGCGCAAGTAAGTAAGAATCTCACAGTACTTAGTTACCCCTCTTCTTTTCTCTCGATAAGTAGTCAAACATCTCATGCTAATGCAACTACAGATTGCGAACTAGATCCCTTCAACTACACAACCGGCCGCTGGTTGCGTCGCGATGCGCAAGAGCGTGCTGCACGCTGCATTCGCTTTGATTTCGACGCGCTTTGTCGGCGGGTCGTTGCACTGTGTCCTGGGGCCACGGCCGTCACTGGGTACAGCAAGAAAGAAGGAGGTTTCAATCGCATCTTCGTTTTTCACACCGACAATGCGAAGCGTGTTGTCGCCAGACTGCCTTTTGCCGTTGCGGGACCCCGCAGATTGACGACGGCGTCCGAAGTAGCGACGATACGGTTCTGTAGGTTTTCACGCGGATACGTGGTTTTTTGACTGGGGTGCTTGGAGTGAGTGAAGATGTGAATGACTGACGGGCGTCTTTATAGTACAGGAGAAAACCAACATTCCTATCCCAAAGATCCTGGATTGGAGCGACGACGCTTCCAATGCCATTGGTGCCGAGTACATCATCATGGAGCATGCGCCGGGCATTTCCTTGTCGGAAAAATGGCCCAGTATGGGTGTGGGAGAGCAGATTCGGTGTATAGAGGCGATATTCCAGACGCTGAAGGAGCTGGATGACATGCAGTTTCCGGCGTACGGCAGCTTGTACTTTGCGGATACACGGTATATCGCTGGTCGCTCGCTGCCGTTTACCCACGACTTTTGTATTGGTCCGCACTGTGGAGTCATGTATTGGGACTGTAGCGTTGGACAGGCGAGATACGGTCGCGATGATGATGCTAACCAAGGACCCTGTGAGTGGATTCCTCGTGCTGTGGTTTTGGCAGAAGGCTAAACGCACGCTTCAGGGCGTCATCTCCCGGCCTACAGTGACGCTCTCATAGACACTGGGCTTGCACGGCTTCCGGCAACTGACGCAGCTCTACAACAACGACCACGCTACCACGGCTCTGTCCAAACACATCGTCAAATCCTCGAGCAGGGCCGCACAGTCCTCAGCAAAATAGCCGTGGACGCTCGTGTAACAAACGCAGCTACCCCCATGCTATTCCATCCCGACCTGCACAAACGCAACATCTTCGTCTCAGAAGCAGACCCCACCATCGTCACCGCTATACTCGACTGGCAAGCCTCCAGCATCGAGCCGTCATTCAGCTACGCAGACTCAACACCAGACTTTGCGCAGCCCGCTCCTGATCCCGCGAAGAGCGAGCGTATCGAGCCCAAGAGCGAGGCGTGTGCCGGAGCATTCGACGCCTGCATTCAATTCTTAGTTCCTAAACTACGAACTGCGAGAGCAATCGATGAAGGCTTGATCCGTCCGTTCCGCTATGCACATCGCACGTGGAACGACGGCGCTGTGGCGTTCCGCGAAGAACTCATCCAGACGTCGCTCCACTGGAAAGAACTCGGGCTCGCGGGTACATGTCCGTTTGCGCAGCCGTGTGCTGACGAACTTGCGCAGCACCAGCGCGATTACCGCCGCTTTGAAGCTGCGCACCAGCTCAGGCATGCTGTTTCTCAGCTGCTCAATACGGCGTCTGACGGCTGGGTTCCTGCGGACGCCTGGGCAGCGACTGAGCGTGCGCATCGCGAGTTGTTTTTCGGAATGCGGGCTGCAGTGGTGGGAAACGAGATGCCCGAGGATGATGAGCCGATTAGAAGCGAAGACGAGCTGAGAGAGATTTGGCCGTTTGATTTGCATGTGTGAGGGGTTGGTTTAGCTATGGAGTGTAGGTGCTTTGTAGCTGTGTCCATGTAAGAACATCAAAATACACGAGATGAGAAATCTACGAGTTATTTGTCCAGAATACAACTGAGAAGGTGAAATAGACGTTGAATTGCAGAGCAAAGGAAATTATCCTCCCTTTTTCGCGGTATATATCAAGCCAGTCGCTATCCAGAGCGACTGACCACATATCCATACCTACAAACACGCATATATATATATATACTTGCATACCGTGCAATTACTCAAGTCTCCTAATCCCCGCAGGCTACCCTGATAACCACCCTCCTTTGCAATTGTCCCTGTTTGATTCTGCATTGCGCCGTGGAATCCAGCAGGCAGTGTATATTGGAAAACCCCCCGCGCTATCTGTACGCGGGACAGTGGTGATGAATGGAAATGTGTATTTGGACCAGTAGATTGTTTATACATTCAAAGCTTCATCTTGGGATTTATACCCTTTTGCTATTCATACATATACACATATACATATATACATACATACATACATACTAATACAATGACCTTCCTAGATGTACCCCCCTCCCTCCTAACCATGCATCCAACCAACCATCCAACCAACCACATCCATCCATAAACAGGGCTAACTGCATGTTACATCGCGTTGCATGCCGCTGCATGACATGACAGTGCATTGCATTTTTTTTTCTTCTGCGCGTAAGAAAAAGGGTAGGGATAAAGGTAGCCAGTGCCAGTGTCAGGGTGGTGGCATCGGGTTGGATCGGGGGATAGCCAGGTTAAGGTAAGTAAGGATAGATGTGGGGTGGGGGGGGGGCGTTACATGCACTTATCCAACCATTTACCCATCCACATGCACATGCATAGCTGAAAAAAAAACTAAACTAAACTAGAACTAGAACTAACACTACTGATGTAACTACTGTAACGAAATCATCCACTTACCGCGTCCTCGGCGCTCAGCTTTGCAAAGGCAAACCAGGTCAGCTATGTATCTATCTAACTATCTAACTAACCAAGTGAGTGAGCAGCCAAGTCAAGTCAAGTCAGCCGCGGAACAGAGTAGATTACACGTATATATGCATAGCCCAGGGCGTAAGATTTTAGCTTTGTAATACCCCCAATGCACGAGCGGGTTTGCTGGTGCTATTTCAGTGCACACGGGTATATGCGTCGAGGAAACTGTAATAGATTGATTAGTCGCAGTTATAGTTGTAAGCGCAGTCGCATGTTCTGTACAGCCACAATTGGCATTTTGTCCTTCCATCTCCCGTATCTTTTGATTTTTCGTCATTTTCTTTTTTTTAAAAAAATTGCATTTGTTTGGGTTAAATGATTGATTATTACGTGAGAATGGATTCAATCTAGGTTTCCAGGAAGAGGTGGTTTCAATATAACGACGTAGGAGAGCTGAAGGCATTAAAAGGAAGGACACGTTTAGTAATAAGTCGGTGTGAGGCGGGCTAAAAATGGAGGAGCTGAGATGGGTGCGAAAATAGACCGGTTGAATAAGCAGGTGCATGCATACGATCAAAAATCACAATTGTTCAATTACAACCATGTCGAAATGAAGAGTAGAATTGGATAATCTAGTCTGTAACTACGTACGCCAAGGCCATTGCTGGTCATGAGAATATGACGTGTCTGTGTGTAAAAAGTGCTAAATGAGTTTATAAGAATACTTGAAAAGATTTAAAAAAGATATAGCGACCAAAATAGGGCTAAGCGAGGGGGTCGTAAACTCATCCATCAGAGTCTGAAAGCGTCTGAAAGCGAGCGTGTATCGTGTCATGTCGGCATGGAAAAGCGAGAGTAGTATGCCGTCTTGAAACCCTCATGAGCGGAGAAAACGAATGGGAAAAACCAAAATCTATCGTCTGATATGCAATCAAACAGATTTGTAGCCTTGGGATCGATAGACCAACGCAGCACTTGCGTGTGTCATGAGAGTACTCGGGAAAATTACCAACCAACCAAAACGCCCGAAAAATATCAGAGAACCCGGTGTTCCAATGGCCGGGTGTGGGTATGCTGTGGCAATGGAGTTGCCTATATACACTTGTATGTCGAGGTTGCTGTTGCTCATTGATGCAAACTGTGGGCATGCGATGCTCTAATAAACATAGGTCGCAGTCCTTCCCAAACTAGGCTTTTGGTGGTAGCCTTTGTCGGGCTCGCCAGATCGAGGGGCCCATCTGACGTCCTCTGGGCCGTAGCGGCGGCTGTACTGGACGTCGCTGGCATCGAAGCTGGCGTCGCGTCCGATTTCTCCATAAAGCTTGGGTCTTGCAGAGCGTCCGCGCTCCTCGGAAGCACGGACGGGCGAGACGGTACGGTACGACTCGTTGCGGCTAGGCATGGATGGTCGGGAAGCCGTCTTGTATGGAGTGGTGGATTCCATGGGGCGGTTAGGGCCGATCGGGGGTTTGCCGATCGGCGATGGCGAACGTTGGACGCGGGATGGCTCGCGCGGTACATGACGAGCCGTTGGCGGCATTTCGTCTGGGCGAACAGAGACGCCACCTCCGCTAACGGGGTAGTAGTAGACCTTCTTGGTGTTACCGGATGTGGTCTGCTGTGCAGGCGGAACAGCTGCGAAGCCGTCTCTCTCAGCAGTAGCGTATTGTTCAGGCATGGCTTCGCGCATGCCCGAGGTGCGGGGCACCGTCGCCTCTTTGCGGCGCGAGGGCATCGTCGAGGAGCGATGGAAGGGGGGAGGTGGTGGCGGGGAGCCTTCAGCGCGGCGAGGCAGTCTTTCGGTGTACGAGCGCTGGGGGACTCCGCGCCCAAGGTCAATGGGCGATGAGACGGACTGCTTGAACATGGGCGGTCGCCTCTCGTCGCCGCGTCGCTCCTCAGCCCAGTCGACGACCTCTGGAATGATGCGCTCAGTGCGATCAGTTTCGCGGCGGGACATGGAAGGCCGATCTCGGCTAGGCCTGGCAGATGACCTTCGAACAGGCTCGACTCGTGATGCTTCGCGGCGCGAGGGTCGGGACTCGGCAGCGTAATAATCGCGCGAAGATGCTCTGGGTGGCGGGGGGCGAGTGGACATTTCCTCTTCTACCTGGGCACGCGACTTGTGCTGGTAGCGAAGGGCCTCTTCGGCTTGGGCACTCATCTTGTGGTGCGTGGGAATGGTGTGGCGTGCTTCTTCGTAGGAGCGACGCTCTTCGGCGGCCTTGCGTCGAGCGTTTTCTTCGGAGCGGATCCTGAAGCCCGACTCGTAGCGCGCCTTCTCGTCCGACGACTCGTCGCTGTCGACGGATGCGAACTTGCGCTCGGGGCGGACTTCCTTGGTGCGAGCCTTTTCCCGTTCTGAGCGGCTTCGGTCTTCCTTGGCATACCGGCTGCTCTTGGAAGGCTCCTTTTCGCGCGCGGGGCGGGCGGTCGACGTAGGCTTGGGCTGGTAGGTGTGGTAGTGGGTGCGTTCTTGGTAGCGGGCACTGTCGTCGCGCGCCGACGTGGGCACGCGGTGCTCGGTAGAGTATCTGGGTGCGCCATTGGCGGCGGCATAGGGCGAGGCGCCGGGCGTGGGGACGTCGAAGCGTGCAGCCTTTTCGCGCGGGGCGGCAGCTTGTCGGGCAGCCTTTTCCTTGCGCAGCTTCTCGAGGTGGACGAGGGCGTCGTAGTTGGCGCGCTTTTCGTCGTCGCCGAGGCACTCGTAGGCCTGCTGGATGCGGTGAAACTCTTCCTGCTTCTGCTCCTTGAGAGCCGGGTCGGTGACCTTCTTCTCTGGCATTCGATGCGAGCGCGGTCCACAATTCCTTAGGTCAGCGACTGCTCTCCCTCCACCTCTCTCAGCCTGTGCCTGTGCCTCTCTTCCGTTTCCCTGCCCTGCCCCAGCCATCCTCGTCACCACACCACGCCCCCCCCCCGTGCCCCCCGTGCCAGGAACGCCCCGTCCGTTGTCCGCCATCCGCCCTCCGCCATCCGCCTTTGCTCTCACCACCTGGCTCTCACACTGCCTCCCCGACTCTCCTTAAAACCCATCGCCACCGGACGCCGCGCCGTTCGTCCCTCGCTACCACTACCCGACTCTACTCGCCTGCCCTGCAAAGCCACGTTCGTCGTTCCGCCACATACAGGCTCCCTCGTCTCCGCCCATTGCCAGCATTGACTGCCAACACTGACAAAGGCTTGCATGTTCCAGCCCTCGGTCGCCCTGCACCATTGCTGTAACACTATAAAGCACTCCTAACCCCCCCACCCCTCGGACGACTGCCATTGTCGTCCCACCTCCCCCCCACACCCACCCAACATGGACTTGGATCCCACGCCCGACCACTACAAGGCCCTTGGCCTCGACAAGACTGCTGACGCCTCTACCATAAAGGCCACGTACCGCAAGCTCGTCCTCAAGTGCCATCCCGACGCCGTGGCAAAGGCGAAAAAAACGACGCCGTGTCGGATCACCGAATCGTGACAAAGAAACGCAGTGTTCGGAGGGGCGAGGCTGTGTATGTTTTCTTCTTTTTTTTTGGCTGCTTCTCGGGCTCCCGGGGCTGGCGGCCTTGTACACGGCGTCGATGAGTTGCGGTGTGGGTGGTTGCGACGTCACCGTTTCAGCAAGGCGGCGCTGCCAATGACAAAGTTTGGCTCGCCGTGCTTGGGACGGCAATGGGAGCAAAAAGAAACGGAGCAAAAAGCGGGTAGGGTCCTGATGTGAAGGAGTCGGTCGTCAGTCAGTCGGGCGGCGGTCAGCCAGGCGTTGCGGTCTGCTACGCCTATACATATTGCCATGACGCCCACTGAATGCGCCGTTCTCCCGCCCCAGGGCCCCCCTGATGACGATGGAGCTGCTGCCGGGCGGGCTGGTCGCATCCTCATCCGCTCATGCTCACGCTCACACAGGCTCACACGCTCGCACAGCTGAAAACGGACGGCTGCCAGGGCGTCGAGGCGAGTGGACCAGACCAGACCAGGCCCTTTTCCCAGCGTGGGTCCTCTCACGGCACCGCATGGCATGGCATGGCATCGCGCAAGCCGCCGCCGCCGCTTCACATGCGGACGCTGCACAGCTGGTCGGTCACGGCGGCTACGAAACACGCAACCCAATCACGCCCGTCGGCGGGCACATGGCCCGCTGGCACCGCCGGGTGGCCGCCGTGTGATAGGCCTTGTCGCGCTCAGCCGGCGTGACTGCGAGGCATGGAAGCCCGCCAGACACATGACGAATCCCCGGCCCACGCCCTGTCACACCCGACACATGCACCCACCTGCACCCACCCACGCACCCTCTTGCACTCACCCATCCCAACACTCAACACCACCACCGCCGCCGCCGCCAGCCAGCCAACCATGCCCCCCTCCCCGCCCCGTCTGAGACGGTCCCAGAGCCAGCCCGCTCAACACCAGCGCTGCTACACCCAGTCCGCGCCGCTGCAAGGCCCGGCTGCACACATGCTCGGCGCCCGGGGCCCATGCCGGAGCCTTGTCATGCTCCCACTCAACTCGTCGCGTCTCGGCTCGGCGCTTGCGTCGCTAGCCAAAGCCTCCAAGACGTCCGACGGCCATGTGAGGGCACGCACGACGCCCACTCGATCCGTCCCGAATCGGCGCACCAAGATGGCCACCTGCGCCTGCTGCCCGTGGTTGGCCGATAAGATAGCACGCCGCTGCGGGGTGAGGGCGGGGCCCATGTCCAATGGCCGCCCACGCCCACCGGAGCCCGCCCTACGTGGTCTCCGGCCATTGACCCGTCCGCGCTGCCTCTGCCAGCACAACCACCGGGCTTGTAGCACTGCCCGAGAAGCGTGTGCTGCATTCCATATGTCATTCCACGTTGCTCTCCTCACCTTTCGTCACCAGAGCCCCCCCGCTGTGTCCATGTCCAGGTCGACAACCACCGGCTTGTGCTGCCCATGGGCCTTGCCCGCCCGCCGCCCGCCCAGGTAAGCGGCGTTGACCACTGTCGTCGTCTCCATGCCCGCCGCCCGCCCGCTTGGCTCAACATGCCTCCCTTGGGCATGGCTCCAAGTTTCTTCTTCGCCGCCCCCTCTTCCCCACAACGCCTCACTGTTTCCTACGTCTGGGTCCAGGGCGCAAGCAGTGAGGCTCAGCGTGCCTACACCTATACGCTGCCCATCACCGGATCGAGGCTGCTGACAAGTCGAGTCTGGCGCACCTGCGACGACTCCAGCCCGTCCGACATGCTCCTGCCCCGAGTCAGGCCTTCCTTGACGTGGCAAGCTCGCCGAGCTGCCCAAGCGACGCCCTGCCCTCGACCCCGTCGTCAAATCAACCACCGACAGCTTCTTGTTAGCCCTGCCTGGGTCGTTCCAGAATTCGACGCTTTCCACTAGCCTCCCACTATCGCCCTCTGTGGCTTGGTCCCTCGCACCAGTCCTCCATCGCACCGTCTCGACGCCTCGCCCGCCGTGAATGTGTCCGCACACGCTCAACTTGGGCCGGATCTTCGACAATCGTCGCTGCAAGGCTGCACACCCTCCTCTCCCGTCTTGCCAATCTGTCCCTGTCCCGTCGCAGTGCCCCTTTGGCGGTGTATGAGTCACGACAATGTCTACGCCTTGGGGAATCTTATCCCATACATGCTCTGCTTCATCCGCCTCATACTGAAATGCCCAGTTTCCCTGCTTGGGCGTACACGGACTGCCAAACACGCTAAACTCGGTTCGTGGTCCGCCTTTGGCCCCAAGCCGTACTGTGGTCGTCGTGTTCTCGAGGTAGGTAATCGACTTGGACTCGACGAGCAACCTTCTACACGCACCAGGGTCCTGCTCACAAGGCCACTTCCACGACCCCTGGTTCTGTCGGAAAAAAGGCTCGTCCAGAGTAATTTCGTGATTCCCTGACCATAACCAAACAAAATTAGAGTCGTCAGCCCCACACTCTTGTCTCCGGATGACATGGTAAAAAAGTTACCGGCAATGACAATCTTGGCCTCAAAGTCCTGTTGTTCAAGCCACTCGACGGCTTTTTTCAGTTCGCTGTAACTGCCTTGATTCGTCAGGTCGCCCGCGTGAATCAGCACGTCACCCTGCGGCAGCTTGGGCGTTTGATTGTGCGTATCCGATATGCACACTATGCGCGTTTTGCGCGACCCTCGAGTGACCGACATGATGCTACTTGAATCAGTTTAGCATCTTACCGGGTGGATCTAGCTATATCCAATGTGTAGTAGTCGTCTTGTTGTGTTGGTGGTAGTAATAGTAAGTGTAAGTGTAGAAGTAATCGAGCTACCACACAAACATGCTACAAGAAACACTGCACGTGCACGTATCTGCATACGTCATCCTTCTTTCCTGCTATCCATTCCTATCACTCTCTATCTATGTACCTTGCATGCTCTCCCTTCAGCCTCATATTGTATCCCATCTCCTCTAACACAATACCCCTCTCTCTTCACATTTTTTTTCTTTTCCTCGTTTTTCTTCTGCTTTTTTTTTCGCCACCCCCTCCCCCTACCCACACCTACCAGCTACCCCTACCCTTACACTTACTAGTGGTATACCCCCATAGCCCTTGCACTTGCTTGCAACTTGCCTTGCATCCGCCCCTGGAATTGAGGGGGGAGAGATCAACATTTAATATGCGAAAATTGTGATGATCAGGTACTCCCGAAATCAACAGACGAGGGCACGAGCAAACTGTGTCAGATTCCCTGCTTTTTCCAGCTTTAAACTTCCTTGCTTCCTAGCTTTTCCGGCTTTTATTGCACCTGTTTTTCTTTTTAGATGTAATGTCTTTCATTTCTAATCCCTACACCTCTTATTGTTATTGTTGTTGTAGTCACCTGCTTTTTCAAGATTCTTTTTTTTTCTTGCTCATCATCTGAGTCTTTATTTTCATCATCGACTTCATTTTCTTATTAATATTCATTCTCTACAAGGTGCATGTAGTCACCTGGTTTCTTGCTCATTGATTTCACTCAGAGTTGCTACGTAGGTAGACTTGCATTCCTTTTTTTTTTTGCGTTGTCGCCCCTCGCATGCTCTCACTCTTGCTCTGACATGCCTCGGCTGGAGATGGGCTACTAGTGTAGCACTAGTCTCGTAGTTCAGCGAATGGTGCTGGATTCTCAATTCCTGGATTGGCCACACGCCACTCGTCGCTTGCCCTACACCTGCACCTACTCCCACTCCTATGCTGTATGTACTCCCATGTTCGTGCTCATGCCTACGTCCGATGTTCCATGTTCCATGTTCCGTGTCCGGTACCGATACAGATGTGGATGCAAATCTAGATACAAGTCCACCCTATTATTACGTAGAAAAAGGCAATGCAGCTCCATCCTACGCTGCATCTAACCTGCAAAGGAGCTCGTTTTCAGCAAGGAATATTCTGGCCCTTCTGCAACACCCATGAACTTTTGTACTAATGCTACCAATTTCTACACTCAGTTCATTTCAGCCCTCAGTAAATACACAATTATTCAAGCAGCTTTTCCTTCTTCAGCTTGCATCAACATCCTATTTATAGTCTTGTTGTCGCACTTCCACGTACGCGCGCCGTGTAAAACGCACGGGCCTGAACTCCTCACAACAAACCACCACCAGCTCCTTCCCCCAACTGAGCACCCTCTCGAACGCTCCTTCCTCTTTCAAAAAAATTCTCAAACTACACGTCATCCCCTTTCTACCACATACGACCATAGGTACTAGAATTCTGTGTCTCTCGTTCGCTCGGCAATACATAAGCTAGTAACCGGCGGATTAGTAGTCAGGTGGGTGACCACTGGCGAATCCCCGCTGTTGTATGTTTTTTGTTTTTTTGCTGGCTTCGCTGGGCTTCTTTTTTTGGGTGGCGCATGTGCGTGCCGCTTTACTGCGATGCACTAGAAGGTTTGGGTGGTGCTTGGCGTGGCGAAAGTGGGTATCAATGGCTGTCGATGGAAGGTCTGGAGATTTTCCTTTTGTGGGTTAGTTCGTGGACACATGGTGCTGAGAGATGGGTGTATGGTACGCCTTGTTTGAGATGCGACGTGGTGTGGCAGTTGGGCGGTGGGCTAGTGTAGATGTACGACGTAGTTTCTAATACTCAATGTCGTGCTGTTAGTAGTATTGTGCATTCTCCCACGTATTGACGAATGAACATTTTGCAGCGGGTATGAGTAGACTGCCTATTATCTTTTGCGTAACCAGTACTTGGTTGGAAAAAACTAATGGGCATGGTTTTTTGGTAAAGGAAGATAATAAACTACTTATCAATTTCCTTCTTCATCGCATAAGTCTGCCAGCACAGTACAGCGCATACCTACCGAGGTCTGGGGCCTCTTGGAGGAACAGCGGGCAATGACCCCAGTCGCGGTTGCTCAACCGGCGGAGCTCGCGCGACTAGATTGCACAGACTTCCAAAGATGACGACAACGCGATCAAGGCCGATGAGTGGGATTAGACAATTCTGATCTACATGCACGACCAACTCCCAATCGAATTCTTATCACTTTTTCGCTCTACTCAATCGCAAGCACATGGGCCCGTATCGCCGGGAGCGCACAAACACCATGGAGGCCTCTCTCTCTGATTCGCATTCCTTGCCTGCGATGCCCTCCGACGCTCCAACTCCTCCTCTCTTCTTTTCTTTGCTTGCAATTTATCATAATGGTCGTCTTTCTCAGTAAGCCTTTCTAAAAGTTCTTCGTATCCCCCTTTATCAGAAAGAAATTGAATGCCCATTTTCATCTCCTCTGCCTCAGGCGTATTCAATTCGTTCGTATCAGTTTGACAGAATACAACTGTTAACTATTAGTAAGAGATAATTCTTTCGATTACTAATATGAACTAACCTAATTTATCGACATTGGAAATTGTTGAATCTATCTCGATATTAACAAGCCATGTTTGCTGAACTTTGCGAATGTAATCCTACTGTCTATATTATTTCCATAATTCGATCGCGCATTCTCACTAGTAATCGATTTAAAGTGCGAAAAAGAGTTTCCAGCCAATTCGTAGTCTACACAAGACGAACTTGCTAGTAAATGTTGGAAATCGCGTTTGGTTCAACAGTCGCATCTGATCGGCTGCAGAGTGACGACCAAATCGCAACCACTAGAGCAACCCAATAACAAGGTCTGCCATAAGTCGGGCAGACAACGTCTGTGTCTTCTGGTGTGATACGTGTCACAGCTATGCATGAAGGCTAACACAGGAGGCAAGGCTGAATCTAGAAGAGCGCCTTGTCAGACTCTTCGAACGATATATATTCATCTTTTGCAGCTATGAATCAGGCATCTTAGGCATCCTCAAGAGTGACTTTTCATCATCATTGCTTGTTGGGGCGCTGTTAGGGTACGGTCTTATATTATAAGCCAAATTGCCCCTGATTCTCAACCAATGCTGCAAAACTTGTAATTCTCAGAATTTTATAATGTAAGTAGCAGATATACACGCTCCAAAACACGATTCAACTCAGGACTAATACGAGAGGATAGCAGAAGCCATGACGGACCCCATGAACTTGGTACTAGGTCTACCAAGCCTATTCATATCTTGCATACAATCTTTCGAGATCATCCAATACGGTCGAACCTTTGAATATGATCATCGAGATATGGTTCTTCGTCTCGAAATCCTTGGAGCCCGGCTAGCACGATGGGGACGATGCACTGGTATCTTGGACAATGACCCTACTCTCATTACGCGTGAAATAGAAGGGAAGTTGAAATTGTATTTGGAAAACATCGAAAGCCAGTTTGAGAAGGCAAGAAAGAAAGCCGCAAGGTATTCACCGGATGAACACATGGGCAAAGACAAAGACGGAACGCGCGCGAATGTGCGTAAGGCTATTCGGCAGTGGACGACCAAGTATACGCAAAAGTGCCATACAGGCAAAAAGAAGGTCCAATGGGCCGTTCACGACAAGAAGATATTGGAAACAATGGTGTGCAATATCCGAGATCATATGGATGACATGATGGAAGTCTTCGGTCCAGGCGAGATGAAAATGATTTCAACAACCCAACTACAGCTGCAAAAGGAGGATATCAAGAATCTCGAGCACGGTGAACTAGAGATGCTGAAACATCTATCGAAAGATCAAGATGAGGTTATTGTGAAAGCCGTCGAGTATGCCATTGAAACCCGTCAAGCTTCCTCCCACATTTTCAGCGGGAGCTTTAAAATCAACGGGGAAAACGATGGTGCCAGATACATGTTTGGCGATGATGTTGCCCGAGGCGTAGTCGGCACCGGACATTACTACACGGGCGACTTCAATGTTGGAGGCTGCGGAACTAAGTAGCCATTTTGGGAACAACTACCACTAAGCGCATAACTAAGTCCATTGTAGACATGGGTAATTATATATGTATTCTATGGTTTTATCTTTTTACACTAATCGAAGTTGGTGATCACTCTAAAAATCAAATATATATATATGCTTGGAGGCTATTGCATTGTGTAGTCCACCATCAGCACGTCAAAACCACCCACAAAACAAACAGTTGGACGTAATTTAGGCTTGAAAAAAAGGGGGGGTGGGGGGGTTGAATTTGAAAAGGTACAAGAATTCACAAGTGCTGGTACTTGGAGGACTCTGGTGCGGAATCAAAGTGGTATATGGAAATAGTAAAATTTTCAGCATTTCAGTGCGAAATCCGCTGCGTTATCACGTTGAATTACCAAGGAAACGAATTCAACATTTCAACCCATCTGTCACTAGATGTGAATCCAGACACCGAAAAAATGAGTCAAAGGGGGTGTTTTTTTTGAGAGAGAGAGGCAAATATCATCTCTCACCCAGAAGCAGACTCTGAAGACATGAACAGTACCGTGACTTGCTGTTCCACAGAGTTGATGCAACGAAATATTGTCATGTAAACATGCGATGGAAGACAGTAATCTAGTTGCGCTCGTGTATAGCAAAAAGGCCGCTCCTGCAACTATTCAACCGTCATAATCAAACCATTCAGTGTTTTTAAGCACGCTATTGTTGCCCTGCACTTTCCCTATCGCCTATCCTTGTACTATGAAAAGGCTGTGTCTCTGAATGTTTTGCTAGCAGGTGAATTACAAGGAACAAAGACAGGACCAAACACTGCATCTCCCCTACCTGGTGGTTGTCCACTCATCTCCATGGTTAATGCAATTTGTAACACGCGAGTTTTCATTGGTGCCGTCTACCGTCTTTGGAATTCCAAGAGCCTATCATTGTTTATAGTTATCACTTCTGATCCCAAATAATCATTCTCATCTATTAGCGATTGTAGAGTAATTGAATGGTCATCATTGGACTAGTCTGCAGCAAGATCGACGCCCTTTCCTTATTCGTCATCAACACCAACTATGGTTCTGTCAAGAGCCCTTCCTTGGCACTTGTCTCAACCCACCGAACCTCGACGCCATTTACGTGCATTCTTCCATAGTCAACAGGGTCCATTGTTGTCTGGCCAAACAACAGCGTCTTACTACAAATACACTTATAATCACGCGTCTTCATGTCCGATAACGAGAACACGGATCCGTCCGGGTCGAGCGTTGGTCGGCGTCTCGCGCAGCTTCCACGTCGCTCGCTGACCAACGGTGCGCATAATTTGTCGTCGCTTGGTGGAGTCACATCTGTTCAGGGCAGTGGTTATTTGGAACAGGCTGTGGCTTGCCCCGACAACCCAGGTAGGATATTTGACGACAATCAGGTCGAATATTCAACGACAAACAAGGGCTGCATATATTTGGGCTCTTCCTGCCCCCTCGACATTGCAACAAGACAGCTCTCAACATGCCTCCACCAACTTGGCACGGTATAGGACCTAACAGCAGTGCTCCTACTGCTAACTCGGAACCGAGACCAAGGGTGCCAGTCACTACACTTGTTTCGACACTACCCGAGACGATATACGACGAGAAAAAAGAGGCGGTTTGCGACAATAGCCTCGTTTACATCAAAGTGCAGCGCAGACTCCTCTTATACCTGAGCACACAAGCTGCTGATACACTCACTGCGCCGCTCGCATGCCAGTGGACGCGGGAAAGTTCGGAAGACACACCAGCCAGGCCCAAAGATGCACTGCGCCTCTGCTACTACATGCGCTCACAGGGCTTCGCCACGTACGCCATTGTTAAGAATGGATACATCGACTTGTACCTGGCCAACCAGCACACGGACATGAGGGGACCGCACACAGACATGCTGTACTGGAAGCAGAACTTGGTAACCTACAGTATAGTGTTTGCAGCGTCACACATACGATGCATGGATTGACGTAGCGATGGAGAGGGCGAGGAGAGAAGGAAGGAGAGAGAGCACAGGTAAATCGACATGTCGATGCAAGCATGGGCTAGCTGCAGCGGCGCGCGCAGATCAGTGGCCAAGCGAGAGGCTGTCCGTGACGCGCTCACGACGCGGGGGCCCGTCCGGTGCATCCGGTATCTGTGACGATGAAAACGAAGAGATGATTTTGCGTTTGCAAGGCGCTGTGCATGGACGACGAGGTGGAAGGGCGACGGCGGCGATGGCGGCGATGAGCGGGCGATGGCGGCTGGAGATGGAGGGAGATGGCGGGCGCTGGCGAGAGATGGAAAGGGATGGGTTTGGGTGCAGCTGGCATGGAGAGCTGACTGCGAGGGCGGGAGCGGGAGCTGGAGACGGATGGATAAATGGAGCGACCGGGGCATGGATAAGCCACAGCGCGGGCGGCAGGGCATGTGACTGAACATGTCGAGCAAAATAGCAAGAGCGGCCTGGGTGAGGCTGGCAGGCGCGTTGGGTCGCGCACATGAGGCGGTGATGGATGGGGGCTAGTGCAGCGCAGAGGCCACTTTGTTCAAAGGCAGGCGCGACGGGGGGGGGGCGGGAGGCAGGCGCGCTCGACAGTCGCGCGCGCAACGCGCACGGCGAAGGCAGCGTGCCGGGCATGGCGGCGGCGCAGACACGGCGAGGCCTGGGGCAATGTGTATATAGCATCTATCGCCAGCGCGCGCAGCCGGCGCCGTTGGAGTTGCAAAAAATTTCCCTCTGCTCCCTGAAACGGCACGCACGGACCAGGCCGCTAGCCCGTTCCTGGTGGTGATCCAGCCTACTTAATGACCTGTTCATTCTCTTAGATAGGCCCGCAGCCCACCTTCTCCGAACGCGCTCCCGGCACCGCATCGAGTTACCATCCCGTCACGTGACCCCACCCACCGCTCCGCCTGCCCGCCTGCCCGCCTGCCACTACTACTACTACTACTACTACTTGCTGCTGCTGCTGCCCGCCGCCCTGTGCTGTGCCTCGATGGCCACGCCTGCGGGCGCCTAGTAATTTCTAATTATCCGCCACCGCTCGCCTCTCCACCTGCCACATCCACTCCCCCCCCCCCCCGCGTGCCCACATTGGCCCGCCCACAATGAGGTTTGTTGCATGTCCTGCTGCCGCTGCATGCATGTCGCGCTAACCCTGCTATAGTGCCACCAGATTGGACCGTCTCGTAACGTAAGTGCATCCCCCCCATTGCCAATCTCTACACGCGCTTCGCCGCCCATGTGGAAATGCACTCAAAACAAACCAACCCACATCAAAACAAAACAGCATGCCAACCATTGCCCTCGCCCCGTCGCCATGGCCGCTGCAATGGCTGGGTTGCGTTGCTCTTGCCGATTGCTCGCTAACCCATGCCAAGGCTCCTCGAGACTGGCAGCACAGCATTGATCCGGAACACAGCAGCAGACCAGCTAGCCGACGTGCAAAAACAACACCCCGATGAACTATTCAACCTCCTCACCCGCGTCATCCCCTATCTGCGCTCAAAGAGCTGGGAGACGCGCGTTGCTGCTGCCAAGGCCATAGGAGGCATCGCCGCAAATGCCGACAAGTTTGACCCTAACGCCCAGGACCAGGATGAGCAGAGCAAACCCGACGTCAAGTCAGAGTTCAATGGCCACGTCAAGTCCGAAGACGCCAACGGCGCCCTGGTCAAGAAGGAGGAAAATGGCGACGCCGCCCTGCCTCCTCTGTCACAGGGACTCGACCTGGCCACACTCGACCTGCCCTCCATCTTGAAATTTGGTAAGGTCCTGGCTTCCTCGGGCGCCAAGGAGCACGACTACAAGCTGGCCGCCATGGACCCTGCCGAGCGCCTCGAGTATCAGAAGAGCACGTTGCTGAAACGACTCGGCTTCGAGGGCGCGTGGATGGAGGACCTGACGCCGCCGCAAGACGCCTTGCCCCAAACACCTGGCCCCAAGACGCCTGCACCGAGCCGCATCGACACAAACGTCCCACGGTCAGACAGCATAAACACCGCCTCCTCCCCTCCCCCGGCCCTGGCTACGCCCAACGGCCAAGGACTGAGCAAAAGGCAGCAAAACGCCCTGAAGCGAAAACAAAAAAAGAACGCTGCCGGCGGTGCTAACAAGGTCCAAATCGTCGACTTCAACGCAAACTCGCGAAAAGACTCACAGTCTGACCCGGTAGAAACACCCAGTCGCCCCCACCCAGTTGCGCTGAAGCTCGAAAAGTCTGAAAATGGCGATGATGGTGACAGTGTTAACGACTACTTCTCACTCGAACGCTCCGGCGGCGACGACGATGCCAAGTTTGTCAAGGAGTTCAAGGGCGCGCCGGTCCCAGAAAAGTCCTCGTTCCAGACGGAAGCTGAAGAGGCCGGCCTAGAATGGCCGTTCGAACGTGTGTGTTCGTATCTTGCTGTCGAGCTGTTTGACTTTACGTGGGAGGTGCGCCACGGCGCGGCCATGGGCCTTCGAGAAATCCTTCGCGTACACGGCGCCGGCGCTGGGAGGCGAAAAGGGCTCAGTCGAGCCGAGAACGATGAGCTCAACCAGCGCTGGCTCAACGATCTGGCCTGCCGCATGATTTGCGTCTTTATGCTCGATCGCTTTGCAGACTTCACGGGTGATAATGTCATTGCACCCATACGTGAGACTGCAGGACAGGCGCTCGGTTCGCTGCTGCAATACATGACTGGAGAAAACGTGCTGGCGACGTTCCGCGTCCTCAATCGCCTAATCATGAACCAGGACTTGCCCGTAGACACCAACCCCCTCAGCGCACCCTGGGCGCTTTGCCAGGGTGGCATGATTGGGTTGCGGTACCTTGTCGCTGTGCGCAATGACCTCCTGCTCCAGGACGGTGCTTTGATGGATGGAGTGCTGGCTGCAGTCATCAATGGACTCAGCAATGACGACGACGATGTCCGAGCCATTAGCGCCGCAACCCTGATTCCCGTCGTAAAAGAGTTTATCGAAATGCGGCCAAAGGCGCTTGAAGGTTTGATGAACGTCGTCTGGTCATGTCTATCTAGCTTGCAGGATGATCTTAGCGCCAGTACCGGCTTCATCATGGATCTACTCGCCAAGCTTTGCGGCTTCCCTCAGGTACTTGAAGCAATGCAAGCAAACGCTCGTCAAGATCCCACACAGTCATTCCAAGAGCTAGTCCCTCGACTCTTCCCCTTCCTGCGACATACCATTACCAGCGTTCGCGCCGCTGTCCTTCGTGCGCTCATCACTTTCCTCGACATCCAGAGCCAAGACTCGAACGGATGGATAGACAGCAAGGCCTTGCAGCTGATATTCCAGAACATCCTGCTCGAGCGCAACGAAGGCGTCTTGAAGCTTTCAATACAGCTTTGGAACGCCGTAGTGGCCAGTCTGGGTAGCCAGTTACCCACACATCTTGAACCCGTCTTGGATGCCATTATTCCTCTAACCCTTACGCCCATTGGAGTCTCTCGCCACCCAATATCCCTGGACAAGTCGCTGCTCATCAAGCCTTCAGGACAGGCCATGGGCCCACCGCCAAACAGTGAGTCGAGTCGGAAGTCGACACCTCCAGATGGTGGTGAGCCAGCGCAGAAGAGGAGGAAGAAGTCCCGTCCAGGAAAAGAAGATGTGTCAACACCGACACCATCTTCCATGTCTCACAATGTCGATGGCCACATGATTATGGGCGATCTTGAACTCATCGGAGCAGATGTCATGATAAGATCCAGGACCTCGGCGGCCCAGGCGATTGGCACAGCCATGGGTGCTTGGCCTGAAGAGTCAAGGTTCGAGGCTTTCAAGTCCAGGCTGATCAGTCCATTGTCCTCGCCCAACTCCACGACTCAGCTAACGGCTGCCATCATTCTTGAAGAGTTTGGAAAGAATCTGGCCAAAAAGGATGCGTTGGCTGAGCTGTTTGTCCAACACCTGCTGCCCATGGTTGAAGGCGAGAGACCATTGGCCTATGAAGATCTCGTCCCGAAACTGCAGATTGTCCGAACACAATGTTCATCGCTCCTCCACATCTTCCAAGAAGCACATGTGCAAAACCTGCCAAATCTCTCGACCATTGTTCAGGGCCTGCCATTCACCAACAACTATGCTTTCGGAGTCGCCGATGCGGAGAAGCTGGTTACCGTGCAATATGAGAAGCTCAAAAAGGCCATGACGCCTTCAGCGCGCATGGTCGCCGCAGCCAACCTGGAGACGACGCGCAAAGAAGTAGAGTCGAGCATTCAGGAAGCCAAGGACATCAAGGAAGAGCGCGATATCCGAATCAAGGCCGCAGCTGCTGGCGCACTTGTGGCACTCAACTCACCTCCCAAGAAGCCGTCGCCCCCCATCAAGGCCATGATGGATAGCATCAAGAAGGAAGAAAATGTCGAGCTACAAAAGCGGTCTGCAGCTGCTGTTGCTGGCTACATAGTGCACTTGGTTAACGGCAAGAGAACCGGTGTGGTGAACAAGGTCGTCGGTAACCTAGTCAAGTTCTACTGCATGGAGACTGCCGAAACACCCGAATTCGCCGGCCAGTCGCATATCGAAACCGGCATTCTTACGCTCAAAAAGGACGAGGACGTACGCGATCACCCAGATGCTGTTCGCTTCGCAGAAGAGTCACGGGCTGCTAGGATAACCAAGCGCGGTGCGCGCGAGGGTCTGGAGCAGGTTGTCGAACGTTTCGGCGCCGACATCTTCGACAAGGTGCCCATCTTGAAGGATCTGATTGAGCGACCAATCAGGGAGGCATTTACCGAGCCATCGCTTCCTGCACACATCTTCAACGAGGACGGTGTCTTTGGCCAAGAAGTCGTGGATGGACTCTCGACTCTGCGTGCTCTAGTAGGCAAGCTACATCCAAGCGTAAGAGGTTTCGTCAAGGAACTTCTTCCACTTATCGCCAGAGCGTTACAGAGCAAGCTGTACGTGCTGCGGTACGCAGCCGCTAAGTGCTTTGCGACCATCTGCAGCGTCATGTCTGTTGAGGGTATCACCATGCTTGTTGAGAGTGTACTGCCCACAATCAGCGACGGTGGAAATGTGCATGCTCGCCAAGGAGCGATCGAGTGCATCTATCACCTCATTCATGTCATGGACGACGCTATCCTGCCATATGTCATCTTCCTCATCACTCCTGTTCTTGGGCGCATGAGTGATTCAGACAACGATGTCCGGTTACTGGCCACCACCAGCTTTGCCACACTTGTCAAACTCGTGCCGCTTGAATCGGGTATCCCTGACCCACCCGGCCTTCCAGACTCCTTACTCAAAGGACGAGACCGAGAGCGCAAGTTTGTTGCTCAAATGCTTGACGCCAAGAAGGTGGAGCCTTTCGAAATCCCAGTCGGCATCAAGGCGACGCTCCGTTCCTACCAGCAAGACGGTGTCAACTGGCTGGCGTTCCTCAACCGATATAATCTCCACGGTATCCTCTGCGACGACATGGGTCTTGGTAAAACCCTGCAGACTCTTTGCATGGTAGCCAGTGATCATCACATGCGCGCAGAGGAATTTGCTAAATCTGGGGATCCAAACTTTCGCCGTCTCCCATCGCTCATCGTGTGCCCCCCAACCTTGTCCGGCCATTGGCAACAAGAGATTCGCCAATACGCGCCTTTCCTTAGCTGTGTTGCTTACGTAGGCTCTCCATCGATCCGCGGCCAGTACAGGAACGAACTCGACAAAGTAGACATTGTCATTACCTCATACGACATCTGCCGCAACGACGCCGATATCCTCAAGCCCATCAACTGGAATTACTGCGTTCTTGACGAGGGACACCTGATCAAGAATTCAAAGTCAAAGACTAGCCAGGCTGTCAAGCTGTTCCAGTCGAACCACCGCCTCATCCTCTCAGGTACACCCATTCAGAACAACGTTCTTGAACTGTGGTCACTGTTCGACTTCCTCATGCCAGGCTTCCTTGGTACAGAGAAGGTCTTCCAAGAGCGCTTCGCAAAGCCCATTGCCGCATCTCGATTTGCTAAGAGCTCATCGAAGGAGCAAGAGCGGGGTGCGCTGGCCATTGAAGCTCTACACAAGCAAGTCTTGCCCTTCCTCCTTCGTCGTCTCAAGGAAGAAGTTCTGGATGATCTTCCTCCCAAGATCCTGCAAAACTACTACTGCGATTTGTCGGAGCTCCAACGCAACCTCTTTGACGACTTTACCAAGCGTCAAGGCAAGGAGATTCAGTCCAAGGCTGGCAATGCGGATCGCGAGAGCAAGCAGCACATCTTCCAGGCCTTGCAGTACATGAAGAAGCTATGCAACTCTCCTTCCCTCGTCGTCAAGGGCCCTACCAACAAAGCTTACGAGGCAACTCAGCAGTATCTCAAGAAGAACAATACGACGATTGACGACATAGCGCACGCACCAAAGCTCGGAGCTCTCAAGGATTTGCTTGTAGACTGCGGTATTGGTGCATCAGATGTTGTAAATGACAAGTCGGCGAATGCAAATGGCGATCTGCCCGAAGCAGTTTCACAGCATCGCGCCCTCGTTTTCTGTCAAATGAAGGAGATGCTCGACATGGTACAGCACAACGTGCTTGAGAAGCTGCTACCATCCGTCCAGTTTATGCGTTTGGATGGTGGCGTTGAAGCCACTAAGCGACAAGAAATTGTCAACAAGTTCAATACCGACCCGTCATATGACGTCCTGCTCTTGACAACCAGTGTTGGTGGTCTCGGACTCAACCTGACTGGTGCTGATACGGTCATCTTCGTCGAGCATGACTGGAACCCGCAAAAGGACATTCAGGCCATGGACCGCGCGCATCGTATCGGTCAAAAGAAGGTAGTCAACGTCTACCGCATCGTTACGCGCGGTACCTTGGAGGAAAAGATTTTGAAGTACGTATACCCCCTCTGCATGCTCTTTACATATATGCTCACATTCCCTCCTCAGTCTCCAACGATTCAAGATCGACGTCGCCTCCACGGTAGTCAACCAACAAAATGCGGGTCTCCAATCCATGCAGACAGACCAAATCCTCGACCTCTTCAACGTCTCGGCAGATTCAAACGACCCCTCTGCGCTACCGGCGCCACCCTCCAACGCCAAAGACGATGGCCTCGGCATTGACGAAAACGATGCTGTCGATGCCACGGGCGCATTGAGAGAAAAGGGCAAGAAGGGATTCCTGGATGAACTGGGAGATCTCTGGGACGAGAAACAATATGACGAGGAATTCGACCTTGACGGCTTCTTGGGCAAGATGAAATCTTAGGGAACCTATGAGTGTATTTGGAGAAGAGGAGAAGACCAAAAAAAACGATGAAGAAAGGGTGACCAAGTTGTGTTGTCCCCACGAGAGAGACAGACAGTCAGACAGACAAGTTGATAGAAACTTGCCTTTTTGCCACCTCTCAGTTCTCTCCTCGTGTACCAAATTCTGCGGACGCCTACAACTACATGGAAAATATCCAACCAGTGAGCGTACTATCGAAGCTCCCTCACTCCCTCTATTCGGCTCGTGAACGCTCATCTTCACATCTTCGTTTTTTTTTTCATCTTCATACATCGATCCTTCCTCACATCTCTGACGCCTTTACGCAATATGGAACATTCCCACACACGCACGAAAAAAAGAAGGCCTTGGATTCTTTCTCTTGGACAGAACAAACGCTTTCTCTTCCTCTTCTCATCCTCATGCTCATCCTCATTCGAAACACATGCACACACATCTGCATAAACAGTGCAGTATCCACCCCTCTTCTTCTTCTTCTTCTTCTTCTTCTCCTTCTTTCCAAACACATCCCATACGCGTATCACATATGCTGTGATGTGGTATAGGGTGTAGTCACAGACGGTACAGCAACCACCGGGCAAAAAACCACAAAATCCCCCAAAACGAATCCAAAACAACCAAAAAAAAAACGAAGGAACGAATGTGTGCCGGTCTTGGTTTTTTTCTTTCTTTCCTTTCTGCGTTTACAACAATGTATGGGATGCATGTTATGGAATGCAATTGGGGATATATATATATCTATGGTATTAGTTGTATTAGCGTATGTTGTGTGTGTTGTGCGTTGGTTTATGTTAGAACTTTTTTTTTAGCATGGCGTTTCGGGGCGCTGATAGGTGGGTGGGGAGAGAGAAAGAAAGAGAGAGACACGGCGTGTGTGTGTGTGTGTGTGTGTGCGTGTGTGAAACGATTTTTTTGTACTTTATAGTTGTAGTTGTAAGGTGTGTAGTTTGATTGTTGTTGTGCTTTTTTTTGTATTTTTGTTGTTTACTCCGTTTGGTGCTTGACTTTAGCCTTGTTCTTCGTTCTTCATTCTTCCATTCTGCGACACTACCTTTTTCTTCTTCTACTTCCTCTTTTTGATTGGTTGATTGGTGGGTGGGTGCGCTGCTTGGTGGATATGTGGGAAAGAGGGGAGAGGAAAATATCATGGATTGGCGTTTCTAAGTGGACGGAGGTTAAGGGTTAGAATGCGGATACACACGGGGAATTGGGAACGGTTGTGAATGGGATAGAATGGAATGGAAATGGGATGGGATGAAACGAAATGAAACGGAATGAAATCGTAAAGCGTAGCATCTTGGAGCAACAATAAGCATGTCTATTTGTGCTTGTAGTCAAGTGTTTCTTGGGTCGAGGTGACCGGTGGCCGTGTGTAATGAATACGAAGATGAGGCGGCGAGAGTGACATACTTCGATTGTATGCGTTTACTTGACTTCTGTTGACATAGAGAAGCAAGGATGTTAGTACAATACACTGGTATCCCGTGCTTACTTTTTTCCTTTGGGAACCAGCTTGATGTTTTGTGTCTTAGTTTGCTGCTAGGCCTCGCACCCAATGTCACTTTTGCATGACCATCTTGTGAACAACTCCAGTTTCAGTATAACATCTCTTTGTCTCGATATTTTCCACCAAGGTCTTCTAGTGGGTTATGATGACAGCCAGATACAAGATGGCAAAATTTGGTCATTGCGCATGCACATTGATTCAAGAATACCGCAATGCGCGTAGGAAGCAGCGTCTTATATAGGCGACAAGGAACCCAATTTCCGGCCCCATCTCGCCTTGGGCCTTGGCTTCGGAAATGCAAGTAGTACTGGTAGAAAAAGCACTAACAGCTGATGCTAGTCGTCTAACACTTTTACATTTTTCGTTTGTGGCTTGTTGTGTGTAGCTGGGTTCGTTTCGAAGCGAGGTACGCGTAAGTGTTTTGCATGCTGCTGGGGCGAGTCGAAAAAGTAACAGCACTTTAGTTGCCACGAGGTGCGGATGATGATGTCTACGTTTTTTCTTCTTCAGTAGTCGTGGATCTAGCTGATTTCAGACAGATAACGGTGAAACAGACTTGTTGCATGGGCACAGCCGATAAACTTCCTTCTTCGAGCCATGGCGTCGGTCCTTTCTGCCGCTGGTGGTGTAATCATAGGCGTGGGGGCTAGTATGTGCTTTTCCGGTGGCTTTCAATCCAAGAATGGAGGCGCCAAAACTTCCGGGTCCATTGCAATCTCCGGTGCCAGTGCTGTAAACGGCGTGTGGAGGATGGTGCGACGATCGATGGCGGGTGCTTTGGAATAAACAATCAACGTACTGGTGCGGCGTCGGAAGGGCGTCGGATCTGTTGTGGTATTTGCGCCGGTGAGACTTTAGGCTTCATAGGGTAGGCTTTGGATCAGAGCTTTTTCAAGGTCCCAACGGGCGTTATTCAACAACCAGGGGGCCACGATCCCTGTGAGGCCGATGGAAGGAGAGGTGCGGCTGCATGACATGGGATTTTCGAGCTGGACGACAACTGCAATCGTGCAAAGCGCATAAGGCTCAGGAACTTTGTGGCGTCCAAGGAAAACGTACGTCGAGAAGATTTGATTTGTTTCCCGGAGTGGTGCATGGGTGGCCTGGTAAAGTTACAATGGGTAACACTCGCATCAACCCTTGGATACTAGTCAAGTCTCATCTGGCACCTTCAATGTCGGAATGGAAAATGTCTCGCAGGAAGTATGAGCGTAGAAGCCCAACCATGATCCCTGGTAGGTGTATACGGCTGTCCTCGCGACTGTATTCCTCAGTATTGGATCCCAGTTTTGTAATGCGTAAACATAAGCGGCTGGAAGGAGAGACGGTCGATCAAGGCTGCACTAGGTCCAGGTAGCGCTCATAGAAACTGGCAAAGGAAGAAAAGGTCAGATGACAATGTGCGGCGCATGGTTTCAGAGCTCATCGCAGAAGGACTCCAGGTTTTGTGACGACGGCAGCTTCATAGCTTGGAATTGCTTGTTGAGACAGCACACTGAGTATCAAAAGTCGAGCCTCAATTGTCCATGAGAAAGGTCGGCAAGCGATTTGAGCACAGGATAATTGAATTGGATTGCCAGAAGGGCACAGCGTGTGTGCGTGGTTGTGGAAGATCCAGAAATGGGCTCCGTACTGAAAGTTCTGGTTTGGCCGACGGGTTGTCAATGCTGTTGTCGCAATCCTACCGATGGGAGTGTGAATGACATCATCTGACGCTGGCGTTGGGGCGGTACTATTTCCATTAATAGCCATACAAGTGCAGAGCATTATTTACTCATTCATCTGAATGAATACGTTGTGGAGGCGCACAGTCATCCGTTATGATGGCATTGTATCCGAGGGAACCGGGCGAGGCTCCGACACGTCCGTTGCAGGCGCATATGGGAACAGCATGTCTGTAGGGGTTGACGAGAGCAAATCCATGTGGATGTTGAATGCAACGTAATGGTGGTGGGCCAAGAGTGGAGGTTCCAAGCATTCATTCCACGGTACGCGTTGATCCTTGCTCGCAGAAAGTCGGGCGAGGCACGCCGTGTAGCGTGGGCGTAGTCAACATGGCCGCGGTGTAGAAAAGAATGGAGAAAAGGTATGGAAGGGCGGCAGGCAGAGCAGAGGGCGAGGAAGGTGGGAAAAGAGGACGTTCCCTGTGACGGGAGGGGAGGGCCAGAGACAAGGGGAAGCGCCGGTGGGCGAGAGAAACGCCCAGGGCGGGCTGTGGGGCGACTCCTGTTGATCACGGGCTTGCTCCTTCACTCCAATCACAGAGCGGTTGGCGCAACCGTCTTATCCAACGATATCGATTGATCTGACCGCCTTCATTTCGGCTGCCCAAGAGCAGGGCGGGACAGGTGCTATCGGGCGGCTAATGCAGTGGGCTGCTGGCATGCAGCGCCAGAGGTGCTGCCATGTGCATTGGTGAGTTGGCAGTGGTGAAGGCGACTGGCAGGGGTGTGTAAGTAGTGTAGACGCGGGCGGCGATGGCGACAGGGCGCATGTGCATGTGTCGGGGTCGCTGGATTGCTGGCTGAATGCAGGCGGGCGGCACGTGCAAATAGATTACTTGGAGGCGGTCAGGCAGACAGGGCCGAAAACACGTCGCGGCCATGTCGCAGGCCAAGACTGGCGGCGATGGCGCATCAAGACGGCGGCCAGCCAGGCGTCGAGACGGGTAGTGCGAACCATGGCAGCTGGCGGAGGCGCGATGGCGAAGGAAGGGCTTGGGCTAGCCGTGTTGGGGGTGGGAGATGATGCCGAGATGAGGTGTCGAGGGAGACGGCAAAGCGTGGACCAGAAGGGGAGGGCAGACCAAGGCGCTAGTCCGGTTGCGTCGGCGCCCAAGGCTTAATTTCCACTCCCTTGGCAAGACATGGCCGTCGAGCGACTCGGGGCTCCCTCCATCCCTCGCTCGACTGCGCGTGCACACGACACCAGCCGCGCGCAGAGAACGGCTTGCGTCGCCCGCGGCACGACAATTATGCCATGCGCTGCCGGGGCGCTGGGACGGCGTTCACAGCACTGGCGTGCATCCACACCCACAGGTCCGTCGACGACGCAGCGCAAATTGTTTGCAAACACAGGAAATCCGCTGACGTGCCCTGCAGATTCTGCAACGCTGACACGGCTGTCGTCAGTGTTTCGGGGCAGCGATCTCGAGAAGAATGGAGACAGAGGCCCCGTGTCGCAGTGGAGAACCTGTGTTCAACGGGCAGCGCGATAAGCCAGCTTCCCCTGAGGATTCCCTGCTGCGATCGCCACTTGGGATGCGGCGGCCTTCGGGGCAGAGGCCCTCGCAGCAGACGTGCCTCTGCCACTGGCGAGCGGGCAGCGCGCGAGCGGACGTCGTTATGCCATCTTGGCCAGCCCCAGGCGCCCAGAATGGAGCGACAGCCGGCACGCCGACGCTGTTGGTTGAGCAGCCTCGTCAGACGGGCTCATTTGTGCAACACGAGAAGCCACCGCAGCTATCCAGAGCCGGCCTGCCTGTATTGTCCTAGCCCAAGGCACGCACGTCCGCCGACTGGCCAGGCGAGAGCCAGGGGGTTTTGCGGACCTGCATTAGCCCTGACATCCGCCAGGCCACCTGCAATGCCTAGATGCTTCCGCCCCTGTCGCCCGTTCTGTCTCCCCCCCCTCTCAGTGGCCATTTGCTTCCGTCCGCGCTACCGCGCTGGCAATCTCCCTCCGGTACATAAGACAAGAACGTGCTCCCTCCGCTGCTTTTCTTCTCCACTTCACAGCCAACCTTCGAGCTACAAGTCCTTTGACCTTCGAGTCGTCCATTCGTTGCACATCAACTAATACTCTCCTTAATAATACAAACTCAACAACTCTCTCACCAACCACCAACCACCACCACCACTTCACTTTTTACCTTTCAAGTTCTAATACCCAACAATCAAAATGCGTTACACTATCGCCTTCGCTGCTTTCGCCGGCCTGGCCGCCGCCGTTCCCCAGTACGGTGCCTACCCGGCTGAGACCCCCAGCAGCGCGCCTGCTCCCACCGAGTCCTGCTCTGAGACTCCCGCCTACCCGGCCATGACTCCCTCGCCCACTCCCGAGCACCCCGGCTACCCTGCTCAGCCTCCCAAGGAGAGCTCTCCTCCTTCTCCCGGCTACCCAGCTCAGCCCCCCAAGGAGAGCTACCCTGCTATGCCTCCTACTCCTCAGCAGAGCCACCCTGCTCAGCAGCCTCCTTCTCCCGGCTACCCTGCCCAGCCCCCCAAGGAGAGCCACCCTGCTATGCCTCCTTCCCCCGCGCAGAGCCACCCTGCCCAGCCTCCTTCTCCCCACAACCCCACGGTTCCTGAGGCTGCTACCAGCTCTTGCCTGAGCTCCACCACCATCACCATCACCGTCCCCTACCCCACCGGTACTGCCTCTCCTTCGCCATCCAAGCCCGTCGGCGGTGCTCCCTACCCATCCAAGCCCGTTGGTGGTGCTCCCTACCCCTCCGTCCCCGCTGGCACTGGCGCTCCCCCTGCCGGCACTGGATACCCCACCAAGACTGGTGGCTACGTCAAGCCTACTCTTCCTCCTCAGTTCTCTGGCTCTGCCAACTCGCTCAACGTCGGTGGCTTCGTTGCCGGTGTTGGTGCTTTCGCTGCTTTCTTCTTGTAAACGTCATCTTCAACTGAGCTTGCTTTCGGGTAGGCTATGACTTTACACGAGTGCGTTGCATAGAGGTTTGGTCTGCTCTTGCGGGTATATATCCTTGGTATCGGAAAGGGTAATTGTAATTAGTTGGGGACGATTTGATAGCAATCGAACTTGAAAACACGTTTCTTCCTTTTGTGACGCGCTTGGGACCTGCTCAACTGTATCTACCCAGTGTCATGTTTATCTACTTGAATTTACCTTTATCTTCTTACATTCCGAGTAAACCCTGCCTGTGTACGTTTCTATCGTCATTGCTATGGTTTGAGTACAGCGGGTGCTTGCTACGGTATGAATTTTTCCCCCTCTCAATCTGTGGCAGCACACCAGACAATGCGCGTCGTCACCATGTGAAACCACCGAAATAGCTTAGTATGAGGACCCCCCCGTCTACTATGGCTGCCTTCGGAATTAGGCTTCGAGGCCGATTTCACTTTGCAATCTACTGTGAGCCCACGACTTGTTGTCCGAAAGCTAAATGTCAAGCTACTCAAAACCCTGGTTTCACAAAGCCTATGTGGCGTTGGGAACAAAGTAATATGGATGAACAAAGTAATATGGATGCAGATCTCGACTCAAGTGCGACGTCTAGTTTCTGTCTACCAGCTGTCGCAGAGACTTATCGCATAGTCTGTAACGTGGCTGAGAGCGGTGCGCATGAGACAGCCGACTAGAGTCTCACGATCCCCCGCTTTTTACCATACTCTCTTCAGCATTAGCGCATTGTCTGAGTAGCATGTCTCCATTTTGGCCTGTCTTTTTGTTCTGTTGAGCGTGCGCACGGTATGTGACGTTTTGTGCGGTGCATGTATTGCAGCAACTTTCCACTCGCACTCGATGCTCAAGTGCCCAAGCACTCTGGACAATGATTCAGCACGACGCAAAAATAGACCTGGGCGGGTTCCATGCACGATACCGCCAGCCGCACAAGGCCACCTGGCCCTGGGGGGTCTCGGAATCCCGAGCATAAAATTTTACCCTGCGCAAGGTACAAAAAGAAACATGCCATAAGTACACAGCACAGCTTGTATCCTGCGGCTTTTCCAAATGGCCAAAAGCTGATAGCGTGGTATTTGGGTTCTTCGTATCGCTAGTCAAGCGTCCCAGATTCTAAAATAATTGTCTGCTCCAAAAAAAAATTTGGTCCTTCGATTCAGCTGTGGAATTGCAAAGTTCGGCGCCTTGTTTCACGATGCTGACGCCATAGCCATTGTCTGAGGCGCTTGCTTATCTCTGTCCTGATTTCGCATAATAGCAACATTAAGGACCGACAGACTTCTCGAGGGTAATAACATAGGTCCGGAGAAAGTCGCCTTTGAGATTACGTGCTTATTTATATGAGGGTCGTGATTCGAAGGTCCGGCAAGAATTCGGTCCACAGTTTGGTGCTATTGAAAATCCGTGCCAATAGCATCATCCGTGTCCTTTCTTACTCATATGTCATCAGGGCTTTCAACGGGTAAGAGAGCTTTCACAGGTAAGAGAGCTTTCACAGGTAAGAGAGCTTTCACAGGTAAGAGAGCTTTCACAGGTAAGAGAGCTTCCAACGGGTAAGAGGGGTAGGTGGTGATTACATATATGTTGGTTCATGAGATGCCCACTTACCAATGGCCTTGCGACACGGTTCAGGAATAACCCTCGTGACTACAGGGTAATTGCCCCGAGATCGTCATGACTGGGCGCGAACATCTATTACAAGTTGCTGATAGAATACCACCTTGTGGGTCCCCAGGTTAAGCCTTGAGTATACAATAAACGCTGCTTTCTTTCCTTTATGATGATACCGATTGCTGTGTCCTTGCGTAGGAAATGATTGTAAAGTATCCGCACCATCGGCCTTCCGACGGGACGAATAGCCCAAGACGAGTTATCCGACAAATGGAGAGAAAGAGAAATGTAGTTGGAAGCTATTATACCACGCAGTGCAACTGCTTCTCGTCTTTGGTTGTAGCCCACTATTGTTCATCTTCTTTCCGTGGAATGGCTATCCAAGGTCAGGTATGGTACGCGAACACAAAATTCCTGCTATCGATTCGTCAGTAGTTTCGAGGGAAGAATGGCTAGAACAAGGCCTCAAAATATGCAAACTATATAAACCAACGATCCTGTTTCTCTGAAACTCCACCTTGTCACCACAAAAACCAAAATGAAGTTTTTTATAATCATTCTTGCCCTAGTGGCTTCTATTCTCGCATTACCACAGAGCATATTTACGCCCATATGCCCGGCCAACTTCCTCCAGCCACATGGCAAACTGCCGGCAGGCCGCTCCGTCACCCCCGAAAACATCTTCCCCATCAGCTACAGGCGCCCACGCGAAGTCTTTCTCCCATCCAAGTGGGCGAAAATAACACAACACGACTTTTGCACCATTTTCAATTTCGAGATTGAAAACGTGCAAGCGCACAACAAAAACTGCCATCTGATCTTCAACTTCCCCCCGCGAAGACGAGATCGAAAATTATACACCATCGTCGGCTCCAGCAACTTCACGTTCAAAACTTACAATGTCCTCAACGCCTGGGCCATGCCGGGCAATACAACATGGGAAACACAACCGCTCTGGTCAAGCAAGCCGGCAGTCAACAAGAGATTGAGGCCCGGAAAGAGCTACATCATCCAGCAAGAACCATGTCGCATTCCGTTCAGTAAGGGACGGACGGTCCGGAGTGTGTTGATGTGTTCGGCAGACTCGACGTTTGAGTTTTTGGAGAGCAGTGAAATCTGTCCTTTAGGACTGTTTATGATTTTTACAGATGATTGAAATTGGAATGGAATGAAGGGTGCGTGGAGCAAGCGGTTGTATACTGTGTATTCAACCCAGTGGGCTCAATGTTCGTATATTTTCATACCCTAGTGTAGTATTGAATCCAATAACTCTCTCATTCTCCATGTACGTTTCGGTCTTGCGTCGCTTACCTCTATGGATTAATGTGGGTGCAGGGACACTAGAAATTAGTTTGCCTGTCGTTGTAAGTGATGAAATATTTCTTAGGAATTTCCTAGTGGATTAATCACGCCTTGAACGATTTGCGGGGCACGATGCATGCCTTTGTAGCCGACTGCCAACTTGAGTTTGGACTGATTACGGAGGGCGGCCTTTGCTCTACTTAACCTTTCCAACTACAAATCAATGCGCGCCATTCTTCATGTTCACGTATGCTGGTGTGAAGGTCGATCAACCTATCCCAAGTTTCGGGCATCGTTGCTATATTCACCGTGGATGAAAAAAACTTACGCACAATAAGTCATACTTAGTTGCTTTGAACATTAACACCTACTTTATCATCGCACACACCCAACCATGGTCAGCGAAAATCTCAAAACCGCATCTTGGTTCTTCTTCGACCTAGACGACACCCTGCACGAGTTCCGCAACGCATCTTCTGCCGCCGTTGACGCAGTCCTGCAGCTCGTCATCCAACAGCAAGCAACGCCAGAACGCGCTCCTGTCACGGTAACAGACCTAAAAGCAGCATATCTCAAGATTCTCAAGACGAGTACATCTTCCGCATTTACAGATGGAAAAACAAGCCACGAGTACCGTGCCGAGCGCTTTACACGTACCATGAATGCTCTTGGGCCTCACTCCTACGACGGAGCACATGGCGCAAATACTTGACATGTACGAAAAGACTTTGACTGCGCATTTGGTATTGAAGCCTGGCGTGGTATCACTCCTCGAGTCGCTCAAGCAACGGGGCAAATGCGTGGCCATCGTTACGGAAGGCCCTCAAGACGCCCAAGAACGTGCCGTAACTGCATTAGGATTAACACCGTACTTTGACCGCCTGATCACTACGAATGCGTTTGGTGTGGCAAAGGTCGATGGGTTGTTTGAAAGGGCATTGGAGGCTTTGCAAATCAAAGGCGGGGACGCGGTGATGGTTGGTGATAGCTGGGACCGAGATGTGGTGCCTGCAGGAAACGCAGGCATAGGGTGCGTGTGGTATGCGGAGAAAGAGGGGGAGAGAGAATTATTGGTCGATTTCAAAGGTAAAGGAGAAAGGAGAGTGGCTGTAGTAAATTCTTTAGGCAGGCTGCAGAGGATGATTGAAGGCGTATGATACGGAGAGAAAGCAAGTTGTGGCAGCGTAATTGGTTCATTTGAAATTGAGCTTGCCCTGCGTGATACTTGGGGACTAGGGAAATGCATGTAGTATACTACAAGTAGTTATGCTGGATCTTATTGCAATGGTGTATGCAGCGGACAAGTCATGTCCAATCGCTTGGGAAGCGCTGACGGGGTTTCTTCGACGCACATGCAGCTTATGTCGTACGAGCACATGCGCCACAATAACTCTTTACTATGCTCCTTTGAACCATATAAATCCAGACATGTAGATATAGTAAAGAATATCCAAGGACTAATCTGTTGCTCTACTGGTTTCACTCATTTGCCCGACTCAAGACCAGGTTACGACGCCAAAGTCCTGTCAGAATGCGTATATCCACCGCCACCTCTCTCAGCATCTTTGCTGCTGTCAATACAGCAGCGCGACTATCTCCCATGATTAACTACTGCACGGGAGACAAGAAGACTGTCGGGTACTGCGACACACTATCTTACATCGACACGACTGCAGCCGCTGCAAACCCACCCAGAGCGGATGATTGCCAGGACACCTGCCGGGGTATCTTGCAAGATGCCGGGGACTGGTCTGTAGATTTCCGAGGTACTACAACTTCATTCTGTGCACACCTACACCAAATCTTCTTTTTATCGTCTACGAAAACTTAGTTCTCCAATGAGAGAAAAGTTGTCTTTTGATTCACCAGTGGCCGTTAGTGCTAACGACAAGTTCGTACCAAGGCAAACCAGAAGGCTACCGCCAGCGTATGTATCAAGCAACTTGCGGCTTTGAAATGGGACCTATACCAAACACATCGCATGAGTTCCAGTTTGATATGGATAATCAGGATATCGTTGATATCATGGATGAAACGGTTAGGCGGTTTGCGCGATTGCATGGGGGGAGAGTGGCGGCTGAGGGAAGAGTAAAGTGTGGTGGACATGAAGCTATGTGGTACATTACGCGGGATGCCTTGTAAATATGTACAAAAATCAATTATCTAGCCTTGTATTAGCACAACTGAGGTAGTCTGTATGTAGAGCCGCAGGCGAGTGGGAGTCAAGTGCGCGAACGATGGGTAAAATATTCGCCTTTATATTCGCCTTTTGTCATGCCAATCACCACTGCCATTCGTCAACTCCGCTTTCCTATCGATGATGCTATTATCTATGGGTTGGGCTGTACAAATAGAAGTCCATTGCAGAGCGTGGAAATTGTAGCGGCAGTTCCAAGAGCGTCATAGGTGGGAGAGACCAAGGGCGGGGCCGTATCGATAGCTGAGTCACGCTAGTGGCGGGGGATTTGGCGTCGGAGGAGTCAACTCTGGAAAATCATTCCCCGCCACGGGCAACTCTCAGCAACACCAAAATGTCTATTGACTTCCCTCGCGAGGAAGAGCGCGTGCTCGCGCGATGGAAGGAAATCAATGCTTTTCTGAGGCAGGTTGAGCTGGTAAGTGGCGGCTAAATCCTGCGCTCTTTTCTCCTCTATCAGCCCGTCTTTCGTTCTTTAGTCTCCAAAGACTTCTGTTGCGTGACTGCTAGCGACTTTGTCCAAGATTTTCTCCCATGCTAACAATCTCACACAGTCCAAAGGCAAAGAACCATACACATTCTACGATGGCCCCCCGTTCGCGACCGGAATGCCCCACTACGGGCATCTTCTGGCGTCCACCATCAAGGACATTATACCGCGTTACTGGTCCATGAAGGGTCGCTATGTTGAGCGAAGATTTGGTTGGGATACCCACGGTGTTCCAATCGAGTACGAAATCGACAAGGAACTGGGCATGTCTGGACGTGATGCCGTGCGGGAAATTGGAATCGCCAAGTACAACGAAAAGTGCCGCGCAATTGTCATGAGATATGCGACCGAATGGAGAGCCACCATCGACCGTCTTGGACGCTGGATCGACTTTGACAACGACTACAAGACTATGGACACCAAATTCATGGAGTCCGAGTGGTGGGTCTTTAAGCGCCTGTTCGACAAGGGCGCCGTGTACCGTGGATACAAGGTCATGCCCTACAGTACAGCGTTGGCGACGCCTCTCAGCAACTTTGAGGCTTCTCAAAACTACAAGGACGTCCAAGACCCGGCAGTCGTTGTCACCTTCCCTCTAGTCAACGACCCAAACACGTGCTTGCTGGCATGGTAAGTGAATTTGCTCGTCACGCGGCTTGTCGATTTTCATGCGTTGCGAACTCCACAACTACGCCGGTATGCACTAATCTGATGTGAACAGGACTACCACCCCCTGGACACTCCCGTCAAACACCGGTCTCTGCGCACACCCCGATTTCGAATACATCAAGATCCTCGACGAAGCGTCCGGAAAACATTACATTCTCCTCGAATCCTTGTTGCGCACACTTTACAAGGACCCCAAGAAGGCCAAGTTCAAGATTGTCGAGAAGCTCAAGGGCAAGGACATGCTAGGCTGGAAATACGAGCCCCTCTTCGACTACCTGTACGATGAGTTCAAAGACTACGGCTTCAAGGTCTTGAACGATACCTACGTTACGGCTGACAGCGGTGTGGGTATCGTTCACCAGGCTCCCGCATACGGAGAGGACGATTACCGCGTCGCTCTCGCACACGGTGTCATCTCCGACACCCGCACACCTCCAAATCCAGTCGACGACCAAGGCTGCTTCACTGCAGTTGTGAAGGACTTTGAGGGTCAACACGTCAAGGCAGCAGACAAGGGTATCATCAAACACCTGAAAGGAACTGGACGCTTGATCGTGGATTCACAGCTTCTCCATAGCTACCCGTTCTGTTGGCGGTCCGACACTCCCTTGATCTACCGAACTGTTCCCTCATGGTTTATCAAGATCCAGGACATTGTCCCACAAATGCTCGAGAACATTGCAGGCTCACACTGGGTTCCTTCATTTGTCAAAGAGAAGCGATTCGCAAACTGGATATCCAACTCGCCTGATTGGGCAGTGTCAAGAAACCGTTTCTGGGGAACTCCACTCCCAATCTGGGTCAGCGATGACGGAAAAGAGGTCGTGTGCATCGGCAGCGTAGAGGAGCTGAAGAAACTCAGCGGATACGAGGGAGAGCTTACTGACATTCACCGTGACAAGATCGACCACATTACCATTCCCAGCAAAGAGGGCAGGGGTGTGCTGAAGAGAACAAACGAAGTTTTCGATTGTTGGTTCGAGTCTGGTTCTATGCCCTACGCAAGCGCACACTACCCGTTCGAGAACGTGGAGCAGTTCGAGAAGTCTTTCCCCGGAGACTTCATTGCGGAGGGTCTCGACCAAACCCGTGGTTGGTTCTACACACTCACAGTTCTGGGCACACATCTGTTCGGAAAACTGCCATTCAAGAACTGTGTTGTTAACGGCATCGTCCTCGCGGAGGATGGCAAGAAGATGTCGAAACGTCTTAAGAACTACCCGGATCCCTCTCTCATCATGCACAACTACGGTTCCGATGCTCTGCGATTGTATCTCATCAACTCGCCTGTTGTTCGTGCCGAGACGCTTCGGTTCAAGGAGGCGGGTGTCAAAGAAATCGTTTCCAAGGTCTTGCTACCCCTGTGGAACAGCTATCAGTTCTTTGAGCAACAGGTATCGCTGCTGAAGAAGGTCGCTGATCTGGACTTTGTATTCGACCCCGAGGCCGAGAAGACAAACACAAACGTTCTGGATCGGTGGATCTTGGCATCTTGCCAATCGCTATTGAAGTTTGTGAATGAGGAGATGGCCGCGTACAGACTGTATACCGTGGTTCCGCGGTTGCTCGAGCTTATCGACAACACGACCAATTGGTACATTCGATTCAACCGCCGCCGACTAAAGGGTGAATACGGTCTCGAGGACACGAAGCACGCTCTCAACACACTGTTCGAAGTCCTTTACACACTTTGCCGTGGACTTGCACCTTTTACGCCATTCATCACTGATAACATCTACCTCCGATTGCTGCCACACATCCCCAAGGAACTGCATGCCGAGGATAACCGAAGTGTACACTTCCTTCCTTTCCCAGAAGTCCGTGAGGAGCTGTTCGACGAAGCCGTTGAGCGCCAGGTGAAGCGCATGCAGTCAGTCATTGAGCTTGGTCGTATCTGCCGAGACCGCGCCAACAAGGGTCTAAAGATCCCGCTCAAGACGCTGGTAGTCATTCACCCAGAGCAACAATATCTGGATGATATCAAATCGCTAGAGAACTACATCCTAGAGGAGCTGAACGTGCGAGACATTGTGCTGTCAAGCGACGAGGAGAAGTACAACGTGCAATACTCTGCGTCCGCAGACTTTTCTGTTCTGGGTAAGAAGCTCAAGAAAGACGCCGTCAAGGTCAAGAAGGCACTGCCGAGTCTCAAGAGTCAAGAAATCAAGGATTACTTGAAGAGCGGCTCGATTGTGGTTGACGGCATCAAGCTCGAGGCCGAGGATTTGATGGTCAAGCGTGGTCTTGCACAGGACTCTGGCAACAAGGACCAGGAGTTCAACACTGACAACGATGTTCTCATCATTCTTGACGTCGCTTCGTACCCTGAGCTTGAGCAAGAAGGTCTTGCGCGAGAAGTTATCCGTCGCGTACAAGACTTGCGGAAGAAGGCTGGGCTGGTGCCTACTGACGACGTGGGCATGGAGTACCGCGTCTTGAGCGATCCGGAAGGAGTTGGTCTGGAGAAGGCGTTTGAGAACCAAGGACCGCTGTTTGAAAAGGCTCTACGAAGGAACGTTGACAAGCACGTCATCACTGAGCTTGACGGCAAGATACCCGAGAACAGCAACGAAAAGGTCATTGCAGAGGAAGAGCAGGAGCTTCATAAAGCAACATTCCTTTTGCGTTTGGTTAAGCTATGAGGCACATGCAGCACCGTTACGCTCCTAGCCAATGGCTTTGTGGACCGTTGGGGTGCCCGATAAAGTCTTTGATGCAGTGATCACGCAATGTGAATAGATGAAATGATAAAAATATATTTCCAACCAAATACCACAAAGAACCTGAAACTTCGCACGCGGACAAAGAGATGGTCCGCGCCATGGCTACTACCGCTGCTTATACGCCTTCTGATCCAAGCATTAGCAATGTGTAAATGACCCCGCGATTAGAGATGGCTCTACCAGGTAGCATTCTTTAAGCTTCATAAACTCATTGACACACATGTCTTTGTGCACATTGCCGTAGTCTGCAAAAATGCACTTGCCGTATACTGAGCTCTGGTGGTGCAAGTTAGAAACTGGTTCAAAGTGTGATGTGCAAAAGTTTGGGAGGCGGGCAAGGGACTAAGTGGCGTGCGTACTTCTTTTGAACATTTTGCAGCTGCGGTGGCAAGCTTATCGATGGGACGAGTTCGACCTGGCATTTTGGCGCAAATTTTAGACGACTATCCAAGGCCTAAATTTGGAACGGATGCAAGCGTGTGGAATGTTTTGAGCATGTGGCGGTTGACGTTGATGAGGTCAATGTCAGGGTCCACCAGACTAAGTCTTGGCGCTGTCGCTGTAAGAACGGGCGGCCAACCACCCGCGTAACCAAGCGCGTTGCTCTCACGCAAGCGGGCGCAACGGGTCCCCGTCACCCATCCATCGATACATCCTATAATGCTTAATAGTTGCGCGCGAGCCTCATCTTCACTGCGACTGCACCGCATGCCGCCTTCTCGCCGCTCACACTCTTCCCGAGCCCAGCAGCTACTTCCATGTTGTCGCGAACGCGCCGGAGACGACCGAGTCGCGTGCACGAATGCTACCCTCCATGAGACAAAATGGACGTGACCCGAAGGACCTGACTAGGGATGACTTACCCAATGAAGGTACTGCTGGCTTCTTTCATCCTGCTGCTGCTGTCCCTGTGCTAATGTTCTCGCAGTCGTCGAAACCCTATATGATATTATATACAAGGCGAACCAGTCGCAGGACAAGACTTCGCGCGCCATCTTCGATGCATGCGACAAACACGTCGAGGACCACCATCTAGAGCCCAAGGACAGCGCCATCCTCTATCGCTTTTTGGCCCGTCTACAACATCATGAGCGAGAGGGGGAAGACTTCTTGACGCGCTTCCAGCGCGTGCTCAGGGATTATTTTGAGATTACCGTGGGATGGGGTGAGGACGCCGAGGATGCCGAACCTGCAGTTGACCCAGATGCGACGCGTAGAGAGGCACAGCCAAGCCTAGGCCGGTATACAAGGACAGGCAGCTTCGACTCGTTCCTCGACGGGACCGCCGACAAGGTTGCTGGGACCGACCACGGTGACCTTGCTGTGCGCCCGGCTAGAGCACCGCAACAAGGCGCCCCGGACGACCACGGTAATAACTCGAACAGGCGTCGGGCCACATCCGACACAGAAGCGCATTCCTATCATCAAGCAGGACTTCCCATACGCCATAGGATCAATGGCATTGCGCCTCGACGCGCGACCTCTGGACCACAGCAACCAGCTCATAAGCGCAGCGCTTCCGTCTCTAGCCGCGGCAGTCTGCAGATAAGAAGAGGCGGACAACCGGCGCCGTACAAGGCCGGTATCGACGATGCAGACGACGACAGTTTCACCGACCACACCGCCAGCCTCGATCTTGCCAAAGTCCAAATACCAGGTGTGAATGCGCCCATACCCGATGGGCCTTACCAACCACTCCAGCAACCGCAGCAGCAAAGGCCATATGTTTTCGAACCATTTCGACCCTCCGATACGCGACTGATGGATGATGCTGAAACCTTTGAACAACAACGGCTTCATCGACTAACCAGAGAATGCATATGGAGGTGGCGCCGTCGGGCGCAAGACCGCATAATCATGCGAGAAGACATGGAGCGGGCAGCTGTTGAGTTTGAGCGCCGCATTCTGCTCAAAGCCTCCCTTTTGCAACTGCGCGACACTGCGCTTGTCAGGCGATCCAGCCGAGAGACGAACCGCTTTTTTGATCGGTTAGAAACCAGAGCAGAGAAGGCTCGTAACCTGTTTCTGCTCACCAAAGCCTTCACACACTGGGCGAAATGTGCCGAAGACGAGGTCCAGCGCACCTCAGTTGCGCGGCGCCATATCTTGCGCACGCGGTTTTTCAATGGCTGGCGCGAGATTACTGCAGTTAATGAGCTAAAAATCCAGCATTTTGCTCTGGCAAAGTTCCTCTCCAAATGGCGCACACGTACCGCAGCGATACGTGACGCTGAGCAATTTGCGGTTTCGCACTACGAAGACAAGATTGTAAGGCACACGTGGGATGCTTTGAACATGGAGTATCTTAACAGGGGTGCTTCAAATTGGCATGATAAACGGACCGCAAGGACTACACTGCAAAAGTGGCGGGAGATAGTGGAAATCATGAGAGAGCGGGGTGTATGGGCTACTGACAGACGAGACGGGATGCTATTGCGAAAGACATTCCAAACATGGCAGCAGAAGTCTGAGGCCGCCCAAACCCTCCAATCTCAAGCAGACGAGTTCCGACGCACCAGCCTACTTCGAACGGCGTTGCATACGCTGCAGAAACAAGCGCAACTCCAACCGCAATTCCGTCAATTCCAGACACGCGTCAACAACCGTTTGCTGGTTTCCGTTTTCCAGGAATGGCGTAGAGGCGCTCAATTATCACGCCGCGCCCGTAACGTCGATCGCCTGCGACTTTTGCGTAACACGTACACTGCCTGGAACGATAGACTGCGCATCAAGGCGCTTGAAGAGCGTATCAATGACCGCCTCATCATCGAATGTTTGTACAAGTGGACTCTGGCATCTAGAGTATCTTTGTTCCAACGTGTTCATGACCGACAGCTCAAGGAGTCGACCTTCTTATCCTGGGTCACAAAGACGAACCAGCGTGCCAACACCCTCGATGCAGCCGAAAGGCGGTTCGCCCAATTTAAGCGTGCGCAGCTGTTGCGCACATGTTTACGAAAGATGGAAGCCATCACTGCGGAGAGAAGAGCTGAGCAGTTTGCGATACTAGCAGAGTATCAGCAAAAGCTGAAAGAACGCACCTTTGACAAGCTCAAGGAGCGGCAAGCGCATTTTCAGCAGCTGAATCAATGGTCGGCAGATGCCCGCTTTTACGTTCTTTGCAAACATACTTTAAAGACCTGGAGCGAAGCCACGCAGCTTGCGCGCCGCAACCGCCGACGCGAGACGTACTCCCAAGTCCGTAGAACGGTCAAGACAAATCTTGTGCGAAGGGTGTTTGGGCATTGGCGGGACAAGTCGGCCCATATTGCGGAGTTGAACCAAAGAGCAAACGGCATTCAACACAACCGCACAATGCAAGCCAGTGCAGCAATTCTGCATCAATGGCACGATCGCACGCTTGTTCTCCGTCAGCAGGATGCTCAGGCAGTCAATCTCCACGCCTTCAAGATCTCTTCTACGTATCTGAACATATGGTCCCAGCGCTTGGATGATATTCGCATACTAGAGGGCCAAGCCATTGCTCTTCGGCAAGAAAGCACTGAGATTGCCGCTGCAGGCGCCCTCAAGAAGATGGGGTGGCGTCTTTGGAATTTCAAGAGACAAGAAGATAATGCGAGAGCTCTGTTCAAACGCAACTTTGAAAAGCATACCAGGGCTATGGTTCGCTTTTGGGTGGAGCGAGCTGCGGAGCGATCCGCTCAACGGTCTGCAAGTCCTACGCCTAACCGTAGGTCGAGAGGACGGAGAACGAATGATGACAATGAAGGCGGTGGTGATCTGACCAATATTGAGAGCAAAACCCAAAATGGACAGAGAGGGTTGGGGCCGGTTGACGAAGCGCAACGTCTGGAAGCCTGGACAGCTTTCGACGGGGATGCTTTGGGTCTGAACAACGACCTTGATCTTGACCTCTCGCTTTCCCTCACACCAGAGCGGCCTCCGCGACAGCCAGTTTTCACACCTAATCCATATGCCCAGGCCCCAACGCCATCTTCGGCGCGTCCACTGGGCTCCATCCTCCGCCGCACAAACACATATTCACAGCCAGATCCTGTCCTCCGCCCTCCGCCCACGACCATCGTTGAAGACGACGAGTCTGAGCTAGACTTCGGAGACGGCGCCCAGTCAACCTTTTGGACAGGAACGCCCATGCCACCCACAGCAAGCAAGCCCGGATACCTGAAAACGCCATCAAAACGCAGTGTAGCACGTGCCAAACACCCCGAGCTTCCCGCTAGTCCCGAGAAGCAGCGTGTTCTCAGTCCCATACGCCGGCCCCTAGGATCCGTCCTTGAGCGAGAAAGGAGTACCCCACGGATAGGCAGCATGAGTGCGCCGCCCGTGCGAAGCTCAGCACCCGGTGCCTTTGGCGATGTGGGCGGCGTGACAAGTTTTGAGCGGAGGCTGAGAGAAGGTGGATTTGGAGGAAGTGTTGCTATTGGTAGTAGTGCGAGGAATAGAGGACGAGCGAGAGGCGGTGTTGGTGCTGGTGTTGGTCGACCGAGAGTGGAATTTGGAGATGTCAGTCAAATGGGTTGATGCTTTTCTTTCCCCTTCCGTTCCCTTTTATTCAGCTCTCTTTGGATACTACCGAGGGCGATGACGATGAAGCATTGTTGGTGACGCGTAGTCTTGTTGATGCTTCTATCTGCAGGTTGCATTGCGCGTGGCGTCTGGTTAGCACTTGTATACGGACTTGATGTGTGTCAGGATACCCCCCACCATTTTTTTAGTTTCCTTTTGAAAAAGCTAGGCAGTATAGTCTACATGATGGTATATATATCGTATGATTTGGATCGCAGCATGTTTTGGATGATGGCCTTGTGCTTGTACATTTAACACAGGATAAGTGAAGGTCTCGGTGGCATTTGGCGAGAGATATACGACATGATATTAACAGACTTCCTCACGTCAGGCTTTACATAGTACGTTAGTGACATGAGAATGTACGTGTGACACTGACCAGCATCAGGGCGAAAACCAGTTCGTTGGCTTTTGGTGTTGACGTCTGGTGTCGACTTATGCTAGTGTTAACTCATGCTGGTGTCAGCTTATGTCAAGCTTTCGCCGTCAAGCCTGTAGTGTTGGCTTCTGATGTCGAACTTTTGGTGTCAAGCTTTTGCTATGCTGTTAACTCCTGGTATCGACTCGTGCTGTCAACCCGCCAACTCTTGCCGTCACAGCCTCTTTTAGTCTAGCGTCTCGCTTCGCCCGCCTCGCCAACCCAGAACCAAAGAGCCTCGCAAAAGCAGCGTGCATATCCCAACAACCTACACCTCAGACTACGATTCAAGAGCGTCATTCAATTTCGCAACCACCCGATCTCCAGAGCTTTAGCACTAAACGTGGAAATCTTGTTCTCTACTCCTTCAAATCTGTCTGATCTTAGCCTGAATTTTCTGCTTTGCCACTAGTCATTTCTTCAACTCTCCTCGCTCTCAGCTTCCTTTTCGTCCGTGTCTGCTTCGCATACATGCCATGCCGGCCCATTCCTACAATGGATGTTAGGGGGGACGATCTTCCTTTTTTTCCCTTGATTTTTTGCCAACAACGTGATCAACCCATGCGCTGGATACTTCCACTATTCGGGAATAACTTCGGCGCCAGCTCCTCCGCAATCTGCACGACGAACACACCATCGACCCCACTTTAGATGGGGTAGCCCAGCGCGGGGAAAGGAGTGGCGTTTCGAAAGCCGCAGGGTATATAGATAGTAGTGCTTGGGTGTCACGAGCGTTCACGGCTGCCAGTTTCTTGCTTCGGTCAATATGTATCACTACGCCAACTTGCAGATGCAAAGGGCCTTTCTGTTGTTGCTGCTGCTGCCCCTAGCACGCATCGCTGCGACTTCATCAGATGCGTTCCGTGAACGATGTCTTGCGTTCCAGCCGCAAGAATATTCGGAAAACGCTACGCTGAATGTGCTTCAGCATGTTGCTGCGGGCACGAATCTGACGTTTCCGGATAACGATGCGAGCTGCAATCGGGCGAGCCAGGTTGTTTCGGTGGACCTGTGTCGCATAGCGCTTGAGATTACCACTTCACCGACTTCGAAGATAACGTTTGAAGCGTGGTTGCCAGAGGACTGGTCTGGCCGGTTCCTTGCAACAGGCAACGGAGGCGTTGATGGATGTACGTGAGTTCGTAAGTTGATTGTGTGGAAACACACTTCGACCTGGTCCGCGATGAAGAAGTGATACGACGATCCTGATGATTGAGGAATTAAACAAAAAAAAAACAGGTATCAAGTACGAAGACATTGCATACGGAGCTCAGAATGGGTTTGCCACTGTTGGCACCAACAACGGCCATAACGGCACGACGGGCAAGCCGTTTCTAAATAACGCTGAGACGGTGGTTGATTTTGCATGGCGATCGTAAGTCACACACACATGTTTCCTTGTATATCACCACCTCTCCTTCTTCTTCTCCAAGAACAAAACAGCACTCGCATCTCCCACCAGAAAGCAAGTAGCAGAAAAGTAAACGAACTAACTCTCCTCCCACCTCCCAGCCTCCACACGAGCGTCGAAACCGGCAAAACCCCAACCACCAATTTCTACCACCAACCGCACCGCAAATCCTACTACATGGGCTGTTCCCTCGGCGGGCGCCAAGGCATAAAATCCGCATCCAGGTTCCCCGCAGACTTTGACGGCATCCTGGCGGGCGCCCCAGCTGTGAATTTCAACGCGCTAGTCGCATGGCGCGCGCGCTTCTTCACCATTACAGGACCGCCCAGCAGCCCCGACTTCATCCCGCCAACGGCATGGCAGACGTGGATCCACGATGAAATCCTGCGCCAATGCGACTTGCTTGATAAAGTGCAAGATGGGGTTATCGAGGACCCCTCGCTATGCAACTTTGATCCGTGGCCACTCCACTGCAGCAACACTTCCACACAGACACAGCCGGAAAAATGCCTAAATACAAACCAAATCCACCAGCTCCTCGCCATATTCAGTCCCTACACGTATCCGTCTGGCGCCCCCATCTACCCCGCCATGCAACCCGGCAGCGAGATCCGCGCCGTCGACCGCATCTATGCCGGCGCGCCGTTCCCCGCAAGCGCAGACTGGTTCAAGTACGTGGTGCACGGCAATCCCGCCTGGGATCCCGCCACATACAGCTACGCAGATGCGCACGCGGCCGAGCGCCTCAATCCAGCCGGCATGCGCACGTATCCCGCAGCGCTACCGGCGTTTGAAAGGCGAGGCGGCAAGGCGCTCGTGTACCACGGACAGCAGGATAACCAGATTTCGGCCTTTAGCACGAATGCGTTTTACGAGCATCTACGGGGTGCGAGAAGGAGAACGTACGCGGATATGCAGCGCTGGGTCCGTCTCTTCAGGATCTCGGGCATGTTTCATTGCTCCGGGGGGCCAGGGGCGTGGGTCCTGGGACAGGGCGGGAATGCAGCGCAACAGGGAGTCCCGTTTGAGGCGCCGTATAATCTTCTTGCTGCGTTGGTGCGGTGGGTTGAGCATGGCGTGGCGCCAGAGTATGTGGAAGGGACAAAGTTTGTGAATGATTCCGTCGAGGCGGGCGTGGATTTTACGCGCAGACACTGCATGTATCCGGCGAGGAACACGTATGTCGGGGGCGATTATAAGAAGCCTGAGAGTTGGGAGTGTAGGTAGTAGTGGGTTGTGATGGGGGATCGACTGGGATATATTGGAGAGCATACTTTACTGCGTTGTGAATCCGTGACGTTCGCATGTCGAAATCACTCATAGAAAAATGGTAAAGACCCCTTTTTGATACATCACCTTGACCAAATTCCAACTCGAACTCATCACTCAGGTAGGAACACGTTCATGGCAAGAGTAGCGACCATCTCGTTATTTGATTTTGTCTACTGCCTGGGTATTTCCCACATGAGCAGGTATGCTACGCCTTACAAAAAGACCTCAAGATTGAACTCGACTGTGCTGACGGGGTATCTACTCGTTGTTAGGACAATACTTGAATCGAGTACCTCAGAACTTACGGCAGCTCAAACTTTTGCAGCACACTAGGGTGCAGAATGCCAAAGACGCCAATGGTGTGGTTCTTACCACCCAGATTGAGCTTAATGGCTGCTGCATGGCCAGCAAGGAAAGTAGGGTCTAGATAGGTCAGCCTAAATTCAAATCGTAACCCTGGACCGGCACTTACCATCCACCTCTTCAATCCAGTAGCCCTGGAGCTGCTCGTTCTTCAAACCGTCTTCCCGCGTCAAGAAAGCAGATCGAAGCATGAGCATGAGCCTGTCCAGCAGACCGTGCACCTGTTCGAAACCGCTCGTCTTGCCCATGTACGCCGCTGCAAAGTGTCGCTCGTTCCTGCTCTTCCTCTCCTGCTCCAAGTCGACAAGACCAACATCGCTGACCTCGAAGATCTTCATTGGGACCGAGTGATGCTTGTTGGAGTTGATAGTCTTCAGAAGACCGGGCAACAGCGACGTCCGCACGAGCTGGTACTCGGCTGTCTTGGGGTTTGCGAGCTTCACTGCCGTCTTTCCATCATCTTTCCGGTTCAGCCACTCAAAGTTCTCCTCGTGTGAGCAGAGAATGAGAGGCAGAACCTCTGTCCACCCCGCACTGGCCGATTCTATCCGTACAATATCACCGAGCTTGTTGATGGGCAATGGTGCTGAAACGGCGGCCGTCTTGTTCGGGTATACTCTCGGGAGCTTGTTGAAACCATATGCGATGGCGTAATCCTCCATGATGTCGGCCTGGTGCAGAATGTCCGCTCGGGTGATTGGGACTGAAACATCAAGCATGTTCTTGTCAGATTTTGAAGGTGAAACGTCGTGGCCCATTCGCGACAATAGCTTGCAGATTTCTTCGGGCGATAGGTCCAAGCCAGTGACCTGGTTCAGGTAGTCAACCTCGGCCTGCATCTCCCTCGGCGACAGGTCTGGCGATTCTCGTGACTCGCCGTTGTGTGGTGAATTAATCTTGATGGCTTCTATCGATTCGGCGTATCCGGCGAACATGGCTACGAGCATGTGGTTGACAATCTCGACCTTGGTCTTGTCGGTTGCAGTAATTTCGATGAGCACGTTCTTTGTGTCCAAGGTGATCTTGCTGTGGTTGCCGTTGATAATGGGAGGTAGTGAGAGAACGGTTCGATTTGAGTCGTAAATGACTGGGTATACGGGCGAGTCGCGAATGATGTGCAGGAAACGTCCGAGATGCTTGTCTTTCTGGTTGATGTCAGAGACAATGTTTACAGAGTTGATTGAGAGACTTACTTCATAGAAGTCCATGAGCTCCTTGCCATTCATTTCCTTTTCCTGATTCAAGGGGACGAACTTGATCTGCTCTGGTGGTAGCGCCTCGTATGAAAAGGGGCCCTTGATTGCTGCCTTGCATTAGCCGCTGTATGCTATGCCATATTTGTGTAACATACTGTCGAGGTCATGGGTTCCTATCGATACAAGCGTCCGCTGGCGCGCCAAATTCGCATGTAGCTTGTCTTGCAGGGCGATGAAGGAGTCGTAGCGTTCTTTGGCAAAGGTAATACCGCGTAGGATGACACCTGAACAGAGCTCTCGTATTTGCTTGGTCTATGCAAGTTTAGCTTGGATGTTTCTCGGTATGTAGCCATGAGTCCTAGGACCCTAGGTCCAACATACCTCAGGCTTGATATCCAGAACCTCCAACTCTCCGCTCTTGGGCGGCGCCAAACTCCACTTGGGCAGCTTTTGTTGTTCCAAGAAGACTTTCAAGTTCATCGCAATACCCTCAAAGCACAGCATGTCGTAACGGTTGGCCGGTATCTCAATCTTGAGCTGTGGTGGTTGCGCCAGGTCTTCGGGCTTTGTACTTTCGCTCGTGTCCTCGTCCAACTCGATGCCGAACTCGAAACATAGCTCGTCAAACTCTTGCGTCGTATACGTCCGGCCTAGCTCCTTGAAGAGAGCGGCCTTGTCGACAGCAATAGTCGGCATGGTGGGCGGCTTCAAAGGCGGTCTTGTGTGGATGGAGGGGTAGTTGGAGGGGTAGACGGGCGCGCGCGGAGCGACTCGTGGATATTGTGAAGAGCCGGCTGCTCGCAGAGGTTTCGCGGTGGTTGTCTGGCGAGAATGCGTGCAAACAAGACTTTGGGGGGGGGGGGGGTTCTGTGAAGCGCCCAATTGCCTTTGCAGCGGTTGCGGCGTAAATTATTTGGTATGACTCCAAGCGTCGAGGGCAGCTGTCGGAGGGGCGTCGGACCGGATGTGGCGCTAATCTCGATTGGGTCTGCGCCCTGGAGGCTACCAACTTGACGCAATCAAGCTATATTTGGAATATCATTGTGACAATTTACTGTGTCTAGATTCAAGTTTTCCTCAAGTGCCGCCTGCTATATGCAAACCTGAAGTGCTCAGACGCCTTCAATGCTAATGGAGTCGACTCCAGCGCAACCACCCAATTAGTTTTCCAATTGTCCATGCCTTGGAGACTTGGTAAAGGCTTCCAATATGAAACCCCCGTCCATGTCGCATAACCCTAGCGTGGTATGTGCCCACTGCGAAGAGGGCCGCTTCCCGCGCCAAATCAAGAGTATTGTATGTCTGGAGCCTGAAGCCTCATGCCCAGCACGCGACTTGACATATGAAACGAAGGTACAAAAGAAGCTGCGTGTTGGCTTTGTGTCAACCGGCGGTGCCTTTGAGCACGCTGCAGCACAAGATGAAGACAAAGTCATGGTAAGCCGAATGTAAAATGGTGGTACAAGGTGGGCTTAATCCTTCCAGTCCCAAACTTGCTTCAGGAAGTGCGCCATGTTGACCTTTTTGGATTTCATCTCAACCATCCAGGGATGCTCGAGCATCCGCCAAGGCGTGGCTCTTCGAGGGCACTCTTTCTCAAGACTGTGGGCATGTTGTTAGCACGGGCGAAATCACTGGTAGAATCAACAAGTACGTACCAGCACTCGATAAAGTACTTGAAGTTCTCTGTCCATTTGATGCCGTTTTCAGGCTCGTCTTTTAGCTTGGGAATGGGTTGGCGCACAATGTATGTGAGCAAATCAATCAAGCCGGCGCGGGGGTTCATTTCTGTTCCGTCGGCCGGGAAGGGGAAGCGGTGTTGGGCGACTTCCAGCAGCGTCACGCCTAAGCTCCACACGTCACTCGTGATGGTGTAGCTCTGTCCAGTGATGCGCTCTGGGGCCATGTAGTAGGAGGTTCCGATAAACGTGTTTGCGTCGCCCTTTGTTCCAAACTCGCCAGACACGCCAAAATCACATAGTTTGACCTGGCCGTTTCGGCACAGTAGAATGTTGCTGGGCTTGATGTCTCGGTGGATGATGCGATGAGAGTGGAGGTATGTCAGGCCGTTGAGCACGCCCTCGGCAACCTTGCCAAGCACCTTTTCGCCGGTTCGGCCTCCAAGCTTCTTGACCTCGCGATATACGGCGTCTAGCGACCCACCCTCGCAAAATTCCATGGCAATGCTGATTGTTCCTGTGCTGTCGTCCATGAAGGCGCCATAGTAGCGGCAGATGTGGTCGCTGGCACAGTTCTTGTTGAAGGATAGCTCTCGTACAATTTGCTTCTTGACATCAGGATCGGGGTTCGTCGTGATGATCTGCAAAACAAACGTTAGCGCAGCAAACAGAAAAAAAAAGTACAAGGGGGGAAAAGCAAACCTTGAGGGCAAATGTAGTCTTTCCGCCCTTGAGCATACACTTGGTGACGGCACCTCCGGCACCCTCGCCTAGACTGCCTTTTTCCTCTATCAATCCTTTTGCGCTTGCGGCTCGCCATGCTGCGTCGTCGAGATCGTCCACCTCCAACGGGCGCCCCTTCTCGGCAGCCAGGGCGTCTAGATCGGGTAATGGCTGGCTGCTGTTGGCACGCTCCATGGACGGAGCGCCCTCGCTGCCTCCTTGGGATATGGCCGAAATGGGATCGGTGCCTTTCTGCAGGCCGGGAAAGCCCAATGCTGCGTGGTATGAAGAAGCCGAGCCATTTACAGCCATTTCGCCAAAGCTGCCGGATCTCGAGTGTGCGCTTGCATCGCTCGAGCCGGATGCCGACAGGCCTGTGCCGATTTGCAGCGGGGGGAGGCCGCGCGGGACCTGTCTGCCTTCGTGGGGAGCGTTGTTGGAGCCCATGGGGGTCACGACGCTCAGCTTGGGGGGATGGGGGCGGGCCTGGGCGTTTCCATTGGCGTCATTGGTGACGGGGCGTTGGTTGGGCGAGGGTGGTATCGAGAGGCCGAGCGATGGCGGGCCTCGTCGTCCTGGGCGGGCGCCAGGGATGGGTGGTCGAAGGAGGGGCGCCGGGGCCGACATGTTTGGCTGTGGTTGCGGCGAAGGGCCGGTGTTGGACGACTGCATCTACGTAGTCTTGTGCCGCAGAAGCACGCTTGGCGCTCGGGGTGCCGTATGGCGGCGGGCTCGAGTGGTGAGGGTTTCGATCGGGGCGAGAGCGAAAGCGAGCGTGTGCTGGTGCAGCTGGGGGAGGGTGCAGCCAGCAGGGCGCGGGGCCAGGGACGGAGCTCTCAGCCGGCGTGGGTTTGCGGGAATAACGAGGGGAAGTGGAGGGCAACGGCGGCGGCGGCGGCGGCGGCGGTGGGAGATGAAGGTGGGTTGGGTTGAGGGAGTTCGGTCCCAACAGAATGGGGGTCGCTGCAGTCAGGCCGAGAGGTGGTGGCAGCCGTGTGTTGCGAGGGCGGCAAGAGGGGGGGGGAGGCTCTTGTGAAAAGAGAGTCGAGGGTGGAGGGTGGAGGGGGGAGGTGGAGGGGGGAGGAAGGGCGAGGGCGAGGGCGAGGGTGAGCCAGGGCAGGCGGGTCTAGGCACGAGTGACGTTGGCGGGCCCCAAGTGAGGGAGCGACTGCTGGTGCTGGTGCTTGGTGCTTCTTGCTGCTACCACTACGGCTGCCAGGTGCGGGCGCGCGGCAGGCGGCAGGCGGCAGGCGCGACTGGGCAGGGGCAGGGCCTTCTCTTTTTTTTTTGGCTTGCGCAGGAGGGGCTGCAGGACGGCAGCCCGAGGATACGCACACACAGGCACAGGCACCGACAGGCACACGCAGGCTGCTCGCACGACGGACAGACGTCGGGGCTGCGGGTCGTTTGGGTTTCAAGAGTCGAGCACGAGAGACGAGCGCTGGAGGGGCTCGGGACGCCGACGGTGGCGGAGACGCCTGGCAGGGACAGCGAGGCGCGTGCGCCCAGCCCAGGGCCGCTAGACGGATTGGGAAAGGCCGGGAGGCAGCGTCGACGCCTTGATTGGACGCGTGTGCACACAGTAAAAGCAGACGCACGGCGAGCGAGGCGCGAGAGAGGCGCGAGGGAACGAGTGGAAGAGCAGCAGGAGAGCGAGCGCGAGCGACGCAGAGACGGCTGGCAACTGAGAAGAGTGCATGTGTTTCCGCAGGCGCTGAGAGTGCAGGCCGCCCGCCTTTATCACCCGCGCCCGACGTGGTTTCATCTTGGGCGGGCGCTGGCCACGGCCCTCATTCGAGCGTGCTACATGGTCCTAGTCGAGGCACGGTTTGGCCTCCGCGTCTACGAGAGCCCGTTGGCGCCCACCTGCCCTTGGCCGCCGAAGGAGCTCGTTTCGCCTGCAGCCAGTGGGCGCCGCCCGCCGACTTCTAAATACACATACACACGCACCCCCTCGCCAAAAACCCACGACTTCGGCCTGCCGCCCTCGACGTCGCTGCTCCCGCCCGCGCCGTGGCTGACGTTGGACCGCTCTGTTGGCTCAACCATCGGACCGCCGCCGCCACCACGTCCACCAACATGTCCATGGCCCTTTTTCCATGCTGCAAGCTGTACACCTACAAGTCCACAGCGCCAGCCCGCGCCCCCTGCCCCCGACCCTCGGCCCAGACGTGCAGTACCCCAGCTTCCTGCTCGCCTTGGCTTCCCCATGGCCATGCCTATGCTGCACCACCACCACCACTCTGCCATCGCGGGCCCAAAAATCCCACAATCGCAAAACACCACGCCAATCGCACACACCGTGTCCTCGCAACGCCTCCCCCCCGCGCCCGCCGCCCTGGCGATAGCTGCCACCGGCAATGGAGAGGCCCGCTCATGTGCCCACGTCCAAGCACAAGTGCACACGCCGGGGTCTGGCAGAGCCCCGCTGCATGAAGAGCTAACAATAGCAACACGACCTACCGTCCCGTCCAAGTGCTCACACTCACGCTCACGACTTGTTCACCGTCGTCGTCATGACGCACCAAGCTCCCTCTCCCTCGTCCAACCAGGCTGTGCACCTGTTCAAGAATAGATTTCTTCCCCAATAATGCCCCCAATCGCAACACCTTTTCTGCTCGACCACCTGCACCATCAACCTGCCACACTAATGCCTCATGCCACCTCGCCCGCACCAACACCACCTCAACCTTATCCATCGCCGCATCCGACCACCGCCGAACCTTGACCCGTCAGACTGTGCACACGCCAAACCAAGCTGATTGTCTACACTAATAACACAACCCGAACCGCAAACTACCCTCCTCATATACCCCACCACCACTACTCTTACCACCCCCCTCTCATTCTGCAACCTCTGTTGCACCATCGAGCCCCTCCCCACCCTCTGCACCACCCCTCTCCCGTCCAACCCCCATTTCTGCCTGTTGTCTTTCCTTGACCTTTTTCGGCTTCTTCGCGCTCACCGGCCCATCGGCACTCCTATCTTTCCACTGCATCTCTCATCAGCTTTTTTTTTCCCCCACTGACACCATAGTATCCCCCATCTCCATCGCCCTTTTCACCAAAGCGAAGAAGAAGAGAAGAAGAAAAAAACATACCATGCCACCATATCGATAGTACGGATATTCATCCTTCAATCCCTTTGCATCTTCGACCCCTCCTGAAACCGCCTTCCAGCATGCCCCAGGACACACAAAATGCCATTTCCCTGTCGCGTCCACTTGGCATCGCACCAGCACGCCACGCGCCGTGTTGCAGAGAGTGCAGCATTTTGTCATTCTCAATGACGAGTAGCTTGGCAATACAAATGTCTTTGTATACAAGATGGTTGCCCACGTAAGTATTACAGTCTTGGTGGGTTGCAAACATCAACCCAAATCATGTTGATCCACCACCCAAAAGTCATGACATCATGCCGCCTTTGTCCCATCGCCCTGTTTTAGCAACGCTACTTTGCATCTGCAAAACGACGTAACCTGACCACGATTTATTTTTGACATTGCAATGCTTGAACAAGACTAGTTTATCGTTTTTTTTGGAAATTAACCGGGAAATAATAACATTATACTACAAGTTTAAACTCAACCATCTTGGTTCTAAGAAAGAAAGAAAGAATAAATGGGTTTCTCTTTGCGCATTTGGCTTTGAAATACTAGATAGAGATGCTAAGTAGGAGATTTACACCAAATACATGTACTCTCTCTTTATGTCTCTCTCTTTCTCTCTCTTTCTCTCTCTTTCTCTCTCTTTCTCTCCCTCTCCTCTATTCTTCCTGCTTCCACTCCCCTTCCTACTGCAACACTGCACATCTAACCAACACTTGATACAACTTACTCCTTCTTCTTCTTCTTCTTCTTCTTCTTCTTCTTCTTCTTCTTCTTCTTCTTCTTCTTCTTCTATGAATTCTCCATACTCTTTCCTGTACGGTAATGCTGCAATAGCTATCTCGATCAAGGAAAGTAACGCAATAGCAAAAACCTTGATTAGCCAAGGTCTAGATAAAACTCGTCAAGGAGCTTCAAGTATTGTATTATTCATTAGTAAGTGAATTGGCCTTTCAAACACTCGCACTTCGTACTCAGTTTGCTCACCCTCATCTTCATCAGTACCAACCAGAAACGAAATCCCTAGGCATTGAGTGATGCATGCCAGCTCTACCTTGTGCTTCGAGATATGCTGTTGGTATTGCCAAGCTGGGATAGCTACTCGTCGATTTTATCCTGATGCTCGGTACATCATTGTGCTGGTTATCTTATTTCCGTGTGCGTGAGATCCATAGATTTCCGGTTCAGTGTTTCTCTGCATGAATTGCAACTTGGCAAGCTCGCGGTATTGGCAACTAAGAAGTGCTTACCCATTGGCAAGAAACAACGCCCTGCAAGAAGACTCTTGGACTTCTCGAGACTTTCCAGGGGTTTGCGAGTGATGTGCCCACCCCGCACATATTTCACCCAGCCCAGGTTTTCTCTGGGCATTTGCACTTTCCAATAGACCCTGTCTCGGATACTGCACTCCTGTGCTTTCGTTTGCATATGCTGTCTAGTAGTCCCTGTGTCGTCTCAGTGACAGCGACTTTTTGACAACCCTACACATTCGATCCATCTCTTTGGGTACTCCAGTAACATTACGTAGCAAGTCGTGAACATTGCGGCTTGTTCGTATGGTATCATCAGCGACACTGACATTGCAAAGACACTAATGGCTAGCTCAAGACACACGGAGATGCTAATAATGTCGAAACCGTGAAGGCGGTAACTGCGTTAGTCTCATTGAATACCCGACGCGTCGGAAGAACCATGTTGAACCGGACAATAAATTGAGACATCTCTGCCATCAGGTCCGATCCAACGTTGGTAGCTGATCAGGGTGGTGCATGTTCAGTTTATCAACCATATGCAGCCCACCATATCAATAGCATTACCCAACATGCGCATTAGACATAGCACGCAGTAGCTGAAGTTGTCAAAGAATGGTGGGTGAAAGCCGAGGAGTAGTAAAACAAACAAACATGCTGACCACAACATGGCTGTCGCAATAACATAGCGATTGACGTCGTAGCCAGATGTCCTGCAAATCCAACAGGCGACGCTGAAAAGAATGTGATGATACCCGATTGCTGGCTGCGCTCAATTGTGGTGGGCTAAAGGTGGCGGAGGCAAAGACTTGTTCACCAAGTCCATGCAACCCCTTTCGTCGGCTGCCTCGGAACTCTGCCTGCCACACCAACTTTCGCATGAAGTACTACCTCTCTGAGTTAGCTGTTGTGCTCAAGCAGGCTAGTACCTGCCAAGGATCACGTCAGGACAGTGAGCAGGGCCAAGCAGGCGGAGCTGACAGCCCAAGTGTTTTCTCGCAAGCCATACCCAAATACCTGTTGTTTCGCGTCCCACAACCATTCGCCCCTGGACAGATAAGAACCAACGGCACAAATTGAGTTTGAAAGAAGATGAAAAAAAATGACGAGAGTGGCTGTAGATGTGAAGAGCTACAGTACAAGCGGCTTCCAACGGTGCGCCAACTTGCCAGTTTGTCCCCCGGCCCGCACCGCTTGTCAGGCCCACTTCCCCAACATTCCCCGCTGCAACTTGGCCGTTTCAGCCCAAGCGAGAAAAACCCATCGACGATGCTGGTACCTGGAATTCCCGGCAGTCTGCCAAACCCCCCCCCCGGTTCCGGGTCTAGAATATGAACAGACGTGACGATCCCAATGTCAGGCCCATGCAATCACCAACAGGCTCTCATTGCCGTTCGTGTCTAAACGGGGGATCTTCAGGGACCGTCATAACATGCTGCCTAACTCGTTCACTGATCTACAGATCTCACGCAGGCATCGTACGCAAGTACGTAAAACATGACTTTTTTGTTTTTTTTTGCATGTCTATTTCCAGGCAACGGGATTTTGTGCTTGGATTGATGTGGCAAAAGGACCGACATGACCGTTGTAAATCTCAATCTGGAAAGCTCCACACACCCGACATGACTCAAAGCAGTCGTACCATGTGTCCAATGATGCTGTTTTCTCTTCTGCGACCGTGTGTTGGGGCACTGCAGCAAATACGTAAGTCGTTGACGTTTTTACTTTCAACCCCTCAACCCCCCCCCCCCTATTCATCGACGACGACGCATCTTCGTGTTAAGATTTGGCAAGCATGGGCCGAGTGGAGTTTTTTTTCATGGTGACCGGCAGTTCCGAAAGGCATACCATGTCAGTGGCATGTCATGTTCACTTTATATTGTGGGTCATTACTAAATTGTAATCTACGCATAGTAGATGAGCCAAAGCACGTTCACGGCTGTTGATATGCTCTGTGAATCACAATTTGAAGAATCCACGACTACAGTCGTTATGAAGCGCATAGTGGAGTCGTAATCAGGATATAATCATTCACAGGCGTGATGAACAAGTTGGTGCAAAAGAAGATCAAAGGATTGCAATAGGGGAAGTGAGTGTTCAGTGTGGTGACTGGAAATGAAATTGACAAGTATTACATTGACTATATCTTGGAACCATAACATTTTCGCCTCTTCCCGACCGGCAAGACAGTCCATGCTCGTTGAAATCTACGTTTCCATGACTGAATTTCCTTACTCGTCGCAGTCCTCGGCAGCTCCGCCCTTTCCATTGCCAGAGCCGGAGCCGGAGCCGGAGCCGGAGCCGGAGCCCGATCCGCTGCCAGAGCCAGAGCCAGAGCCGGAGCCAGAACCACTGCCAGAGCCGGAGCCAGAGCCGGAGCCAGAGCCGGAGCCGGAGCCCGATCCACTGCCAGAGCCAGAGCCGGTGCCAGAGCCCTTGATGGTATCATCACCACCAGTTGGGTAACCAGCGCCAGATCCACCGCCGTATCCCTTGTCACCACTGCCAGATCCACCGCCGTATCCCTTGTCACCACTGCCAGATCCATCGCCAGATCCCTTGTCACCACCACCGGTAGTACCAGAACCAGAGCCACCAGTGCCGGAGCCACCAGTAGTACCAGAGCCGGAGCCACCAGTAGTACCGGAGCCGGAGCCACCAGAACCGGAGCCATTGCCAGATCCACTGCCGGAGCCATTGCCATTGCCATCACCACCAGCGCCAGAGCCGGATCCACCCGCGCTTGGGCTAACATCCTGGCACAGAATATCCTGACCAGCAATTGGGAGAACACAGCACTTGGCCTGCTGACCAGAGGTAGCACACCCAGCCTTGAAATCGTTCACATCAGTGGGAGCGGTGTAAGCTAGAACATGGTTAGTATGACTGAACATTCGTCCAAGAGGTAAGCTAAGGAAGACGTACGGGCGTAGCAGTTCAAAGCAGCAACACCAAGAATGTCAGTGGCACAGCACTGAGGGGTGCTGTAGAGTCCGCTGGGGCAGACGGTGGAATCTCCTCCATAGCCGGAGAGGAGGGGAGCAGCAAAGGCTCCTGAGGCAAAGGCAACGGCGGCGTAGCTGTAACGCATTTTGATTATAGTTGGTATGTTATTTGTTGGTATTGACGTTGGAGTCGTCGAAGGAGAAGTTTGTATTAAGTGAGTGTGATTAATTAGATAACGAGTGTGTATGAGGTAAGTGAGTGAATGTTGAGAGAGAGTGATGCGTTGGTGATCGACTTTGAAACGGCCACTGATGCCTCTCTTTATACCTTCTTGCTCGACGGATAACTCCACCGCGCCCTCAGTGAAGTGAGCACCCCGCCGAGAATTTCCCGGCCGTCTGTCCGACTTACGCATCTTCTTCGTACGTTTAATTGCACGGCCATGCCTTAGTCCCCGGAGCATTCTAGATGTCAGAAGTCACGCTCATGCAACAGTCTAGATGCTGCATGCCAATGTTGCGGCTTCCTAGTGGTTCCGCATCCTCGCGTAGCGAACTAGTCCATGACTCTTGCAGAGGAATAGCACGATTTTTGCGGTTTATTCAGTCCCATGAACGAGGCACCGACTTGGTTGCCGAATGAATGGCGGTGGACACTCGAGCTGCTGAGTGCACGATGCCTCGTTGTGCTGTACAATTTGCAGATGTGATGCACGCACAACCTCCTCGGCCATCTCGAATTCGTCGTCGACAGTGTCGATCCAACGTATCCGTGAATAGAAATAAGACATGAAGTCGCCCAGAGAGTTGGATCCGCGTCAGGAGATGACGTATATACGATACTTCTTCCAAACAAACTTCGCGTCCTCCGATGCAAACAGGCTACAAAATGTGTAGATCAGACGTGCGTAAGCTGCAGACAAAGGTAAAGAAAGAAGAGTGGCTGTGCGTCTGCTATCCAATGGCTGTATCGTACAACCGCATGAGCAGACTATCTGCAAAGGGATTCCCAGTCGGCCCGGTCATACCATGCCTCCTGAAAGTAAGAGCGCGAATCGGGACGAGCGGGTAAGCGAAGCTGGATGAGGTCCAAATCCAGGAACGCCCCAGCAACTGCATCTGCGATGATCCCTGCAAGGAACGATGTGGATGTACTAAGAGAGCACATGTTTCGTAGTCTAGTGTCTAGTGTGGTTGTCTGCTTCGCCACAGCTGCGGAGATTCAGTCCTCGTATGAGAGTGACGGGGCTAACCAGACGTCGTATGGCCATGTCGCTATAGCGCTCTGGCGCCTGACAAACACGAGTTTGTTGAACCCTTCACCACGGTATTAGCCATGGCCATTTCTGCCTGGAACTTTGGGAAAATCAAGGGGATTTACCGGCCGGGGATGCACAGGCACAGGAGCTGGGGCCACTGGCTTGATGGATATGCCATTACCGCGGAGACGGGTATGCAACACACCGGACACATCCCAAAATAGGCAATTGACAAAAGACAAGACAGAATGAATGCACATAGCGTTTGTGATACCCCGCACAGAATGGCATTGCCCAGAGTAATATTTATGCAGGGGCGAGGTTGACATGCAGGGAGCTGCAGTTCATTGTCGCGTGAGACAAAACGGTCCCTTGTTTACTAGCGCCTTGTGTCCATCAGCAACAAGCATGTCCAACCCCAATGAGTGGATTGCGGGCATAGTGTCAGGATTGCTATTGGCAGGTTGCCATTGCATACACCATGCAGAGTCTGTTTAATTACACTTCATGTCTGGAGCCCAACTTGGTGGAATCACGCAGTTCTCCTTACTCAAGACCATCAAAAGTGGTGGCAAGAGCTTGCGGCTGTGCTGCAGATGAGAGTTTAACCCCCATTCATGAAGCATCATGAGGTCCGGCGGCTCCGTAACCTGCTGACCACGGCGCCGGCTACCAGTAGACCCGCTAATACTCCACTCTGCGCCGGAGCGAACATAGCAGATCGTATAATCACCAAGGTCCCGACGATGACAAAAGTGATTGGCAGAACTATGGCGGGACGATAGGGCCGCTCAAGCTGCGGATCTCGGCGACGCAGGATGAGCAGCCCTACGACGGTACTAACATAGAAGACCCACTCAGCCATGCCAACAAATGTCAGCAACGCCCGGAAACTGCCTGTTAGTATGTAGATCAAAGTGACTACCAGGGCCAGAACATTGGCATAGCTGTATTGTGTCAGCAAATTTCGGAATGGATGAATTGCCGGGACATCTTACACTGGAGCATCCAACCTGGAAGACCAGGTGCCATCAGGGTCGGCTCTTTGCCTTAGTGGCATGCCCCTTTGACTGAAGAATGCCGGAAGGTAATGCCGCTGCGACGCAGCAATAGTCAATCTTCCCACTGAAAACACATTGCTGGTGATTGAGCCGGCGCAGGAAACAGCGACAAGAATGGTGATGACAATGCCGGCAGGTCTTCCGAACAGAGCAGTGCCAGCAGCAACAGCGACGGCGTTGTTGCTGCTCACCTTGTCCCACGGCACAAGGATGTAGTAGGCAATGTTGACCAGTTCAAAAGACGCGAGGACTACAACCATAGCAGCCTTGATGGCTTTTGGAAGGGCATGTCCAGGATCGCGAATCTCGCTCGCCACCATATTGGCCTGGGCGATGTTAGTCAATCAAATTGGCCTGCAGCCCATGTAAACTTACATTGTCCCACCCATCGTAAGCCCATAGTCCACCATAAATAGCCGCGCAATAATGTCCATAGCGATCCCAAGTGCCCATGGATACCCAATCGAGAGTTTGGCCGTCAGAGATGGTCGGCCTTGAGCTGAACCAGTTCTTGGAATACCAGTCGCTGGATCCAGCGAGATGAGATGCCGGGTTCACCATGTGGGCAATCACAGCAATCACTCCACCCAGAACGACCAAACTGACCGTAGATAATTTGAATACGGTAAATGATTCACTCAACCTCAGGGTGAATTTGGTGTTGATTGAGTTGAGCAACACCATTGCCAAAAATACAACGGTAGCAATAAGCTTGAGTATACTGGCGGGTGGCAAGTTTCCCGAGTCTGTTACAACTGAGCCGACAGACTCGGCGATGACGATGCTTTGGATGGCCATGGACGAGGGCTTAACGCCGAGAATGTAGACCCAGGCCATAAGGAATGCGGCGGTATCGCCATAGACGTGTCGCAGATATTCCTGCATTCCGCCATTCAGTGGCAGTGCAGCCCCTAATTCTGCAAAGGATGCAGCTCCTGCCCATGATAACAGCCCACCAAGAACCCAGACGAGGAGGGCAGCACCAGGCGAAGGTACGTTGCTGTCGACCTGGGCCGGCGACGCGAAAATGCCCGAACCTATTTGAAGGGTGACGAGGACGGCAAATGCGTGGCGAGTAGTGAGCTGTTTTGGCACTTGCTGCTCTGCTCGTGGGGTGGCAGGGCTCTCGTCTTGCTGTGCAAGTAACGGATCAGACTCAGTGGCGTCCGGCTTAGGCGGCTCCTCTCCAAGGCGATGGGTCCCGTGCGTGTCGTCCATTATGAGGTTTCCCGCTGCTGAAGTCGGAGGAGTTCCTAGAATGTAGCGCGTGCGCCCCGCCAAACGACCTGGCGTTGTATCTCTCCGAAGGTCTGAAGATGTCTTGTGACCAGCATTTAATCACCTATCTTCAGGGTCTACTTCTAAGTTCTCCGCCCCGCACGCTAGCGGAGGAATCTACCCTTTCATTTCGCATTAGCCCAGTTCTTTTCCTTGTTTTTTTTTCCTGTCCACGAGACATCATCTTCAAGGTCAGATTCCTGCCGAGCCTTTACTTTGTCTTGTTCACAAGGCACATGTAGAAGGTACTGCGCTACCTCGCCAATAAGGTGTTTGCTGTGGTATCGGTTTCAGAGTAACGCTAGCCTGAGTCAAGAGATGGCTTGACAAGTGGGACTGTAATCGCCTTCATGGCAAAGACCGGGAAAGCCATATCTACAGGGGGAAATTGCATAAGAGGCGGTCAAGCCGCCTCAGGTGTCGCTTGGCTGTGATTGTTGCTGTCCACTCTTTTATGCCACTCGCTTGCAGACCGTTGAATGCAGTATAGCTGGATCGGTGTCCGTGTGCCAGTATGAATCTTGGACGAATTTTATGAAAGAGAAGAGAAGACAGGAAAGAAGTGCGGAAGGGATATTGTGCTCTCGTTCGTCGCTTGTTGGTGTTTTTTTTGGTGATCGAATAACCGCGCCGACGGTAGCATATTCTTATGATGTTAGGTGCATCGGGCCACAGAAGTCTTGCACATGAGAGCACAACTAGTGTCATGTGGGGGAGCTCAACGTTGTGTTTGATCCTCGAGCTGTTTGGGTAGGTGTCGTGAGGGGCTTGGGTTGAGTGGCTTGGTTATGCTGCTCGTGTCAGAGAAACAATGTCATGCAGCCACCTGTATAAACTAAGTTGTTCTTCTCCTGTTAGCTCATCTTCTCCGGCATGTCCTGAATCGCCTCAACCGGATAAACGTGGCGGTGCCACCATATGCCTGGGCTTCTCGATTTCGTATGCAGACCACGCAAGCCGACAGCGCAAGCCGACGGCGTTCCCAAAGCGCACCCCACAGGTGCTGTGATGCAAAGAAATAGAGATAGATGAACAAGAATGCTGTCGGCCTCTACGCACGCGCGGGGCAGTGAAAGGCTGAGTGGTGACGGGTTGGGCAGCTGGCGGGTTTGCTGTGGCTGTGGTGGCTGAAAAGCTCGGCCCTCCTGTCTCGAGTGCCTGCCCAGATGCCCTGACACCCCTCTTCGCTTCCTCGCCAACACCAGGTACGTCAACACCACGCCCGCGCTGAACTCCCACCGCGCACACACAAGCTTACATCGCTCAGACACGCACATTCACCCTCCCGCCATGGACGCAAATCAGAACGATGAGCTTTACCCCATCGCCGTGCTCATCGACGAGCTCAAGCACGACGACGTTATTCTCCGCCTTAACGCAATTCATCGCTTAAACACGATTGCCCTCGCCCTGGGTGCGGAGCGAACACGTGAGGAGTTGATACCCTTTCTAGATGGTAAGAGCCTGCTCGACTACGTCCGAGTGCGCTGCAAGTGGCTAACCCGTGCTGCTAGAATCTGTCGAAGATGAAGACGAGGTCCTCACAGCATTGAGCGAGGAGCTGGGAAAGTTTGTCGAGTACGTGGGAGGCCCAGAACACGCACATGTGCTTCTCTCGCCGCTCGAAAACCTTGCCGCTATAGAGGAGCCCCTTGTCCGTGAGAAGGTGCGCGCATGCATTTCTCGTGGCCAGGTGTACAGCTAACGCGCTCAGGCTGTCGAGTCGCTCAACAAGATCTGCGAGGAGCTCTCGCAGCAGCAGATTGAGGAAAACTTCATTCCTCTGGTCTTGCGCCTATCCAAAGCCGATTGGTTCACGTCCAAAATCTCCGCCACAGCTCTCTACCAGACTCCTTACACGCGCGCTACACCCCCGTCACAAGAAGCCCTTCGGCAACACTACGGCCAGCTAGTACACGATGATACGCCCATGGTCCGAAGGCAGGCGGCGAACAACCTCGCCAAGTTCATCAAGGCCATGCCGCCGTCGATTGTCATTGATGAGATGATTCCGCTGTTCCAGCACCTTGCCGCAGACGACCAGGACAGTGTCCGACTACTGACTGTTGACATCCTCATCGCCATTGCCGAAGCAGTACCCAAGGAGCAGCAGTCGAGCCATGGTGTTTTGCTGACTGCGCTGCGGAGTTTGTTCGAGGACAAGAGCTGGAGGGTGCGATACATGGTGGCAGACCGATTCGAGAAGGTGGGCTTCAGCTTGGACCAAGGCAAGACATGCGCTAACGTGATTAGATTGCGAAAGCGGTCGACGAAGAGGTGGTCAACCGAGACCTCGTCCCGGCATTTGTCAAGCTCCTCAAAGACACCGAGGCTGAGGTTCGCAGCGCGATCGCTGGCCAGATTCCGGGTAGGTGGCTATGGGTTAGCATTCACAGAACAGGCGCTGATGTCATGACAGGATTCTGCGCACTGCTTGAGCGCGAGACCCTCCTTCAAGAGGTTATGCCCAGTATAGAGGAGCTGGTCTCCGATCAATCGCAGCATGTCCGTGCTGCGCTTGGCACTCAGATTAGTGGGCTGGCACCCATTCTTGGAAAGGAAGAGTGAGTTGGGCCTTGACGCGTGACCACGTGCTGCCGTTCTGACCATGACTAGGACCATCTCACATCTGCTGCCCATGTTTCTCCAGATGCTCAAGGACGAGTTCCCTGACGTGCGCCTGAACATCATCTCCAAGCTCGAGTCTGTCAACAACGTCATCGGAATCGAGCTTCTCTCGCAGTCTCTCCTTCCAGCCATTGTGCAGCTTGCCGAAGACAAGCAGTGGCGCGTGCGTCTTGCGATCATTGAATATGTCCCTCTGCTCGCATCTCAACTGGGAGTGCAATTCTTCGACGAAAAGCTTAGCAGCCTGTGCATGAGCTGGCTTGGCGACACGGTCTTCTCGATCCGTGAGGCATCGACTCAGAACCTGAAGAAGCTCACAGAGGTGTTTGGCGTGGAATGGGCCAACGACGCAATTGTCCCCAAGGTGATGGCTATGGGCCAGCACCCCAACTATCTGTACCGCATGACGACGTGCTTTGCAGTGTCGACGTTGGCGCCGGCTCTCAGTCTGAACGTGATTGAACAGTCCATCATTCCCATGATGGACAAGCTGGTCAACGACGACATTCCTAACATTCGCTTCAACGTGGCCAAGTCGTACGGGCAGCTCATCAACACACTCAAGCAGCTTCCAGAACAGGGTACGGTGATTGCTCTGGAAAAGGCGGGCACACCAGGCCAGGGCTGTCAAAAGGCAACGGACGTCATCACAAAGAGCATCTTGCCCAACCTGGAGAAGCTGCAGCAAGACGACGATGTGGACGTACGATACTTTGCAACGACTGCAGCCCAGAGCTTCACCGACGCCATGCAGACGTAAAAGGGTCTGGACGTGTCCGTGTGGTGGAGTGGGGTGAATGACATGATGATTAGCATGTATGGATAATGATGTGGAGCGTTGGTTGGAAGCTGTATTCAAGCTCGGTGGGCTAGTGTTTGGTACATGAGCATGACCATCAAGATAACCCCTGTTAGATTTACCATGGGAAAGTTTTTTCAATGCATTACTTTGGCGTTAAGCAGGTGCTCACGGTGCAGAGAGTGTAGGGACGACGATTGACAAAGGTAGTGTGTTGCATTGCGGGTTGCTACTTGAAGACGGCGGCCCAGCGTGTGCACTCTCGGGCTATGGCGAGAGGGTTATAGGGCACCGGCATCCTTGAGCAGGGTGTTGAGCTGGCCCTTCTTTGCCTGCAGATCGCTGTTTCCACCAATGTGCTTCTGGGCAATGAAGATGTTGGGTACCGTGGTCTGGCCCGTGATTTCGCCAAGGGCGGCCTGGATGGCTGAGCCGTCATCTGTTGCCAGGGCATTAGCAGGTGCTGGGCCGTAGTAGTAGTGCGTGATGAGAAGAAGGGCTTGTGCACGTACCGACTTGGTCGAGCTCGATGGCGTAGAACTTTGCGCCGCTCTCGCTCAGCAGTTGCTTGGTCTGGCGGCAGTATGGGCAGTACGACTTGGAGAAGACGGCGACGGGGTTCTCGTCGATGATGGACTGGACCTTTGTCTTGGTAGCGGCCATTGTGGTGGGCGAGGTGGCGCGCGTGAAGAAGTTGCGCAGGAAGGAAATTTTGGCGGTTGGGAGCGCTGCTTGTCTATGAGCGGCCTGGCGATGCAATGTGCGTGCGGGAGAGACGTACGGGAAGACCTAGAAGGCAGCGTTTGGATTGATGTGCGTGGTGGTTCTGCTGTGTGTACAGGTGATTAGTGATGCGCCGCCCCGCAGCGCAGTGTGGCAGGCAGATGATGCAATCGACGGTGCCCACGGGCGGCCGGTTAGCGCCGGAGATGGGTCGGCGATAGATTACGCAGCAGCGCCTCTGCCTTTGCCTTCGTCATGGCGCATGCGGCTGATGCACCGCGGACGAAAGAACAAGGCGTGGCCGTGTGGTTCGATCATCTCAACCATTGCGGCCATTGCACGCTGCACAGGAACACGAAGAGGCAATGGAGTGAGCAGGCGCAGACTTGGCCCACCAGCCAAGGGCACACTGACAGCAAACGTGCACGACGGCCTGCGCGACTTCCGCGTTCCGACACTGAGCATTCCGAGAGCTTCCACGCTCCTGCGACAACCGTCGAACCATCTCTCGCCATTCAGGCACCAACACACACACCCTCTATCCATCGTCACACGCGCCCGCGGTAGCCTTTTCTTATGCGTACGTGTCACCGCGCACCACCATGACGTCCTCAGCGGCCGGCTCCATCGCCTTCTTCGTCGTTTCACTGCTCTTCATATCCGCCCTCGTCCTGCTGCTCCTGCGCTACTACCTCCCGCTTCGCTCCACGCCCGCATACGTTGTCCTGCCCGTGTTCCTCGCCATAGCCCTGCCCGCCAGCATCATCGTGCTTCTTCCCATTGATCTCGCCAGCAGCGCGGGGCTCGATACCACCGACGGCGCAAGGGGAATATGGCTGAAGGAGACGGTGGTATACAAGGCATGGCGCGTCATATACTGGCTCACGTTTGCCTTGACCTGGGCCATTCTGCCCATGCTCGGTGAGTACTGCGACAGCGGATACAGGGAGCCCAAGGCTAGGCTACAGTATGCGCTTCGGAGCAACGGACGATACTGGCTCATCTTGTCCGCGTGCAGTATTGTTGGTTCAATCTACTTGATTTGGTGGAACGGCTTCGAGGCCGATACGTTCAAGAGCTTGGTCATGGCCCTTGCATATGCCTGGGGTCTCATATTGGGCATTTATCTCATGGGCCATGGGCTCGTCGCATTCCCGAGGAGCCTGTTTCGCTACGCGAGCGTCAGCGAACGACTAAAAAGAATACAAGGCCAGGCGCCCAAGGTCCACGAAAAGCTGGCCGAGGCACTGGAGAAGCTGGATCAGTATGAATACCAGGTTGTGCAGCTCAAGCAGAGGAAGAATGGCATCACCAGGGACTTCCAAGAATGGATTGATGAGTTGGCGGAGACGAGCAATCTGCCCGAGAATCGCGCAACTGCCGTAGGGCGCACGGGCGTGACGACGATTCCACCAGTCATCACGGAGCGATACCTTGCCGAATTGACAAGGAAGCTGAAGCGCGCGCGGCATGCAAAGTGTCGATTTGAGAACGAATGGGACCACATTGTACGAAAAGCAGTCCGGACACAGGCCATTCTTGATTCCAAGGCGAGCAAGCATCTCGAATTCAAGGGCGCAGCTGTGTCGTCCCACAGAGGCCCGCTTGATCGCATTACCATCCTCACCCCCTTCACCCGGTACCACCTCCACGTTCATGTCATCCCTACATTGACATATATCTCATGGGCCATGGCGATCCTGGCCTCGATATCTATTGTCTGGTCAGAATGCGTTCGCGAAGCTCAGGATCTTGGTGGCCCAAAACTCTCCGTCATTGGCTGGTCAGTCGTCCACCGCCGTGCCAGCGGCCGCTCGTCTGTTGGTTTCAGAAGTCAGATTATCGCCGCTGCTTGGCTATGCTACATGTGTATTTGCGCCTTCTACAGCCTTACCGAAGTCAAAATCTGGGGCAACAGAGCACTTGTGCGGCGAAATACCTATCAGGAGAGTGCGACGTGGTACGGCCTCCAGGTTGCAAAGCTTACCGTACCTCTGAGCTACAACTTTTTGACCATGACGGACAAGAACATTTGGAAAGGCACCAGGTTTTACAAGTTCCTCGGTCGTCTCATCGTTCTGTCGCCACTCGGTGAGAATTTTAGTGCCTTCTTCCCCATCTTCATCTTAGTGCCAGTGTTCGCGACGGCGTTTGGTCTGTACGGGAAAGTGAAGAGCATTTGTGGCTTTGGTGATCTTTTGGACGACGAAGAAGATGGACCGACTGCAGGCACTGGCTCCTGGCGCGAAGGCCGCGCATTGATTGCACGCGAGATTCAGGGTGCGAGTGGAAACGTCCTAGGTCTTTCACAGCGCACAACATCACCGCCGACCGAACGTTACACAGACACACCGGTGCCTTCGACATCCAGTCATACCACTTCAGCAGCAGCCGCCAGCGCCGGTCCAAGCAGTACCACGCGATCTTCAGCTCCCCGATCCGAGCACAGGCGACCTCTGTTAGACGACGACGAAGGTGACGGCAATTTCTTCGAAAACTTTGCGTCAAGAGTGAAAAACACTTTCGAAACCAACGACTTCTCCTTTACCCGGCCGAAATGGCTCGGTGGCGACGACGAAGCCGAAGCTGGAAGTGGTAGACGCCAGACTGATAGAAGTGATGGCGATCGAAATGGCTTCTTGAGTCTGTTCGGTGGCAGAGCAGACGAAGGGAGAGTAAGATTGTAATTTTAAGCTCTTTCTCTGTCAGGCAAATCGGGAAATGGGGAAACTGGGAATGATTTTTTTGCTTTGGATAAATGGCGTTTTGAAAGGGATGTTTAGGGGGGCTAATAGACTCTAAAGGAATGGGCTGAACAGGGGTTTGGACTTGGGGGCTCCGAAGGAAAACATTTTATAGCGCGTGGGGATACTATTGTCTTTGTAATACGTACAGTAGGGTTAGGTCATTTTTTTGTGAATATTCATTTCTTCGTCAAGCCTTGTATACAACAGTGATAGTTATGGTTATGGGATATCGTGTGAGTGATAAATTCATAGGCCGTGCTGTAGCATATGTACTGTCTATTCTAATTCCAACAGACACCCTATAAATACAGTGTAGGCATCGTATGTAACGAAGAATCAAAGAAAGGAAGGCTCATCAGACATCTATGCAAGCAACATCCCCATCTCTATCCCACCCCTTCTCTCTCTCGCCATATCCAACAGCTTCCCCACCCAACCACTCACTTGCTCCCACTTAATGGCACTTGCCCAACTGACAAATGCCCTTCTTCTCAATGTAGCATCCTGTGCTGCAGAAATTCATGGCAGACCACGTTCCACTCAGGCCCATGGAAAAAATCGTGTTCCATTCCTGGCCGCCACATGTGTCGGTGCGCCCACACTTCATCATCGCAATGTCGCTTTGTGTGTGGGCTGGGAGGCGGGTGGCGTTAGTATGATATGTGGGACGGGTGTATGTATGCAGGGTGGAAGAAGAAGGGATCGAGTGGGAGAGGAAAGGAAAAAAAACAAAAGGAACAACTTACTTCCGCGGTTCACGAGTTCATAGCCGCAGGTGGAGGGGTAGCAGAGTCCAGGGCGGTTTCCGGGGCCTTGGGCTAGGACGGGGGAGAGGGAGGCGAGGAGGGTGGTTGTGAGGAGGGTGAATTGCATTTTTGTGGTTGGTTGGTGTAAGTCAAGTCTGGCTTAGATGCAGAAGAACAACGTGTGATGAAGGGGATTCTTCTTTGCTTGAGTCTGGTGTTTGTGATGACTGTATGATACTGTTCTTGTATCATTGTCCTCCTCTCTTATATACATATGAAATATTGTAGCTTCGCCGAATGCTAGGGGAGATGCAACAGTGGGGGAGCTGAGTTGCGTTGACCGCCCAGTCCCCGCACTCTACGCGCTACCATGTTACATCTCGCATCTCATGGGCAAGGCAATTTGTTTGTGCGTTGAGGCTGGGGCGGCGGTGTAATCGGCGACGCTTGTGTGTTGTGGGTGGAGCCTGCGGTTTGCCCGAGCTGAATGACAGGTACGAGGGCCAAGACCTCAGCCCTCAGCTCTTCGATCACATCACCAGATGTAATATTACCATTATTTTTCTTGGCTCCCGGCTTTTCATTGGTGCGCGCAGAAGGACTAGTGTAGACTAGATATATCAGGAAGGTGGCTGAGGTACCAACGAATAGCATGCAGAGATATTTGCTCAGATTGCTTGTATCAGCCTCTGCACAGCCGCATAGCGTTGCGGTAGTAAGTGGGACTGTTGTCTTGGGTTTTTCCGCGCTGGAAGGATCTCAGAATTATCATGGAACATCCTGTGTCTACAATCCTTCGGAAGCGATTCACATATGGAGATATTTGCCGCGGCTGTAGTGCCCAACTTGAGGCTATTTCACAGCGGGTGGCTTGGCGGCAGCTGCAGCGGACTGATGGCGCTGAACTCGTCGTGATTTGGTCTAGGCTAGACTGGTAAATGCGTCTCTACATCAGAATCTCTTTTCTGCAATAACTCCACTAATACCAGGGCTATAAATTAAGCCACTAATTGCATAATGAGGCCAAGCATTAGTGGAGTTATTGTGAAAAAAAAGATCCTGATGTAGAGACTTATTCACTGGTCTAAGCGCGAGTATACACTAAATGTGCCACAAATTATTCACTCCTCTTGGGGGTCTAATTATACTTACGGCTTCTATATACTTTTAGCTTACGGAGGTGCCTTTCAAAAGTTCTGTCTGACGCTATTAATCTTAGCCCTTCGGCGCAATTCTTCTTAGCGCAACTCCTACCTTTAAGCTAAGCTATTAATTAGTTGTAGTTATCTATCTACTTAGTACTATAGCTCCTAATACTAATTCTTACACCCGTGTCTTAATTGTAACGTTAAAGTCACCTCCTATTAGCAAGTCAACGTCACAGATCTTAGAGCTAACTGGTGTTAATCCTCGTACAGTCGATCGTATCTATAGTAGAGCTATCGCTGCTGGCTTTAAGCCAAACGTTCTCCCTCTTAAGATCCTTCCACAGCACGTTCAAGATGCCCCTCGCTCCAGCAGGCCTGCTAAGCAGACAAAGGAGGTGAAGGAGCAGATATTTCAACAAGTACGACGCGATAGATATGGACGAGAGAAGAGCTGCGCTGACCTTGCTGGTGCGCTTAGTCTCTAAGGAGTTGAAATCTCTGCCTCTACCGTCTGGAGGGTATTAAGAGAAGCGGGATATAAGAAGACCAAGCTAACAAGGAAGCTTGGGTTAACATAGGAGATGAGGAGTGCTCGTCTTAGATGGGCGATCGACTACAAGGACTAGACGTTAGAGGACTGGAAGAATGTCATCTAGACAGACGAGACGTCTGTGGTGATCAACCACCAACGTGGGGGCTATAGGATCTGGAGAAAAGCAGACAAGAGAGTAGTTAAGAGCTGTATCCGTGAGAGGTGGAAGGGATACTCTGAGTTCATGTTCTGGGGCTGCTTCTCGTATGATAAGAAAGGTCCATGCCATATCTACTAGCTAGAGACGAAGGCAGAGAAAGAGGATGCTGCTCGGAAGATTGAGCAGCTAAACGCTGAGCTTGAACCTCTACAGAGAGAGGAGTGGGAGCTGTCAGAGTCTATGAGGAGGACAGGGCTGCGCAACAAGCCTGGCAGAAAACCTCAATGGAGATGGACAGAGAATACAGGCAAGCTAGTGCGTAAGCCTGGAGGTGGTATAGACTAGTGGAGATATCAGAACTGTATTCTGATACCAAAGCTGATTCCTTTCGCCAAAGAGTGCCTCTAAGATAGACCTCAGACTGTCGTGATGGAAGATAAGGCACCTGCCCACGCCCACCACTATTAGAGTGTGATCTATAGTCTGCACGACGTCGAGAGACTACTCTGGTGTGGCAACTTGCTAGACTGTAACTGTATTGAGCCGTGCTGGTTCTATATGAAGGGAGAGACTACGAAGAAAGGAGCTCTATAGTCGAGGGCTAAGGCAGTTAGAGTCTGGCAGAATTGCTGGAGAGACCTTTCTCAACTTAAGATCCAAGCTTAGATTGAGCGGATTCTTATTCATGTCTAAAAGATAATTAAGCTATAAGGTGGTAATGAGTATATAGAGGGAAGAGACAAGCCTCGACTAAGGCGGCCGTACTTCGGCTGAATTGTTCTTGGCAGACAGAACTTTTGAAAGGCACCTCCGTACATGTACCTTAAATTTAAATATGCTTTCAGCTTATAATAAGAGCTATCATACTAAAGCTGACATCAGACATCGCTCTCTCCCCGATCCGTGAATATAGGGAGACGGGTTACATATTACTTGGGTGTAATAGGATACAAAATTTAATGCACACAGCATAGCAGGTAAACTCATGTATATAAGAAGGGATTTTCTTCTACTCTCAACAGAAACAGCCTCACACAACACAACATATGACTTGAAGACGGAATTCAATAAAACTGTAAATACTCCCTGACATTAGAAATGTGTTCAGCTGAATCGTCACTAATAACAGACTGTTGCAGCACCTTCTTCAGGCTCCCCTGATTTTCGAATCTATTCCAAATAAATCTATCAAAATGAAATTTTCAATCGCATTTGGTATACTACTCGCAGTTGCAGGGGCTCAGGCAAAATATTGCATTAGTAATTGCAGATATTGCGACTATTATCCAGGCAAAGGACATTGGGGATGCTGGATAGGTGGATGCTCTGGAATCGGGGGTTGTACATGTCATCCCAAGACCATTAATAAACAAACAGTCGACCCGGAAACTCATTACGGATCAGCTGGAAGCAGCGACTGCATGAAGGTTTGTCCTGCTCCTGGTGGTACTCAGCATTGCAAGGATGTGAGTTGGTAGGGAAGGGGAAGATCGAGGTCTATAGCTGGGCTTTTTTCTTCCTCTGCGAGTAGGGCTTAGTTTTTCTATATGCGTGTTAGCTAGGGATTCACAACTAGGATAAATAAGCGGTTACAAAGACTTCAAAGTGCTACATTACAGTCTGGTATCTATAGGTGACGCTAGTAAGAAGTGTTAACTGCCACGTCCGTACACAAATATATTTATGAGATGAAACTGTAAGCGTTAGTTAGGTAGATAAAACAGGGAAATTAGGCTTTTTTTTAGTGCTGCCCTTAGCGGAGAAGGCCTATAAAGCACGCTAGTAAATAGGTAGAGTGTATCCAGCGATAGGGAAGGGTTGGGTAGAGGTAGTTCAAGCTTAGGTAAGAGTAGAGTAGGAGTATTTACAGCATTAAGTACAAGTAAAGTAAAAGTAGTTAAAGCTTAAGTAGATGGAAGAGAGCGACAAGCAGATGCATGGAGACTAAGAGGACACCGAGTTGAGGAGTTATTGCTTTACCCAGTGGGCCCTTGGGAGACAAAGGAAAGCGTCAAGATGCGGTAATCCGAGCAGGCCTGGGTAGGCAATACCTCGGATACCGTAGGATATAGGAAGTCAACTGCTTTGTACGGGGTTTTTCGCTCCTAGTTTATATCATCCTCAATTCTCGTATACATATATATATTTCCAATTCATTGAGCTGCATTATAGTATATCGCGTGGCGCGTGTTCGCTATTCGTACTATTCGAGTCCTTCTCAGGCCTATTCTCCATTTTTCACGTCACTGTCTTCATAACCATTATTGGCTCCCCGTGCTGCGCCGTCCTCACTCCGCCTATCTCGTTTTCCGGCCACTCCGTCAGTTGCATCTCATCAATCTCGCGAAACATGCTATTTGTCCTCCCAATCTTCGTAGCGCGTCTTGATCGAGCTTCTCTCTGCGTATCGTTCGTCGGGTACATGTACCTGCGGCTGGTCGATCCATCTGCATTCCTCAGTGAAGGTATACAGCAGCTGAGGATGTACTTGAGGGTCGGGCCGCAAACGGCCATAATCGCGAGTCCGGATTCGATGTTTGAGAGTATGTACGACGTTTGATATGTAGGATCTTGTAGCGGTTCTCTGAGAACGAAAATTCTAGTTAACACGCTTGTACGGACTGCACCGACTACGGTGACAAGGATTCCAGAGAAAAGAAAGGCGATGGCCATGAGCTTGCAGCCCAGCGGCATCTTCAGATCGTGTAGAATCCATGAGGGCATGAGCAGGATGAGAACATCTGTCGTGAGAACGATAGAGGACCTGCTGACAGTATATGCGCCTGCATCGACACATTTCCCTTGTATATTTGGATTCCAGTACTTTGAGATCGGGTCACATTGTAGGATACATGCGACAGGCGCAGCGATAGCGAAGCACCCGTTCAATATCAAGGTTCCCCACAGACAGCTGTTGATGCATTTATTCTGTGATCGAAGTTTGATTAGTGTGATCAGAAAGGAGACCTTGATGAGTGCCAAAATTGGGTTGTAGATAATTGAATTTGCATAGTTCCACTGTCATGCCAAAGTCAGTGTGTGTTTGAGAAGCATAATAGAGCTAAAAGATTGGATGTGCACCTTCATCATGACAATTGAATCAACTGAACTCTGTGGAATGTCACGAAAACGATAGCCATAGTACGGACTTAAGATGTCTCATATGTTGAGTTAGTGTGTGCTGCTTAGTTGTGTATAGAAACATGATCGTGCGAGGCAGAGATCTACTTACAGCCACATGTTGTGAACGAGAGAACAACGTTTAGAATCTTTTTCGGATCATCTGTTAGACTGGGATACACGACATATGGGTGGCACGCGGAGTGTTTACTATCGCGATGATCAACAGTATATCTTCTGTTAAAGCGATGTCAGCGAAATCCTGGCTTGTAGCTGAATCGTGATACTCACCAGCACCTAATTTACCCCCCTTTAGTCGTATGAAGACACGTAGTGACACAATTCCCCTGCAAATAATGCTAGGGAAGATAGCTAGGAAAAGTTTCACTGACTGTAAGCCCTTGCTAGACATAATGAGGTTGCTTTCGCGCAAAAAAATACAGACATTCAATTTTAAAGTACCAAAAGCACCAGAAGAATGCTTGAAAGAGTCCCCCGAGTTGTGCTTATCACACCATAGTTTAACATATGCGACTCAAAATACTACCCGCTCATGTTGCTGTGTTGCCCCCTTCGCGTTTGAATTTTACATTGTCCCCTTCCCACCTCCTTCAGAATGGAGTCTTTTTACTGTGCCACGCTCTCCACATCGGAAATTCCATTGTGCCTTCCGCCATCTCAGAATCTCAAGCGGCTTATAGAGATATCACGATCGGTCTAGATGCTGCAAGTTTGGGCAGGAACTGGTCCATATACTGCTTGTTGAACGGATAAAATACAGCTTCCAGTAAGTATAGACTACTTATGTTGAAAGTCTGTTCGCGGTAATTTAAGACAGGATTTTGGCGACGCCACGGGACTTTGCTACGGGAATCTCACGAGAGGCGATGCTTGAAGAGTTGGCCGACCCATCTTTGGACTTGGCAGGCGGGCCCGCGATCTAGAAGCAATGTTAACATGTGGCTTGGAAATGACCTTCCTTCCGCGGCATATGCCATGCAAATAGCGAGGGCTTGGCCGTCCCCTCGTTCAATCAGTTCAACAACACGATAAGACCACGGTTTTCCCTTGTCTATATGACATTCAACATACCGATGCGCACTTGTATTTTATATCCCAGCTCTACAACCATTTGACAGAGTAAAGAATACATACAAGCCACCGGATTGCTGGTCTTTACCCAGAAGCGTCGTATATTATGAGACGCACGAACCGCTCTCAACACTTACTGTGGGGCCCCCTTCGTACAGGAACTGTACCACTCAGCCTCCTTCGCTTGCTTCCAGATCCCTAACGACTCGCAATGCTATGCAAGGGCTGCGCAGCCGATGTCCCGCAGTAATTAGGCGCATGTACGGCCCTACAAGCGCTTATAGATAAATCCCTTTGTGGGGTCAGACCCGACGAAGGAAGAGGTATTGGAATAAAAGGACAGCAAGTGGCAGGTGGCGACTGCACGCATGAGTAATGCAGGTAAAGCCTGCATGCGCGCAACGATATCTCCGATGTTCGCCTCCAGGGATACCATCTACCATGTGGTTCGTTGTATAGTTCTCGAGGATTTCCTCGAAGCTAGCCCAGCCTGGGACTATATCCTTTATTAAAAAGGGTCCGGCTCATCGATGAGGTTTCTTGTCCATCGCAAATCACTCACTATCCTTCACGCTGCAGATTTTTCGCTATGTCTGCTCGAGCGTTGTTGCTTGTTTCAAGCGCCATTGGTGCTCTAAGCACCCCTGTCTATGTGAGGGATACGGCTGGTTCTACAGCCTCCGTTGCACCAGCCGCTGCCACAGTCTCAGCAGATTCGCCCGCTGGCGCGGCTCTGTTCTCGCAAGAAGCGATACAGCTGACGGAAGACGCGTTAGAAACTGCTTCCAGTCAAATTGACGAGGTTGACGTACTCGAACTATTCGGTTTCGGGGACAACAATGGCGCGGCGGCTTTTGCAACGCGGGCAATCAAAAAGGGCGAATGCAAGGCTTTTCCTGGGGATTCAAACTATCCGAAAGACATTGTATGGCCAATCTTTGATCTGTTGCTAGGAGGAGCACTCATCAAGACAAAACCTATTGCTGCTCCTTGTTACAAAGAGTCTGCGTGGAACAACTACGATGAGGCCAAATGCGAGGATATTTCGGCAAGGTTCACTACCGCTGATGTGCAGTAAGTAAACCAAAAGATCGAGAGGTACATCTTCTCTGACCAACTTACCAGCACGAGTGACCCAACCTCAATGATGTGGCCCCTCTTCCAGGGGCGCACCTGTATGCCCACCAATGAATCCGATGGCACATGTACGCTTGGGGGCTACGCCTCGTACTCGATCAACGTCAAGAACACCGCACAAGTACAACTCGGTGTCAATTTCGCCCGTAACATGAACTTGCGCCTCACGGTCAAGAACACCGGTCACGGTAAGCTGCTCTCCTCCTTTCATCTGATCTCACGAAAAAAAAGAAAAGAAAAGAAAAAAACTGACTTTGAGCCTTGTGTCCAGACTACATTGGTAAATCATCTGGTGCCGGTGCTCTCAGTCTCTGGACCCATAATCTCAAGGACATCCGGTTCATCCAAAACTACAAGTCGGCGAACTACAATGGCCCGGCGTTCAAGGCTGGTGCAGGTGTCCAGGGTTTTGAGATCTTGGAGGCTGCTCGCGACCACGATGTCACCGTGCTTGCTGGCATCTGCGAAGTGAGTAGAATATGATTCTACATGGGTACCAAAACATAACCATTAACCACTCCGCGTAGACTGTTGGATGGGCTGGCGGTTATCTCGCCGGTGGCGGTCACTCACCTCTAGCCTCCATCTACGGCATGGCCGCTGACCAGGTTCTCGCATACGAAGTCGTGACTGCCGATGGACGCTTTGTCACCGCCTCGGAAACCGTCAATCCAGACCTATTCTGGGCGCTGCGCGGCGGAGGCGGCAGCACCTTCGGCGTCGTGACATCGGTGATAGCGCGAGCGCACCCTCGCATCAAAGTCACAAAATCCGTCTTCTCCTTCCAAGCGCCGATCAACGACACAAGCAACTTCTGGCACGGCATCAACGCACTTATGAAGCGCTTCCCGCAGTTCAGCAAAGCAGGAACATACTCGTACTTCTGGATCTGGAACTACGGCACAACGCTCGACTTCCAAATGACGCCCTTTTTCGCGCCCAACCACACACTCGAATCCTTTGACGAGCTTACGCGAGACTTCTTCCAGGAGCTCAGCTCGTTCAATCTCTCCGTGACGCCGAAAACGACGTTCCATGAAGACTTCTACTCGGCCAACAAGGGCTCCTGGGGCGAAGACACGCTGGGCGTAACCTTTATCCGGCAAGCCACGCGGCTGTTCCCCAAGAGCCTGTGGGAGACGGAGGACAAATTCACCGCCTTCTACAACACAATCAAGAACACGGTCATGAGCGGCCACACCGTCGGCGGATACCACATGACGCCCGGCAACCCGCTTGGCGTCGACAACGCCGTCAACGAAGCATGGCGTACCACGCAGTCATTTCTCATCACCGCAAACATGCTGCGGGACAAGGCCACGCCCGCGGAATTTGGAGCAGCCTCAGACTACCTGACCTACACCATCATGCAGCCATGGCGCGACGTGGCGCCCACCGAGCACGGCGGCGGCGTCTACCTCAACGAAGCCGACATCCAGGAACCCAACTGGCAAGTCGACTTTTACGGCCCAAACAAGTACCCCAAGCTGCTTGCCATCAAGCACAAGTGGGATCCTACAGGCGTCTTCTACGCTACTACGGCAGTGGGCAGCGAGGCCTGGGAAGTCCGTGATGGCGAGCAAGGCGCCCAGACGCAGAATGGGCGCTTGTGCCGCCTTTGATACAAGGTTTAGAGGCTGTGGTATTACAGAAAGGAAATCAATCAATCAATCACCGCACTGAGCAAAATGAATATGTACTTCTCGGGCTTGCAATAATCAGTATGTATTACATACTACATCAGGTTTCCTACCCTGACCTGCAATCCTGACTCTCCAAGATGACCTCGTGATTCCTCACACCTCTCAAGTCAGTGTCTGGTCGGAACCCGGCATGATGAATGCTACATCTACACCTCAATGCAGGCAAAGACTAAGCCTGTGCTTACACCTACATCGAGCGCACAGAGGGTGCTGCATGTAACCAAGTGGGGCACCATGGATCCTTGATACGGTTGCAGCGGTCCCGGGCCGTGTGGTAAGGCGGCTCGGAGGACTTGACTCGTGCTCGTGCGCCGGCCGAGTGGGGTGACGGCAGTTCTTTGTGAGAGAAGGGGGGCAGCGGATGCTGTCATGGAGCTTGCAAGGCTCCGCTAAAGGGCAACGTCGCAGACACTTGCACTGCCAGATGTAGGCGTTTTTTTTTCAAAGAAGAGAGTACCATTAACTCACTACACTTACATGACACAGGAAAGAACCAAGAAAAGTTCAAATTCAGGACAGGTGATAGGAAAACCGTTGCAGATCAAGGCCTGTTTGCACAGCGACCCGACTGTTTAGGTGCAGTGAAGCACGCACCAGCGTCTTCTGCTTAGAGAGTGTGTTATAATACCACCTGTACGCCCCCGAACCCAAGACTCCGAACCAAAACACATGAAATACCAGCCTGAGGCACTCTGCGAACTTTTGTAATTGTCGCCAACTTCAGCTCGCCGTCTTTTCAAGTTTTGCTTACGGCATCTCCTCATCGCTAGCATCGAGGATGTCGTACTCTTCGTCCGTCATGAAGCCATCATCGGACTGAAGGGTGACACTCTCGGCATCCTCGAAGAACTCATCATCTGAAGCTACAGTGACGGTACGGGCGACGGTGCTCTTCACAGACGTAGGAGACATGGGCTGGACCGCGACGGTACGAACGACGGTGCTCTTCTCAGAAGCAGGAGACATGGGCTGGACAGTAACGGCTGACTCGTGGGTACTGGACTCGGGTGACTCCTTCTCAAGCTGAGGGAAGATCATGCCAGATGACGAGGGCTCGCTCGCGGGTTCTGAAGCCTTCTCGTCCACGGGAAGCTCAGCGGCGGGCTCTTCAGCGGCGACTTCTGGTTCTGGTGGGGAGACAGGCTCCTGCTTGATGGTAGCAAGAGCAGCCTCGTGCTCCCTACGACGAGCCTCGAGAAGGCGCTCGACAGCAGCCTTGCGAACACGCTGGATGTGCTCCATCTTTTGCTGGCTGCTCTGCTCGAGCTGTTGCAAGTGAGTTTGTCTGACGTGCTTCATCCTCTCAGCCCTTGCCTGAAGCAGGCGTTCGTACATGGGATTCGACTTGGGAGCAACTTCGTAGGTTGTAGCGGAAGAACGCGTAAGAGCAGGTGGCTGAGCAACCTGTTGTGTCTCAGTGGGAGACGGTGTGCCTACAACAGCAATGTCACACCATAGGCGGTGGCCGAAAGGAACGCCTGCGGGGGTCTTCAAGCGCCAGTACGAGATTGCAGTGCCTTCACGCTGGGGTGCCTTCATGACCACGCGGAACTGAGCCTCCTCACCCGGCTGCACGGCACCAAGGACGACGTTGCTCTCGCTAGCCTCGGCGAGATCAGTGTGGCTCAATGGGCGGTTGTTGTCAATGTTGAGCATGTTGTCGCCGCCAACGTGGCGGACACTGCATCCAGAAGGCCAGGCAATTGGTCCTGGGTTACGAAGAGTCCAAGTCTGGACGAATGTGGCGCCTGCAGAGATCTTGGAACCATCGACAATGGTATCGCGGATGAAGTGGGCGTCAAGACCGTCGGCAACCGTGTCAGACCTAGGAATCGGAATGGCTCCTGATGAGACTGGCTCCTTCTCAGCAGGCACAACGACCTTCTCTTGCTGTACTGGCTCGACCGAGTCTACGAGGAGATCACGAATGGCAATCTTCTCCTTCTTGCCTTGAGGCTCCTCGGAGGGCTTCATATCAACAATGGTCTGGACTTGAGTCGCAGCATTGGTAGGAGGAACGACCGCAGTCGTCTCGGTAGCAGTAGAGCGCCTGTCAGCTCTGCGATCACCAAGCCTGGCAAGCTGCTTGCCCTGCTTATCATCGTTGACAGTTGTCACACTGACACTGCGCACAGGTGTCTGGAACTTGATGAGAGGGTGCGTGTGGTTGTGCTTGTTGCTGGGGTGAGCCTCGCAGTTCTGGCAGAAGTCTGTGTCGTGACACACGGCGCACTTGTAGCGGATGCCTTCAATGTACGAGAGATTCTCCTTGTCTTTGCAGAGAGGGCCATCGCAGTAGATGCCGTAGTGGCGGTTGGCACTGTTCATGGGCTCCGCCAGAGGCTCGTAAATCGGAACAAAGCGGTGGCGTGGGTGTATGAACTTGGCGTTCTTGACACACTCGGTGCAGTAGTCCCAATCGGGGCAGTTCAAACACTTGTGGCGGACACCGTAGATGAACTTGTCACAGCCATCGCAAACAGCCGAGTGGCGAACATTCCTACCCGAGTTGCACAGGAAATCGGCAAGCGTGGGCAGAACCGTCTCGGATGTCGCAGGCTTGAAAGCGTGGCCGGGGTGGTGGCCGTGCTTGTTGTTCATGTGGCACTGCATGCAAAGGTCGTAATCGTCGCAAGCGGTGCAAGTGACGAATTCCCTCTCTGCCAGAATCTTGACGCAGCAGTTGCATGTGCGGGTGGGGTCCACTTGGTAGACAACAGACTGCTTTTCGTCAGTGAAGGCGCCTGGGACCTCGCGCTGTTGAGGCGCCTCGGCTTCGGCTTCAGCCTCCGTCTCAGGCTTGGTCTTGGGTGCGATGCGCTCCGTAATGCTGTTAACGACATTGCCGTTCCTGACGAAGCGCTTGACCATCCAGTGGCCGGACCCGGGGCAGTGGACGCCATTGTCCACACATGCCGGGCAAAGATCGTAGTCGCCTCCGTCGCACACGCTGCAGTGGAAATGCTCGTCTTCCATGGGCTCGTTGCAGTTGTTGCAGTACACAACCCACGAAGTGCACAGGCTGCTCGGCTTGGGACGGAAGGCGAGGCTTGGGTTGCCGTTGGCAGCTGTGAGGTGGTTGAAGAGGTCTGGATTTGATGTTAGCCACATAGCCCATGCTTAATCGCGCAGTCCATGCTTACTCTGACGAGTAGTGAAGGCCTGGGGCACGGGAGCCTCGCCCTCGTTGTCCGCCACCTTTGATAGCGAAGCAGGCTTGGGGGGAGGGGTGGGCTTGGACTCGGGGGAGCGAGCGATGACGGGCGAGACAGTCGCCTCGTCCTGAGGAGGAACCTCATCTGAGCTGGGTTCGCGGGCGGGGGGAGCATCGGCAGGTGTTGACTGAGATGGCGCAGGTGCGGGTGCGGGGACGGGTGCGGGGACGGGCTCCTCTCCGGGGATGGACACCCTCAAGCGCAGCTTGAGCTTGGCCTTTGCGGCGCGGAAGAGCGTCTTGTAGACCTGGGGCTTGTCTGCGTCGAGCGTCACGTACGACGCGGCTGAGTCGGAGTAGCGCTCAAAGAGGACATCTTGGTCGGGGTGCAGTGAGAGGATGGTGCGGAGCTGTGCATCACGACAGAGTCAGCATGGTGTTCCTGAGCGGCGTGGCTGTCCGGGGGCAGCGGACATGGCGCTGCGTGTGGCGATACGGACCTTGTCGGGAAGCACATGGGCTCCAAGGTCCTTCAGAGGCAGCTTGAACTTCTTCGTCTGGCCGTGGAACATGACCTTGACGACGATGGGCGTGTCGAGCGTGACGGGGGTGGAGGTGGTGGCCGCCATGATGGGCGCACAAGGCTGGGGGGGCGGTCAAATGCACCGAGAGATGGACAGAGCGACCGCGATGTGCTGGCCACCGCTGCAAGCGAGCGGAGAGGATGCAGCACGTGGGTGGTGCGGTGGTGGTGATGGCGGTGGTGGACGTGGACGTGGACGTGGACGTGGAGGAGGCGGAGAGGGAGGTTGATGGAGTCGCGGAGGCGGAGATGGAGGTGGAGCAGGTGAGACGGCGGAGCTGGACTGGACGTGTAATGGGCAGCTGCCTTGGGTGGGGTCAGTGCTGAGCGCCGGGGCACGCTAAGTGGGCACGACCCATACACCGGAGTGCCAAAGCGCGAGGCAGCAGCACACGCACACACTCGCACTCGCACTCGCGCCTGCTCGCGCCAGCTGGCCGCCTGTCACGTTTCTTTTTTGCTTTTTCGACGTGGCCGCCGCCCGCCAGCAGCCCCGACACGCGCCCCCCACCGCCCCCCGCCGCTGCCACGACGGGACCTGCCTCCAGCGCCCGTCGCCGCGTCAGTCCGCCAATCTGACTGTGGCCTCGCACGTGTGCTGCTGTGCCTCGCCCGTCGGCCGCCGTGCTGGCCGCCCCGTCGCCGCCGTCGTTGTTGTCCTTGTCGTCGCCCGCCACGACCCCAGCGCCTGCAGCACAAGTCACCACCCGGCACCCGCCAGCGATGCTGCTGCAGCAGCACTGTTGTTCTCTTCCCGTGGCTCGCTGTCCCCGAGCTGCCGCCCCGTTGCCCCAATCGGGCGCTGCTCGCCCGATGACGCCATGGCGCCTGCGCACGTGATGGCCCACTGCACCAGCTGATCAGCTGAGATAGCGTTTCACCAACTCAATATACGCCGCGAATGCCGCCGTCCACCCCCCGCCTCACTTCGCCCGCCAAAGGCCCCGAGCGCGCGTAGCCACCGTGTCTTGTCTTGTCGCAGTGAGAGTGCACGCAATCCTGCACCGCCCGCCCTGCGTCTGCGCTTTCCTCAGAGCTGCGCCATGGCCTGCATCTACACTCGGTACACGCTGCACGATTGCTGCATTGGGAACCCGTCTTTTCCTGGAGCACTCGTGTCACGTGCCTCTTTACGCGGCAGCCAATGGTTCTGGTTCCGCGCGGGGCATGACTAAGCCGGAGCTGCCCTAGCGCCGGCCTGCTGCAAGCGAAAATGCGAGCCCCAGAAAAAAGTTCGAAGCCGATGCAGCGCCACGCAGCATCAACCACGCCACAATGTCCAACGACGCCGACATGATGTCCTCCGACGAGGCTGCCGTCGTCCCGAAGAAGGAGCGACGCGACAAAAAAGAGAAAAAGGAAAAGAAGGAAAAGAAGCGCTCAAAGTCCGAGTCCAAAACAGACGTCGCAGATGCCGAAGCTAGCGAAGCACCAGCAGAGACACCAGCAAAGAAGCGCAAACGAGAAACTCTACCCGAAGAGCTTGAGATCGACCTCGCCCTGCCGGAGCCAGCTTCCAAGAAAGCTGCTCGTAAAGCAAAGAAGGCCAAGCTGAACCCTGCATCGACGGCCGGAGATGGAGCAGGCGCAGACACAAAGCCAGGAGGCGAGGCAAACGGGAACAAGGACGCAGATGGCAAGCGATCAGCTTACGGTGTGTGGATTGGAAATTTGCCGTGGTCCGCCACCAAGGACTCGTTGCGAACATTCCTGGCCGAGCACTCTGAGATCCCGAGCGACCACATAACGCGCGTGCACATGCCCCCACCGACAAAAGTCAACCCGAGCTGGACGACCAAGCCCCTCAACAAGGGCTTCGCATATGTCGACTTTTCCACCGAATTGGCAATGTACTCGGCCATTGCCTTGACAGAGACCAAGATGGACGGACGCGCCCTGCTCATCAAGAACGCAAAGAGCTTCGAGGGAAGGCCGGACAAGCCCAAGGCGGAAGAAGCCCAAGACGGTCAACGCGGCGGTAGGGCAGATAAAGCCGGGCATCCGCCAAACAACCGTGTCTTCATCGGCAACCTCTCGTTCGACGTGACCAAGGAAGATCTCCAAGAGCACTACGCTCAGTGCGGGCACATTGACGACATCCACATGGCCACATTCGAAGACTCTGGCAAGTGCAAGGGCTACGCCTGGATCACCTTTGGCGACGTGGAATCCGCCACGTGGGCCGTCAAGGGCTTCGTCTTCAAAGAAGCGTCTGAATTCAAAAAGAAGAGCAAACCCGACGAAACAGACTCGGATTCCGACGCAGACCAGAAGCCCGAAAAGAAGCGCAAATGGTTCATCAACAAGTTCATGGGCAGAGAGCTGCGCTGCGAGTTCGCAGAGGACGCCACCACGCGCTACAACAAGCGCTGGGGCAAGGACAAGCCCGCCAAACCCGTCGACGGCGTCAACCCAGACCGCTGGAAGAACTTTGACCGCCAGCCCCGTACCACCGACACCAAGCCAAAACGCAAAATCGATCCTAGATCCATCAAGAGCGGCGCTGCCCATGCGAGTGCTCCTAGGGCTAGCCAGGCTATCGTCCAGTCTCAGGGCAAGAAGACGACGTTTGAATGATGGATTATGTGGTTTTATTCGCATTCGGATACCCCTACTTTATCAATATCAATATATCAATGGAGAGAAAAAGAGAAAAGATGGAAAAATAAGAGGACTTGGTCATGTGCGTGTGTATATAACGTGCATGCATGCATGCATTCTTCCTGCAACATGATATTATTGCACCTGCTAGGAGAGATCCCATGTCTTCTCAAAGATCCTACATCCTACCCTCAAGTGACGCTGTCATGTTTTTTTATCCAAAACAACGCAAAGCATTCCTTACTGTACTAGGATTGAAGCTGGAATAGCGCAGCAGCAAGTAGATAGACATGGACAGTAGCAATTCGAGGGGTTATTTGAACGGCCTGTTTGACCATTTTATGTATTCATTTATTCGTCCATTCATCCATCTGTCCATCCATCTGTCCATCCGTCCATGCTATATATAAATCCCAGAAACTCCTCCCCCCCCCTAAAGAAAGACCAAACGTAAAGAGAGAGAGAGAGAGAGAGAGAGAGAGAGAGAGAAAAGAGATACTTCAACGCCCAATGGAAATAGCCAAAACACACACGTACACACACACACACACACACATCGCTATTCAACCCGCAATCCGCCTCGCTCACAGGATATTTTCTCACTACGCCGTAGCATGAGCAGCCAGCCACTGCGCAAACGCAGAGGCATTCCTCGTCTGCATAAAGACGGTTCCTGGACCGGTAAACTTGCACACGAGGCCCTCGCCGGCACTAACATTGCTGATGATGCCTCCGCTGGCCACGCGCTCAAGCACGTATTTGCAGTTCCACGCGACGAGGTGGCCGTTATCGATGATGTATTTTTCGTTTGCGACGAGCTGTAGTTCGGGGGGGGGATTAGTGATTTAGCACATAGTCTTGCGACAGAAGGGAGGAAGGAAGCGTAGGAAGAAAAAAAGGGAGAAGCGGGGAACAAAACGTACATCCTTCCTAATAATAGCCCCGAAACTCGTGCACCAAAGCACACCCGTGCCACTAATCTTGTAGATAAACATGCCCTCGCCGCTAAACATGGCTTTGCCGATGCCCTGGCTCTTGTGCTCAATCACGATGCCCTGGGTGCAAGCGAGAAACGCGTCGTGGCCCATACTCCAGGTATCCTTGCCGCTGAGCTTGATGATGGTGATGTCGCCGATGGCGGGGGGCGCCAGCAGGAGTTCGCCGGGGCCCGTGTATGTTGATTTTGACATTTCGCTTCCGATGAGCATTTTCTTGAGCGAGAATTTGACGTTGCCTTTGAGCGTCATGGTGGGGGACATTGCGATCATTGCGCCTGTAAGGGGGTTTCGTTAGCATTTGGATCTCTCTCTCTCTCTCTCTCTCTCTCTCTCTCTCTCTCCAGCATATTTCCAACTTCAGACATATATCCACCATGTTTCCCGCACGAACCAAACACAGACTGGGGCATTCAAAATGGTTCAAACCAACTTACCCGGCTTCGCCGTCAACGGACACCCAATCGCCAATTGGACAGTGAGAATGGTATTTGTATCTCTATGGCTGACGCGATAACTGCCTCCGTTGAATGTGCCCACATCATCCGCAGACACATTCCCAGGCATGGCGTGTGCCAGCGCGCCCGCATACTGCGGCTGCTGCGGTATACTCTGCGGGCTCATGGGCGGCTGTGGCATGCCCGGGTGAGGAGCTTGTTTTTCAGGCGGATATGGACTTGCGCTGGGGCTTCCGGCTGGAAACCCGCCGTAGCCTGGGCTCATGGGCGGCGATTGCGCTTGGCCTGGGGGCGGGTAGTGCTGGAGTTCTGGGGGCGGCGCATATTGCTGCTTCTCGGGTGGGGGCGCATAGTGCTGCTGCTGTGTGTTTGCTGCGCCTGGCGGAGGCGGGTAGTGCTGTTGTTGCTGCTGGAGTGTGGGCGGAGACGAGGGCGGCGGTGGGTACGACTGGCCGCCGGGAGGTGGCGCAAAGTACTGTTGCTGAGGCTGTTGGTCTGGTGTGTATTAGAATGGTATCCAGAGAACAGTGTCTCTTGCCCACGGAGGGTATGGCTGGAGAAAGATGCGATCATGGGCTGAAAGTACCTGGAGGCGCTGGTCCACGTCAGTTTGTATCCCGTACGCGCAACACTCGACTCACGAGGGTAATAGTTTCCGCCAGGCGGCGGAGTTGCTTGGTGTGCCGACATGTTCATGTTTAAAGGCAGGCTTCGGCGCAAAGGCGATGGAGGGGTATCACAAGCTCAGAGCAGAAAGGGAAACTGGGAGAGAAAGAGAGAGGGAAGAGGCCAGGCAGAGCGCGAGAGCGCTTCAGATTAGTCTACAAACACATCATCGCCACATGCAGTATAGACAGGCGTTTTAACCGCGCGCGCCCATTCGTATGCTCTTGGTCAAGCTGCTCAGCCGCCATGGTGCAGCTGTTGGCTGGTGGGGTATCCTGGAGCCGCCGAATCAGCAGCCGGCGCCCATTGGCCTCGAGGCCAGCGCCAAGGTCGTGCGACGGGTGAGCAGCACAAGCGCATCTAGTAGTTCATGCACAAGCTCCTGTGTGTTCTGGAAAAAGACGCCGAAGAAACATCGCCCAGCCCGTTGGGCATGCACATGCGTGGGCGGCCGGGGAGCTCAGGAACGGCCGCAAGCGCCCACCACGGCTGCAGTGCTTGTGCCGCTGCTGATTGGCTGCCAGGGGGTGATATTGGGAATGCACTAACAAGGCACCTTCACACGGGCACGAGAGCATAGCCTTGCTTACTCTTCATCATTCCGGGTCGGCCTCGACCCCAATCCCCTGCAGCTGTCCATAGCATAGACGTTGCATGGTATCTATCATGACCATCTCCATAACCGATGTGAGAGCCTCATTAAAGCAGCCGTTGGAGCGCCCGCTTCCCAAAGCCCCGACCAGCCCAAGCCATGCAATAACGTTGAACATCGTAAACCACATAACACCAACACACCTAGGCCACCATTCTCCGTCTCTTTCCAATCTGTGCAGAGAAACCAGTCTTGATGGCCTGGACCGAACGCCTTGAGCCGCAGCTGTTGCACGTAACGAAGTTGAGACGGTTCTCACCCTTGGACAAGTCCGTGTCGGGCGAGCGGCACGTCTTGCACGTCACGTACTCGACAATGTACCGCCTCAGCACGTTCTCCAACTGTTTTTGCTGGAAACGACCCTTGATAACCAGGCGCTTCTGATCGGCGAATGAACCGCTCGTACCCAATTCGGCGAACAAGAACTGCGCAACGTGCTCGTCGGAGCGCTTCATACGCTTGCAAATCTCGGCGAGGTTGGCAAACACCGTCTTCTTGTTACCTTCACGCATGCACTGTGGCGGCGGGATCTTGTAGCTCTTTGTGCCTGAGCTGGCGAGGTCGGGGTGTTGCGCGTGGAGGAGTGTGAAGAAGCGGCTCAGAAGGAGGTTGTAGCTGATGGGAGTCGTCTGGTCGTGTTGCCAAATGCCAGTGCCCTTCATCATGTCGCCCTCTTGAACTTCTGGCTCTGCGACAGCGGCCTCTTCTTCGCCCTCGGCCTTTTCGCCACCCGCAGCAGCGAGCTTAGCCTCGAAATCGTCCTCGACCTTCTTCTTGGTCGACTTCTTCTTTTTCTTGAGCGCGGCAAAGTCGCCCTCTGCACCTTCTTCCTCCTCACCCTCCTTCTTCTTGGTCGACTTCTTCTTCTTCTGTACCTGCGTCAGTGACGTGCTCCACATCCCAACGTGCGTAGACCCATACCTTCTTGGCGAGGTCAGCGAACATGTCGGTGACCTCGTCGACCTCCTTGTCCTCGCCTACTGTCCTACCGGTCAGTCCATGTTCTGTTATCCCCATACAAGCAATCTCACCGCCACCAGAGGAGTGACCCTCGGCAGAATCTTTGCCGCCGTTCAGCTCCATGGATTTGGTGACGTCGCCGTTGCTGTCGACAATCGTGGCGCCTTCAGAAAATTGAACAGACTTACGAGGCTTGCGTTCGGTTACTTCAGCCTGCATTGGACTTTGGTCAGCATGCGGTTCCTAGTAAAGGGCTTGCAGAGGCGGCGGTGTATGAACGGGAAGTGTGGCACTGTCTGTCGTAACAGAAGGGAAAAAAAGCCAGATGCAAGCCAATACAACGCAACCATGGTAACAGCGCAGCTGAACCATCTCCCCGGATCACTCCAAAGGTAGGTTATTGCAAGGGTATCTAAAGTCTTGCATCCCGCTCTTCTTCCCTGCCCACTTCCCCATTTCGACAGCCGGCGTGGGGTCGAATGACGTACAGTATCAGCCATGATTGCGGTTGTGTCGAGGCGTGTGCCGGTTGTATCGTTGTAATTCTGTCAAGGAATATTGGTCGAGTTGCTGTTATAGGATGGTGGTGGTGGTGGTGGTGGTGGTGAGGCAGGCAAGTGCGTGTAAAGCGGCCTAAAGTTCGCCGCAACACCTGTGTGAGTCGAACGTTCTCAGCCAAGATTTGCATCACGTGACGCGTACCGCTAAGCCCCACCTCCGCTCATTGGTCGCAGCGTCACTTCACCAAACGCGCCGACCGAGTCCGCCAGTGCATCGCGTTTGGACATTTCCTTTGTGTTGTCGCGATCGCCCGTAACGCTCGAGCCACAGACGCTGTACGATCCTTTGCCGGTTTTTAGTCCCCAAATGGCCATGTCGATGAGCAACGAGAGCTTCGTCGAGCCATCCTCGGCCGATGAGATCGACTCCCTGCCCTCGTCCTCGACGAATTCCGAGGCCGACGAAGAGGAATACCTGTCCGATGCGGATCGAGAATGGAGGGAATCACTGCAGCAGCTAGAGCTGTTATTGACCATGGTTATGGTCCCATATCTGGGGAAATACTTTGGCAGGAAAGCCGCGTATTGGGGTGCGTCGTGTTCAGTCTGAAGGCTGACGAATGCGGAATACCGTGCTGACTATGCAACAGGGTGGGCCAAGTTCATGGAATGGAAGTATCCCGTCGATATTGTCTTTTCGAGTCCGACGACGTTCAAGCTAGCTGGAGCAGCCGAGGCAGCCGCGGCACTGTGAGCGTTGGAATGTCTTCAGACATTAATATATTCGAGCATTGGCGTTTACGGCGTTGAACGTATATGATATCCAGTTGCATGGTGGGAGGATCATTACATGCGAGCCTCCTGCTATCATGCGTTGGCATAAGGATGACAGGAGAAGTCTACGCCAGCTCTTAATAGAGTGTCTGCACTTCTCGGTCCTTCTCCTTGTGTCCTTGACACAGCCATACGTATAGTGAAGGCAGAGGTCTCCTCGACAAGAGAGTACTTGAGTAGAGGCTTCTCAGGGGTACCTTTGAGGCAGGTGTGCTGTAACGGTTATTAGAACCCTGTCTATGTAATAGAACTGCAACGATCCATGCTAGGATCTTCAAGTATCTTCTCTCTTCTCTACAGGGTATCAATGATGATTGTTCTGCCAGCCCGTCTTCCCTGAGCATTCCCATCCCTCCATACCTACCACCTACTTCCTCCCCTCAACCATAATAATGTGATACCCCTCCTTCGTCCTCACCTCCCCAATCTTAGGATTCGCCGTCGAACTCGGCTCCAGCTCATACGCCACCTTTTCAAACTCGAGCATCAAGCTTCCACGTACTTTCCAGCCCAAACTACCACCTATTTTATCATCAACATCAACACCAACATCAAAAGAATTAAAAATTTATCAACACAGATATACACAACCATAGGATACAAGAGAGGTAAATAGAGATGAAGACATACCCTGCCTCGCCTTATCCTCACTCATTTCGCGCGCCACATCATCGAATTTAGCGCCGTTGCGCAGTTTCTCGAGCGCCTCTTCCTTTTTGGAGTGCTTCTCGCATAGGATGTGGCGGACGTTGATGCTGGTAGCTGGTTTGAGTTTGGCTTTTGCTGCGTCGGCTTTGGCGCCACTGCTGCTGCTACTGCTGTCGTCTTTGGCTTTGGATTTGTTGTTCTTTGGGGGCATGGCTTTTTTTTTTTGCGTCGTTGGTTGTTCTTGATGGTGCTTGCTAAGTGCGAGTGCGAGTGCGAGCGTGTGTGAGGGATGGAGAGGGGTAAAACGAGTCAGGTGGTTGGGTTGGGTTGGGTTGGGTTGGCTGGGGATAGGTAAGTAGGTGGTAGGTGGTAGGTGTATGGGAGATCAAGTCAAGGCATGAGACTTTCTCGGGTTTAGCGTCTTGAGTAAATAGGTTTCCAAGGAGTAGCAAAGAAGAATAGCGTAATAGCAACTGACATGCGAAAAGTAATGTACATGGCTCGGAGCTCCGATGCGGGGCAGATGGAATAGGATCCCCCAAGTGGGGTTAGACGGGTGACAAGGATAATTAATCAACATAGCACAACACACTTGCGCGGAAGCGGGTCAAACACGGATTCTTTTTTTTTCTCCCAATCTCCATCATACAATATATTGATAAGTGCTCGTCGATTCATGACTCCGCACGTAAACCTCCCTCCCTTTGTGCCATCAGGTTGATGCGTCATGTACAAACAGCCTTTGGGGCTCCAGTATATCCATCTCAACAGTACACCCCACTGACTCCGCATACCGACAATCGGAACGCCGTGGCCCTTCTACAAATTGGGTGTTTGCCCCATGCCAAACAGACCATGGAGGCGAGTGAATGCAATCCGCGGCAGTCCTCCACATATCATCTTGCCGTGGACTCACTCCACAACCTTGATAGACGTTCATGTGCTCTGCTGCCGGTGTTCTCTGTCGTTGTTCCCTGCCGGAGCTCTCTGCTGGCGCGGTTATGCAATAGCCTGCCTGAACCATTCTAAACCAATTTACAACTTGTGAGCATGGACGCCTGCGACTTCATCCGTTGCCGTTCATGACGGTGGCAGCTGCAGGCGTAACCCCATTTTTTGAGAGAACAATATCCATGAAACTCTTGCGGGGCTTGTGCTTCTTTTCTGGTAGCTCCTCGTTGGCATCAGCTAGATGGATTCGTCGCCGCTTGCATTCAGCACGCATGTAATGCAACAACGGACGGAGGCTTTCCACTTTGTCGACTTCGGCGTGAAGGAGCGACTCCTCAACCCAATATAGACCTTCCATGACTGTGAATTGGTTCTTGGCTTCCTTGATGCTTTCCTGAATTTTTGTATAGTCAAAGTCTGGAGCACCTTCCATGGGGAATCGGAAATCTTGGGCTAGAAGTGCAACGTCGTATTGTCGAAGGATGGCATCGCGTTGTGTGCGATTAACAGGGATACGAGTCCACTCGGAATAGGGCGCGCTGAGATGTGCTAAATCGAGCTCGGGAAGTCCAAGTATGCCCACCACCTGGAATGAGCAAACGTACGTCTTGTCGGGCACAGCCTGTGAATCGTTGAGATCCGAGGCGTTTGCGTAGAAGAGTGGTAGAAACACGGCCGAGACACCGAGTTCTTCGCCTGAGAAGTGAAGTGGTCGGTTGGTGCCTAGCTCGCAGGCTCGGCGTAAAGCTCGCGGGAGTTTTGATATGCGGTCCTGGCGTTCGAGCAGTTCCTTTTGTCGCCTAGCCTCTTCTTCTGCTCGTCGTTGCGTCTCCTGCTCTTCTTTGACACGGGCAGCCTCGGCTTCTTCTGCCAGGCGTCGTGCCTCCGCTTCCGCCTCGGCCTTCTTCTTCGACTCTTCTACTTCTGCGGCCTTGCGAGCGGCCTCTTCTGCTTCCTTGTTCTTCGCCTCGGCCTCGGCCGCTGCCTGGGCCGCTTTTCGTTTCGCTTCCGCGTGCGCTTGCTGCTCTTCCAGACGCCTTTGACGCTCAACTTCGGGTGTTGCTGTCCTTTCGGGCGGGGCAGGCGTCGACTTGGCAGATGCGGTGGGAGTTCGCTTCACACTGGCATCGTCGGCGGATGCGTCGGACAGCTTTCGCTTTCGTAATTTGTCTTCCATGGTCTTGTACTTGATCTTGTTCTTGACGACTTTTCGCTCGTCGGGCGAATCGACTTCGGGAGTTGGCTTGGCGCTGAGCGATTTGGCTGGCTTTACGGGTGCCTTGACTGGATGCTTCGTACCATGGTCCTCATCACTCTCGTCTGACCGTTCACGAACCGGGCGTTTGGATTCGTTGTCGTCTGAGCGCGCCTTCAGCGCCTTTCTGACCGGTTTTGCCTCCTCGCCTTCGCTGTAGGACCGCCGCTTGGCTTTGCGTGTAGGAGGCCGTACATCCTCTTCGCTTTCTTCCTCGGATGAATCGTCGTCTACGACACGTTTTCTCCTCTGGCCTTCGCGAGAGGCCTTTTCTTTTCCAGACATTAGCCGTCGTGACTTTTGAGGTGCGGCGGACACTGTAGTAGATTTTGCGAGGTTGGCGCGTTTCGGCTCCGCCTGAGGCGAAGACGAACGCTCTCGTCGCGGGGATGCTTTTCTCTTGATGCGGTTGGCTGAAGGGACCGGTGGTTCTTTTTTCGTTCTTCGCGGGCTTCGGTGTGTTTTCTGGTATTCTTCACAAGCACGCTTCAACATGTCCCTCTCTTCCTCCCATTTCGGCCCATGTCGTTCTTCTGAGATTTCCCAGTATGTCTTGTTGTCTTTGTTTCTGCGGGTCGGATTGAAGTTGTCTTGCTCGAGAAGTAACTGTATGATCTTCAGGTATCCACGCCCAATCGCAACTGTCATGGGCGTCTCTGGATGCTTGGATGGGTCGGGATCGGCCTTGAGGCCACTTGCTAGGAGGATGCTGAGAATGTCGTAATGGCCGCCCCTTGCCGCCGCCACTCCACAGGTAATGTTTGGCTTGATGTTGCTATTTATTAATTCCCCGACAGCCAGAATATCGCCGTCGCCGGCCTTTTCGATGAGGGTTTCAACATTGAACTCGTTGTACAAGAGGCGAGAGGCAGTTTTTGCTTGTTTCTGTGACTGCTCTTGGTCGTTGGACGAGGTATCCACCCGTCTTCTCATTGCTTCGCGTAGTTCTTTTTCAATCTCTGGCGCGTCTTCGTCCTCGTGGTCGAGAACATCAATGGCACGTTGGCCCTTTTTGTTCGAGTGGTGCGGATTGACTTGGCCTTGGTTGAGCAACAGTCGGACTACATCCAAATGCGAGTTTTCGACTGCATCAATGAGCGGCGTGTCGCGGTCATGGCTCTCGCAGTCAGTGCGGCAGCCCTTGCTGATCAGATACCGGACCACGGGCGCCCAGCCGTGCAGCGAGGCCTTTTGCAGGGGAGTGATTCCGGCGTAGTCGGGTTGATCCAGCTCTTCTGGGGCCTCTTCGTAGGCCTCTTTGACAGCCTCCAAGTCGCCCTTTTCACTTTCTCGGGCGAGGCGGGTGGCGCCAAAGCGATCAATCTTTCGATGGGGCATGGTGCGCGCGGGAGAGGTTAGGGCACGGTGCGTGGAGCGCTTGACACGGGCGTGTTGTTGCATGTAGGGCGCAGACATGGGCTGGGGTGAGGTGGAGTGGTCTGAGCTAGATCCCGACCAGTGCTCTTCGTTTGACAAGGCGAGATTGGTGACTTCGCGACGCTTGCGACCGGCAATGCCCGTGGCGGACGACTGCGTCGACTGCGAACGCTTGTGGGAGCGGCCAAAGGCGGGCGTGTCGGTCTTGGGCTTCTGGCGCGGCGGCTCAAAGGGGAACGAGTCGTCGCGTAGCTTGCGCTTGCGGTTGTCGGCGGTCGAGGCACTGCGGCCACGGGATTTGGCGACATGGTTGGGGCTGGTGTCTTTGGTGCGCGTGTTGGGGGACGAGGGGACAGACGTCTTTGCGCCATTAATCTTGACGTGGGAGCCGGGCCGTTGACGGCCGTTGGGCTGGGGCGAGTGGGCGCGCGGCTCCTCCTTGATGGAGCGCAGGCGGGTCGCGTCGTGGGCGGTCGTGTTGTCGTCGTCATGGTTGTCGTCGTCGTGGTTGTTGTCGTCTTCGTCGTCGTCGACGCGCTCCGTCTTGATCAGCTTGGCGTCGGGGGGGTTTTCGTCGCGCGACAGGACGACCGTCTCGGCCTCGGACTCGCCCTCGCCCTCGACATCGGGGTCGTTGTAGCCGTTGGGGTGGGTGTTTGGGTTTGCAGGGAGCTGCTGCTGCTGCTGGTGCGAGGGCTTCCAGGACGCTTCGAGCGCAGCAGGTGGCTTGTGCGCGTGGCGTGGAGAGGAGCTGCGAGGGCGGTCGTGGTGGAGGGCGGCGGGGGCAGAGGGCGTGTTTACGAGAGTATCGGCATTACTGGTCATCACGATATGGGGACAGGACACAGCAGTTCCTGCCTCATGCTGGCTCGGCGGCAGACGTGGGGACGGGGAGGACGCGCGGGCGGCAGGAACACGGCGCTCAGCAGCCCTGGGGGCCGGGAGGGATGGACAATGGCAGCGGAGGCCGCAGCGACGGCAGAGAGAAGGGAGGAGCGCTGGGGGCGGGGGGGGGGTTTGATGGGGAGGGGGTGTGGGAGGGCGGCGCGCAGGTGGGTGGAGGGTGGTGGTGTGTGTGGGTGAGGTGCAGCAGCAGGTGTGAGAGGGTCGAGCGAGACGCCGGAGAGGAGCAAGAGTCGAGAGGCTTGACAGTAGTCGGCAGGCGGCGCTCCACCACTCACCGGCGAGCGCCATTGCTTGGATCCCCGGCGGGCCCCATCTCTCCTGAACACAACCCTGCACACGCCTCCCGCCGGTTTGCTGCTAGAGCTGCTAGACGACGAGCTGCGTGCTGGCTGCGGCTGCGGCTGCTGCTGCTAGGGCTGCGGTGCTGACGGCGACGGGGGCAGGGGCAGCGACGGGGGCAGTGGTGGCGACGGGGGCGATGGTGGTGGTGGTCATGGTCACGGTGATGGTGATGGTGAGGGTGAGGGCGAGGGCGCTGACGCTGCGAGGCCGGGCGGCTCTGTCTATCTGGCACACACGGCGGCCGTGGAGATGCAGTGCTGCGACACGGGCAGCCAAGGCATCATGGGCCTAGGAGTCAGCTGGCGGAATGAGGGAGCAAAGGCTATGTTGTTAGCTGCGACACGTAGTGCACGGAGCGGGTATCAGCTTGGGCGCGGGTCGAAAGCCTTGTCGTCGTCGTGGTGCGTCCACGGCTCCATGCACACGTTGGTGTATGTAGACACACATGGCCATGTGGCGTGCATGCCGTCGTCGAGCAGGCAAGACTGGCACTGGCACTGGCAGGCCTCGGAGCCATGGGTCGAGAGAGCGGCGGCGGCGGCGGCATTGTCAGGCGTCGTCGTGGGCGTGGGCGTGGGCGTGGGCGGCGGTGGTGGTGCTCGCCCCGTGCTCCCCGCGCCCGTCGTCGCTATTGCAGCGCGCAGACTGGCCAACTGCCACTAATGCTAATAAGCTGCTGCTGCTGCTGCTGCTGCTGCTGCAACATGGGATGCGCGCCCCGAACCCAGCAAAAACAAGCGGTCAGCCACTGTCTCCCCCCCTCTCTCTCTGTGCTCTGCCTGGTCCCCCACACCCACACGCGCGTTCCGCCAAGCCCCTCGTCCACCATCATCATGTTGCCGTCACCATCCCCTCCCCCAACACTCTTGCTCTGCACATAGACTTTGCCCATTCCGCCCCATCCGCCCCCAGCCCTTCTCGTCCCATCCCATCCATTCTGTCCATCCCTCCCTCCCTCCATGGCCGACCCCCTCATCCACCCGGCCCTCCTCCTGCGCGCCTTCTACCTCGCCGCCTCACTTCTTGTATCTCGACACCACTTCAGCTGCCGCTTGCCCTCACACTGACCCGCCCTGCTTACCAGGTTCTCGTCATACAGGCTGTTCCTGCACTACGCACCCGCTTCCTAGCCTACGGCCCGCGTGCTACCGACCCCGACGTGGCCAAGGAACCGCGAGCACAGCATCTGCCGTCAGCCGCCAGCCAGGCGCTCGATTATGCCGCCTCGCTGCAGGTTCCCCACGCCTTCTTCGCCCACTTCTACATCACCTCGGTAGCCTGCTCGCTGCTCGCCGCATGGCAGTTGCGCGTCTGGGACGCCACCACCCAGCAGCAGATTGTATGGGGGCTCTTGCTGCTGCAGGGCCTGCGCCGCATGCTGGAATCCTACTGTTACGCTTCGCCCAGCAAGAGCACAATGTTCTTTGCCCATTGGCTCCTTGGTCTGCTCTTCTACATGACCATCAACATGGCCGTCTGGGTCGAGACGCCAGGCCGCACATTCGGGAACGCCGCGCTTGTGCCGGCAGTCATCACGGCCCAGATGCTGCAGCACTCGTATCATGCTTACCTCTACCGCCTGCGGACCGAGACTAAAGGCTACCAGCTCCCGTCTCATCCCATGTTCCCCAATCTGCTCTGTCCACACTATACTTGCGAAGTAGTCATCTACGCGCTCTTGGCCCTTATAGCAGCCCCAGAGGGCAGCATGCTGAACTGGACACTGGTCTGTGCCGCTGTGTTCGTCGCCACGAATCTCGGTGTCACGGCGGTAGGTACCAAGGAATGGTACACGGCCAAGTTTGGTGCCGACAAGGTAGGTTCGCGGAAGAGAATGGTGCCTGGGATATGGTAACGCTCTTGGCTGCAGGCGAAGCCGTTGCTGTAGCTTCTCCTAGAGTTTGTTCATGAAACTCGTTGCCCATATATCCAATGCAAAATCTGCCATCAATTACTACATGCCAAAGTGAATGCAATGCAGTGTCAAAGTATCGAGTGCTCCAACTCGGTAGCTCGTCACCTGAGCTCGTGTTTGCACTAGTCTACATTCGTCCGCGCTACCGGGCGTTTGCCTAAAGCAACAGGCTGCCTCTCACATTGCACCAGCAAACACATTCCTGACGCGCCTCTTCTGTGCCCGGCTGGCTATAAATCAACTCTCCTGTTTCCGCCATCGAGAGCATTTGCACACGATCCCGAGTTTCTGGCCGTGTTGCGGCATTCTCTAATACCTTGCTTGTTTCGCCAATTGACATACGCGAAGCGCGTACGAACAACTATCACTACCACAGTCATGGCAGGAAAAGAAGCAACCGTGTACATCCTTGATCTCGGACGTTCCATGGGAAAGAAGAGGCATGGACGCGACCAGACCGATCTCGATTGGGCCTTGGAGTACGTCTGGGACAAAATCACAAACACTGTAAGCCGACGTTCATTTGGTGATTTAGTGCGTTCGATACGTCGCCTGCTTATCTCATGCAAACATAACATAATTCAAGAATCTGCAACTGACAACAAGACAGGTTGCAACGGGCAGAAAGACTGCGCTGATGAGCGTGATTGGCTGCCGAACTGATGAGACTGATCTTGCCGGCACCATAGAGGAGGAAGAAGGATACGATCATATCAGAGTATTTTCAACGCTGAAGCAGTAAGTAGTCCATCACAAGTGAAAATTCGCTTCCTAAAGGAATGCAGATACTTGCTTGGCGACATTCGCAATCTTCAACAGCATCTCAGGCCTAGCAGAACAGACAATGGAGATCGTGAGCATTACCGCCCTCGGCATATCTCATACTGACACGGGCAGTTCTTTCCGCTCTTGCCGTTGCAATACACATGATTGACACTGCAACGAGAGGTGCCAAAGGCAACCCACTCAAATACGACCGCAACATCATCATCATAACTGACGGTCGCGGGCAAATGACAACAGACGATCTGGAACAACTAGCGTCCAAAATCAAAGACCCAGAGGCTCCCTTCGAGATTGTTCTGCTGGGTGTCGATTTTGACGACCCTGATGTAGGCTTCAAAGAAGAAAAGAAGAACCCTCAAAAGGTATTGCTCGTTATTACTCCTTGGAGTCACGATTGACCAGGTCCAGGCGCAAAACGAAGACATACTAAAAAACTTCATCCATGACTGCAACGGTAGTTTTGGCACACTAGCTACTGCCATTGACCAACTTCATATACCTCGCCTCAAAGAGACGCGGCCTGTTCACAGCTACAGAGGATCACTTACTTTGGGCGACCCCACCAAGTACGATGCCACAATCACAATTGACGTCGAGCGATACCCATGTACCATGTTAGCGAAGCCGCCAACAGCAAGCTCGTTTGTCGTGCGGACAGATGCTGCCGGCGGATCGGGCCCGAACCAGTCATTCGAGCCGACAGCTGACGAAGATCAAGAAGCAGCCGATCTATCAGCGGTGCGGAACCAGCGTGTGTATCAAGTGGAAAGACAGACGGATCCAGGCGTAAAGAAGAACGTAGAGATGGACGAGCTGGAGCGAGGATACGAATATGGCAGGACAGCCGTTCACATCTCCGAGTCCGACATGAACGTCGTTAAACTGGAAACCCAGCAATCGATGCAGCTAGTTGGCTTTGTCAAGGCAGAAGAGTTTGACCGGTTTCTGCCACTCAGTCGCACCAACTTCATCGTGCCGCAAAGGGCCAACCAGCCTGCCCAACTAGGCCTGTCGTCCTTTATTCATGCGCTCTACGAGGCTGATTGCTACGCAGTCGCAAGGCTGGTAACCAAAGACCTCAAGCCTCCAGTTTTGATACTGCTTGTTCCACGCATCGAACCAGAGTGGGAGGCTCTAGTGGATGTAGAGCTCCCATTTGAAGAAGACATGAGACGGTACAAGTTCCCACCGCTCGATCGAAAACTCACCGTCAGCGGCAAGACTATCACAGAGCACAAGGACCTGCCCACCAAGGACCTTGTCGATGCCATGAGCGATTATGTGGATGCCATGGACCTATCAACCTTTGGTCGCGACGAACATGGCAACGAAGACGAGTACGCCAAGCCAGAAGACACATTCTCACCTCTGGTTCACCGTGTCAACCATGTCATACGATGGCGGGCGACACATCCCGACCCCAGTCTCCCGATCCCCGATCCACCAGAAACTCTTATGAAATACTCCATGCCACCCGCCGAGCTCGTTGCGTCAGCTGAAAAGCAACTCAATGCAGTGAAGCAAGCAGCAAATGTAAAGAAAGTACCACCAAAGGTCAAGGGACGCGGCAAGCGCCAGCGCACCGAGCGTGAGAAGCCTCTTTCGGGTTTGGATGTCGACCAGCTCTTAGGCAATCCCAAGCGTGTCAAGATCGAACCCAACAACCTCATTCCGTCGTTCAAGCAGGCTCTTGCTGCTGCCGACGACATGGACGCAATCCAGGAAGCTGCAGATGGCATTGCAAACGAAATTCGAGCGCTCATCAGGAACAGCATTGGTGACAGCGCGTACCAACGCGCGCTCGAAGCCATCCGTGTGATGCGCGAAGAGCTCACTGAACTCGAAGAGCCAGAGATATACAACAAATTCGCGAAGCAGTTGAAGGAAGAAATTCTAGGCGGTAAGCTGAATGGAAACCGCAGGGATATGTGGTGGAGGATCAAGGGCAACCGCTATGGTCTTGTCGATTCCAAGAGGAGTTATGTTAGCCCCGTCACAGAGGACGAAGCGAAGCGATTCTACGAGACGTGATCGCGTTCGATAAGCAGCAGGACATTCAGTTGTGCACAGTAATGTTGAATGCGAATGCACCGCTATAGCGCAATAACCAATAATACGTAGGTTTCATGCAAAGCCACTATTCTTTCCATGTGTCTAATAATCATCAAGGACAGCACAGTGCATGTTGTTAATTTAGGTGCGACGGATCCAAAGGATTCAGCCCCCAACTCGATGCCCACCTGGACGGAAATGCTTCTTGCTATCGGCTATTTTCTTCTACCTGGCTTCCGAAATTAACAAGCTGAAATACCCCACACGTACTGTGCTCGCTGCGGCAGACTGCGCCATCTACGTGCGTTGGGATGGAGAGTTGCGTCCCAAGGGCGCCCACAGACCAATGAAAAATATCTTGATCCCTTCTCAAGCGAAGCCGCTTACCGGATTGCCTATTGTTTAGCAGGCTATCGATTTTCACGTGGGATGGAGGCGCATGCTTCAGCTCTATGCAAGTGTAGTCTTGGCTGGCTGACTGCTGCAGCTCAGCCCCGAAGGAGCGGTGTTTGCTTAGACACCGTACCACGAAACCTTTAAGATTGCGCCAGGCCCGCTAGGCTCGCTAGCACGCATTGATTCTTTTAAGTATCTGTCTCGTGGTCAATGTGTTTCCCAACAACCTCTTACCTGGATACAACGAGGTATATTATGTGCTTCTTTGTGCGGAGCACCACTATAAACTACGGACCATGGACACTCCTCGCACGGAATACGAAGGTTCGCCTAGAACGCCGGGAATATATAACTCGAGGACAGAATATGCTTCGATACCCACGAGAAGTAGTGATGAGTTCATACGAGATCGAAGCAATAGGCTCTCGAGATTCGATGAAGACATGGGCCCCGGTTTAAGAATTCAGATGGACCCGATGGCATCTCCAGACGTCACAAGCCGGGGTCAGGACTCGGGCAAGAATGGATACAGCATGTTTGCTCCGGCCGGCCCAACTGGACTGCAGCCCCTGGGCGCAAAAGTACCAGATACCCCATACCTGTTTAGACCGGGTGCTTCAAGAACGTGGACGGATTCCAGAACCGAAAGACTGATTGCGCATCGTGCTACCCAATCAGCGCAATGGCGTATACACTGGCAATCACCGGCGCTTATGGTTTTTGCATTCATTATGGGAATTGTGCTGGCCTTTTTTCAGCACATCCTATACACATCTCTACATCACAGACAAGAAGCAGATGAAAACAAGAAATTTCGCTTGGTCCTTTACGGCCGTTTGCTAGCCTACCTCGCGAAAGTCGCATTTGGGGGATGTGCTATCCTAGTCTTCCGCCAGCGATTATGGAGGACGTTCCGAGAACGAGCATTTACCGTATTCTCCATCGACCAGCTCTTCGGCGCAACTGAAGATCCGTCCCTCTTTGCGAACCGGGAAGCCATCACCAACGCCCCTATCCTTGTCGCCATCGCTGTGGTATTCTGGCTGATTCCCTTGGCAACAATCATCTTCTCGCCTGGAGCACTCACTTTCGGTACCTATCGTCACCAGGAAACTGTCCATTTCAAGGTGCCAACAATCAACTTCTCCAAGGAATCCTACAAGGATTGGCGGCATAGTGTTCCCATGGCGGGCGGAGGCACTAAGAAATCCATGATATATTCTAATACCACTGATAAGCAAGCCAAGAACCCCGGATGGTTCGACTACTATGACCAACCGTCGGCAGAGCTGGTACGAGTCGCGTATCTGCTGGCATACAGCAATATGTATCATCCAAATGTTAGGCTAAATGCTCGACGAAACGCCTGCAGGGGAGCGTACAACTGCACGTATACACAGAGTTTTATCGCTCCAAGCTACCGTTGCGAGGAAATTAGCGAGACCAATAGACTGAGGGAGCTCGGTGCGCCCTTCAATCTCAGCAAGATAGCTCCTCTGGGTCCCGCTGCCTACTACGCCGAGGTCGGCGCTGGAGACTACAAACAACCACAATTAAGCGAGTTTCAAAAGGGAACTGGCGGCATACCTTTGGGTGAAGCACCTGAAAGCCTGGGAGTGTTCAAATCGGAGCCTGTACTATGGATTGGCTATGCGGTTAATTCGACCGAAAGGCTATCGCCAGATGACCCTCTTGCAGCGCGCTGGACCTTTCGTTATGATGCTCACATTCTTCGATGTGTGCACATGGTGGCCAATTATACGACCAAATGGAACTTTACCGAGCCCATGTTCAATAGTACGACGACGCGAGAGCATCTGTATCCCATTATAAACACGACTTTGACGCGCGGAATCTACGGCATGACGAACAGCACGCTCGACCCTACGCCAGCAGAGAACTACATCAGTCCCCGCGGCGACGTCGCCCTTTACAAGAAGACGGCAGCATACCATGCCATGGGGGAAATGTTCCGGCGTTTTCTGAGCGGCCACGTAGATGTCGAGCCTCCCATTCCAGGACCCTTTTACACCCAGGTGTACTCGCACGTCACAAAGACACGCATGACGCAAACGAACGGCGAACCGAAAAAAGAGCTCAAATCCGAAATCGAAGGCTTCTACTCAGACATGGTTCTCTCGCTGCTCTCGGCACCGGAAATGCTGGTCGTGGACGAAGAGGAGACCAAAGTGGAGAGATCGCAGCTCCAGTCGTCCTTTGTCTATGTCCCGCTGCGACTGTTGATGTGCTATGTGCCAGTCGTGCTGGTGACAGTGGTGATTCTCATCTTTGGACTCGTGACAATCTGGCAGGACGGCACGACCTTTTCCACGGGCTTTTCCCGCATCCTGGTGACAACGCGCAACACGACTCTGGACCACATTAGCCGCGGCGCCTGTCTCGGCAACGACCCGTTTCCCATGGAACTGATGCACACGAAGCTCCAGTTTGGCGTCCTTGCCGATGGCAGCGACCCAGAGCATACGCGGGATCACTACCAAGGACACGGGTTCCAGAATGTGGCCCACTGCGCTTTCGGCGTTGCCTCGGAAATCGGGCCCATCGTCCGAGGCGCACATTATGCTGGGCTGAGGCGGCGAGAAACGAGGCACTCTGACGAGTCGGATTTGATGGTGAAGACGTGAAATGCGGAATCTAGCTCTTCTTCTCCAGTGCGGATGCAACAGAAACATCGCACGTTTTATCTTGTCTGTTCTTCCGCCTAGCATATCCCAATTGCCTCGTTCACTGGAATATCGATGCTGGAGGTATAACTCGCGGCATCACTGAGCAAATAGACATAGGCGCTGCCCAGCTCTTCGACAGCCAGCCAGCCGCAGCATGCCACCGTCGTACTTGAGCTGCTGCTCCACCCAGTACATCATTGCCGTCTTGACGAGGCCAGGAGACACCGAGTTGGCGCGGATCTTGTACTGCGCCCACCCCACTCCATATCAAGCGTGTGCATCAAGTTCCTGACTCCCGCTCTGGAAGCGCCGTAGGGCGCCGAGGGGGACGCGCAGGGTGGTATTGGCGAAACCAGTCCTTCAATTACAGTAGCGAGGTTGAAAGAGAGTGTGTGTAAAGCAGAAAGAGAAAGGGAGAAAGAAAGAAAGAAAGAAAGAAAGAAAGAAAGAGGAGAAACACATTCTATTCAGCCGATACTTCCTCCGCCCATCGACGCGGTAAACACGATACTTACTTACTCCCACCAACGCCCTGCCTGATAAACGCGCGCCGTTTGCTCAGATAGCAAATCTGCTCTATATGCGAGTCCAAATACGCGGGACGCATGAAGCTTTTTTTTTGGGGGAACAGCAATTTCCACATACAGAGGGCAAAGAGAAAGTAGTTCGTTTTTTTTTTAATGCTGGGGTTTGTATGTAGTTTAGTGTACTTGTACTGTACTTCTTTGTTAGCGCTCGTAAGTACTTGATGGAAATCAATCACCCTTGGCCTTGTAGCTGGGACCGTCTTGACGGGCTTAGGGGGGAGGGGGGATGAAAGGCTAGGAAGAGAGGGTCATGATGGTGATGGTGGTGGCATGTGGGAGGAAAGCAAGGGGGTAGACCATGTTCATGGAGTGTCTCTCTGTCTCTTTCTCTCTCTTCCTTGGCAAACCCCGAACTCTTTCTTCTCTTTTCAGTCTCGGCACGAGCGCCGATAAACAACAAGTATTTGTAGTTTTGAAATTAACTTTTTTGTCTATGCATATATTTCGTGAGTATTTTTTTTTTGCTCACCCTTCCTCTAACCCTCCCTGCTCCCCCTCCCCCCAAACCCAAACCCAAACCCACCCAACAAGCGAATAAGTAGCTCCGTTTACCAGCATTTTTTTTCTAATTAAACACAACCGTCTTCTGGCCGTTTAGGAAAACGCGCTTCTCACTCCACCACTTGACGGCGGCAGCAAGTACCTGGCTCTCGACGTTGCTGCCCTCCTCGACGAGCTGCTTGGGGCTCAAAGCATGGTCGACGCGAGCAACGCGCTGCTCGATAATGGGGCCTTCGTCGAGGTCGGCCGTGACAAAGTGGGCGGTAGCACCGATGATCTTGACGCCGCGCTCGTAGGCCTGGTGGTATGGCTTTGCGCCCTTGAACGACGGCAGGAAAGAGTGGTGGATATTGATAATCTTGCCGGACATTTCGCTGCACAGGCGCGGCGACAGCACCTGCATGTAGCGCGCGAGCACGACAAGCTCGATGTTGTGCTTGTTGATGAGGTCCAGGATCTGGGTTTCCTGCTGCTCCTTGGAGTCCTTGGTCACGGGCAGATGGTGGAACTCGATGCCGTTGTTGCGCGCGAGCTCGGCGAACTCGGCGTGGTTGGACACAATGAGCGGCACGTCGATTTTCAGCTGGCCGGACTTGACGCGGAAGAGCAGGTCGTTGAGGCAGTGCCCGATTTTGGACACCATGATGAGTACCTTGGGCTTGGCTTCCACCGCCCGGATCTCGTATGTCATGCTCATGTCCGAGGCCAGCTGCGCCATGCTGGCGTGCAGCGCTGACACGTCTGCTGCGTGGCCAAAGTGCACGCGCATGAAGAAGGTCTTGGAGTCTGGGTCGGAAAACTGCTGCAGGTCGAGAATGGTCAGGTTTTCCTTTGCCAGCAGGCCCGTAACGGCGTAGACGATGCCGGCCTTGTCGGGGCACGAAAGCGTCAGGTAGTGGTCGTTGCCAGCCATGTTGTTGTTGGATGTTGAGATCCCTTCTGCGGAGCCGAGTTGTTGAAGGCGAGGAGGCGCTGTGCTGGCTATGGAGCGTCTACTGCCAAGGTAGTATGACTGTGGTGTTGAAATTTTAGGACTAGGAAATGGATTTTGCCGACTTCGGGAGACGCTGTTTGCCGCGAGTGCGAGGGTGCATTGCCGGACCGCACTCGCGCGCGTCAACGTGTCGAGGGCCCGTGGGTAGGTGCGCACTGCTCGTACAAACATGTTTCCGCCTCCAGTTGGTCGCTTTTTTGCCCAGCGAAATTGGAGCGCGGGAACGGGGGGGGGGCGGTTTTTTCAATACCGTGACTTGCAGCTTGTGTAGGTACTAAGTTTGCGGTCAGGGTTGCCGAAATCGCCCGGCCAATGGCATGGCAGCCTCTAGCAGATGAGGTAAACTTGTTTATACCTATTGAGGCTCGAGTCTTTGCTCCAAAGATAGTCGCGCGTCTAATCCCACACCATAGTGTATTCATGTCTCGAGCACCATGCATCCTCTCACATGTTACGGGAGACATTGTGCGCTGCGGAAGCCGAGAACACTGGAAACAAGATTTGCCTGTGCAAGTCTGACTGTATCCGAGCGCATGCGACGTGTACAGAGTTTCATTGACTCGATATTGCGCGAGTCTAGATTGATTACCTTGCGCAAATTGTGGCCAGAGTGGTTTGAGCATTACAATTTATGAATGCCTTTGCCCAATCTAGTCTAGCGCAGCCGTCGGCACCTCGAACCTGGCACGGCCCCTAGCGAACCAATCGACCATGGCTATCACGAGAAAGCCAATGAGGATCGGAGGCGCATAGTTCATGCTCAAGCTGGTCACTGGCCGGGATGCCGGAAACGCCACGAAGATGATAATGTACACCAGATACACCATGGCACACAGCTTGATGGGAACGCTCCATGGCCCAAACTGAAAAGGTCCGTATTTCGGGTGTCGACCGGCCATTTGGCGTAACGTCAGAAGTGTAATTGGCACCAGGTACGACACGTATAGTGCAATGGTCGGCAGGGAGATGAGTGAATTAAACGCAGCTGCTGACCCGAGATTGATCAACGACAAGAGGCAGCAGATGAGGCCGACGAGGAAGAGTGCCGGGATGGGGACTTGGAGCGTGGGATGGATCTGCAATTTCGTTTTGTCAGACGACTCACACTCACAAGACTAGCTTTCGCTAAGCAATGCAATGGAAAACTTACATAGGTGAAGTGCTCGTGAAATGGAAGGCCCTTGTCCGACGCGAATCGCCAGACCAAACGCGCTACAGAAGCTACAATATTAAAATTGCCAATCATGAGTTGGAGCCCCATTAGCATCGTCATTACCGTCGATGCTGTCTTGGAGCCTGTGCTAAAGACTGATTTAGTATAGAGCAGGTTTGTTCGAAGAAATTGGCCTTACGCGGAGTAGAAAACCTCGGTAATCGGCAGTATCGACTTTGCCACTGCCTCTTCATCCCCGATGCAGAACATTAAGCAGATGCAAAATGCGATCATCATGACTGCATTCAGCGACGTCGCTAGTACCATGGCTTTGGGAACCCGCTTACGTGGTTCTTTTGTCTCTTCGACTGCAAGTTTTATCAGTATGCTTATCAAGGCTCCAGTGAGACAGGTTAGCTTACTCATATGGAGAACACCATCAAAGCTGCTGATAGGGTATGCTGTAGCAAGCATGCCGATCGAGAATGCTACACCAGGGTTGTCCCACCCGGCATCGGTGTGCAACGTCTTGAAGACGTATTCAGGCGTACTACGCTTGGAGAGGGTACACAAGGTCGTGATGATAACCACGAAGAAGACGACGTGGAAAACACCACCAATTGTTTCCAGGTAGTTGATGATTCTCCGCAGATAGAGGTTGAGAACTAGCGGGACAATGAGAAAGGCTATCAGAAACACTGTTGAATGCCACGCTTTGGGCTCGTAGGTTGGGCTGTTGAAGATGATTAAACCGGAGAGTGTGTTGGACATGAAAGAGAATGCGCCAGCACAGCTACAGATCCAAGCGATGACGGTAGTCCATCCTGCGCTGACTGTCAGTTGAAAGAGTTCTAGTAGCTGTGGTCCATCCTAGTCGCACCTTGTATGAAGCCCCAGAATTCTGGCGCCAATGGAGCAAAGCGTGCCGACCATCGGTACTGCGCGCCCACTGTAGGATCCCTGCTTATCCATTAGTATCCTAGAGAGCGAGAGAATATGGGATTCGGTACATCGATGCCATCTCACCCAGTGCCAAAGCGACAAGAGTAGAGCCAATACCAGTAATCATAGACCCGTAAACCAGCGCAGCAGGTCCGCCGTTTGGCCATGCGAGCTGAAACGAGAGACCGACGGCTTCCCAGGCGACTTGCAGCGTGAAGCCAAAGTTGTTAATGGCAAGCTGATTGATGTACCGCTGCACGAGGATTCAGAAGAGTCGTCTTTGGGAAGGAGGGATAGTCGTACCTGAAACACGCGTTTGTTCGAATTGCTGGATAAATCACCATCGTGTTCGACACTCATGGGCTTTTCCCTGAGCCCATCATGGTAATCTGGGACATTCATCGTGACGAGTGTTGCGTCTTTCTCCATTGCTGGTTTAGGCGATGGCTGACCCGCAGGCGCTGTGGGGTCGTGAGAAATCGTCAAAGCGCGAAGCATTGGAAATGACTACAGTCCAGAACCAGAGGGCATTGAATATGCTTTTAAAATCGACTGAGATGTGGCGAATGCACATGCTTGAACTTGCGCGTTGTCAATGGTCAGTTTTAGTGCCCATCAGAGGAGTTGAGAGTGGGACTTGCAGCAACATTGTCTGGGCAGGATGCCCATGCCACAAGCCTGCATCTACGCGAGATGCCTAGAATATTAGTGGTTGTAATGATTTTCATCCAAAATAGCTGCCCAGCTTCTCCCTTTCTATCCCGTACTGCTAAATTTCTGTCAGTTCTAGTGCTGAGATATCATCTCAATATTGTATCAGCCATTTTACACATCCACCCGAGTCACAGCTGATATGACTACACCAACAACCACCTGTATTGTAGCACGGGGGCTGTTCCGCGTATAATGTCAACTAGACATGGATTATGCAGCTTGTTGGTAACACAGCATGCACGACGCTGGTTAGGGAAGCCTAACTGCGAGTAGGAGCGTGACGGGAGAACCCGCCCGCAGCGACGCGTGGAAACGTCTCTAAGCGAAGTAGACATTTCATTTAAAGGAAACAAGTTGCATGTTATCAAGCCAGTGCAAGCGTATCATGGATAGTGTGCTTGTGAGGTTGAGTTCGGAACAGGCGCTTGTAGCCTGGGCCGAGTGTATCCTTGACCTTGCTCAAACCTTCATCGTCATCTAATCACTGTGTTGAAGCTTAATGACCCGTATTCATGTAGGAAAGTCTGCCATAATATTCAAATTCCAAGCAATTTGAGTCTACCGCAGGGGTGTTCTTCTAAATCCTATGCGACTGTAGAAGCCCCATTCAAGCTATCTCTATCCTTGTTTCTCATAATCATATATATTCCTCAATCCCAGCCCGCCTCTTTCTCACCACCGTCTAGATACGCCACTCATACCACGAACGAATATGCGTTTAGGACAGTGCATTTTCTCTCTCTCTCTCTCTATTATTCTTTCGTACTGACATTTACGTAAAAGAAGAAAAAGAAGGTCATCAAAAAATCTGTACTACACTAAAACGCTAATATCGTAAAATTCCAACCTCGCACCCCCAGAGAATAAAAATAAGTGCTTCTCGCGTCGTATGGCCGTACCATGTAACATCGCACGAGAAATCAACATGACTTGGAAAACAAAGTCTGCGATCCACACAGACCGTAGTCGTCAAGATACAGTAGTGCCCGAACGCCATCGCTATGCACCAAACCCGCGAATCGACAACACATACACAAATACCACCCCTGTCTTATTATTGCTTTATTATGGGTTTTCCTCACCGTCGTCGTCGCTGTCTTCTCGCTCTTCCCACCCAACCATGCGTCGGAGCACACGGTTCTCTTCTCCGAGCTCTTTGCATTGTCTGCGCAGGCTTTCTTCGGCTTCTCCTTGCATTCGCAAGGCGTTCCTCGCATTTTCCGCTACCCGGCTCAGTCCTGCCTGCCATTCTGCATGTTCAAGTCTGAGACCCATGGATGTGGAGCGCTCCTGTTCAAGAAGCGTCTGGTAGTGTTTGTGAAGTGCGAGGATGGATGACGTCTGAGAATAAGCGTATGGACGAAGTTTGTCGAGTAGGAGGGCTAGGGCGGACTCGTAATCGGTGAGAAGAGCGGAGAGGGATGAATTTGTCGCGGTAAGGGAGGCTATAGTTGATTGGGCCGTCGTGAGTTGGTTTTGAAGATGCGCCTGAGTCGCTGCTGCGAAGGGTTTTAGCATAGTCTCTTGAGAGACTGGACAACGCCATGCTTGGCCAAATGGCAACATACCGTTAATCTCCCCATTTACCTCCCTCATACCTATACCACTCGCTCGCAGCCCGGCGCCACCGCCGACCTCTCCTCCCTCTTCCAAGGCAGCTCTCCCTTGTATCGCAGCGACCCCTTCTACAATACCCCTTGTCTGCGCCTTGTTCTCCTCAAGTAGCTGGCTTAATTGCTGAACCACCGCCCATAAATGGTTCATATCTGTCTGCTGCCCTCCACTCGGCAGTCCGTTCACCATTGGAACGCCGTTTTGCCCGCTACCGTTCATGGATGATGCTATACTGCCGGCTTGCGAGTGGGAAGGTGATGGTGGTGGGCGTGATTGGTTATGTTGTTGCTGTTGCTGGGCCTGTTGCTGGGAGGACTCCAGGAAGGAATAGTTGTTCATAACGAAGTCAGGCGCTCGTGGAGGGGTACTAGATGGATGCGGGAGATCGCTTGGGTTGGCGTGCGGCGTGGGCCGACGGCGTCCGCGGGCTTGGTCTAGTCGCTTATCTGATTGGTTTGAATGATGGCACCTGAAGATGGGCGTGCAAAGGCATCCGGTGACTGAGGCGACACTAAGCTCAAAGACTGGCAGCTGAAATGTATGCGGGGTGTTTTGCGGGGTCAAAGCGAGCATTCACCTTGCGGCTTCGCGTTGACGACGTGCAGGGTCTACACGAGTCTTGTGCTGATGCGCGCTAGTGGCTTGGCAGTGCACCTGACCGTTCATAGGCCAACATCGTGACCACTGTATGCGAGAGGATGGGACTTTCAGAAAAAGAAGAGGAAGCAAGAAATTCTATGGAAATAAAGATTGGATATCATGAGGCGGACGGAATCATTCAAAGTGTCATAGTGAAAGACGTGAGTATTGGTATCTAGCAACAATTACAACCACCACCCAGCTCGTGCAATCTCATTCTATATGGACCCATCCAACATTCGTTGATTATCCAATTACAATGTACCACATATACAAGCCTGCCCTAGGCACGGTGCTGTGACCGAGATGCTCATCGATCCGGCAGCACGTAGCGCCTTTCCACACTCATCTCACGATCAGCTTCATCTTCCCCTTCAAACCTCAACCTCACCAGGTTCTCAACTGTGTCTCCCTCCTTCCCACCGTCTTCCTTCTTTACTCTTCCATCGGCTTGTCTCCATGTAGCGACAACTTCAGCTTTGTAAAAGGTGGTGGTGCCTGGGTACAGGGCGAGGACATGCTTGCCCTTGGGAAGATCAGGCAGCGTCCCATTCGAGGATTGGGGCGGAATTGGAATCAAATGGTTGACCGAAGCACGGTATGGTGCGGATGGCGTCGGGGGGTCCGGGTCGGCATCTATGATTTCGTATCGACGTTGCTTGCCTTCGCCAATGACGGAAGTCACGCGGCATAGGATACCCTCTCCTTCAAAAGACATGGAGGATGCCGACGATCGGTTCTTGGCATTGTTGCGGTAGAGCACTTCGGTTTGGGGGGTGAGGCGGGGGCGGGCTTCTGTAATCTGTCAGTCGCCGTTGATCTGGAGCGCCATCGGATGGCAGCTGTAAAGCGGACGCTGAACGTAAAGGGTACATGGTGGCATGAGCACACAGAAAAAACTTATGAGATGAGTTGAGGTGAAATTTTGAGCTTGCCTATCCGACTACAAACCTCGAACAAGCGGTAGGAAAAGATGCCAAAGTGGGTATCGTCTGCCGTCTAAGAAGAACGCCGAAAGCGAAGGTGCAGTTTAACGCTTGGTCTTGTACTTGATCTTGGGCTTGGGCTTGGAAGAAGGAAGAACCATCTTACCCTTACCCGAATCATCCTTGTCGTCCTCCATCTTCACGCTGCCTTCTCTCGCGACAGGGACTGACCCAGCTCTGCTACTGCCAGACTTGGCAACCAGCCGGTCTTTTTGGCTGCTAATGATCACTTTGGGACTCGGGCCTCCGGGGCTGTCCGCCGTCAGACTGTCGCGGTCGTCGATGCTATCGGTCAGCTTTCGCTTGCCCTGGCGGTCGCGCCCAGACTTCCCGTGTCCAACGCTAGCAGATCGCGAAGCGGATGGCTGGGCTTCTTCCGAGTTGCGGAGAGCGGCGAGCAGAGTCATTTGCGTGTGCACATCGTTACCACCTTCGATAGGCTGCAGAAGAGCCTGTACTTCTTCTACTTTGCGAATGTTGTCGCGAAGAAGGTCTTCCATTTCATCATCAATGCGAGCTGAGCGTTCCTCGCCCCGGTCTACTCAAGTCAGCCCTGCTTCTGCCGTGTCAGCTGATCTAGACGCACCTGTACGAGCGGCCTGCTCTGCCTGGAGCGCGAGTATCTTTTCCTGGAGAATATCTGATTCTTTCTGCGACGCGTTAGTACAGAAGGACGGCACGGTCGAGCTAGACAAGGCATGGCGAGGAAGAGTATAAACAACGCGCCCTGAGCCTGAAGCCTCGCGACCACCCTGCCAACACGGTCGCCTTGCGCTATAGAGTGATTCCCAGGCGTCCCCCTCCAGCTGTGAGCGCGCAAGCCACGATTGCGCATTGGAGATGGGCTCGGGACCCTCCCGTCGCGTACGTGGCGTGTTGCATGGCCCATTGCGCACAGAGACAAAAGACGCCAAACATGAGTGCTGAGGATGGTTTGATTGAGAAGTCCCATACCATGAGCTGGTCAACTCGTCGTCCGTCAGACTTGATCGAGTTCCAGATCACCCTCTCCTCGTCGAACTCCTCCTTGAGCTGCCCGCGCGGCCTGCTTCGAGCAGCCATGTTGGCCGAGGTTGTTCTGCGCCAGCTCCGCGGCTCTTTGTGTGTTAGCTGACGCGCCGCAGACGGGTCATGTGGGAGGGGTGTAGTCTCGTGAAGGAAGAATGGCAGACGCGGGAGATGCAGACGACGGCAAGTGTAGTCGACCGAGATGCAGGGGAGGAGGCGCGCTAGGCACAGAAGAGGGGTATGTCTCCATGAGCTTAATCCAACAGCCGCGTGTGACGATATGCTGGGGGAGCGCCAGCAGAGTGGGTCCGCGTCCGACAAAGCGCCTTGCCACCTAATACGGCTTTTCCTTGATGCTACCACGGCCACATACCCTCTCTGCCACACGAGACCAACAAGATGCGGAACCCTCTGATCAGACTGGAATGCGGTAAGCTGCCGGTCGAAAATACATGCAACCACGCCCCCCGCTGACGAGCGTGCAGGCGTCAACAGCTATGACTGGGGTGCGCAGCCCCGCATCACTACTCGGCCAGCGGAATGCTGAAATCACTCAGGGAAAGTCGGCAACGACTCGGCCGCGGCCAAGTTCCACGCTGCGACGGCGTCGGACTTCTCAATTGAAGAAGAAAAGCCCTACGCCGAGGTATGCAACCGAGCCACGGCCTGCGTCGACGCGTTGCTCACCCTTGCAGCTGTGGATGGGCACCCACCCCTCGCTTCCCTCCAAGGACCTCGAGACCAAGCGAAGCCTCCTAGAGCTCGTCCAGGAGAACCAGGCGCTGCTTTCTACCGACATTGCTGAGCGCTATGCAAACAAGCTGCCATTCCTGTTCAAGGTGCTGTCCATCAACAAGGCCCTGAGCATCCAGGCGCACCCCAACAAGAAACTTGCAGAACAACTGCATGCCAGCGACCCCAAGAACTACCCAGGTCGGTCTGCTCACGAGTAGCCCAGAGCATTACTGACTGCGCAAACCAGATGACAACCACAAGCCCGAAATGACTATCGCGGTCACACCCTTCGACGGGCTTTGCGGCTTCCGCCCTCTTGCCGAGATTGCGCATTTCCTCAAGACGGTACCCTCCCTGCGCAAACTTGTTAGCGAAGAAGAAGCGACCAAGTTCGAGGAGACCATCAGCGGCAAGGAGACTTCAGACAAGGAGGAGGATGTACAAGCGAACAAAAAGGCGCTCCAGTCTGCATTCACGAAGCTCATGAACACAGACAAGGATGCATTGGCTGCTGCGAGCAAGGAACTCACCGAGGCGGCAAAGGCAGAGGGCGACAACTTTGCGGGTGGTGGCCCGCCGTCGAACACGGGCAAGGAGCTCGCGGACCTGGTCATCCGCCTCGACTCGCAGTTCCCAGGCGACATTGGACTCTTTGTGCAATTCTTCCTCAACTACGTCAAGCTCAACGTGGGCGAAGCCATGTTCCTCAAGGCCGACGACATCCACGCCTACCTGTCTGGCGACATCATCGAGTGCATGGCGAGCTCCGACAACGTGGTGCGCGCAGGCTTCACGCCCAAGTTCAAGGACGTGGAGAACCTGACCAAGATGCTGACGTACAGCTATGCGCCCATCAGCGAGCAGAAGATGGAGCCCAAGGACTACTCGCGCGTCAGACTGAATGCCCCGGCGTACAGCTCGAATTCAAGCAACATGCTGTACAACCCGCCGATTCCAGAGTTTGCCGTTGTGCGCACGGCACTCAACCGGACAGGCGCCAAGGCGACATTTGACCCTATTGATGGACCCAGCATCATCCTCTGCACAAAGGGCAAGGGAACGATTAGTGTTGGGCCCAAGGAGGAGGAGTTGAGCGAGGGCTTTGTATACTTTATCGGGGCCACAGCCGAGGTCATCATCAAGAGCGACGTGGATGCCGAGGACGAAGAGGGCGCAGAGGGCCTAGTGACGTTCAAGGCCTTTTGCGAGATTGAGGATGACAAGGGCAAGCTATAGATGCTTTGATGGCAGCGCCTAGACGACCGATTACGAAGAGAGCAACGAATTGATGAACTACAATGTCATTGACATGTTTGCAGCAGATATCTATCTACATACATGTAGGTATCTCAAAAAAGAAACACACCGCCACCCTGCAGTCAATCGTGTATACTCTGACTCTTAACCAACGCCATTCCAATGCTGCAAGATGCTCAGAAGCCGTCGTCAATGCCCTTGCTCTTCTCCGCCGCACGCCGCTCATTATCAACAAGCCACCACCACTCGTGCACCTCGACACTGCATTTCCCAGGCGCCTCGTCCCACGGCTTGGGACTCAAGATGTAGTGCACGTTTTTGATGGCGTCGTCGCGCCAGATGGCGTCGTGCACGCCCTTTGTGCGCATCGTCTTGAGCGCATTGTACGTGTACGGCAGCGTGACCCATCGGGCGCTGAAGAGGTCACCCAGGAGCGATTGATCGGCGAAGTCATACGACATGGACGTTTCGTTTGCGAGCTGTTGGAGAATGAGGTTGTACGTCGCCATGGAGGGATTGACGACCTGCAGGCCGCCGTTGGGCATGGCCAGGCCAGCCGTCGGGGGTGCGCCCGTTTTTTGCGCGGCATCCGGCTCGGCGTGCTGCGAGGTAAAGGCGCAGTTCTCCGGGATCCTACATATACTGTAGTCAGTTTGGGTGTTTGCGCGCGATATGCGCAGAGGATGAGACGGACCAGTCCTTGGGGTAGTGCGGCTTCTTGAGCGGATTGCACACGCAGGCGTGGCTGGCGGCGAAGACGCGATTGCCCTTGCCGCCTTCGCTGGGCGGATCGAGTTCCAGATCCATCAGCTCGTCCATGTTCTTCATGGCGAGCATGTCGCTGTCGAGCTGGACGACGCGGTCGTACTCTTCGAGCGAAAAGGGCGTCAACTTGCTCCAGCAGTCGTAGAAGCGCGGGTCGTTGGTAAAGTCCTTTTTGACCTTGGGCAGCAGATACTTGACATGTTTCTTGGGGATGCCGCGGTCGTCGAGGGCCTTGTGGCCTTCGGCGGGGAAGGTATCCGTGTAGAGGGCGACGAGCGGGTACTTGGAGCCGTGCTTCTTCAGGCTGTAGTCGAGGGTGAGCAGGCCCGTCAGGTACGCCGTGTTGGTGATGAGGGTCGTCCAGACTGGAATTGCGGTTATTTGAATTCATTCCAGAGCAGCGCCAGTGGCGCATACTGTACCTTTGTTCGACTGCACGTCATCGGGCCTCTCGAGCACGCCCACCATGTTGCATGTATGTTTTGCGACGCGTCAATGAGGCTGGCGCGGGGTATAAGTAACTAAGTATGACCCAAAAAAATAATGGCGGCAGGCCCAGAGATTGAACTGCGCCATATTCAGTCTGTCTATGACTGCATGACCTCTGGCTGGGAGGGGTCACAACAAGCCGCTAATCCAAGTATTAACAATCAAACCGTTCGAACCTGGGTAACCGTCGCACCCTTGTCGGTGCAAAACGGTCCGACCGTAGCGATCTCGGGTCCCTGTCGAGATCGTCACGACATGTGCTTCGCGGGCGCTTGTGCGTTTCCGATTTGCGGGCCATTAAGCTGCTGCACCAAACATGCGAGCAGAGTCAGCGCTCGTCTCTTGTATTATTTGACGTCTTCCCTCGGACTCCGTCTCTGAGATATGGTTCCGCCATTGCACTGGACCACAGCGACGCGACAATGGCTACCACGGCGGTGAACACGGAGGGTGCGAAGCCCGCAGCAACCGCGCTTATCGCGACATCGGATGATTCTCGCAAGTCGCCCAAGCACTATCGGGGCTTTGTAGCTGGTGTCTTCAGCGGCATCGCAAAGCTTTCAGGTATGGGGATGAAGCAGGCCTTCTTTTGCTGTGAGCCCGGTCTAACTCGACACAGTCGGCCACCCATTCGACACGGTAAAAGTGCGTCTGCAGACGACGCAAAGATCGCATTTCCGAGGCCCTGTAGATTGTCTCATGCAGACGCTGCGGAAAGAGGGCTTCGCAGGACTGTACAAGGGCGCCACTCCGCCGCTGGTAGGATGGATGTTCATGGACTCGATGTAGGACCCTCTCCAACTCAGGCTTGAGACTGTGCTGACAGCGTGAAGCATGTTGGGCTCGCTCAGTGTATACCGCCGCGTCCTCAACGATCGGGTCTTCAATCCACCCTCGTACGCCCGACTGGGCGAACCGCAAGGCAGGCTTCCCGCATACGGCCATGCCATGGCGGGCACAATGGCGGGCTGGACAGTGTCGTTTATTGCTGCGCCGGTCGAGCACATCAAGGCCCGTCTCCAGGTTCAGTATGCAGCAGACAAGACGGCGCGCCTCTACTCGGGGCCAATCGACTGTCTGAAGAAGATATACACTGGCCACGGGATCAAGGGCGTGTACCATGGTCTGAGCGCCACGCTGCTCTTCCGCACATTCTTCTGTTTCTGGTGGGGTACATACGACCTGTTCACACGACAGCTGCAGAGGCACACTAGTCTGTCAGCACCAGCGGTCAACTTCTGGGCGGGGGGTCTTTCGGCGCAGATCTTCTGGCTGGCAAGCTACCCCAGTGATGTGGTCAAGCAGCGCATCATGACGGATCCACTTGACAAGAGGAGATTTCCGCAGTGGAAGGACGCCGCCCAGGCGGTGTACAGGGAAGGCGGCTGGAGGGGGTACTGGCGCGGCTTTGTGCCATGCTTTTTGCGTGCCTTTCCGGCCAATGCCATGGCGCTGGTGGCATTTGAGGGCGTCATGAGGAGCCTGCCAGAGTGAAGGCGGGGAAAACGGCGGAGATGCAAAGGCCTTGCAGCCAGCCACAATGACAGCATGATTTGACATTTTAGCGATGCATGGCCGGCTTTGGAGAAGACGATACCCACGGCACGACAGGGATACGAGGCCACAGAATCTTGACTTGTCTTGACTAGCAGAGTCCCACCGCTGATTGCTTGTTTTGACACTGCCCCGACCAGATCGGCATTCCGCCCGGCATGGGCCCATGTGTAGAAGACGAGGACGGAGTATACAGCGACGCCTGGGGGGGTCTAGCCAAACGCTAACTGCCTTGGCTGCAGAGCTGCGGGCGATGGAGCGGTGCCTCGGCTTCAGTGCTTGTGCTTGTTTGGAAGGATTTCCCGTGTTGTGTAGCACATGGTGATATGCAATGTAGGCCACCCATCCAGTCACCCACTTGGACAGCGGGTCGCCACCGCCGCAGAAAATTGGTGCCATTGCGAGTGAGGGCGGCGTCGGCGAGGCCGTGTGCAGAAGGGCATGGCCAGTGGACAGGGCGGGCATGCAGCAACGACGACGACGACAGCTAGCATGATAAGACGGCCATGTATAGTATAGCGATGCAGGCATGGGAGGAACGGGTGGCTGGCGGGGCATGCTCAATCTCAGGAGTAGCGGCGCGTACCTGCATCTGCCGGCACTGGCCAAGAGTGAAGTGCAGTGGCACGACACATGGGGTCGGCTATCTGTCTAGCTGCAGGCCATGTCGTGAAGAGGCGCAGATTTGCAATCAAAAAAGGGCCCGACAGGCGACGCAGGCCTGGGAGCCCCCTCGCCCCCTTTTTCCCGCGCGGATGGCGGGAGCTGAGCATGGAGGAGCCGGCGGGAGCGCGAGAGCGAGTGGGCTGGTTGCAGCGATGCGCGTCTTGGGATGTGGGCGCGGATGGGCGAGGATGGGCGCGCCTGTGCCTGTGCCTGTGCCTGTGCCTGTCAAGCACCAAGGCCGCCGTTGGCTGCGCACGGATGTTTGGTTGGCTGCAGACGGCCATGCGCACGTCGCCCGGCTTTCTGTTTCACTCCTGACCGGCTTGAAACCTTCATTTCAAGCTCAAGGCCCGCGTCCGCAACGCGCCTCCCACGCACGCTGCCCGTCACACATTTGCATTTGCATTTGCCCGCTCCGCTGCTCCCTGCTCTTTTGCCTGCCCCATCGCTGCCATCTCTCTCTCTCTCTCTTCCCACTTCGCCTTCTCTCTTATCAGTCCACCCCCCGTCTGGTCCCGTTCAGCTCTCCCGTTGCATACACACACGCCAGCCTTACCCGATCTCGCGGCTGGAACTGCAGCTCGACCTGATCCATCGCCGTGCCACCACCCCTTCCCCGCATCCGACTCGTAGCACAGACAGCAACACTCAGGCACAATGGGCGCGTCCATATCCAAGGCCATGGCCAAGATCTTCGGATCAAAGGAGATGCGGCTGTTGATGCTGGGCCTCGACGCCGCAGGAAAGACGAGTATGTGGCCGCCGTGCCCGAGCCCACGCCCAATTGCCCGCCCACGCGACTAACAGCGCCGCCACAGCTATCCTCTACAAGCTCAAGCTTGACCAAGACGTCACCACCATTCCCACGGTCGGCTTCAACGTCGAGACGGTCACATACAAGAACACCAAGTTCAACGTCTGGGACGTGGGCGGCCAGGACAAGATCCGTCCGCTCTGGAGACACTACTTCTCTGGTATGTTGGGGCGCGACGGGACTGTTCCGGGTAGGCGAGTCAGCATGCGCGCATGTGTCTCCCTGCCTTGATTGCTCCGATGCCATACTCGCCACGCCCGAAACCATGCTGATACGCCGTCACAGGAACCCAGGGACTGATTTTCGTCATCGACTCAAACGACCGCGCCCGTATCGAGGAGGCCAAGACGGAACTCACGAGGATCATCCAGGACAGAGAAATGAAGGATGCCCTGCTGCTGGTATTTGCGAACAAGCAGGATTTGAGTGGAGGTGCGTACACGGCGTCCCCTCGCCATACGGGGAGCATACAAACAGGAGCACATTGCTAACGTTGGGCAGCTATGCGACCCAAGGAGGTATCGGATTTGCTACAATTAGACAAGATCGCCAAAGACCACGTATGGAAGGTTGAGCCCAGCTGCGCAACAACAGGAGAGGGTATCTTTGAGGGACTGGTAACTTTGCCCTGCACACGACGTGCCGTCACATGGCTGACACGACCTTAGGCATGGCTCTCAAACAACGTCAAGCTGCCACCGGGCGCCAAGTAGACGTTTGACCGCCATCACCCCCTCCCCTTATCCCACCCACATCTCCTCCCGCCCGCTCTCATTCTTGTACGACTGCATGCGCTCCTCTACTTGCTCTGGCTCTTCCTGCATATACCCGGTTTTCGTCCCTTTAGTGTCACTATCGTTTTTTTTAATTTTTGTAATACGCGGCTACTTTTTACAACCGGCTGTCTGTGTGTCCATCTATCCATCTGTTTGTCTGTCTGGCTTGTCTTTGGGGTCTCTTTCTGTTCCATCATCAACATCACCGCAAAAAATGTCAGGTCTTGATTTGGTCGTGTGTTAGACTGTGTCGGACTGTTCCATAGCAAGCGAGTCCATTCCAGGTTTTTTTGGTTTGTGTGATGCATCTTTGAATCATACACGTGCACTCTTTTTTTCTTTCTTTCTTTTGCTGTCTGCCAATGCATTGTCTGTTGGACATATCTTGGGCTTTGGCTCAGATCCTAGCAACATGCATGTGTTACAACCAGCAGATATATCACACAAACATTCTTTGTAGCTAACAGTAACGACTATTAGGAGTTGGTCTAGAACAGGTGTTTCTGGGTGGAAATCAAAAGGGGGGGTGGAGAAGGGAAGGATATCCGGCGCAAAAATCAATATAAAAACGAGAAGCAAAGAAAGAAAGAAATAAACAAACATATAGAGAAGCAGAAAAAAAAGGTCAAAGGCAAGAAAAGAAAAGCAAAACATTATTCACTTTTGGTGGTTCAGGAAACCGGAATCATTTCACTGTTATCTTTCCCCCAATGTGGGACAAAGAGAATATGTAAAACAGGAAAAAAAATAATGTGTTCTTTCTCTCTCTCTCTCTCTCTCTCTCTCTCTCTCTCCCTACAACCTACTTGCACACGTACCCCTGGTCCCCTTTTCCACACATGCACACACATTTATATCTCTTTTTCCCACGTTCTTGCTTCTTCTTTCTCCTATCTTTTTCTTTTGCTGAAAATGGGGTCTTCCTTTTTTACCATCGTCATTTAGACCCCCTTTTTTTTTATTCCATCACTATCACTATGGTTCTATCATATCATATCATGTCATTACATGTACAGTCATGATGTGTGTAAGCTCTTTTTTTTACCTTTTTCTTCTTCTTCTTCTTCTTCTTCTTCTTCTTCATAATCTCACTCTTTTTCCCAACTTTTCTTGTCTTTTTTTTTGGTAGATTTCGCCACGTATACGCCTACACACTTGCAAAATGCCCATGTTCATACCCACGACATGACATGACAGAATACAACACACTATACACTCTTCTAGCTTATTCCCGAGCGGTCATTCTATTCGTGTGTATGTAGAGACAGTGATACTTGATTAGTGTATGTAGTAATTCTTATTCTCTCTCTCTCTCGTTTCTACAAGTAGTGATGCCTAAATACAAGCTGCAGAATATACACATCGACTATGTAGTGAAGCAGATAATACATTTATTTTACTTAACCAGGGGTATTTGTGCAGCTATGTATGTGGTTTGATGTACCCCACTCTTTTCTTTTCTTTTTATCCCCCCCCTCACCCTTACCCTTGCCCTTGCCTTCCATCCCTCCATCCATCCCTGCAAGCACAAGCACAAGCACAGTATCCCCCCCCCGGTCCCCTTTTCCCTTCTTTTTCTTTTCCACACCCAAGGTTGCCTACCATCTACCCTCATTTTTCTCTCTACATACAGTACACCTACTGGCTCCAGACTCAATGCTAACCCTCCCCCTTTCCCCCTTTCCCCCTTTCCCCTTATCTTTCATTCTTCTTCTTTTGCTTTTTATGCGCTTTTCTCTTGGTACGTCTAGGATGATGCGTTTTGCTGCGCATCTATGTAGCATATGCAGGTCTATGTGTATGTGTATGTGTATGTGCAGAGTGTAAGATACTACATACTAGTGCTAGGATGGAAAAGTGGAAAAGTGGAAGAGTGGAAAGGGGGGGTGCATGGATCACAGCGTCGTGTTGGTCACTTGGCAAGATATGAGGTCTTGTAGGATGTATACAAGCGATGAATTGGGGCGTCCGGCCAGTCTTTATAGGTTCTGGTGTGTGTCGTCGCTTTACCTGTTGTTATTTTGCTAGGCTACTGAGTTTCTCATTCCACAGGGGGGGTACCTTTTTTCTTTTCTTTTACTAATAAATGTCACCACAACAATATTACAATCACTCACTCAGCACTATAAAGACATACCTTATCGAACATCTAAATTTCCAAATGGTATCAACATGCCAGCCGCTAGCATCTATGCCCAAAAGTCACAAAACACCGCCGACCTTTTTTGGTCATGAGCTCGCGCTCGTCCTGTTGGTCCAAACACCACAAAATGAGCGCTATATGTACAAAGAAGACATAGTAAAGGATGATATGACTAGTGTTAGTCCATGGATGCCTTGAGCCCAATCACCTCCACTGGCCCTGGCTCAGCTTCAACAATCCCTCGACGCACCCGGCCTCTTCCGCCGAGTTTATACTCGAACGTCCACTTGCACCATCGCCGCCCATGAACTGTCGCAGTTCTTCATCTTGCTCTGGGTCTATTATACACTTGCTGCTCCTCCGTTTGTCCTTGGCTAGCAGTGCACCAAGGCTCGCCGCCTGCGCCATCAACTCTATATTCTCCCCCAGTATCTGACGCGCACCTCGCGAAGCTGGAGGCGTCGCTGCAACATGCCGATCTCGACGCACCGACTTGGTCGCGCCAGGTTCCCAGTTCTCCTTGTCGCTCTCCGTCGGTGGAAGGTCGTCTGACTCGGTACCATCACCACCCTTTTTGTAGTCGGAGTAGTCGGTATTTGAGAATCGGCCGTTAATGGTAGAAGCACGTTGCATGGGGCCGCGAGACTTCTTGACTAGCGGACTGCCAAGCACCTTATGCGAGCTATAACGCGCCATGAGCGGGCTGCTGTTCTGGCGCGCTTGGTTTTGGGCGAGTATCCGTCGATTCGCACGAAGTATCCCTATCGCGTCAGCTGCACTTCCACTCTCTTCTTGTTCCGCACGCGCGGTCAGGCTCGTCGTAGACCGAGTCTCCGGGTCACACCAAAACTCCCACGCGCGCGAGTCCCTACTCCTTCCGATACTCGATGCTGTCCTTGGTATCTTTGGGCTTGGCTCTCCCCGTGCCGCAGCAGCCAACCTATCGTTCAAGCCTGCTGCGCTGTAGCTTCGTCGGAGGCCAGCTGCAGCGCGGGAAAACGATGACGGCGTCTTCTTCGACTTGGGCGGCGAGGGTGTCTTGTCGAGATCAGTGACGATGCGTGCGGTGCCATCCTCGGTCGTGGACAAGCGCATAAACGAGTGGGTGCGTTTCAGTGGTCGCGACGGCGTCTTTGCCGGGGCTTTGGGCGATTCCGAGGGCCTGGACGGAGCATTGGGGAAGGTGATAACCTCGGGAGCGTAATCTTCAAGACATCGGACGAAGGAGGCACTGCGACGGTTCGAAATCCATGATGTGCGTGCTTGCGCAGCACCCTGGGAGCATGGCACAGCTTGCTGGGAGTCGGTAACCTCGACAGGGGCTGTCTCAGCCTGGGCCTCGGTTGAGGGCTCTACGGCTGCTTCGTTCGCGTGGTCGGATTCGGCAGGTGCAGAGACAGCCGTGTCAATGGTGCGCGGTTCTGGGATGGTCTCATCTGAGGTTAGTTCGGGCGTTGCAGGCTGCTCTGGCGGATCGGACTTTGGGCACTCGTCCGAATGCTTGGGGTCCGGGTCGTTATCGATACGACGTGAAACGGCCACGACGTCGTCCTCGGTGGGCGGGTCCGACATGGTAGACGACGAAGACATGAAGGATGCAGTCGACGAGGGTTCGAGAGGCCGCGAGCGACGGCGGTCGTTTTGGCGTTTATCTAAGGCAATGCGTGATCAGGACGTGTTGCAGCCCAAGGCAGGGATCGCGTAGAGAACCAAAATGCGATGCGCTGCGAGCTGAAAGCCCCAGCTGAAGCAGGACGACAAGGCCGAGAGGACTTACTTTGGAACCAAATCTAAGGGAGCGGGTTAGCATGAGGGCGCGCACGCTCGTGACGTGGAGCGATGTGCAGCGTACCTGAACTTCCTTCTCGCCAAGCGCGACCTTGCGGACGATTTCCAGGCGTGCAGCCTTGGAGGGCTTGGGGTTCTTGAGATACTCGGACTTGAGCACGTCCTCGTCTTCCTTGCTGCAGTGTGTCGTGGTCAGCGGCGATGGGGTGGTGGAGGGTCGCTTGCCCGCGGGGTAGTAGGCCGAATAGCTCCCGGCGGGAGGTCGCGCACGAACCAGCGCGCGTCCAACATGGGTCACGAGCAGATGGAAGCAGAGCCGTTTGAGGAATTGACCACGTACCTTGTGCGTCTTCGCTTCTGGCGCGCGAGAGCCTTGTTGTCCACGTCGGGCGGCATGTGGTTTGCGACGCTTTCCTGCGAATGGACGAGAAAGGCTAATTGGCCACTGAAACTTGCGCGTCTGGCCGGCGGCAGACGCGATGACGCAGGCGACGAGAAGGCAGGGAGAGGCGATGAGAGGGCCATGGATGCGAGGGCGGCGCCGGTTGGGGGAGTGTGTGAGATCAAGAGGCGTGGGACATGTGCAGAGGGTGTAGAGAGAAGCACGCGCGCGGTCAATATGGTGGCAGGAAAGGGCAAGTAGTGTGAGGCGCGTCGTCGGTCGCGTACGTATCAGATTGGGCCCGAGCCGAGCGCTTGCCTGGGTTATGTCGTGCAGCAGCAAGTGAACACGCCGTCTGTGCACGCCCACACGACTGCCCACGGTGCCAATTCCCTCCCCAGACGGCGCCCCATGGGCCTGTATCCGTGCCAGACGGCGTGTCGCGACATGTATCGTCGCGACGCGTCGCTGCGTCTTGTGTGCAGCGCTCGTTGCGCTGTCTTGCGGCATGCGAGAAGCGCATCCAGGGCGGGAGCGGAGCGTTGCTTTTGCCGCCGTTCCCAGGCTGATCCCATCTCACCCCCAGCACCAGTAATCCCGCATGTCCAAGCATCATCTCACGACAGATGAGTCCATGGCGACACTGATTAATTCTCCACACGCGCGCCCGGTCTGTCTGCGCAAAGGGGCTGGCTGCGCAGCAAGTCACGTGCCGAGTCCCAAGCCGCTGCAAGCCTTTCACGGCCACCACTGCCCGCTTCCCAAGTGCCCATTAAACGCGTCGGCACGTGACGAGCTAACCCGGTCAAGCATGGCCCGCCACCCATGCTCTGGACGTGTACCAGCACTTTCCCTCTGCCACCCACACACACGCACACACACACGCACACACGCTACACAACCTCTCTACCATCGGCTTTCTCCGATGCTCCGTCATGCGACTAACCCTTCGGTGCTTCTTCATCTAGGCAGCGACCACTTCCGCACTACTCCACCTCACCATGTTCACCAGCACGCGCAGCCCAAGACCACTCCTCGCCCACCATATGACCTTTTGCATACACCAGGGTCTATCGGCGCCCTTGCTATCTCCTTGTCCTACTACCCCACCTGTACCGGTCAAGAGAGCTGCTGACTCAAGGCAGAAGGCCCAAGGCCTAGCAGTCGGTGCCTCCGTCATGTCCACACTTACTGTTCTTCAGTCAGAAGCGTGCTCTTTCTGCCTTGCGCATGGTGCCAGTGCCAAATCCCCGCCCACAAGTTTGGCTAGCAGTCGCTGCACTACTAGCGTCCCGACCCCACGACGACACACGCCAAAAAGATTTGTAACCCGGCTTACCCTCATACGCCTACCACATGCAATGCCCTCGTCCTGACTTTTGGTGGCTGTATCCCTTTTCGCACCATTCTAGATGCTGCACTAGTTTGGGCCCCATTTCCCTATCCTGTCGTCTTCCGAAGCAGTCCTGGTTCCTTCTGCTCGTCAATGATTGGCGAATCCATCCCTCCCGCGCCAATCCCCGCCTCCAAAGAATACCTTAGCCGAGCCCATGGACGGGAGAGCCTCCAAGAACCGCAGTCTTCTCCAATTGCCACTGCGATGCAGCAGCGTTTCCGCCTTGCCAATTTGTCGCTGCGTAACCTCTTTCCTTGATCGGTGTTGATCTCGCGCGTCGGAGAAGTCTTCCACCATCACCCTGCTCTCATCCAACTAGAGTGCCGTAACTAAATTGCTATTCACTGTCCCATTGGTACGCCCTTTACTAGCATACAAGTCAGCAGCATACGGCCATGCACAACCACACGTCTGTTGGGCGCTCATTTGCGGAAGCCACCACATCTCCGCCCTTCGATCTCGTTTCCGGGGCCATGGTAAACAATAGAGAGCTTGGGCACTTGGCCCAGGATTGAAAATTTACCCCCCACGCTCACCTTTCATGTGCTTCTCCATCCAACCTTGAGCTAGGGGCCACAGAAATTCCCATGACAACGGGATGCCGGCATTTTGGCCCCTTTACCCCAGCTGGAGCGTCCCGCCCACGACCGAGCAGTGTTTCGAAGCAGGCAACGGTATCAACAAGTGGTCTGTCATCAGCCTTCACCCAATCTTGTCACACCCACTTCCGGACATCCTTGAACGTTACATGAGATGGTGGCAGTTGCTCTCCTCCCCTAACATCTCTTCAAGCCAAGCTAGCTATTTTACATCACACAGCAGACCTTTCGCCACTTATTTTACACTTGAACGGATCATGGCAAGCACATTAGACCCGGGAAGCATGTAATTTAGGTATTTTTCGAACGTCTACTGCCGTTAACTTGGTATTCGTGCGCCTTAGGCCGACTGCCATGGCTGCATGCCTTCACCTTACTCACCAGATCAGAAAGACCCCTGTGACTCACGGACTTCAGTATGCGGTAATGTGAAAAAAGGCAAACAGACATGTTAATATGAGTCTCAGTTTTACGAGTAGAAAAGGTAGAGCCAGATTCCATCTTCATCTTTCATAATCGCCAGAATCAAGAGTTCCAAAACAAACCCCAACAGCAATGCCGGGCAACATGCGTGTTGCCATAGCAGGTAATATGACAACTGGTAGATTACAGGCATCCACTGATATCGATACAAACACCAGGTACCTGTGGCCTAGCACTCCTGATAGCTCAGGAGATTAACAACTCGACCAGCCACCAGTTGGTCATTCTCTCCAGAACTGTTCGTGCTCGGTGACAATTCAGCATCTGAATTTAGTGTAGTTGATCAAACTAACTCTGCTCAGCACCAGACAAGCCTCATAGCATCCGGGTACAACTGTCAGACCGTAGACTACAACAGCCCTGCCTCCCTTCAGCATGCCTTGATGGGCGTTGACACGGTCATCTCCACGGTACTGGGCAATCCCCAGCTTCGACTCATTGAAGCAGCCGTACAATGTCGCGTGCGACGCTTTGCACCTGCCGAGTTCCAAGGCCAGCCCGGGTTGCGAAGCCAGAGCGAACTACTCGATCGTGGACAGAACGCGGCTCTGGCTTTGCTGAAGCACTACAGTGGCAATATTCAGCATACCGTATTTGTATGCGGTATTCTATATGAAAGATTCTCGGTCAATGGGATGATGTCTCATCGCATGGGCGCCAGCACAGGCTATGCCAACGAAGGAGACTTCATTGCCAATCCCCGCCAGATGACTTCGATGGCGCCAATCTACGACGCTGCAAACAACCTCTCGTCGCTGTGTTTGACGTCTGCATATGATGTGGCACGGTTCGTAGTTCGAGCCCTTGACATGCCCAACTGGGCTCCCGAGATGAGCATGTGCGGCGAGCGCATGACTGTGAGCAGGCTTGTAGAGACCATCAGAGCGTGCAGGAGTATGCTGTGCCCCGTCAACTGTGAATAGACTGATTGACTGACTTTCAACAGATCGTGCTTGGATTAGTATTGACTACCAAGCGCCTGCGAGTGCGTGCTCCCTTTCCCACTCGTCGATTCATACACTGACTTGCATCGCAGACCTTGAATATCGCATGACCATGGCACAGCTGGAAGGAAACATAGCTGAGCAAAGACGACTCGCTCCGCTCCTTGCGACAGCAGAAGGACGCTACGACTTTGCAGTACCCGCGTACCTCAACTCTGTCTTTCCAGACATACACGTGACACGCTTCCAAGACTGGTTCATGTGCAACTGGGCATCGATCCCTTGAACAAACTCAGTTACGTCACACATGAGTTACGTGCTCATCAGGACTCGGATGCGGGGAACCATTGCGTGAGGATCCACGGGTGGAACAGGCATCAGAAAATCCTGTCGTGGTCGCGTTAGACTCAGCCAATGTGTCCGTTCGCCATGTCCGCCCGATGGCTGGCACCATCCCTGTCATGCTATTGGTCTGGGCTCTACACCTCATCTTCTCCACTTGGTCATTGCTCCTAGCTGGTTTTTTGATGGCTCCTTCGTTTGCTTTGCTACTAGGTGTAGACTGGTCTTGTCCTGCGAATGGACAGTGGTAGAAAGGTGGTTGGCAAGAATGTAGGGAGAAATGGGCGCTCGTTTTGTTAGAGCATCGTATCTTTTTCCAATGATTGTTTACATCATCTCCCCGTCCATCTATCATGAAAGACGTTTGCACGTGCTGTACGTAACTCGTGATGCTTGCGTCTTCCTATTCTAGCTTCACGGCTCTGCTAACCCCAACCACGACCAACATGCGACACTTTCCAAAGCAGCAGCTCGCCCCCGCCGAAGCACGGACACAAGCGCTAAACGGAATCAGTAAAAGACCATCCGATGATGCGAACAAACCCACTCTGCTGGGGTGGGAATCTGCCATGGGCAATTGCATCAGTGCTGCGTCATGGTGGGCCGTGGGCTCCCCGCTACCATAATAAAACCACACACGCCTGAACACACCTTCCCTTCCAGCATCACATCTACAACTTCAATCGCATTTCCAGCACGAAACTCAGACTCTTCACACTCTTAACTTCCCTTTCATACCCATAAAGTAGGTATAAATCTATGGGGCAGGCAGTGGAAGGTTTCAAGTCTGCGCTCTCCCGACGCGAGACGCGACCCCTGCCTGCTTGTACTCCGCGATTCATGAAGCTAACATATCCAGCACAAGACGTCTACCAAAATGGTTTCTTCTCAGCAAGGCTATTCCAACACCACGATCGACATGAAGGGCAACACCCAGGCTGTCAACGAGGCCCAGTCCAACCTCCCTCTTCCCGACCAGCCCCCAGTCGCCTCCGACTTCAACTCTTCCGATGCTAGGACTGTCAACGTTGGCTCTGGCGGCCAAGAAGCCAGCTTCACTTCTGGTGGTGGTGCCATCCGTGAGCCTGCTGTTGGTGCCGGCGGTGTTTCTGGCCGCGAGGCCAAGGACGGTCTCAGTGGCATTCCCAACGACGCTGTCTCCCGCGAGGCCAAGAACCACTCTGGCCTTGCCGACACGACTGGTAAGGACTATGGATACCCAAAGAACGACCCCAGCTCTGGTATCAAGCAGTAGATTACTGTGGTAGGAGGAAGTAATTGAGATACCCGAAATATGGTGGACTGGAATATTTCGTGTCATAAAAGGCCGCTGTCACTGCGTTCAGAAGGTCGGCTGCAAGAGCAGTATTGTAATGAGCAATGTACGAATTGAATGAATGAATGAATGATGAAAGAAGTTTGTCTCGAATGTTTGTTGTGTCATTGCTCGTTGACATTTTCAATGTGTGGTTGCAAGTATCAACTTTGATGTTTTTGTATACTCAACTCTATGTTTTTAGCGAGAAGATTGACTTTGCAAACCGTCGCAGTAGATGCAGCGAGACTGGTTTCACGATCTCGCGAATCAAGTAGTATCTGCACATGATTGCGCTTCTCGGAGAGTAAGTCGTTGCTAGCAAGGTGTGTCAAGTCAAGTTCTGGAATTGCGCCTCGCTAACCCAGCATGTTCACATACACATACTTCTAGATGCTTGTCAAAGTAGCCACCCCTGACGCCATTCCTGCCACAAGATATTGTATGCATGAATGCCCAAGTCTGATACGATCTGATTGATTCCTTGCCGTGCTCCGGAAACAATCATCCCACCTGTTTCATTGGTAGGACCGAGCTACATCTAAGCTGTCAAGGCTGAGATATCCTTCCAGCTTTTGACGTCACATATACGCAAACATACGCCATATGAATGGGTCACAGTGATTGAACAACATACATTAAGCTGCTTGGAGACTTTCTTTTTTGCCCTCATATACCATCTGCACATTTATCTATACCGGAATACCTCAGAAAACCTAATCAGACGCTACGAAAAGCAACAACCAAAGCTCAAGATGTCGACTTCAGCAGGACAGAAGGTATAGGCCCGTAACCCCAGAATCTTGTCTTGTATAAACTTCACGTTAGAGGTTCATTTGCAATAATATGACTGACTCCATCTCCAGGTTACCACCGATCCCGCGTCCAAGGTCCCTATCAACGAGGCCGTTGGCACCGTAATCTCCGACTCTCTTGCAGGCGAGTCCCTCAAGAGCTCTGGTGCCTTTGGTGAAGGCAACCCAAAGGCAGGTGTTTCTGGACAGCCGTCTGCTTCGACGACTACAAACACGTCTGATACCTCGAGCGCTACCAAGCTCAATGCTGCTGTTAATGCCGAGGCAAGGGACGCTCAGCAAGGATGGGATGAGGAGAAGATTATGAACTCCGGTAAGGGTCTGGGTAGTACCTCAAATGGCTCTGGAGGGGCATCAAGCGTCACTGGCACTGCACCTACTGCTGTTCCCGGCACAAACATCGACCCAAGCGTGCTCCAGCCCAAGGGCGCCAATCTGACCGAAGACCCCAACATGGACGGACAGCGCAAGTTCGGCGAGATTGGCGCAGAGAATGACCCCGGCAGGCTAGCAGAGCGCAAGCTGCAGGGTATCAATGCTGCGAATCCTGGTGTTGAGCCCAAGACGACCGACATGGCACAGGGTGGTGAAACCAAGTTCAGCAAGCTGGGAGAGACGACTGCTTAATCTTGATGCATGAGGCGCTCATGTAGCAGTGTGTATAATACCGAGTAGCCCCAAACTACTATGACGAGTAGTTGACGTTCAGCCATGGATGCGTTGATGTGATGTCTCATAGCAAAGTATGTAAAGGCACGCTTGCAACTAGGCCGAGGGTTAGTGGGGTAAACCTAAACGGGTCTCTTCCGCGGGCACGGACGCGGACCGTTGCTGCAGCTCAAGGTGGCCTTTCGCGTCGCATCGCTGCTTACTGTCTTATGTCAACGTCGCTCATTAGTCCACACCACGTTTTATTTTCCCTCCCATTTTGTTTCTGCGCAATCGTGATTGGGGCTGCAGTACCCTAGTGCCACGACAAAGCACCCAAAATGAACGGTTTCGGGGAGCATGGGCATGATGAGGATGCGTTTGGACCGTCCAAAGGGGGCATCGTGTCCAGTTTCGACGCTTTTCGTAAGTATTGCTGCCGTGCATGCATGCGAGAGGATTGCTATACCCACGGCAATGCTGAGCAGCCCTGGCGATTGTTCCGACTTCAGCGATGCGACTCAGTTCAAGGCCGGACCCGGACTAACAGATGACCGCAGCCAAAACCAAAAAGACATACCTCGTCCAGGGTCGCAATTCCTCTGCATGGACGGTAACCCTCATCATCACTTGCCTCTACCTGGCCTGGTCTGAAATTGCGCGCTGGTATGCGGGTACAACGACGCAATCCTTCGCCGTCGAGAAGGGTGTATCACACGACATGCAAATAAACCTCGACATCATCGTAGCCATGCGATGTACCGACCTCCACGTCAACATGCAAGACGCGGCCGGCGACCGCACGCTAGCCGGCGAGCTTCTACGCAAAGACCCGACCTCGTGGGCGCAGTGGACTGGCAGGAACACGGAAAGGGGGACCCATGAGTTGGGCAAAGAGCCGGGACAAGGAGGGTCGGACGATGACGAGATTTTCGACGTGCATGAGCAATTGGGCAGGGCGACAAGGAAGAAGTTTAGCAAAACACCGAGACTGCGTGGCCTGCCGGATAGTTGCAGAATCTTTGGCAGTCTGGAGGGAAACAAGGTGCAGGGAGACTTTCACATTACGGCACGAGGGCATGGATACATGGAGTTTGGAGAACATTTGGACCACTCTAGTGAGTTGAAATATTCAAGAAGCGCAAACATGTTTACTGACGACCAACAGCATTCAACTTCTCCCACATTATCCGCGAACTGTCGTTTGGCCCTTACTACCCGTCCCTCACCAACCCGCTCGACTCGACCATTGCCGTGACGCCGACGCCCAACGACAAGTTCTACAAGTTCCAATACTACCTCTCCATTGTCCCAACCATTTACACCGACGACCCCTCGCTCATGCCCTTGCTTGAATCCGTCGTCTCCACAAAGGACCACCCTGCCTCCAACATCTTCCACACGACGCACGCCATCAAGACCAACCAGTACGCCGTCACGTCGCAATCTCACAGTGTATCCGAGATGTATGTCCCCGGTGTTTTCGTGAAATTCGACATTGAACCCATTATGCTGGCCATTGTCGAGGAGAGCGGCGGCTTCTGGAAACTGCTGGTCACGCTTGTCAATGTTGTAAGCGGTGTCATGGTCGCGGGCGGCTGGGTCTGGCAAATATATGACTGGGCCATTGATGTCGTCGGCAAGAGGAAACGCAGGGGCGATGGCGTCGGTGTGCTCGGTACGCCGTCTGTGGAGAAGAAGAGCTGGGATTGAGGGACCAGAGCTTCTTCTTTCTTTTTCTTTTTAGAATAAAGTCAAGACCTCGGGGGCGAATGCATCACTTTGGCGTTTACTGGCAAGGTCTTATGAGTTGAGTGTGATAACTTTAGTATGTATAGTTTTAGATTTATCTATTTTTCTTATTATCAGTTCAATATTAAGACATATTGGTGTTAAGAGGTGGCCAGATGGTCTGTCTCTGTAATTCATCTGTATAGCAAATGATAGTTTGCTTGATCTGTTAGCATGGCTTGACAACTTGGTGCTGCAGCATGAGGTTCAGCATTCACAGCAGCCCATGGCTGTGCCGCTCTCCAGAAGCAAGGTCAAGATGCATCTGGACCTATCTTGCTGCTACAGACCAAAGGTAACTAAACTCTACATGCTAGACAACAACAACAACAACAACAACAGACATATCATGGCTTGACGACCCAGTCTCTCTCCCCTCCCTGAGCCTCGACAACATCAACCTTACTCCCCACCCATTTCGCCTCGCTAAACGGCAGAATAACCGCAAGCACCTTTGACCTGACCAAGCCGAGCGGCAACGGCCCAAACAACCTACTATCCCTACTCCACTCGAGGTTATCGCCCTGAACCCAGCAATGCCCCTCAGGCACCCTAACCACCTCTTCCCTGACGCTCGCCCACTTGCCCTCGCCATCCACAGCATCCACATCCGCGTCGGTACGACCGGGCGTCACCACGCTGACAAAGTCGCCCGGCATGCCCACCACGCGCTTGCAGCTGCTATCCTGCGGAAACAGCGGATGCGTAAACGTCACCACGTCACCGACCTGGATCCCGCGGCCCCGCCGGTGCAGCGTCGAGTACACAATCCACGGGTGCGACCCGAACGAGTGCGGGATCGTGGGTACCATGGATATCCCGCTTGTGGAACCCACGCCCCCAATGTACGTGAAGACGATGTGGCCCACGAAGAAGAATTTCCCGACTAGAATGGTGTTTTCTGTCGCGCGGAGCCAGTTAATTGATTGTATCCGTGTATATGTGTGTGTGTGTGTGTATGTGTATATGTGTGTATAGGGGGATTGTGTGACGTACGCGTCCATGTTTTTGGATTGAGAATGGCGGGCGCAGACTGCCTATGGAAGCGGTGGATAAAAGACCATGGTGGCGGCATTACAGAGACCAGCTTTTTATATCAAATTCCAAGAACTTGCTGTCACGTTGGCATCTTCCTGCTTAGATGTCGCCGTGCCTTGTCCCGGGACACAATGGCGGCGCAGGCGTGCGTGCGTGCGTGCGTGCGTGGTTGTCGTTGTAGCGGGAGAGGAACGGACGGCTTCGCAAAGCTTCTCGAGGTACGGAGGTGCCTCACAAAAGTTTTGTCCCACGCTAATCTCGGCGCTTCGGCATAACTCTTCTTGGCGCAACTCCCACCTTTGAGCTGAGTAGCTGTACGATTTGTCTGTATCTATCGTTACAATGTCTCCTAATACTGATCCTTACACCCGCACCTTAATTGTGGCGTTAAAGTCACCTTCTGTTGGCAAGTCTACATCACAGATCTCTGAACTTACTGATGTTCATCCTCGTACGGTCAATCGTATCTATAGTAGAGCTATTGAGGCTGGTTTCGAGCCAAACGTTCTCCCTCTTAAGATCCTCCCAGAGCACGTACAAGACGCCCCTCGCTCTGGCCGACCTTCA